CCAATGCGACTCCCAATTATTCCCAGTGCGGGTCCAAACAGCATTTTGAGCCCCCGCGGGTGATTTGTGCTCAATTGGAATGGAGGTGAAATTATTGCGGGTTTCCTCTCAGGTGGCAACTGCGGGCAGGGCTCTCGAAGTGCTCTCGCGGGGCCATCAAATGCGAGGGGACCCGAAATAAATCAGCGTACTACAGTTGTCCAAATACGGTTTCGCCAAAAGAATTTCACATTTTTTGCTTCAATTATAACTTTTCTAGTAACGCAAAGAATGTTAATTGAATTTTTTAACTTGAAAACGATTCTGAATGGCCCTCTTCATTTATGGGACCCTTTTTAGTCATATAGGCATACCTGAAATACCTAAAGCATCAGATGAAATTCTAAAAAATCGCAAACACTTTATAAAGGGACCATCATGTTTTTCTATCATGCTCGAATTTGAGCGCCGAGATATTTTAAGAGAATCGTGTTCAGCATGTAAAATTACCTATATTTACCATTTTCATTTGGAAAATTAGTGTCGCCCTGGGTTTGCCACCCTCTCGTTGTCTGTCACTCTCTCGATTGTACACAGTCTCTCAAAAAAAACTTCGTCGGAAAAAACACACACATTTTTGGATACTGCATCCATTATAATTTATTAAGCGTTCAATCCGGCTAAATATTCTGCGCATAAGATTATAGCATTGTGGCATCCGTTAGGTTTTTCGTTGGATATTTTCCGATCTGAGTTGCTTTACTCTGGTAACTCAGAACCAATCGGATCCGACAAAATTCGGCTCCGGAATCAACCTGATCCGATTGGTAATTCTACGGATAAGATTGGAATATTGTCGGATCCTATTCAAATTGAAAGAAACGGATTCGAATAATTACCAATCGGATTTGAAGAAAATCTAATCAGATCCGACAATTTTCCAATCGGATCGGATCAGATTGATTCCGGAGCCGAATTTTTTCTGATCCGATTGGTTTTGAGTTACCAAAGCAATTCAATTTCTAATTTTTTGAACCTGTTTGTAAAATTTGTTCAATTGGAATCCGATTGGCTTTGAATTGCCAGAGCTGCCAGAATTCCGTAGAGTTTACAACCGTTCGCACATTTTATGACATTTCGCACATTTTTGAGATGATAGAGACAGCTGGAAATGGTGAATTTTGTGGATAATTTCATCACAAATACCACATTTATTGCTCTATTATTATTTTTAAAAATAATTGAAAATTTATTATAGCTCGCGTTTTTTTGAATTTGAAGTCTGGAATTGCAAAATAATAAAAAAAAGACGGTAAAATTTGAAATAATGTTATACTTCACCAATTTGTCTATGGAGAAATCTAGAAATATTTAAAAATCTTATTTAAACTAATGAAAATATTTTCACCACTCTACATAGAAGGTCTATTTTTTTTTGAAATTTTCTCACTGATTTTTTTTTGGCCAAAAAATGGGAATATTAGAAACCACCCCGACTTTTTAACCCCTCCTTTTATTTACAATACCACCCCCACTTTTCACCCCCAATTTTTAGATTTTTTTCACTCCCAATTTTTAGAGAGAGATAGAGAGAGATTTTCACCTCTACTTTTTCACTGCACTTCAAAATTTGCAGTTTCTAAATAATAATGTTTAGCAGTAAATAAAAAAAAAAATTCATTTGCAATAATTCAAGTTATCAAGAGGAAATTGGCAAAATGATAAAAAAAAGCTTGATATCAAAATGCACAATTGGACACTTGAAATATTGACAATTGTTGGAAAATACGAAAATCTTACGAAATACCAAATCTTTCTGAACCGGGTTTTCCGAGAATAGTTCATTACTTGTTAAAATTTTCAGCCTTTCATAAGAACACTACATAGTTTCTGAAAAATCTAACTTAAACATCAGTGCTGCGAATCTCCTCTTGATAACTTGAATTATTGCAAATTTAAAAAAAATTTCAAAAATTTTCAACGACCCTCCAAAGTTTACAGCGAGGCCTTTGTTTAGCGTAATAAGAATTTCGAATTGCATTTTTTTGAGTAGAATTAATCGTACTTGGAACACAAAGTGCTAAGAAGTCGCCAAATAAAATTGAATCAGCCAGCTTTCACCGGCCAATAATTATTAACTAAATATTTTTTTAAAACTAAATTCACTAAATATAATTATTAACTAAATAAATACTTTTTAACTAAATTCATATTTTTCAACTAAATAAAATATTTTTTAACTAAATATGATTTTTAACTAAATAAACCTAGCTGACAAATGATGTCTTTTTTGCTGTCTGTCTCAATATTTAAGAAGTATATGTATTGTCGGCGTCAAACGACAGAATTTTAAGGGCCTTAAAATTCGCGAAATCAGTGTAGGTTTAAATTTCTCGTTGACTGAACTATAATGCAATGTTCGCATTGTATCTGACCTATTGGATCAATATTTCGATATTTTGAGACTTTTATGTTATGTAGTATCTTAAAAAGTAGCCGCGTAGTATTCAAAAACCGGTGTTTCAAGCGGAGCAGAATTATAAAGCGACCCCCATGAAACGGACTATTTCGCTTTTATTTAACTGTCACGGGACCAATGTGCACAAAAGTAGTTGTGTGGCTTTAAGAACCTACAATGTTCCCTATTTTTCTATTTTTGAATCATTTTGATGGAAGACGTTAGAGCAGAAATTCAAATCTAGATCGACCCAATATGTTTCAAACCTTCTCAAATCTATGCCAGACCATGTTTTTGATGTTATTACCTCGAATAAATAAGTGCTAAAAATTTCAGCTCGATTGAACCACTCGTTTAAAAGTTATGAAGAAAATTAATTATTTCGTATCATTTTACTGTAGGTTTATTTAGTTAAAAATAATTATATTTAGTTAAAAATTGGATTTATTTAGTTAATAATTATATTTAGTTAATAATCATATTTAGTGAATTTAGTTAAAAAAAAATATTTAGTTAATAATTATTGGCCGCTTTCATCATTTTCGATTTTTTTAGAATAAACTTTTCTTCAAAAATCTATTAGCAGGTCGGGTCGGGTCGGGTCGGTAAAATTCTCACCCTGACCCGCCCCGCCCCACGTATGGTAATGGCGAACTTGCTAGGCCATATTGGTTACCTATGTCGCCTGGTGACCCCCCCCCCCAACATTCATTGAAGAGACCGAGAGTGTTAGACAAATAGACCCCGCCCTTTCGCGGTGCCGACGTCTCATTTTCATTTTTTCGCCAGCCCCTCTCCCTCATTTCTTCTCCTCACTACCCCAATTTCGATTCCATTTGGTTAACTATTTAATAATCTATACAGTTATATTGCTTCTTCCTAATTAGTAGAATTATTCTAGATCAATTCGCACCCAAAAATCTTTTTACAAGAATTTAGGGGGTTTCAAATTGTTTTTTTTCTAAAAATGGAATGTTTTCATATTTTTTGCAATCCAAAAATGTTTTTTTAGTATGGATTTTTTGCAAATTTCTGGGATAAACTTATACCAAAAATCGATATTTTTGTGTGTTTTTTTTTGTTGAAATTCGAATTCAGTTATTCCATTTATTAATTTTTCTCAATTAATTTAGTTATTCTTATTGTGTGGCCATTATTTATGTGTGCGCTTCCAGAATCAATTCCCGACGCGTCGGCTTCTTTGTTCTCGCAATTTCGAATTGATTCATTGCATCTTCTATGTAGACCACACACACTTTTTTTTTCTGGGTGGGACCCATTTATATCTCTCTCATTTTTATTTTGACTCGATCAATTTCAGTTTTTTTTTCAACTGAAATTTTTTGAGTTGTTTTAAGGCAATATTGTTAGAATTTTCCAAATTAGCCTATACATATATTAGTTAATAATGCGTATACATTGTTTTTTTTCAAATTCCAAATCAATTAGTTTAATTTCAAAAAATAATAATTTGAATTTTTCATAAGGTCCAGGCATGTCAAACAAAAAATAGACCCTCTGGTTTGGATTATGAGGGGGGCGGGGCCTTTGGCATGAAACCGGCTATTGTGGCGTAACCCCGAAAATGTCGGCAGATGTTTTGAATGAAGTTGCTCTTACCAAGATTGCTTTAAAAACCCAGAGCAACTCTGGAATTTGATGTGCTTTTTTTTCTCAATATTCTATTAATTGCCTAATTACTCACTCATTCAACACATTTTTCTACCAAAATTATCTAATTACATCATTTTGATGGGAAATTATTTTATTCCTCCAATCAAGAAATATTCGCAATACAATAATACAGTTGTCAAAATGTGTTGATTGAGTATTAAATATTTCAACTGGAACATTTAAAACTATTGATGTCTATTTGAATATTCTGAAGCAACTATTTTAAGATATTATAATTGCTGGAAAAACTCGTTTTTTGAGCTATCCATATAGGATTTTCTGGCTTTTTAAAATTGTTTTATGTACCATTTTTGCGAAATCTGCATTCGATGTTTTCTGTCGTTTTCCACAAATCCCATTGCAATTTTGAATCTCAATATTATAAGCCTAAGCGAAATCCGTTTTATGTTAACTAGAGTGGAAATGTGGTTACTCTCATATTGATTAAAATACAGTGTGAGCCACCGACCTGCTTTTTGGGCCTAACTTTTTTTTAGTCAATTGTGAAAATTTTCAAATTCTGTTTTCAAAATTGAATGCTAAAGTATAAATATATGAATCATAATGATATCTAAAAAAAAATTGGCCGAGTGACATTTAAAGCACTGAAAATTTCAATTAATATTCTACTATTAAAAAACACGGAGTTCGATTAGGTAATCAAAAATAATAGCAATATTTTACCATATATGTAACCTGCTTTTCTCTCTCTCTCTCTCTCTCTCTCTCTCTCTCTCTCTCTCTCTCTGTCTCTGTCTCTCTCTCTCTCTCTCTCTCTCTCTCTCTCTCTCTCTCTCTCTCTCTCTCTCTCTCTCTCTCTCTCTCTCTCTCTCTTGCGATGAGCTCATTTCTAACTATGTATTATAGTTGCATTATTCAGACCGCAATCATGTCGCCGAACACCCATCAGCCAAATCAGGTTCGACTTTTTCCTCCCATTTCCAGCTTTATTCGCAATTTTCAGACGCCGAAAAACACGCGCAAACGAGTAAACGAGTTTGAGAATTCGTCGGACCATTCCGTCGCCGTGAGCTCGAAACGGACCAACAACAACAATGTCGGAGAGATCGACACCGATTATCGCGATGAGGTGATCTCAACGAATTTGGAAAGAAGCGAATCATTGGAAAGAAGCGAATCAATGTTCGGAAGGATGACGTGAAGCCCGAATGCAAGCAGAAATGGAACGATGATGACATCGTCAATCTAGATTCCGATTCCGACGATGAAATTAAATGTATTGTTGATGTAAGGATTCCGTTGTTATCCAAATGAAGGACCATTTCAATTTTTTTTCAGAAAAATCGTAAGAATCGCAAAAGAATGGCGCCGATGAAAGCAAATCGCGACAAATTGGTATTCCGTTTGATCGCGTTCTTTTTTTTCTCGAAACCCACTTTTTTCAGAGTGTCGGACCACCTCGTCTATCCGACGACGAACGCGCTCGAATGGTGGAATTCGCGGTTGCGTAAGTCATCATCGAATGATCGCCCCGGTCGGATTCGAAATTTGATTTGATGATTTTTGAAGGGCGAACTTCAATGCGGACGACACGCCGAAATATTTTCGACTTTCGCCGAGAGGAACCGAATTGTGGGAGTTGTTCCTCCAGAAGGAGAAGTGGATTCACACGCCGATTCAGCTCGTCGAGCAGTCAGTTTTTTTTTGTTTTTTTTGGTCCAACGAAAATTCGTAGCAATTTCTACTCAGCGAATTGCGGGACCACAAAGTTCGCTTAGTATTGAATCAGGGACCGTTTACTCTTGAGAGATTCTCTAAGAAAACCCCAAAGGGTCCCATCATTTGACCTAAAATAAGTCCCCCTAATAGAACAGTATTTTTAAAGCGTGCAACTACAAAAAAATGAGCCAAATTTTAATTTTTTTTTAATTTTATCATCAAATTGAATTTTTGATAGCAATTTTTCTCAGAAATGTGGCATGAATTTTATCAATTTTTTTGAGTTTTTCAAATTTAGAAATTGAAAAAAAAATGACTGATTACCAATTTTTGATGGAAGATTTTTGAAAGTTGATTTTTTTTCACGAAAAATGTGAAAATGAATTGGATGTTGATTTTTCCCCATAAAATGAATTCCATTTCCCTCACGGCTGTAATATTCTTGTCGATTTAAGATTTTTTTTCTGAATTTTTGAATCTCAAAAGCTCATATGTAGAATCGATGAGGTTTTATAGTGTTAACTCAATGGAAAAAATCCAATGACTAAAAACAGTAAGGAAAAAAAAAGAAATAGGAATTTTGAAAAAAAAATCAAAAATTCGATTGAAATTAAAAAAAAACAGTTAGGATGACTCGAAAACCCCAAATCTTCGTTTTTTTCGAAAAAAAATTCTCCAAAAATAATTTTTGGTCGAGCCAAATTAGGGCAAAAAATGCTAGGAAAATTCTTCAAAAAAAAATTGTGTCTCAGCGATGAATTTATAGAAAAATTGTTAGAAACATTAAAATAATTAATTTAGAAAAATCAATTTTTTTCAGATTTAAACTGATCATGGCGCTGATTCGCCGAATTCCCGTCGCTGACGAAATCAAGAAAAAAGCCAAAGCTCTAATGTCGAATTAGGAATGCAATTTCAATTTTTGTCGTAATTTACCACTTATTCAAACTAGTCATTTTCATTCACTATCCCTTTGTCGAAATTTTTTTGTTGCTTTACTACTAGATAACAATACTAATAAATATTTTCTAATAATTGATTTTTTTTAATTGTTCGCCAACCCCTAATTTTCCGTAATTATCGGAACTAATTATCTGCCTTCTCTTGTGGCAATCCTCCTCTATCGATTTTTTTGCTTCCAAATTTTCCTACGTTCTGAAAATGTTCTATGGGTCCCTTCACTAAAAATGAATTATTGGGGTCCTTCAAAGAGGTAGATATATATTGAATGGTGGGAACCCTCTACTTTTTATCCTAATAATGAGGTATGGTGAACTCAAGTAAATCGAATAAAAGAGATTCATTGAGAATCTAACGTTTCTCTATAAAAATTTAGAAATTTTTTTCAATCAACTCTAGAAATTATTACATGATTTTCGAATTTATTGAGATATTTGAGAATTTGCTCAAAAAATTATAGAAAAAGTTTTTTTTAATGTTTATCGAATCTCAATTAGTTTTAGAAAGTATCAAGAAATTTTCGAATTTCTCATAATGTTTTGGAGTTTATTGTTGAATATTTGATTCTAAAAAAATATGTATATATTTTTTTTGATCTGAAGGGGGATGAGATTATTTCTGAAAAGAAAACAATTCGTTTCCCATTTCTCTAAGTGTAAAAACTACGAAATTGTTTTTTTTTCGGAATTTCACCACTTGGAAAATTGTGATTCTCGCCCTTCGGACCATCCTGACCAGCCGACCACGTGAAGAGATCGATTTCAAAGCGAACAGTTAATAGATCGAAACCTAATATTTTACAAAACAAAATCATTCATGAATATGTTTAAAGTTGTATCAAGTCATTCGGAAATCGGAATAATCAGGTTCAGACAGAGCTCGTCCGCGGAAATTTGAAACAAGATGCATACATATAAATGATTAGGAGTCCAGATAGGAAGAAATTGAAAAACGAGATCTTACTCGGATTCAGAAATAACATTCTTAACTTTACCCCCCCCCCCCCTATTTCTGTATTTTGGTCCTTTAAAGACTGTTTTGCGCACCAGTGGGTTTCAAAAAATAATTGAAAATCAAGACTTTAAAAAAATTATTGATACTTTAGTTAAAAATGACCTTTTTTTCTCAAAAAGTAGGCTAGAAAATTCTATAAATTTTTCTCTCTCTCAATTAAAAATATTGCTGGTAGTGAAGATTCATTGGCCTCATTTTCTAAAAATTTTGGGGGCAATTCGAATTTTTTCCAGACCATTTTTCAACTTATCAAATTCAGTAGAAATTTGTTGAGATTGATTCACTAAACGAATTTCGATTTTTCTGTTTCAAATTTGAGATTTTTATTAAATTTTTGAAAACCAATTTGATTACAATATTTCGCTACAATCACAATATGAGAGCATTTCAATTTGACATCGTATTTCTCACTTCAAATGTTTTTTTTTAAGTTACATTTAAGGACATTTTGAGCTTTAACCGTTGCCTCGAAAATTTAATCTTCTGGTTGTGTGTGCCTTTAAAGCGTAACCTTTAAAAGTATTTTATTTTAAATTTCGCAATGTCATTTCAGCTTCAATTCAAATTTTAATGAAAAACAGAAAATATCATTAATTGAAATAAGTACTTTCGTCAATTAGCATGTCACGTGTTTACACCTAATGCATTTTACTTGACGACTTTATTTAACGCGAAATCATTGCGGACTTGTGCATTTTATTTGACGACAAAATACACGCTGCTTACGCCATCGATTTTCTCAATTAACGTAGAATTTTCCTCTTTTTTTTTCGTTTTTCATTTTCCTCGGCACTTTATTTACATTGAGGGTTAAAATTCTTAAATTAAAATTATTATTTTTAAAAAATAGTTAAAATTATTAAAAAAAAAAACCTAATTTAAATGCATACTTGATTTTTCAATATTTAGCGAAAAAATTGAGAAAACATTTGATCATATTGAAGAAGTTAAGAATCTCAAAAATCGAATTCAAATCAAGCTTGAACATTAATAAAATTTGAACACAATTTTTGAAAAGAGAATTTATTGAGCAATATTAGAGAAATAATTAAAAGTAATTAAATTATATAAAACATTGATAGGAAAATATTAAAAAGAAACCGAAATTGAGCAATATTATTATTTAAAAAATTTCGTTGATGATGAGTAAAGCCAGTTGACAGGATACTGAATTGAGAACGGCATGTTGAACATCTGAAAGAAAGAAATTCGATAAATTGGTACTATCGGGACATATATAAAAGTAATAAATTGAAATTGGGAACTCACTTTAAATCATCTTGTTCGGATCCTCAATTGACAGCTTCTAGATGAGCCTCGTTCGAGAATGGCTGAAAATGAATGATGAATTTAAATAAAATTGGAAATTGATTGACTAACCACAATATCGAATGTTGGAGGGGAATCGAATGATTCCTTCTCCTCTTCCACGTCGATTCCGACTTCTTCCGAAGGATCGTCGTATTCCTCAGAATCGGATAAATCATCATCCGAGACATCGTCGCTGAAAATCTCGAGGAGCCATTCTTTCCGATAATACTCCTTTTCGGCTTCCGAACATTTGTCGATGATTTGCTCCAGCTCGAGACACTCGCGCATCCGATGGAAATACAGCTCATGCTCGTCGACTTCATATCCCGGCATCTTCTGCTCGATCAACGCCGTCACTTCTTCGCCGCATTCCTCGGCATACATGAGTTGGTGTTGTTCGGATTCGGCCGTGTGCAGATGATGTGCGTAGAGCTGAACAATCTGCAGGATCTGCAGTTCGAGCAAATCGCTGCCTTTCAATGACGAGCAAAGGGTGTCGAACTCTTGGTGAACATCGATTGAATAAACACCCGCCATCTGAAATTTGAATTTTAAGAGTCGGAAAGGACTACAAAGAAAAGTTTGAGTGACTCCGATGAGCCAACAAATGCAGACTGAGTCTGATCCGATCCAGTCCATTTAAGGCCCGCCCTCGACCATTATTGTCACATTTTGATGAGACTTTCGCACTCATCCTCTTGCTGACATGATGATTCGCACCTTTTGATGGTCCGCGTGCCCAAACTAGGTCATCCTCCTTCTGGCAACTTCGCTTGGGTGCGAACTGCCGATATTGTTCAACTGACACCTTCAAATGGATCCATGACATTGTGATGAATTTGAAACATTAGCCATTTTTGAGCTTAGCGCGAAGTCACCAAATTTTCGCCAATCCGACGCCACTTAAATTTACCGCTCTTATTGCTTCACCAAAAAAAACAAATTTTGGGATTTAAAACGAATTCATATGGTTTCGAAAATCTGTTAGAGTACAAAAACCAAGCGAATTCTATTGTGACCTTTTATGGACCTATTAAAAAAATTTTATCAATTTTTTTCATTTGAATTCCCTAAATTAACGCGATCCGCTATTTATTTTCAAAGGCGCACGCGAAAAGTTGGCTCGGGTCACGTCGCGAAGTCGGTACTGTAATTTTTTATTTTTCATTCTGTGTGTTATTTCTATTTTTTTTTCGAAACTTTGAAGAGGGAAATGAGTAACGGATTGATGAAATAAAGGAAAAAATAATAATTGGTATAATTACTCCAAATTAGTCAATTATGTCCATTTGTCATCATTTAGATACCAATTATGATGAGAAATTGATATCTTTGTGTTGATTTGATGCAGACTTCGCTCGATGACACTTCTGATGAATATTTAGCGTTGATGAAACAAAATAGTTTTACATTTTTCCAAAAAAAGGTTTAAACTCTCAAAAAATATTTAAAAACAGCCATTAAAAAATACAGTACCGACTTCGCGACGTGACCCGCGGGAACTTTTCGCAGGCGCCTTTAAATAGCGGAGAATTACGATATATCGCGCCAATTTATTTTGTAATTTTCATTTTCAAATTAAAAAATTTTTTGTTGCATGAATGGGTCCATTTTTTTACTTTGATGCAAGTTACAATCGAAAAACGAAATTTTGATATTTCAGTGGCTGAAAATCCAGAATTGTTTGGAAAAAATTCATTCAATTTCAATGTTTGCCACAAATTTTATAATTTTAATTTTTTTTCTTTTGTTGAAAAGAAAAAAAAACGATAATCGAATCATCAATTTGGGAAATGATTCGATTATGTGCAAAAAAATGGCATAAATATGAAATGCGAAAAATTCGACACAATGAAAATGAAGATTTTGACAATATTCGCTGTTCTCGCCTTCACCACGGCAAGTGTATTTCAAAAATTTTCAAGAAAAAAAAACGCTGAATTTTTTGCAGACGGCTTCGGCGTTTTGGCGAGAGCTCACCCGAAAATTTTTCCATCGACTGAGTCCACAGGAAGCGTACGATGCGATCCGAGTGTTTTCAAAAGAAAACTTCTGTTCCTTTTTTCAGCACCGTTTCGAATCACTTGATGCTCATGCTCCAATACATCAATCTCAATCAGCGTCCATTTTTCAACACCTTATTCAGAACCGATGCGAAAAATGCGTTCCCGAATCACAGTGAGTCGTTCTTCCGATCGCTTCTTTTCATCGTTTCTTTCATTTCCAGTTACTCCGGACCAATTCTTCAATTTTGCCTACACCAATAAAGCTTTTCGTGACGCTTTGAAGGTACACTTTTTTTCAATTTCTGTTTGACCATCTTATCATTAAATGAGCAACCTCGGCTCAATGGGGTCCGACGATAATTCACTATTACGGAGGGACCATAGAATGATACTAGTAGGGGGTGCTGATAACTCAGAAATGCGTCTTCTACAATAGCGTGCACACTCGAGAGAGTACAGACACTCAAGAGAGAGAGAGAGAGAGTGTGTGTGCGTTTGGAGGAGACGCAGACGTTGCGTCGAAAAATTAAGAATTGAGGGAATTCAATTTTTTTTCTCATCGCAGGTGAAAGTCGTGTCGGGACCCCGCAAAATCTCATCGCAACAAATGGAATTCGTTTACGAGACGACGTACTGCGACATTGGGCTCAAATCGTGCACGAAGAAGCGCTTCAAAAGAAAGGCGATCATCTCACCGGTTCGATTTTATTTTTTTCGTCCTTTCCATGTTTCACAAATTTTGCACGCGAAATTTATGAGAGGGACTAAATTTGATGGTCCGAAGTTTGCGTGGGTGGAAATTTTCCAAAGAATCTGTATAGTCAAAAATTGACAAACATTTTTTAAAGGGGACGGACAATTAAAAGACTTTCCTTCTCAGGCGAATCAAATAAAATTATTTGAGAATCAAATATTCAGAAACTCTAAAATATTTTGAGAAAATCTAACGTTTATTGGTACTTTCGAAAACTTATTGAGAATCGCAAAAAACTTGAAAATAGTTTTTTAATCTTATAAGATTTTCTAAAATTTATTAAGCAAATTCTAAATTATCTCAATAAATTCGAAAATCTTCTAATAATTTCTAGAATTGATTGAGGAAAACCTAAAATATTATAGAAACACATTAGTTTCTCAATGAATCTCAAAATATTTTATACCTTCGATTTACCTGAGTATTAATTTTTAAGAATAGCAAATCGAATAAATTGCAGAAAAGCGACAGCAAATCAGGATGGGGATTTGATTCTCTTCGGCCGGCATAAATTTCAAATAAATCATTGAAATTGAGAAATCGATAATAGGCGATTCAAATCACGGCTTTTGAAAGATTTTTTTAATGCAAATACCTTCAAATTTGTGTTAAACCAAGAGACTGTCGAGAGAGAGAGAGAGCGTTCAAAAATTTATAATTGACCAATTCTGTGGAAAAACTACCGTACTCTCTATTCGAGTAATTACCCTAATTAGTGTAAACCAAATATTATTTTGACACCCCCCCCCCATTGTTACGATTTCGGCGTGCGCCCCCGCCAGGTCCCCCCTCAATCTCGCTTGCCATTTTCAAACTTATGCTTCCCGCCCAACCAGCGCGCCACCGGCAGCGCTTGGCGGCAGAGGAGCGAGAGAGAGAGTGAGCAAGAGAGAGAAAGAGAGAGAGAGGGGCGAGTAGGCGGTCGCCGATTCGGTTTTTTACAGCCGCCATATGAAGGAGGAGGGCACACTTGGCACACTATGCATTGTTTTCCCCGATAAAACTTTTTTTCGTCTTGCTTTCCATTCGATATTGATTTGCCAACGAATTATGGGCGTCGCTAATTGTGAAAATTCGGTATTTATATTTCGAATTATCGTTGAACCCTGGACCGAACCCGCAATTTTTTTTTGCAAAGCTATGAGTCCCACTGCGCCATTACCCCCCGATATGCGAGCTTTACGAAACGGCTATAACTTGATCACGGATTTCCCCCACAAAGCTTCCATTATGGTTCCTTCGCGCTCAATCAGTGTACCAAATGCCAAACACGGAATCCGGCCCTTTTCAAATAATTCACCAACGCGGTTTCTGAAAATTTGCGTCACACGCCCTTCCTCTAAAATGGAATATTGTCAGTTAGTCGGTGTTATAGATTATTCAATGGACATTGATTTTTGTTTCGCCGATTTTTTGACACCAAATTGCCGAAAATATTAATTTCGGCAATCCGGCAATTTGAAAAATAGCAAAAGGCAATTCCCTGCCAATTCATTGCCGCACAGCCTGAACTATATCATAGAAAAAATGGCGTCATTATTTTAATTTTATAATTATGAATATTTGGGTTTGATGAAATGTTTTAAAATCTTTCTAAAAAAAGAATTTTGCCAAAATTATTGAGCCCCAATCGTTTAAAATTTGATAATAGACATGAGAATAGAAAATATATTATTTATTTCGTTGGTTTGAAAATGAACAAATTAAAAAATAAGAATGTGAAAAAAAAAGAAAGTCGAATTGTTGAAATACAATGAAATCGTGGAAAGTGAGTACTAGAAGAGAATCAACGAGATGTGAACACCTGTGGAAAGAGAATTTCAATCTCGGATTAGGAGTTGGGATCACATCAGTGGCGATCAGTGATCGATGGGCACGATTGGGTCGACTGGAATCGGCTGGGTTTCCTGTTGAACTTGCAGCTGCTGCATCTCGAGCAGAGCGTTTTCAGCAATGAACGCTTGCTGGATGAGCGAGGCCTGTTGTGTCAGCAAGTCGCGCTGGATTTGATGAGCGAGCTGGATTGACTGCGCCTGCTGGGCGAGCTGTGCCTGCTGGAACGCTTGGATTTGGTTGATGAAGTGCGCCTGCTGAGCCAGCTGCGATTGAAGCTGCAAGTGAGAGGAGGATTGCATTTGGAACACATCGAGAAATTTGACTAACCATTCGGTATTCATGCTGGACCAATTGGATCATCTCCGGAACCGCCTGAGCTACCTCTTCTACTGGCTGAATCGGATTCTGAACAGGCTGCATTCCCGGCTCATCGACGGTTGGTTCTTCCTCGGCAGCATTCGCGACTGGATCCGGCGGAACGTAGAAGCTGATTTCCCGATCAGGCTCGTCAATGTGGTCTAGTGGAAGACGTGCGACGAACTGAAAGTGTTTCGATTCGAAAATATGAATTTGATCAAAAACGAACTTGAAGAGGATTCCAGCGTTCAAGCACTTGACCCAATGTCAGCTGTTGAAGGACGCGGCCTTGAGCTGGAAAGTTTTGTTGGGCCATTTGTCTTGGAAATTGTTGAGGAATCTGGAAACACATTGGAGTTTTGCATGAAGAGATAAAAAAAGACAATCGGATGGTCGAAATTGGAATTAATACAGAGCTGAGACCGGCCGAGACGAGATGTGGATGAGAACACTGAAGTGGAACCTTGGCAATGGCTCGCCGACCACCTATGCCACGCCCCCTCACAGTAGCAACTCCTTTTCTTCGCACATCCCGAGGTGACGATTCCTTCCTTTTGTGGCTTGTGGCCAAGTTTGATTGACAATGTGATTTATGGGAACCTTCTACGTCTCATCACACTTTTTCAAATGTGCTATCAAATATCTAATACGGTAACATCATTTGGCCCATATAAATGTTGAACGGGAATGTAAATTCAAAATTCCAAGCTTCCACGATTGTCTTTTTGAGGAATACTGTATAATAGTGACGGGATCTTGGAACTTCGCTGAAAGCAAGAGTATTTTTTTATGACATGATCTTACTATGTTCGAAGTTACATCGCCTCAAACTAGCCCGGGCCATTTTGAATGATCGTCAAGCTCCGAAGTATCCAAATGTCCAAACTACTTTATTTGGTAAATCTCCAAAAAATTTACAGAAGTGAAGCCGTTTGGGCGAGTATCGTAATTTTTTTTCATACTTCCCCCCCCCCAGGTTGGTCCGAAGAATGGAGCCACTCCACCACGACTACACAGGTGAAGCACCAAAATTGACCCAAATTGGGCTCGCCGGTATCCCTTGAATAATCAGAATATGAATATTATAAGAGTTAGTACTTTCACGACTCTTTATTAACTATTAAGTTATTTTTAATGATCGGTCAAATAGTTGAAACCCTATTTTCTACTAGTTCTCTCTAATATTGTATTAATCTGTTGGAAATCAAATATATACATTTGAATTGAACAATAAATGAATAACGAAGCATACTAATCTTTGTAGTGAAGCACAGCTAATGCCATTAGTTAAATCCTATGATATGAATTGTTTTAGAGTCAGATTTGAGTGTGAGTTTTTACCGAAGTTTAAACACAGAGTATGATCATAAATGGGTCACATTTGGGTCACAGTTGGCACCACACTGACAGTACCAAATTAGTGCATAATTTAGTCAAATTTTAAACGAATTGTGTACCACGCTCAAATGGCACTTTGAGTCAAAATCGAATCAACTTTGGTATTTTTCCTGTGTACGACCGAACGGGGGCCAGAGAAATGCGAACCGCAAAATTTTGAGCAACCGTTTTGCCACGTGGCGCCCTTCAGTGACGGCTGAAAATTGTAGGATTCATTCTTCGGACCCATACCTACATGTGGGGAAAGTATGAAAAAAAATTTAAGTGCCCCAAAGGCTTCCTTTATCAGGACAAAAACTTTCTTGTTTTCACCATTTCATTTTCACTACCGTATTCCAAAAAAATATTTTCAAATATAGAAAACGCGTCAAACTCTCCTTTTAAACGCACTAATTTAGAATATTTGTGTTTAAATTTATTTTTGCTACTGGAATAGTTATAATAAATTACAGCAACTCTATCACATACTTAATACCGTATACTACAGTATACCGCGGAATATTCGTTTATCAATCATGCACATGTCATAAAACTAAAGATGTAGATCAGTCTTAGTCACGATTTTTGGAATTTTCAGCTCAATCAATTATTGCACTCGAAATACTAAAAAAATGCACACTTTTAAACGGTAGTGTTTGTGGCTAAGATCTACGAGATCTCGAAGCGAATTGGGACTGATTGGTATAGAATTCAGGCTTTTATTAACAAATTATTCATTTCTTGATGTTCAAGCAAAGGAAAAGCATAGTGAACACTTGTGAGCTTCTTTTAATTATGAAGAGCGCTATTTTGAGCAAGCGGCTCCGCGGATCTCGATTTAAGCATCTATTGTGAATTTTTCCGGAAAAAATTTGCTGAAATATTTCATTATTGCCGTAATTTATTTTCAAGTAATTCATATTCGAATTTCAAATTTTAAAAATTATTGGTTAAAGGCTCATTTCGTAAAACGTGAGGTGGGTCTTGTTCCGACCGATTCCAGCACCCACTTTTTTTCAGAAAAAAATGTAGACATAATTCAGTGCGTTTATAAAGCCACCAATGCTTTTGGGTGTAACTTTGTCAATTGTAATAATTTTCAAACCCTGATTTCAGAATTGAATTTAGGACTAAAAATTACATAAGTGTACCAATTTTCATAACTATATGTTTAAAAAATTTGCCAAATGACAGTACAGTACTCTATTTAAAGGTACACTGCTAATTCTCCTTCAGGTCTCCACAATTTCAGATTTTTCACGGCGGCGTCTTCAAAAATGTGAAACGCACTGTATACATAGTCTTATTTTTGATAGAATCCCATTTTAGGTCAACGTTGGACGAGATCGATCGTGTTCAAAATGCGACAATTTCGCACCTCTGGCAATTTCGCACATTTTATTCCTTTTTGGGGCCGTTCGTGATTGACAAGTGACGAATATTAGACGACTGGGATCACATTTTTAGACGGCGTCGTTTGTGATCTAATCGGATGATTAGAAATACATTGATGGTACAGTGACTAAATGGTCAACCCAATTTTTTGAAAAAATGCCCTAATAAAATATTATAGCTCAAACAAGCTTGAGTATAATACATACAGTACCGTGCAGTAAGATATACAATTTCCCTTTTTTTATCATAACTTTCTGAAAAGTTGACCAATTTGTGCTCGGTCATCCTTGATTGCTTTAAAACGTCTGATAGAATGTTTTTTTTCATCATTTTGATCGTCTCCTGCTAAAACAAATAAAAAAACTGATGTTAACATTGAAAATCCAAAAAAAAAATCGAAAAAACGTAAAAATTTAAAAAAATTTTGAAAATACGCAAAAAAAGGTCCAAAACACAAAAATTGCGTCTATAGTATCCCAAAATAAATAAATTATGTTTGGGAACACACTATCCGTTTTGCCCAAAAATTTCAGATCGATTGGTCAACTTTTTAGAAAGTTATGATAAAAAAAAGTTGTATATCTTACTGCACGGTACTGTATTTGTTTATCAACAAACTTCTGCAATGATACGTTTAAAGGCGCATGCCGAATTATGGATATGTCATACTTAAAGTGTGATCTCGTAGCTTCTCAGCTTAAAGGATTACTGTAGCAGCGTGTCTAGCTGTGCGCGATTTTAAGAAAGCAGAAGGAGCCTACAGAACTTATGACAAAGAAAAGATTACGGTAGCAGTATTGAGAGCTGTGTGTACTATTGAGAATAGCATATCTTACTGCACGGTACTGTATGTCTTATGAAAATTCTAGAGGAATACATATCAATGAAAAAAATCTTCATTTGTTTTTCTAAATTTTCGATTTTTTCTGCAGTAATTTAGCAACATTGACTGCAATCCACAGAATTTTTTTTGAATTAAAAAAAAACCATCAGAACGTGGAAGGCTATATTTTCGAATTCATCTTCAAGCCCGAGGTTCAATTTGAATTCCCAATTTTTTGTTGGGATGAAATTGCCGTTGATATCTATACTGGTGTAATCGCACAGAGAATTTCAACTTTTTTTGTGAATTCTTCCTCCCCCAAGTTCCCCTTCCCCCCAAGACCTTGTGAGTCTCGCAAATTTTTAAAAGTAATTTGGATACTTTCGGAGCCCTACCATCATTCAAAATGGCCCGGCCTAGTTTGAGGCGTTGTAACTTGGCCTTCTCTATGGAGAACATCGATTCTTGTTGAGTTTATATTCCTCTTCAACATACGTATATTCCAATATTTTCATTAAAAAACTACTCTTGCTTTCAGCGAAGTTCCAAGATCCCGTCACTATTATACAGTATTCCTCAAAAAGACAATCGTGGAAGCCTGGAATTTTGAATTTACATTCCACTTCAACATTTGTATATGAGCCATTGATGTTGCCGTATTAGATATTTGATAGCACATTTGAAAAAGTGTGATGAGACGTAGAAGGTTCCCATAAATCACATTGTCAATCAAACTTGGACACAAGCCACAAAAGGAAGAAATCGTCACCTCGGGATGTGCGAAGAAAAGGAGTTGCTACTGTGAGGGGGCGTGGCATAGGTGGTCGGCGAGCCATTGCCAAGGTTCCACTTCAGTGTTCTCATCCACATCTCGTCTCGGCCGGTCTCAGCTATTAATTCCAATTTCGACCATCCGATTGTCTTTTTTTTATCTCTTCATGCAAAACTCCAATGTGTTTCCAGATTCCTCAACAATTTCCAAGACAAATGGCCCAACAAAACTTTCCAGCTCAAGGCCGCGTCCTTCAACAGCTGACATTGGGTCAAGTGCTTGAACGCTGGAATCCTCTTCAAGTTCGTTTTTGATCAAATTCATATTTTCGAATCGAAACACTTTCAGTTCGTCGCACGTCTTCCACTAGACCACATTGACGAGCCTGATCGGGAAATCAGCTTCTACGTTCCGCCGGATCCAGTCGCGAATGCTGCCGAAGAAGAACCAACCGTCGATGAGCCTGGAATGCAGCCTGTTCAGAATCCGATTCAGCCAGTAGAAGAGGTAGCTCAGGCGGTTCCGGAGATGATCCAATTGGTCCAGCATGAATACCGAATGGTTAGTCAAATTTCTCGATGTGTTCCAAATGCAATCCTCCTCTCACTTGCAGCTTCAATCGCAGCTGGCTCAGCAGGCGCACTTCATCAACCAAATCCAAGCGTTCCAGCAGGCACAGCTCGCCCAGCAGGCGCAGTCAATCCAGCTCGCTCATCAAATCCAGCGCGACTTGCTGACACAACAGGCCTCGCTCATCCAGCAAGCGTTCATTGCTGAAAACGCTCTGCTCGAGATGCAGCAGCTGCAAGTTCAACAGGAAGCCCAGCCGATTCCAGTCGACCCAATCGTGCCCATCGATCACTGATCGCCACTGATGTGATCCCAACTCCTAATCCGAGATTGAAATTCTCTTTCCACAGGTGTTCACATCTCGTTGATTCTCTTCTAGTACTCACTTTCCACGATTTCATTGTATTTCAACAATTCGACTTTCTTTTTTTTTCACATTCTTATTTTTTAATTTGTTCATTTTCAAACCAACGAAATAAATAATATATTTTCTATTCTCATGTCTATTATCAAATTTTAAACGATTGGGGCTCAATAATTTTGGCAAGATTATTTTTTTTAGAAAGATTTTAAAACATTTTATCAAACGGAATCATTCAAAGTTATAAATAATATGTGTTTTGCCATTCTGGCGCACCTTTTCAACAATTTTCAAAAATGGGGAAATGGTCGAAATGGGCTTCATTGAAAATGTGGTCGAAATCCAATGGTCGAAATGGTCGAAATATTGCGCTAACAATTTTGAATAAAAATAATGTTCAATGAATGGTGAAAAGGAGAATCTAAATTTTGATAAACATCTGAAGCCATGGCATTCACGAACATTGATAATATTGGATTATTGGAGTCAACAACTAAATAATTGTGACGTCTCTCATAGTGTAGGAAGTTTCCAAAGTGTTAAAAATAGATTATATCCTTTATTTTTAAGAAATAGAAGCTAACAGAAAAAGATGGACACAACTATATATGATAATACAAATTCTAATAAACTGATTGACCCGAAACAAGTGAAGAACTTCTTAATAATAATAGTAATAATTCATTACGTAATGTAGAGATAATGTGGAATTGGGAGAGTGGGCGAGAAGATGAGGCGATGGGCGAGAGAGAGAGAGAGAGTGCAAAACGAAGAGACGCACGCCATCATGCCATCGGGCACACGGCGTTCACACTAGTGGGATTTACCTGAAATGAAAACTCAAACTGTGTCAGTGATCGATTGTTGGCGTCTTTGTCGCGCAGACGAATTTTTTTAAAATCGCCAGGTTTTGACTCTTTTTTCAAGTTTTTTGAATTTTTCTCAAATTTTAACAAAAAAGTGCACCGACCACGTTTTTCGCAAGGCTTTTTTCTATCGAAAAAGCTTTACTATAATTCAATCGGATAATTATTCAGAGGTCCGTAGTTTTTTAAAGATTGAACTGTAAAAATATTCACATTTCTTTTCTCTGTTTTTTCACTCTCTCTTTTGTTAATATCATTTATTGTTATATTACATGGTTTGATTTATACGATTATGTTTGTTAATACTTGGAAAAACATTTCATAGTTGTTTATTTTTTAATTTTTTTTTGCTAATTTTAAATGTAAATAGTGTGTCATTTCGGCGGAGAAGTTGCAAGAGATTCTCTATAATTTTTTGTTGTTTTTTTTTTTAATTTCGTTAGTTCTTACGTTAATTTACCGTTTTCAGCTTCTTTTTTCGTTATTTATCTCTCTCGCGTCATTATCTACTCGCATTGAATTCAGATAAGCACTCCATCTCGAAAATCAAAAGCTGGCGGAATGATGAAACGATATCACGGACAATTCGCTTTTCGAGATTTTTTTTTAACTTCCGAGCTACTCCAAAAGACCAATGGAAAGACGTCCTCAACTCAAAAATGTATTTTTTTTAGTCATTTGTGTTGTATAACATCAAATTGTTCTTTTCAAGCTGCCTAATGAAATCGGTAAAGAGAATCTTGTTAAATGTTTTTGTTGATTATCCATTTGTTTCCAAATTGATAAGTGTATTTTTTCCCTATTAGTTTTGCAATTTTCCAAATGTCCTTATATCCTCTTTTTCCGAATTCAATCTCTCTCGCGTCTTTATCTACTCGCATTGAATTCATCTGCTACACATCATCAATTTTTATATCATAATTCAATTGTGTAGTATTTCTTTCGCTTAATTGATGGTTTTATCTTTTAAAAATGTTATGTATATGTTCAAAAAAAAAAGATCCGATATAAATTTAAATAACTTATTTAATTTATAACTAAATAGACCAAAAATTGCGGTGAATCTGATCCACCGGAAGAAATATAAAAACTAATCGTTCTTATTGAAAAAACGCTCCATTTTGAGAATGTTTCTAATTTATTTCACAAATTTAATTTGTTGAATTTATGCACCGGAATAGCGCTAAGCTGCAAGTGCGCTCTATTGAGAAAAATCTTTTTTTCATGTAAATCCCACTAGTGTGAACGCCGTGGGCAATATCCAGCAAAAAGGGGGCCGCGGCCGAAGTCAACCTTTATTTAAATGCAAGTCCCCGTTAGTGAACACCGTTTTTGTGAATTCCTGATTCTTGTAGTGCTATTGTTTCAGTTTATTAAGTTGTTTTCCCCAGGCTCACCATCCACCATATTTAGTATCATCAAGTTTCTTATTAGTTTGTATCGCTTTGTTAACATTTTGTTCGTTTTCGTTCAATAATGAAGGTTTAATTACCCAAGTTTTGTTTGACGGTTCCAATACCGTATCAGTATTTGGAAAAGTTACTATTAGCACTTGTCACACGTGATGCTCCAATAATGATAATCTAATCCAAGCTGTCCTCTGAGTCTCTCTGGCAATTCTCAGGAACGGAGCTCCAATCTTCTTGAATTCATCTCTCCACCGTATCCGAGGACGTCCCCTTCAGGTCTCGTGGTATCCATTCAGTCATCAGTTTCGCCCATCGAGAGTCGGTCAAGTTTGAAATCCGTCTACACCACAACCACTTTCGCTTAGAGCGTTGTTTGAGAATGTCCACTAACCGAGTCATCGAACGCAGCCATTGATTCTCGCGACGGTCCAGCAGAGTGATCCCGAGCATGGCCCGTTCTAAGCGACGTTGAGCCACGGCTAAGCTATGCAACTGGCGTTTGGTCAAAGACCACGTCTCTGAAGCATAGAGAAACGCAGGTGCTACAGAGCTTTGGAAGTTTTCGTTTGAGTGTCATCGGAACTGTTCGGTTGATGAAAAGTGACCTAAAGTTGTCGAAAGCGAACATGCCGGCTCTGATGCGACGTTGTAGCTCTCCAGATTGGCTTCCGTCCAAGGAGAGTTGTGAGCCGAGATAAACAAGACTTGCAACTTCTTTGACGACTTCGCCTCCGACAGTGACTTCACGATGACCATCGATATTAGTCATTGAAACTGTCTACGAGCCATTGACTTTGAGACCGACTGCGGCAAGGGCTGGTTCTCGTTCATCTCTCAGAACTTATTATGTTTATGAATAAGGCGATAAAACGAATAAAATAGGAAAGACTATATATTTTCTTAATTTAAAGTACGGATACGTAACATAATCAGGAGTTTTGTACTTGAACAATCTTGTCGCGAACGAGGGTAATATAATCTTTCAATTCTTCTGTCCCTGTCAAATCTGATCGGCAGAATGCTTCCTTATATTCATCCAGTTTTGCCATGGCTACGTCTAATTGTGAAGTTATTCTGCTTTCAAAAATGAACTTCTTTGCAATATCTAGCTGCTTCTTGTACGTCATTCCCTTAAGACAAAGATTTATGGTTTTCATCAATGGAATGCAAAATACAAACCTTAACCAGTTCCACAAATCTACCTAAATTTGTGCGCAATTCGGCCACTAGACTCAATTTTTGGACGCTCAATTCCTTCCAATTTTTGGACGCTCAATTCCTTCAAATCCACAAGAGCAATCGATGAATTCAGTCCGGAAATCGACAACAAATAAGGCAGTGGAATTGTCGACGAATCCGATATTTTCTAAGTTCAAATCTCCAATGCCCAAAATTTGCACTAGCAAAGATGTCTGGATAATAGATTCCGCATATTGATCTCTGTTCTTCACGATTTTACGTTCAAACGTCTCCCTAAACACACACCAGTAGACGAAATTGAAAATCAAATGAATCATAATATTCTAAAAGCACTTACTATTCTTTCTCTAGCTCTGCCATCGTTGTAAAGCCAGGAATCTCTTCTGAGAAAATGTATACAACTTTGTTTGACGCAACCACATTGAGGATAAACTGAACAGCAGCTCCAAATAACAAGAAAGAATTTAAATGAATAAGATATATTTCAGCAGGAAATGTTAAATGATCAATCGAAATTCTGAGAAACAGTCAATGTAACGACTTGAAGAATCTATTTCGGACTTACTTACTTTGTCACTTAGTCGGTCCTTCGCCTGTTGAGGCGCGAACCACAGCTTTCCAAGCTTTTCGGTCCTTGGCTTGGGTGGACCAGGGGGTGATAACGGCTCCTTCAGCTGTTCTTGTAGTGATCTCCTTCCGAAGCGAGTCCGACCATCTCATGGGAGGCCTTCCTCTTGGCCGGGTCCAATTCCACGGCCGCCACTCCGTGGGGGAGAAAATGAATAATCATTTGATTGTTGCTAAATGACAAAAAACGCGATTGAAAAACTAAAGAGCGTCTCCAAACGTGTCGTTTGAATTTTATCAATTCTTTCAGAAAGTCTTGAACTTCTATGCATCACATAATTTAGAATCCCTTGGGGTATATTTTATCTGATTATTAGATTTATACAACCCAAATATCATAACACTTTGCATTATTTTTTTACTCAGATTTAAATATTTTCTATTAGTTTTCATCGGTTTGAATTTCACCAAAATATGATTTTTTAAATTTTTTTGCGTTTCAAAAACGATTTGTTACATCCATATGCATGTCTGAAAAGTATTAGCAAGCTCATTGGCAAAGTGCCAAAAAATTAAGGGAAGGTCTTGGTGTGCGCCTTTAATAAACCGTAATATATCAATTTAATCTTGAAACAAGACAACTGCCATTATTTCTTTTATTTCTTTTCGCATTTAACCGACATTTGAAAACAGTTTCCTCATCCACAAGGTTGACTTATTTCGAACAAATTAATTTTGCTATTATTCATTTATTAAATAGAAAAACAAAAAATAGAAAAAAGAAAAGGACACACAACAAATAATCAATTGGGCCATTTGGAATTTGTAAAAATAATTAGAAATCAATTCTTGCAAACCGTCGTCGAAATCGAGCTCGTCATCAGAGGAGTCGAATTCGAATTCTGAGTCATCCGACTCGGAACGACTTGGCGAAATTTAAAAAATTATTGGCTATGTGCAAGATTGCGTACATTGCATTATAGCACATATTCAGTCAACGATAAATTTAAATCTACACTGATTTCGCGAATTTGAAGGTCCCGCCTCTCGTCATTCGTTTGACGCCGACAATATCCAAATAAAGAAAATAGATAAATACTGCCGAATTTGGAGTATTTATACCAATTTTTTCCTCTTTTTTCAATCCGTTACTCATTTTCCCTTTTCATATTTTCACATTTGCCGTAATAATGCCATTTTGGCAGCGTGCTGTCAGGAACAATGGCGGATTATCCGTTCGCGCGTTTTCGTCTTGGGTGGCCATTGTTCCGCAAGGTTGAGCTGACTAATTGGCTAATTGTTTGATAGTTTCGGAGTATTTCTTTTCTGTTTCTTGTTTCCACCAAATCAATACTACTATCACTATTTATTACAATTAAATAATATTTAAAAAACAGTTGAAATTAGAAAACGAAAAAATAAAACAAAAAAAAAAAACACACATAGGTAAAATAATTAAAAATCAATTTCGAAATCTTCCAAGTCGTCGTCGAAATCGAATTCATCATCAGAAGAGTCGTATTCGAATTCTGATTCATCCGACTCATAGTCGGCCTGAAAAATTTTTTTCTTTTCGAAATATTCAATTTGAATTTGGCACGAGAAATATCATCCCGGGGTACGGTAGGCGGTCGGTGTATGCACACATTCCAGTATTGACGCGCATTTACAGAGCGGATTAAATTTTGCTGATTTTTATTTTTATTATAGACGGTCAATTTTGAGGGATATGTGCATCGAATTAATTGCGATTAATTTTATCATTCACATAAATGCATTATTATAAGTTTTCTCCAAACTTATAACAAAAATCAACTAACCTCGTAACCATTGATATTTTCGAAACGATTTTGCTGAAATCGTCTTAAAAGAATTCGCTGAAAATCGAGAAATTAAGTCAAAATCGAACAAAAATTTGAAACCTCGATGATTTCGTCCTCATCTTCTTCGTCTTCATCCGAATCGAAACTCGATTCTTCCTCATCCGTTTCCAAATTTTCATCGAGATCGACTGGCTCATTCATAATGAGATAAAAAGTGTCATCACCGAATTGAAAGGCCATCTTATCTGAAAATAAAAGAAGAGAAAGGTATAATTGGAGTCGAGACTGATCTAATGTGGTCCAGCTCGTTCCTTATAAGGGCAATCCGTCTCGGACCCTCCCAAATTTGGTACATTTTCTCCCCGATGCTTCACACATTTGCTGCTCATCTCATAAGTGCAAACTATCAAAGCTCTCTCGATTTCTTCAAATCCATCCGTTTCTCACCTTCCTTATTTGGCACCCGATAGGCAAACAGGTGATGATGAAGATGGTGATGGTCCCAATACGGGAAAATAACTCGTGATTTCCCAAATATGTCATTCTAGCTTTAAAATGCTCAAATTGAATTTCCCCCAAACTAATTGCTTTATTATTCTTGGAAAATAGAATAGACGAATTCTCATATAAAGTGAAGAAAAGAAAAAAAGAAGGAATAATTAGGAAGTGTGAAAATCAAGAAGATTATTTGAAAAAAAAAAAAGAACGAAAATCAGGGAATAAATAACCGGAAAATGAAAAACAAAAAATCAACATTTTAACATTGCACTTAATTCGAATTGAATTATTTCGGAATGAGTGGACGGTACTTCTTTATAAGATTTTGGACCTCTGTGGGAAGCGCGAAATTTTTCAAATTTAATGCTGCGAAGCTGAAAAAAAATAATTAATGAGAAGCAAAAAAGAAGAATATAAATTGTCATTTTTACTTCTGAACCAATGCGGTGAGGGTCCGATTTGTATATTTTTTGGCAACGTATTTCTCAAAGAATTTCTGCGATTTCAGATTGACCCATTCATTTTTCTCCTCCAACTCCTGAATCTCTCTGCAATCATTTCGATTTCGATTTCGTTTTCTTCTACTCATCGCCCTACCTATACACATATCGAATGAGTCTCATGTTCTCCTCGTGGCTGTATCTAGTCTTGGTATTCTGAATTTTTCATAATTTTTTTTAATTGGTGTCGATTTTGGACAAACCTTTTTCTGGACGACATCATCGACAATCTCGTCGGGAAGGTCCCAGAATGACGGGATCAGCTGAAAATTTGTGGCTTAGAGTGATCGGTCAAAATTCAAGGATTGCCTCTGGAGTTGTTTGACTCGAAGCGTCGCGCGCAACTTTCACGATGGGCCCATCATCCAATTGCTCCTCCATCGGAATTTTGCGTTTTTTCATCTGGTCCGACTCAGCGACCTCTTGCGAGCTCGACGACAATTCACCGCAATCCTTCGACGCTTCAATCGGCGTCGCCTCCTCCTGCTCAGATGGAATGCTCTCAGCATTGGTCGGATTCGCTCGATCACCCGGACTCGGTTTGATTTGCGCCAGCCGATTCGCATCCTCACAATGCATATGAATCTGGACATTCAATGGACTGAAATCAATCATTGGTCATTAAGAAGAGGAGAGAGACGAAAGGTGACCACCTCGTCGTCGGACTTCCAAGTTTCTCGACATTCTTGACGCAATCCAAATGCATCAAATACTTCAACAATTTACAAGCCTCCGCGCTCTTCTTCATATTCTTGTCGTACTCAAGAGTTTGTCGCAACGAGCTCAAATGCTTGCTGAAACGATTCGGATTTCTTCAGCAACAAAAAAATGTGCATTACAAGTAGAACATGATTCGCTCGATTCTCTCAATCGTTTCATTTTCCGGCACACAACAATGGCATTCGCGAAACAATTTTCGGCAAATTATCAGAAAGACGGACTCGCAGTGTTGCGCGGTTTCTTTGACGGTGATTCGAAGGCAGAGGAGTTTCGAGAGGGCATCGGAATAATTCTCGACGAGCTCCTCATCCTCTTTCGTCGTCGGATTCGCAATCTCAACAGTTGAATTCGCTTAATCGATATTGAGCCATTCGATTACCTCAATTACATGGGAGTGCCTTTCAACGAATTTTCTCAATAGTTCAATGGATAGTGTCGTTATCATCGATGCCTTCAGACTCGTTCGGATGCGATTCCCAAGTGTAATGAACGATTCCTCCCATTTTGTGAACATTTTTTGAAAGACCAATCGCAGAAATTTTCCATCGTCGTCATCATAGGTTCGATCGACGATCTTGTCGGCACAAGAAAATGCCAAGTTCAGCATCGGCGTCTCGGTGTAACACTGAATCATTTTCTTTCTCAATTTTGAATGTTGGACCCCAATGAGCACTTTTAAAGAAAAAATAACTATAAGATTTTTTGAGCTATTTTTATTTACATATAATTGATCTTAAACTTTTATCGATATCGCGATTATTCAAGACTATTTTGATTTTCTCTTTTTTTTTGGAAAAAAAATTTTAAAACCCAAAACGCATCACTTGTCGGCGATTGCGGAACATCGGGCAATGATAGTGGTCTTAAACTAAAAGTGTAGATTTACGAGCTTTGGTACAAGAAGGGGTTTAAAGGCGCATCGAGACCTCTCACTTAATTTTTCTGGCACTTTTTTCGCAATCGCGCTAGAATTTGATTTTTTCAAGCAATAAATTCGCTATTTCAATAAATTGGCATTATTAAATCTCAAGATAACCTTAATAATTTTAATTATTTAAAAAGTTTATTTCAAACCCAATATTCATCTCATTCAACTTCTTCTTACGAAAATAACCTCGTGACACTTAGTAGCCAGTAAAATTATTTTCGGAGACGACAAAAAATGTCGATGCGAGACCCAAAAGCGCGAGGGGGGGGGGACAATTAGAACATTGAATCACTTCACCAAATTTTGTTTTGTGGTCCCATTTGAACAAAAAAATTCTAAAATGTCGAGTAACCCCCCCCTCCCAATTGTGTCAAATTTTTTCTCGAATTTCAGAAGGCCCAAAAATATGTACTCACGTAGACCGCCATTAATGCGAGAAATCCCTCATCGGCAATCACTTTTGTGGGCGTGTCCTCGATGATATCATGGATTATATGGAGGCTATCATTCATCGATGGAAGCGTTTTTTCGTCACCCGCCGTCTTCAAACTCTCTTTGAATTTCTCAATGACATCCTGCATCTTTTTTTGTCGCCTAAAACGGAACGTTGCGATTGAGCGGAATGAACGAAATCAATTAAAAATGAAAAAAATGGGAAGAGGAAAAAAAAGAATCGAAAAATTCGGTGGGTGCTCTACACTACCATCATCAGAAGCGGCGAGTGGGCGGGGCCGACGAGAGAGTCGGCGGCGAGCGGAGGGCGCAGACGGCGAGCGTGGCACAATCAACAAGCGATCGGAAGAAAACTTTTTGGGAATGACGAGAAACGCGTTTACGGTGTTCAATAATTCGAAATCTCCGGAATTGGTCTTGTCGCGAAAAATAAAATGTTTCAAATTTATTCAAAATGGCGGGATATTGGAGATGTTCGACCAAAAAAAATAATTGCAAATTTTCATGAAATATGAATATTGTTTTTTTTGGCGGGAAATTAAAATGGTCTTGTCGCGATTTGAATATTCCACACGAGACGCGAATAACGAGAAATCTTTAAATTGAATTAGGAATCTCCAAAAAAAAAATGCTGAATCCTCAAAATCGATAATTAAATTCTACAATGAGTTTGATTTGATAGCGTGATTTTTTTTTGCGTCGCATCGCAATGATTTATGAGCGAGCTTAATTATCAGAATACGCCAAAAGGGTGTGCGACACGACACCCATTTGGCGGCGAGTGCCGACGAACGATGAAATTCGAGAAATCAACGCATATGTGTGGGTGATTAATATAAACAATTGGCGTTTTTGTGCGATAGCTACAAATTTTTGATGGAATGAGCACAAACTCATCCAATTTGCTTTTTTTTATACGTATAAGGAAATTGATAAAATTTAAAATTTTGAAAATATTGGCCAAATTGATGGGCTCGCGGAGCCGTCACAATAGCGATCAAAAAGGTGTGAAAACAAAAATGGCAGGTGCCCTCAAAAATCATTCAAACTTTTTTAATAGTATAATAAAAACGCGCCGCGCGTTTTTCTTCGATTTCAAAATAATAATAAAAAAATTGGCGCTGACGATCGAAAAGTATAAAAGAAAACAAAACGAAATGATGAAATAGAGGGCATCAAAAAAAAATTGTGGCTTATTATATTTTAGTTTGCAAAAAACTATGGTGTCGAGATATTCGACACAAATTAGTCACTAGGTCAACAAATGTCCAACATTTTCGCGGGTTTGATCAAAGTGGTCCAAAATTTCAACATTTTCAAGACGACAACGGCGGGGATTCGAATTATATTTGAAAGTGTCCTAGTCTTGCAGCGAAAATTGATTAGACAATTAGAAACATTTAATTACGCGCCTTTTTTTTTAATTTTCACAAATTATTGAAAAAAAAATTTCTTTTTGATCTAGAAATTTCGCAAATTTCGAAATTTGCTTTTCTTTTGTTGAAATAAATTTGAAAAAATTTTTTGACCTACAAAATGTTGCAAATTTGCTTTTCTTTTTTTAATACATTTTAAGAAAATTTTTTTCAAAAAGGAATTTTCGCTTTTTTTCTCTCCTTTAAAAACAATTGATTACAAATAATCAAATGTGTGCAATATTGCGTGCGTGTGTATGAATCTTAACGAGAAATTCAGAAAACGGAAAAAATTAATTTTTCCGTTTTCATAATAAAACTCTACGTCCGGTTGCATTATAACTAATCATGCGGTGAGAGATATTGGCTAATTTATATGATATAGTTAACCATGCTGAAATAAAGGGACCTATTCAGCGATATGTATTTGAACTAGTCGAAATTGTGATTTTCAGCCTCAAATTTGACAAATTCTAAAAATACCTTAAAATGTTATTATAGGAGATTTGATGTCGAAAAAATACCATCAAAATCTTATCTCGAAGGCAAACTTGATCAAATGTGCGGTGGAGCACACTTGCCTCCCTGTTTTTAACCAATTTCCAACCGCCCACCATTTTTCACATAAAAAATGTGCCACAATCGCCTACTATTTCGGCAAGTTTGCAAGCCTTCCCGTGACCAGCGACAACCGCGCTCCACCGCACTCCCATTGAAGATTGTAAGATTTTTACAATTTTTAAGAACTATAAAGAGGGGGAGGTGCGAAATTGATGATTTGTTGAGAATCTGACAAGTTTAAGACCTCCTGAATGGATTTATAGACTTTTCTCACAATTATTCATGCATTTGCCCAAAAAGTGCGGTGGAGCGCACTTGCCTCCGTTATTCTTTCAAGAAATTTCCCGCAATTTTTACAGTTTGTGACAAAATCGCCTACTATTTCGCCACGCTAGAAAGCTTAAATGAAGATTGAATATCAATTTCGACGGAATAAAAATGTGAATGCAAAAAAAAATGTTGTCTTCAAACTTTCTGGATTAAAATGACGGTTTTATCCGATATGTAATCACTTGAAATCGGATTCGCAAAAAATTTCGAAACGACTATGATTTCTTATAAATTATATAGTTTGTTTCTCAAAAAAAGGCATATGTCGTCAGACGCGTTGCGGTTTGCGTGCGGTCGCAAAAAGCTCCAGATTCCGAAGTTCAGCGTGTGGTCAGCTGACTTAAGTGCGCTCTATGGTGAAAATTAGAAAAATATTTGAAAAATCATAATTGCCGTCTGCACCAGAGATGCACGGGACTTGAATTTTTTGAAAACTGAAATTGTACTAGAAGATTTTAGCGTTTTTATTTTTTTCACGAAAAAAATTTTTTTGACGGAACGCGTAACAAAAAAGGGACGGAAAACGGAGTTCAGTTCGAGCCTACTTGAGAATTTCTTCCACATTTTGTCAGTTATCAAGAAGTAGTCTCCACATAATCTTCTCTTCACCATTAAATAAAATTTAAATTCAAAAACGTAAATAAGAAGCGAATTTAAAAAATAAAAGAATGATTTCATTTGTGTTTCGTAATATCGACAATCTTAACACACAAAATAAATTAAAAATAAAACAAACACAATTAGAAATGATTTTTGGTGGGCCACAGAATAAGAACAGAAGAAACTTTTTTGACGGAAGAGGGTATACGGTAGTCGCAATAAAAACTGTGTTTGACGGAAAACATAACAGTAAAAAATGCCGGAAGACGGAATTCCGTGCAGGACAATAACGATGGCATTGGGATTCATTTCGAGTAATTGCAATTCTGAAGCACACACTGAAAGTAACATTCGGCAAAAGAAATTCTCGAAGCACGTACCGCGAATTCAACGAATTTCGAATTTCTCGTTCAAAATCTGATTTCTGATAACGATTTCCATAAATTGAATTTCTAGATTTATTTATTATTATTCGCGTTGAGATTGCTACATTGTAGCCGCGAATTCGCAATCTAAACTCCGCCTCCAGCGTTTGTTTCATGAGGCAAATGCGCTCTAGTGCAATACAGCGTCGATCGGGAAAGCGCGTCGGGGAGCAGAGAGTGTGCTAACATGAGAGAATAAGAATAACACTTGGCGTCAATTGGGAATTCTTCTCGACAAACGCGCTCTATTGCAAATCTCGCACCGACGCCCAGCAGCACTATAAAAGACCGGCTGAATGAAGAATTTGGTCATTCTCGCAGCTCTCCGAGTTGCGAGCAACCCGCCAGCGGGCTCCTCGTGTCCCGCATAACCTGCGGGCTCCACGTGCCCCCGCGCAACCTGCGGGCAGCCCGCATCTCCTGCGGGCTCGCTGTGGCCAAGGATCCACTAGGTAAGTCGCATTCATCGCCGTCGCTTTTCCTGATTTCCTCTTTTTGCAGATCCGATATGAGCCACAGTCGATTCTCCATCGACACCTTCGGATCGGAAGTGTTCAAGGTGTGAGGGATTCTCGCCTCGACCGGCTCCGTTAGTCAGGGCTCACCCTTCAATGGGCGTACTGCAGTGTTGGTTCGAGGTGACGTTAAACCTACACTGAGGCATCGAGGTGATGAAGGAAGAGATGGAGAGGCGACGAAAGGTCGATGCTGCCCGGGGCGTCGAGCAGAGTGAGGAAGCGGATTCAAATGGTAACGAAGAAGCAACAATCGATCGGAATAATTCGATTCATTGCAGGGTTTTCGATGAACGGATCGAGAGAAGACGACTGGAGAAAGCGACGAGGAATGACACCAGTGAGAAGTAATTGATCCGCGGATCATGGTAGTTTTAGGCCCGGGCCTTATTTTTATTTTTATTATTTATTAATTTTTTAATTTTTATTATCACTCACTTGCACCAGCCGTACCACTTACGGCTTCCCACTCTTTATCCCACCACTTGGGATTCCCCCTTCTCTCCGTACATTCGTACCACTTACGTCTGTACTTCCTCCTGGTCCTACCCTTTTGGACCATCCCTTCTTTTCTGGGGAAAGCCGGCTTCCCCATCCTCTTCCTGCCGTACCACTTGCGGCTTCTCACTTCCACCAGTCGTACCACTTACGACTGTCCTCTCTCTCTCTATCAGTCGACTGATTCCCCTCTGCCGTACCACTTGCGGCTTCTCACTCACTCTCTCTCTCTTCCGTACATTCGTACCACTTACGTCTGTACTTCCTTCCATTATTTTCACTTATTATTATTTTTGTTTTTAGACCCTTCGGGGTCGGGCAATGATCCATATCAGGCCTCTTCCTGATGTTGTGTGAGCCTCTCCTTCAAGTGTCGAGCCTCTACGTGGCGAAGGAGATCAACTGACTCGACACTCCTTCAGGGGTTGTCGAGTCAGGCTAATCGGCACACCGTCTCAAGCAAGTCGAGGATATTCATCCTCAACTGGGCGGCTTCTCCAACGACCTAGCAAGTCGCGAGAAGTATTTCGAGACACCTCAAAATACTGCGAATCCCAACGGCCCTCTTTAGGGCTATCAGACATTTTTATTGTTCGTTTAATAAAGAGTATTGCTTTTTTCTTCACTTGCCTTTTAAATTAAATAGTAAAATATTGATCGTCTGATATTTCAAAATATCGTTATTGGATTTATTCATGAGATGGATTTTTCTTTACAATGAATGTCAAACAGTGTTTTGTTTTTGGTTTGTTCTGAATAGGTTCACAAGTAATTATAACTAGCATAATTTACATAACATTTACAACCTATTGAACAACATGTATGTACATATAATCGGGTAAAAATTGGAGAAAAAATTTTGGAATTAACAAACCCTTCCTTTGAAGCCGCCTGATGATTCAAAATTGAGAACACTCTTTTGATACTGATGTCATTGGTCTCTTCTGATTTTGTGATCTGGCGGGGAGCTTGAAAGAGGACTACGGTAGGCATAAAAGTGCGTACGGATTATCCCCCCCCCAAAGGTCTGAGTTGCCCGAATTAGGAAACGGCGGTTTTTGCCGAAATGAATATGCCGACAATTATAATTATTATTACGGTAGACGGCGAAATTCGAAAATATTTTCGATGGAAACAATGCGAAACGAATGGGAAAAACAAACAAACGAGGCGAATCAGAAATATTTTCTTTTTTGGGGGAAAATTAGTATGATAGTTTACTGACGCAACGTTGTTTGAGAAAAATCCAAAACATTTTGACATTTTATTATTCAAGTCAAATCCAATTTTAATTATATGTTGCAATTAGTAACAATGCCAATTAGGCGTTTATTCATCGCAACACTAATTAGGATTCGTTGACCATTTCGTAGGTGATTAGTGCAACCTGTCGCCATGGCTTCTAATCTTTGCGTTTGTCGGCTCACACCGAGCACACTGCCAAGCTCATTCGGCCTTGTATTCGCCGTGTCGGATGGTCGGTCGGATCAGAGTCACCCAGTCAATTCAAATGGCACACGAGAGATTCATTTTAATTGTCGCCGGGTGATTCAGATCCATTCCATCCTTATTCTCGAATATTCTTTCTACCAACTTGGGGGTTGGGATCTGAGAAAACTAAAAACCGAATTGAGATACACTTGATATTAATTCGGGTTTTAGTTTTTTCGAATCCCGATTACCTTCGTTTCAACTGTCAAAATTCGATGATTCCATTAAAATTCGAAAGTTCGAATCCATATCGAGTGTTGCCTTCTGGGGACTTTCAACACGGAACGGATTCACATAATAAAGTGTTTTCTTAGACTCCAAATATATTTTTAAAAAGACTTCTTGATATGTAAAAATTATAGTCGCAGTGATCACATTGAACCCCATATTATCGAAAAATTATTTTTCGAAGTTTCCCATTATTTGAAACAAACAGAATTTGAATTTTCAAAAGAGCAGGTGTCGAACAGCTTTCGCCAACCTGTTTCTTTTATGATTTCCATATGCTTTTTTAAAGCCGTTTTGTTGCGCATTGTCCTCCCAGACTGGACTTTGCCCTATTATGTGAAACGACCATCAAAATCCGAAATTTGAATTTAAAGGCGCATTGAAGGCTATTTATTATTTTTATAAGCGGATCCCTAAAACTTACAAATTTATTATTTTCCCAGTTTGAATAAAAAAATTTTTCAAAAATTCAATAATAAAAGATTACGACTGCGAGATTCTTTTGTCCGCCACTTGCGCAATTGTTTTCAATTTTCTTTTCAATTTCAATCCTTTTCAAATTTTTCTTCTTTCCTGGGAAACTCCGCCTACCACCGTAATCCATTTCAAATTCAAAGACACTATTCTCCAATGGATTATTTTATTCTGATACAACCTGATAATTACTCTCTTCCGGAAGAATCGATCAGATTGAATTGCCATGTCAATACATAGCACACGACTATTGTATGCCGAGCCATTCAATCCAATTGATGTCTTCTGGATCATTTCGAAATTTACAAATTAATAAAAGTAAAGTTACAGTAATCTGTCACCTATCTCTTGCAGAACACGGCCTACCACAATATTGCTAAATCTGATTTACAGAGAACCAGAAATAACTGCGAATCATATTTCCAGTATAAATAAAGTCCGTTTCGATCTTCACCACTTTTTCATAATTTTGTTTTATAGTTTGGTAACATTTTTCGCGTTATCTCCAAGCTTTTCCATTATTCCCTTTTTAGAATAAATATTATGAAATTTCGCAACTGAGTAGGTGCTTTTTCAGTTCGACACATGTTGAACAGCTTTCGGCATTCATGATTTACAATTCGCAGATGTTTGCTTGTTACGTAGGTTGGCATTGGCTTTTGGTGCAGTCTCCACCTACTTTTGGTGCAGTCTCCACCCACTTGGTGCCACCCCCACGCTCACACCGACCATATTCCCTTTAATATCAGACAAACCACATTCCCTTTAATATTCCGTAATCATTCAAATGATCCAAATATTAATTCCCGGAATTCCGGATCAGGTTGTCACATTTGTTGTCAACGAGTCCAAATAAGCAAGAGTTGACAAAATTGTGAGAATCAGATCTCGAATTCTATTTTGTGACGAAAGGAGCCTATAATTTTGAAATGTCGTGCGATTTTTCGAGTTGAATAAATGGCAAAAAAATTATGGAGAGGTTGTTGGAGCGCGGTGTGCGCCTTTAATCTATTCTTTTACTCGTAAATTTACACTTCGTTTCGCACCAAAACCATTGCCATTGTTTTTTGGGCAACTACTGAATTTTCCGCAGTCGCGCGACGTCTACAATATTATTCTGATGTCTACATTTCCGATTTTCTTTATGTCAAAATCGTAGATGTTTCAAAACAAAATCACATTATCAGGTCATTAGCTCTAATGGAAATTCTATTCAAAATTTGAAAGTTATAAAACGTTATGGCACAAGGAATTGTCTGTTGGATTAAAATTATGCGTATATTATAAAACTAATTACATGCTCAACTCATTGAGAAGGTCGATGATCTTCTGAGGCACATCCAGTTGCAGCAAATTATATTTCAACACATTTTTGTATCTGAAATTTGTTGTTTAAAGTTTAATTATTTAATATAAAATTAATTTACCGATCAGCGCAACTGACGGCGCCGCGCGTAAAATAAGTCAATTGTTCGAAGTCTGTCCAGAATTCAGGCATTTCTGGTGTAAACTTCACATCTTCTGACGCCGGATGGTTTGCCAATTTTCTAAAAATGCTTTAATTCAAAATTCATTGGGGAGGGGATGACAATACTTGAGGATGTGCTCAATCATTCGTTCGTCGTGCATCGATTCACGATGATCGGGCTCTTCCGATGATGAAGAAAAGATTTCTTCGAGAAGTCTGGATACAGTCTGCTCGAATTATACAATCATTTTTATTAAAATTAAATAAAACATACATATTCCTCAATGGAGGAAAATTGTCGCTTCTGTCTCGAGTCATTTCCCACGGAAATGACGCTGTTTTCCTGAAATAATAATCGAAACTGAAATTCGGTTTTCTTTCGAAAAACACCGAATCAAACCGGCACGCGGCCGAGCCGCGAATTACAAAAAAAGAAGGTCCCGTCCCCACTTTCCCCATTCATAATTCAAAATGCGGTAAACACTTACAGATTGTTGAAGAGATGGAGCACGTAGGATCGCACTCGGTTTGTCATTCTGAAATTTGTTTATACGTTTCGTATAAGGCAAAAAAAAATCTAACCACGATCCCATCAATTTCACCACTTTTTTGAGCTCCGTCTCGATGTTTTTCCAATACTTGAGTGTCAAAATTTTTCTCGATATTCTTTTGAATGGGCTTCGACGATGCTTCATCTCTATTCGCACTTGAGGTGGCCAGCGATTCATTCACCACCTCAATGAGTTTATTTAAAAACTCATTCGCCTAAACATTCAACTTCATTTCAAGCTCTCAATTTTCAAATAGAATTACCGGAATTGTTTGATTCGCGTTCGCGTTGCTTCTGGAAGTTGTAGATGGTGTATCATTAGTTTGCGAATTAATGCGACTCCAGATGCGATTTGTCACATTGTTCAAATTAGCGGTTTTTTTGCTCGATTCAAATGGTTGTATAGCTGATTGCATTTCGGCAATTGAATTCTGAAATCAAAAAATAAATATCCAGGAAAAATGAAAAGCTGACTACCTGGGTCTCGGATGTCTTCATATATTTCGCTGGGACAAAGATGTTCTCGGGCATTTGCCGTTTCAAATTCGTGCTTCTGGAAAAAAATTAACATTTATAAGAAAAATCTCAGTACAAACTAAAAACTAACGATTTCGTTGACGGGATTCGTGGAGTCGAAATATGAGATAAATTTTTCTGAAATCACATAAATCAATAAAAAATTAATTATCCAATTGTGGAAATTGAACATTTATTTTGAAAATCATATTTTTAATAAGCTAAATGAGGAATTGATTGAAACTAACAAGTGAACGATTCCTGAAAATGCTATTAATTAATTATATCAAATACTCACAGTTTGACGGATGGTTGTAGGAATCGTCATGGCAGTTTCACTTGAAAGTTTGTTCGCTGACTTTTTCGCTTCGGGCACCAAAAGCGGCATGTCGGCGCAAGGACCACTTTGTGTTTGTCGCTGGATCGTGGAGTTGAACAAAGATTTTGCCGCTCTAATCGAACAATTCCCCTTTGTCTGTTTCTTTCCGACAACCGTTGGCTTTCTGCAATTCAAATGCACCAAATAACCCAAAACGTGCATTATTTTGGGGCGAAGCTCGTCGAAATTGTTCAATGGCGATATGATTCGTTCGTTTCCAGTTTCGTCAATTTCGATAGTCAGATGTCCGTGCTCATTGGACCCGAGCCTTTTGTGAAGGATTCCCCACAAATAGGTGAGACATTTTCTAAAATTGAAAATGAAACAAAAAAGCGACAATGTGTGGACACCTCTTACCGGTACATTTCTCTTCTCGCACCATTTTTTAATCCTCCCGTCGTGCAGTGGCATTTCGATAAAACTCGATTTGAGAGCCATAACCAAAATTTGAGGCACGTTTCAAGAAGGGAAAAGTCTTCTAATTTTGATATGTCCAGTAGGAGATCCAATGATGTATGGAATGCGATTCTCAGAAAATCGTTTTTGGGAATGTTGGTCTGAAAAAGCGTTATTTAATGGGCACATCTCTAATGAATTTTGTTTACTAAAGGCTTAAAAATTATATAAATTGAAAAAACTTTGATTTAAAAAATGAATACCTCTAAAAAGGTTGCATTCGCGCGAAAGACTTTCACTAGCAATTGAGTCAATTCTCGAACAATTAGAATTTTCCAGCCTTCAATGCTGATCAAATATCTGTCCACGAGCAAGAGATGTTTCATTTTTTCAACAGTTGCACAAAAATATTGAAATTTCGACGAAATTTCATGGACCTCTTCGGATTCAAGCAGAAACACGGCGGAGAGGCATCGAACTGCGGTTAATCCATGATTGCGTGTTGAAACGTACTAAAATTAAATAAATATATAAATTTGTAAAATATCGAATTAATTATGCATTACAACATTCAATAATATGTTAACGAGTTCTGTACTCATTATAAATTCGAAGGATACAAATTCTAGATCTTTAAGGATCTGATCCATCGCTTTTCGAGAAACATCATCTTTGAAGTTTCCTTTTAGAATATCCACATTTATAAGAAACTGTTTCGTAAGTTCATTCGTGACCAAGCTCATTCTTCTGAAATGAGTAGAATTATTTTATTAGTAAAAATTAGGAATAATAGCGAGAGCGATGAGAAACGACGGTTTACAGAATTTAAAAACTTCAAAAATTTACCTTATTCAGTGCCGAATGGAAAGATTAGTGTACTGCACGCTTATTTAATATTTAATTATTTAGAAAGTCAATCTATGCGAGACCAACACAGAAAACGGTGGCAAATCTTAGAAAAATTTGCGGAATAAAAAACACAACAAACACGAGTGGCCTAGAAAAAATGTTCTCAAAATTTGGTTCGGCCACGGCCACACTTGATAGATTAGTTCAAACTCCTCGTGGCCGCCCAAATTTTCGATGTAGAACGGCGGAGTGGTTTCGAGGTGTCGAAAGAACTCGTCAGATTGTCAAGTTGATCTTGGATTGAAGAGATATTAAATAATCGCTCTGAAACAATTAACATGTTTGAAGAGAAACAACTTTCAACTTAAAAATCCTATTTCTATTAATCACTGAAATTATTTGAAATGTACCAATCTGGGAGGAGCCAATTATATGGAAAAACTGAATTCTAATTCCATAAATTGATCTGCTAGATTTTTTCACATCAAAAATGCACCATTGTAGTCAGGAATAAAAAAATAATCCAATCATCGAGGCAAGCGCGCTCTACCGCAATACGGAGTCGATCGGGAAAGCGAAGCGCGTCACCGTTTGATATCAGAGAGTGTGCTAACATGAGAGAATGTGTCAACACTTGGCGTCGATGTGCAGTTATTTTTGACAAACGCGCTCTATTGCAAATCCCAGCGGCACTATAAAAGGCCGGCGGAACTCTGGTAACTCAATACCAATCGGATCCGAATAGGAAAATTTTACCAATCGGATCTGAAATAATACAAAAATCGAATCGGATCGGAACAATTTCCAATCGGATCCAAGAAATTACCAGTCGGATGCAATTACAAATTTTATTCGTAGAATTACCAATCGGATCGGATTGATTCCGGAGCCGAATTTTGTCGGATCCGATTGGTTTTGCGTTACCAGAGAATGCGCAATTTCGTCAGTTCTCGCAGCTCCTCGAGTTGAGGGATGCCAGCCTCTCATGTGGGCTCCTCGTGCCCCGCATAACCAGCGGACTGGCTGTGGCTCGCTTATCCTGCGGGCACGTCGTGGCCAAGGATCCACTCGGTAAGTCACATTTATCGCAATTCTTTTCTCAATTCCTCGTATTGTAGTTCCCGATGAGAGCCACAGTCGGTTCTCATTCGAGCTCTTCGGATGTGATTTGTTGAGTAGGCATATCGCGTGAAGATAAGCAAGATTGGGAGATGGCGAAAGGTCGATGCTGCCCGGGGCGTCGAATAGAGCGAGGAAGCGGATTTGTAAGGTATAGAAGGAGTCACAGTCTAGAATAACCCGATTCATTGCAGGAATCTCGGATCACATGGATCGGAAATAATCAAAGGCGACGGCTCGAGGAAGCGACGAGGAATGAGCAAAGGAGTCGGGTATTTCGTAATTTTTGGCCCGGGCCTAATTTTTTTATTACTTATTATTATTTTTATTATTATTCACTTGCACCAGTCGTACCATTTACGTCTGTACTTCCTTCCGGTCCTACCGTTTGGGACCATCTCATTTTTTTCGGGGAAAGCCGGCTTCCCCTTCTCTCTTCCTGCCACCAGTCGTACCACTTGCGACTGTCCCTTCTCTATATCCCACCACTTGGGATTCCTCTCCCTCTCTTCCGGTCCTACCGTTTGGGACCAACCATCTCGTCTTTTTTTCGGGGAAAACCGTACCACTTACGGTCATGCCAGTCGTTCCACTAATGACCGGCTTCCCCTCTTTTTTTTAAAATCTATTCTACGTATTAATTTCTGTGTTTAGGTGTTTAGGTATCGTCGCCGCCGCCGATGGAAGGACGCTGCAGGTGAATCGATTCACCACCACAAGTAAGTTTTCCCCCCACCATTAAGCCTAACCCTAAGGTCCGCTATTTAATTTCTACTTAATCCGCCGTAGTCGGTCATTCCCCAAAAGCCAAAGCTTCCTGATCCCCCCTTACAATTAGTGCCGAGGAGTTGCCTGGATGGCTCCTAAATCGAACAAGAACAATTGAAGGCTCATCAGAGTTGGGCCCGCTACACACTCATTTACGGAAATTCTTAGCTTCGTAGAGTGCGGTATCCGAATTCCCATTGTTTAAATTCGCATTTGAATTACCGCTTCGAAAAAGTACGATGGTCCATTCGTTTTTTTTTTTGCGATGGGAATTTTTCAATTTCTGATAAATTATGGCCAATCGCTGTTTCGAAGCGGTAATTTAAATCTCAATTTGAACAGTAGAAAGCAAGTCAAGGGCGTGCATTTTGTTTTGATTGTTTCTCTCCTTCTCAAATAGAGTTCAAATAAACTCTAATTACTTAATTAGGCGTTCTCACGGGCCACGCCACCAGTCGCAATCTTCAGGATCACAACAAATTAAATTTCATATAAACATGAATCGCAAACAGGACTACAATTCTTGCAGTGAAAAACTCTGGTAGCCGCTTTTTTGGGAAACGCATTTTTTGGGGACCTCAACTTTTTGTGTGCTGTCCTGGTAGATAATCGATTGTGTCGACTATCGATTCGTCTTTTTTCAACACACAAAATTTTTACTGCTACTATATTCTGATTCACACCACTGTGGAAATGTTATCAATATTTTCCACAAATGTTTGGTGCCTTTTCAAATATTTCCACAGACATCGTTTTCTTTTTGAAAAAAACAGACCTACCTGATTAGTTTCAAAAAAAAATAATAATAATAATAAACACAAGCAAAGTAAAAAAAAGAAATAAAATAGAAGAAGAAATAAATCATCCGAATTCCGATTTTGACAGCGACTCGCCAAAAATGTAGCACAATCCTGCAAGCAATCCAGATTATCCTGAAGATTGCGACTGGTGGCGTGGCCCGTGAGAACGCCTAATTAAGTAATTAGAGTTTATTTGAACTCTATTTGAGAAGGAGAGAAACAATCAAAACAAAATGCACGCCCTTGACTTGCTTTCTACTGTTCAAATTGAGATTTAAATTACCGCTTCGAAACAGCGATTGGCCATAATTTATCAGAAATTGAAAAATTCCCATCGCAAAAAAAAAACGAATGGACCATCGTACTTTTTCGAAGCGGTAATTCAAATGCGAATTTAAACAATGGGAATTCGGATACCGCACTCTACGAAGCTAAGAATTTCCGTAAATGAGTGTGTAGCGGGCCCAACTCTGATGAGCCTTCAATTGTTCTTGTTCGATTTAGGAGCCATCCAGGCAACTCCTCGGCACTAATTGTAAGGGGGGATCAGGAAGCTTTGGCTTTTGGGGAATGACCGACTACGGCGGATTAAGTAGAAATTAAATAGCGGACCTTAGGGTTAGGCTTAATGGTGGGGGAAAACTTACTTGTGGTGGTGAATCGATTCACCTGCAGCGTCCTTCCATCGGCGGCGGCGACGATACCTAAACACCCTAAACACAGAAATTAATACGTAGAATAGATTTTAAAAAAGAGGGAAGCCGGTCATTAGTGGAACGACTGGCATGACCGTAAGTGGTACGGTTTTCCCCGAAAAAGACGAGATGGTTGGTCCCAAACGGTAGGACCGGAAGAGAGGAGAGGAATCCCAAGTGGTGGGATATAGAGAAGGGACAGTCGCAAGTGGTACGACTGGTGGCAGGAAGAGAGAAGGGAAGCCGGCTTTCCCCGAAAATGAGATGGTCCCAAACGGTAGGACCGAAGGAAGTACAGACGTAAATGGTACGACTGGTGCAAGTGAATAATAAAATTGCATCCGACTGGTAATTTCTTGGATCCGATTGGAAATTGTTCCGATCCGATTCGATTTTTGTATTATTTCAGATCCGATTGGTAAAATTTTCCTATTCGGATCCGATTGGTATTGAGTTACCAGAGTTCCGCCGGCCTTTTATAGTGCCGCTGGGATTTGCAATAGAGCGCGTTTGTCAAAAATAACTGCACATCGACGCCAAGTGTTGACACATTCTCTCATGTTAGCACACTCTCTGATATCAAACGGTGACGCGCTTCGCTTTCCCGATCGACTCCGTATTGCGGTAGAGCGCGCTTGCCTCGATGATTGGATTATTTTTTTATTCCTGACTACAATGGTGCATTTTTGATGTGAAAAAATCTAGCAGATCAATTTATGGAATTAGAATTCAGTTTTTCCATATAATTGGCTCCTCCCAGATTGGTACATTTCAAATAATTTCAGTGATTAATAGAAATAGGATTTTTAAGTTGAAAGTTGTTTCTCTTCAAACATGTTAATTGTTTCAGAGCGATTATTTAATATCTCTTCAATCCAAGATCAACTTGACAATCTGACGAGTTCTTTCGACACCTCGAAACCACTCCGCCGTTCTACATCGAAAATTTGGGCGGCCACGAGGAGTTTGAACTAATCTATCAAGTGTGGCCGTGGCCGAACCAAATTTTGAGAACATTTTTTCTAGGCCACTCGTGTTTGTTGTGTTTTTTATTCCGCAAATTTTTCTAAGATTTGCCACCGTTTTCTGTGTTGGTCTCGCATAGATTGACTTTCTAAATAATTAAATATTAAATAAGCGTGCAGTACACTAATCTTTCCATTCGGCACTGAATAAGGTAAATTTTTGAAGTTTTTAAATTCTGTAAACCGTCGTTTCTCATCGCTCTCGCTATTATTCCTAATTTTTACTAATAAAATAATTCTACTCATTTCAGAAGAATGAGCTTGGTCACGAATGAACTTACGAAACAGTTTCTTATAAATGTGGATATTCTAAAAGGAAACTTCAAAGATGATGTTTCTCGAAAAGCGATGGATCAGATCCTTAAAGATCTAGAATTTGTATCCTTCGAATTTATAATGAGTACAGAACTCGTTAACATATTATTGAATGTTGTAATGCATAATTAATTCGATATTTTACAAATTTATATATTTATTTAATTTTAGTACGTTTCAACACGCAATCATGGATTAACCGCAGTTCGATGCCTCTCCGCCGTGTTTCTGCTTGAATCCGAAGAGGTCCATGAAATTTCGTCGAAATTTCAATATTTTTGTGCAACTGTTGAAAAAATGAAACATCTCTTGCTCGTGGACAGATATTTGATCAGCATTGAAGGCTGGAAAATTCTAATTGTTCGAGAATTGACTCAATTGCTAGTGAAAGTCTTTCGCGCGAATGCAACCTTTTTAGAGGTATTCATTTTTTAAATCAAAGTTTTTTCAATTTATATAATTTTTAAGCCTTTAGTAAACAAAATTCATTAGAGATGTGCCCATTAAATAACGCTTTTTCAGACCAACATTCCCAAAAACGATTTTCTGAGAATCGCATTCCATACATCATTGGATCTCCTACTGGACATATCAAAATTAGAAGACTTTTCCCTTCTTGAAACGTGCCTCAAATTTTGGTTATGGCTCTCAAATCGAGTTTTATCGAAATGCCACTGCACGACGGGAGGATTAAAAAATGGTGCGAGAAGAGAAATGTACCGGTAAGAGGTGTCCACACATTGTCGCTTTTTTGTTTCATTTTCAATTTTAGAAAATGTCTCACCTATTTGTGGGGAATCCTTCACAAAAGGCTCGGGTCCAATGAGCACGGACATCTGACGAAATGAATAAGAGAATTGGAACATTGGGTTTTCAAATTTCCTTGCAGGACCCACATCTTATACGATTACTGTAGCATATTTATATTCCAATCGAATTTAAATGTAATTAATGATTTGATTATGATAATTTAAAAATGACCCGAAAAAAAAACTGAGAAATGGGAAAAATGCGTATTTCTGTTGGATTTCTCATTTTCGCTTTCCTCTATGTGAGTATTTCGAATAAATTTCTAAAAAATCCTCAAAAAAATTTCAGCGAATTCGATGCAGTTGGGAATTAGACGGTATTTCGAAAGCAATTTCAATGAAAATCCAACATTTTAGAATTGTTGAAACATTTCTGAACACTATGGAAAATTTTCTGATGTCGAATGACCTATGAGACGGAAGCGGTGCCAGTCGGCTGTAAAATATTAAATAAGAAGAGCAAAATATCGATTTTTTTTTCTTCAAGACCCAATCGAGCAGATTCTCGAAAATTTCAAAGTGTTGAATCAAAAATTGCGCTTGAAATTTACTCAATTTCAGATCCGCCTTGATTCTGAAATCGTGCCAGAACCGATTATTATTCATCTAGGATGCTGGCCGAATTCGATTGTAAGAAATGCTATAATTGCGCCAGTGAGTTTTTAGAATCTCTCAAAGGACTAGAAAAGGCTGAAATTTTCAGAAACTGGTTAGCCCGATTGGATGGGGACTTCTGGCCTTCAATGTTTTGAAATTTTTATTTCAAACCAAATCTAAAGCATTGATCAAATGTCATCGTCGTCGTCCTCCATTTCATCGTCACCCTAAACCATATAGAACATTAATTCTAATTAACTCTAAAATTAATTACCTCGTAATTAATATCGCCCCCTTCTATAATTACCCAATCGTAGAATGGTGACGGCGATCGAATTGTTGATGCGGATTCCTGAAAAAGAATAAAATTGATTCGATTTTTTAATATTTGATGTTCACCTCTTCAGAGGTGCTTTCAAGTTCTTCGGAGCCATAGAATGCCGAGTCTGGTTCCATGACGAGCTGATTGCTTCGGACGAGCTCGCTCATCATTGCCACTCTTCGGATATGCTTGACGATCTGATTCTCGTCGGCAATGAGCTGCTCGAATCGAACGAAATCGAGCATTTTGTTGGCAATGTCGACGCGATCGAGCGCGAATCGCGGCTGAATCCGTCGGACATCATTGAGGCATTCCATCGAAATGACGCGCATCTCCAAATTGTTGGCGTGCGCGCAACGCTCGGCGTAGTTGAGCAGACACAGATTCATCTCATACGTGGCAAATTGCTCGGCAGAAAGCGTCGCGACGAGCTCATGAAGCTGATGAAGCTGATTGAGGAACATCTCGACAGCAGCGCCGCTCATTCTAATTTCTAAAAATTGCATAGTTTGATTATTTTTGGCAATGAAAAAGGACAAAGACAGTGAGACACACAATGCCAAGAATGCAATAATTAATGGTCCCGTCATTTCGCACATTTCCCAATCGCGACTTGATAACGCCGTTAGGAAAAATGTCGAGATGTGACACTTTTGGTTGATTTATTTTTATGGGATCCAAAAGGCAATCAAACTGGTATATCGGCATTGGAAACTTGATTTACTACAAAAAATTTGAATCTCGATAAAGAATTTTAGAATATCCAAACACCCTTCAACAAATTACGTGCTTTATATAGATAGGTAGGGACAAAATAGCAAATAACTCCAATATCTTGAATATTTCGCATTATATTTGTTGGAGCCGTGACCTCGACACGTCACGTGACACACCACGTGGCACACGTTTCATAGGAGCGATATAAAAACCCCTTTTTACGCTCAATAATCAGTTATTCATAGTTGTGTCTAATAAATATATTCTCTACGTTGGCTCGTTCACAAGGACACAACAATATTTATATACAAATTGCACTTTTTCTGCAGTCTCTTTTTCAGATTTTGAAAGAAGTATCATAAACTGGTTAAAACCAGCTTCAAGACAAATCATTTTTCGGCAATTCGCCTCAAGATTTGAAAAAACGTCATTCTAGATTTGCAGAAAGAGGAAACGGATAAAAAACTATCAAAAAAGGTTAAAAACTAATTTTTGGGTTTTTTTCCCCAAAAGTAGTAACAATATATCACAAAAATCGAATCACGTGAATTTTTCATAAAAAAGCCAAGCGTGTCCAGTCATCTTTTTTATTTTTCATTCCCATCCCGCCAATGATGACATCTTGCTCATTTTGTCTAGAAGAATATAAAAGCAATTGGGTTTGGATCGAGGAGAAGCAATGTAAGCTTTTTAAATAGAAAATTTGGTAAGAGTAACGAACTGAAATGAATAATTGAGAGTAAAACCTGAAAATAACTTTTTTTTTATCATCTTAAAATCAAACAAAATCCGTAAAGAAGCTATCATCAATTCTTTTTTGTTTCACGAAATCAAAAATAGAACAAGTTCCGTATTAGTTCGTCGGTTTAATTGTATGCGGACGTTGATTTTTCAATAACCCTTCGTTTTATTTTGATATTTGGTTTTCGAAATCGTAAAGACAAAAAATATATATTTATTCATTTACATATATATGTATTTAGTTATTTCTCAATTAAATTTATTAATCCAATAAAGTATGGCCGTGGCCGAACCTAATTTTTTATGATCATTTTTCTAGGCCAAATTTCGATTTGCTTCAGCTAACTGGGAAACTTGTGTACCGTATTTTTGTCAAAATCACCAAAAATCTATTTACACAAAGTGTTCGTTTCTTATTTATTTTTCACGAAATTTCGATTAAACATATGTAGATTTCAGGAAAATTCGATTTTCGGCACGTGGCGACGCTTCCTTCATTTCTTGTTCATCGACACTTCATTGCGTAAGTATTTTCCATTTTCCGAGCTTTATTTTCAATTTTGAAACGAAACATTCGATTCATTTTCGAATTGAAACACTATTTCGACAATTGCGCTTTCCGTTTTCTCTACAACGAATATTCCGGAACGCTGTGCGCGTGTCTCGAGAACATTCGTTGAATCGGATTTGAGAGAGCCCGCACGGGCGCCGCGCTTCTTGTGCCACAGGACGCGGACGAACGCCCCGAATCGGTGACCCAAAGGGTCCGACCCAGGAGGGCAATGCCTGTGGGAAGTCTAGGCGCGCACGGTGGTGAGTGGCGCCGGAATCATTGGTTGTAGAGAACGCCAAATTGGCAACCATTTTTGTTTGAAATTCAACTTTTGAGTTGAAAGCGCAAAAAAAAGAAAAACGATATTCAAAAAACTTTTGCTAACTCTACGTAGTATAATTAGACTGTTTCTTGTTTTTTCTTGTTTTCCGATTTTTATTTTAAATTATTTCATGCAAACTGAACAAGGATCGAAACGAGGCAATTATGTCAAACAATAGTGGAGACTATTTGAATATGTAGTAAGCATTTTTAATTATTGTGACTTGAAAATGTTTCATTTTAGATTGTAAACAGAAGAATACTAAGGTTGATCAAATAGCTCAAAAGAACAGTGGCTTGACTTTTTTCTTGAAGATAAAAATTCCCGAAATTTCCGGGACCACCGGAAAATATAAAACGGCGATTTCCCGGGACATTTCCTCTCAAGGATCGAAACGAGGCAATTATGTCAAACAATAATGGAGACTATTTGAATATGTAGTAAGCATTTTTAATTATTGTGACTTGAAAATGTTTTATTTTAGCATGTAGACAGAAGAATAATCAAATAATCAAAAAGTTGATCAAATAGCCCAAAAGAACAGTGGCGTGATTTTTTTCTTGAAGATGAAAATTCCCGAAATTTTTGGGACCACCGGGAAACATAAAACGGTGGGACATTTCCTCTCGAAATCACACACTAGTTGCATGGTTTGAATTTATCAGCTGTTCTCGTCAAAAATATATAATTTCCAGATGATAGATTCCGGCAAAAACTTCGAATTTTTTTGCTCCAGATGGCATTACTATCGTTTGAGTTGATTTGGAAACTTAAATCAATTGCAATAATTGTAGGATTCAACCTTTCATTGAGCTTCGATGATGATGATTCTAGTTTGATTCTGTTGTCGGTTTGGAATAATCCGGTTTAGCATTTTTGATGAATGATTTTTAGAAAGAATATGTTCACAGCATCGATGATTTTTTCGAAAACAATAAAAGAATGTCCGAATCGTAATTTGACTAATAATGAAATTTCATAGAAAAATAAAAAGATATGATTTCAGGGTGTGCTGTGGCGGCTTGATGTTTTTTTTTTGTCGAAGAACACCCTCAAACGGTTCGTAACATGACTTGTACATTTCAATTCATTAATTAATTTTTCGATGAACAGAGATGTTGATTTTCAGTAGCCAAGCGGAAAATAACCAAGTAGAATGACGATTATCCCGATTTATAAGCTGCAAGAAAATGAGAATTTCGTGGAATATTGAGAATTGCTATGGTTATGCGAATGAGGTTTGAATGGCAAAAAAGTTTTGTTTTGTTTTGATTATTAATATGTTGATTCCTTATCGATGTGTAATAATTTGAAAAAAAAAAATGAATTTCTGAATTTTCTAGATTAAAAAAAATGCAATTTTGAGCAACTAATTTCCTATTTTCAATGATCGCTGAAAATTGGTAAAATCGTTGTCGTTGAGGCACTCAAATTATCGAAAAATGACCGAAAATGCCACATTGTTTTTTTCTTAATTTTCTTTCATCGTTTTTTGAGATCCTTTTCGGTTTAGTTAAATCCAATTTCGAAACTTTGAGTCGCCCGGGCCGATTAAAATTCTTTTTTGGTATTAGTAAAACAAAATGTTGATTGTTGGCCCAAACGAAGCCTTCATTAATTGAAATTCCACGAATAAAATGAAAATTTGAAATGCGAGTTGTAAATAGTTTTCTAAATTCAAGAATTGCGGGTCATGTTTTTTTTAGACCTAACTTAATCTCGATTTTCTAAAATCATTAAATCAATTTTGGAAATAATCTGGATTGCTTGCAGGATTGTGCTACATTTTTGGCGAGTCGCTGTCAAAATCGGAATTCGAACGTTTAATTTTTCTTCTATTTTATTTCTTTTTTTTTTTACTTTGCTTGTATTCTTTTTAATTATTTTTTTTTTTGAAACGAATCAGGTAGGTCTTTTTTTCAAAAAGAAAACGATGTGGAGTCTGTGGAAATATTTAAAAAGGCACCAAAAATTTGTGGAAAATATTGATAACATTTTCACAGTGGTGTGAATCAGAATAGTAGCAGTAAAAATGTCGTGTGTTGAAAAAAGACGAGTCGATAGTCGACACAATTTTTGCGACTGGTGGCGTGGCCGGTGAGAACGCGTAATTAAGTAATTAGAGTTTATTTGAACTCTATTTGAGAAGGAGAGAAACAATCAACACAAAATGCACGCCCTTGACTTGCTGGTTGACTTGCTTTCTACTGTTCAAATTTAAATTTAAATTACCGCTTCGAAACAGTGCGATTGACCATAATTATTCAGATATTGAAAAATTCCCACCGCAATACTTTTTTGAGGTTCCACCCACACCCTGCAAAGAACGAGATGGTCTTTAAAAACAAAAAATTTAAAAAAAATCTATATTATAAATTGTCGAAGTCTCGCGACTGCGGAAATTTGGCTAAAGGCCAAAACATTTAGAGAATTTTTGACGCGCGATATGCGACTTTAACCTATCCTTATACTTATGCCCCACCGTAAATCTACACTTAGTTTTGCGCCAAGGCCATTGACTCTTGTTATTTTGTCTAGTTCCCGCAGTCTTCTTAAATTTTCGCCAATTTGTGGCATTAAAAAAAATCGTATTACAGATAATCTGTGAATCAATATCGCATAATTGCTAAAACACAAAAATCGAGGGTGACATGCTAATAAAATGAGTTGTCTTTGAATGCTAGGTCGCAAAGGCGCCCGGTTGAGGAAGAATATCCTCGACCTGCGCGAGACAGTGTGCCGATTAGCCTGACTCGATCCTCCCCGATGAAGAAGGACCGAGTCAGTTGATCTCCCTCGCCACGTAGAGGCTCGACACATGAAGGAGAGGCTCACCAGCATCAGGCCGAAACCTGATGTGGGTCATCGCCGATCCCACCATGGGGATCACCCAAGGACATCCCACAACTATCATCCGAGGATAATAGAAGTAGAAGTGGTTGGGCAAGCCACGTCTGGCTGGGCCCCGGGTCTACTGGTGATATGGTAATGTGGTTTTTGTGTTCTTAGCACAGAAGCTTACTACTAAGTAGTAGCAAGCCACTACAAAGTAGCAAGCTGCTATGCCAAGAAGCACGGTCCATGTGCACCCGAAAGGCTGGACATATTGACATAGCTGGCCAATCCACGTCAATATAGGTCTGGGCCAGATGCCATCCTGACTAGTATGGAGGACACCCGGTGAAGCAAAGTTCTAAAGCATAACCATCCATAACGCCCAATAAGCACTCGAGAGCACTTGAAACGGGCGTTTGGGTAGGGTTCGATTCCCGGCTACGGAATAAGGGCTGAAGGGCTTGCCAGGCCAATCACCCGAATTTAGGATACAGCGGATAAGCCGCCATCCAGCCAACGCCTCGGCACTAAGGGGGGATCGGGAAGCCTTGGCGTTTGGGGAATGGCCGACTACGGCCCTAATAGAGCCTACTACGGCAGACTAAGTAGAAATTAAATAGAGGACCTTAGAATGGGTTAGGCTTAATGGTGGGGGGAAAATTTACTTGTGGCGGTGGTGAATCGATTCACCGGCAGCGTCCTTCCATCGGCGGCGGCGATACCTAAACACCTAAACACAGAAATTAATACGTAGAATGGATTTAAAAAAAAAGAGGGGAAGCCAGTCATTAGTGGAATGACTGGCATGACCGTAAGTGGTACGGTTTTCCCCAAAAAAAAGACGAGATGGTTGGTCCCAAACGGTAGGACCGGAAGAGAGGGAGAGGAATCCCAAGTGGTGGGATATAGAGAAGGGACAGTCGCAAGTGGTACGACTGGTGGGAGGTAGAGAGAAAGGGGAAGCCGGCTTTCCCCGAAGAAAGATGAGATGGTCCCAAACGGTAGGACCGGGAGGAAGTACAGACGTAAGTGGTACGAATGTACGGAAATGAGAAAGGGAAGCCGTAAGTGGTACGACTGGTGCAAGTAAATAAAAATAAAAAATAAAAATAAAGAAATTAGGCCCGGGCCAAAAATTACCAAATACCCGACTTCTTTGCTCCTTCCTCGTCGCTTCCTCGAGCCGTGGCCTTCGATTAGATCCGATCCATGTGATCCGAGATTCCTGCAATGAATCGGGTTATTCTGATAGACTGCGACTCCTTCTATACCTTACAAATCCGCTTCCTCGCTCTGCTCGACGCCCCGGGCAGCATCGACCTTTCGCCATCTCCCAATCTTGCTCATCTTCACGCGATATGCCTACTCATGCAATGTGGGTTTAACGTCGGCCTGGACGCGTCACTGCAGTAGGGTTAGTACTGACTGACCGAGTCGCACCAGTCGAGAATCCCCAACACTTTCAACAAATCACATCCGAAGAGCTCGAATGAGAAACGACTGTGGCTCTCATCGGGATCTGCAATACGAGGAATTGAGAAAATAATTGCGATGAATGTGACATACCGAGTGGATCCTTGGCCACGACGAGCCCGCAGGATAAGCGAGCCACAGCCAGTCCGCTGGTTATGCGGGGGCACGAGGAGCCCGCAGGTTATGCGGGGCACGTGGATCCCACATGAGAGGCTGGCTGGCATCCCGCAACTCGAGGAGCTGCGAGAACTGACCAAATTGCGCATTCCGCCGGCCTTTTATAGTGCCACTGGGATTTGCAATAGAGCGCGTTTGTCAAAAATAACTGCACATCGACGCCAAGTGTTGACACATTCTCTCATGTTAGCACACTCTCTGATATCAAACGGTGACGCGCTTCGCTTTCCCGATCGACTACGTATTGGGATAGAGCGCGCTTGCCTCGATGCTTGGGGTATTTTCTTTATTCCTGACTGCAATAGAGCATTTTTTGATGTGAAAAAATCTAGCAGTTCAATTAATAGAATTAGAATTCAGTTTTTCCATTTAATTTGCTTCTCTTAGATTTCTTGAATTTAATCTTTCCAAACGATGGTTTATTTCGTAATGAGCCAAAAATTTCAATTGAAGATATCAAGTAAGCCACGTTCTGTGTGAGACCAGCGGAAGCCCGAAAACCGAGACAAAGCCGGTCCATAAGGTAAAAATTGGAACGTCATATTGCTCGAAAGAACGGCGAAAGCATGATCACTGAGTAGGACATTAGATTGAATCAATTTTCCCATTCAGGATCATCAGTAAGCCCGGAGTACTTTTTTTTAATGTTACCATAATGACAAATGGTGGACCATCGCATTTTTTCGAGGCGGTAATTCAAATTTGATATTAAACAATGGGAATTTGGGTATATTAAATTCGAAAAAAAAACCCTGCGCCGATTTCCGGTGAGTTAGCTTCGCAGGTTATCCAGAGTACGGTTTCCTAAAGTGCGATGGTCCCAAATAATGCGAGGCGCTGGTTTTTTTTTGCGATGGTAAAATATTCAAGTGGATTGTTTGTTTACTATTTTGATTGGTGCAGGTATAAATTAAGCATTCTGCGGACATTGATCAGAAAATTTTCTCCTATCTTGCTTAAGTATTCCCACAACATATTGTTATTCTTTGCAATTTAAATTATGTCAAACTAATCAAAGGAACACCAATTTTAAAGGGAAGCTTTAAGCTTTAGTTGTTCATGTTCTCAATTTTTCAGGAAGCAGTGAAAACAAATTTTTGAAACTTCAAAATGTGAATTATATATATAATTTTTGAAATTTCAGAGTCCCTTTTGGAAATAATGTTTCTCAAATATAAGGAAACGATGGGCAATGGAAGTCACGACCGACTTGATTCCTTAACAGATTCTCAATATTAGAGATACTGTAACTCACATCTAAAAGAAAAAATGAGCTGGGTCGTATCGATCTGGAGAATAGATGGACTACTCGACAAATGCGGTCAGGAAGACCTCTCATAAGATGGTCGGAATAGCTCCAGAAGGAGATGTACTGTGAAATCATTCATCTATATATGACAAGCTTAGATATCTGTGATGCCCAAGCAACGAAATCTCATACAAATCTTTATTATCGTCCAAAAATGGATTATCATTGAGCCATATAAGTGATTGCCCATCCACTCGGACTGTCCGGCTTCTGAAATTGTTTTTGAAGTTCTTTTTTACGGAATGAATTCCTTGCAAAAAAAAGGCGTACCGGAGTGATGGTGACAATTCGCGAATACGACCGTTTGCTATACCGATTATCGATTTTCTTCATATAAATTGTTTTGTATTTGAATCGGATGCCATTCGCGCCGATTGGCTCGGGTGTCGAGGCCAGCAAAAGCTGAAAATTGAGAAGCCGAGAGATTCTGAAAATGCCTCGGCAAGACATTCTGAAATACCCTCAATCCATTGTGACAAATTGGGTGCTCTCGAGCGTTGCTCATTAATTCTTGAGCGCTGGCTAAAATTTTTGAAATTTACGAGACGAAACACATCAGATTTTTTGGAAATTTTCCAACTTTCTGGAGCGAATGCGATATTTGTGGGAATTCGAAACAGTTTGGAGAAGCTTTGACCATCGCCTCGTCTCAAATACAATTGCATCAGTCTTAGATGATTGTCAGCGATTCTGAAATTCACAAAATTCAAAAAAAAAATTGAAGAAATATTCCAACTCACGGCACAAATTGATTTCGGAAGAGTTTTACTTCGTCTTCGGATTGACTCCAGAATCCCAAAACGGTCTGTAATATAAATCAAATTAAATTTTTTAAAGAGAATAATCGCTTACATTGACAAGAAAAAGCCCGAAAACGATGAAAAATTTCATTTCGACCGAATTTTTCATCATTTTCATATATTTTTATACCAAATAATCAATTTAAATAATGTGATGATTCGATTATTAATTTGATTTGAAATTTGATTCGATTTTACTGAATTGGAAAAATTTTCCAATAGGATTTTCCTACTTTTATATTGATGGCTGGAATATCCGAAGAAAAATGCACAAAAATATGCGTAACGTCGGAAAGATGAATTTTTTAGTAAGTAGGTTACGGTGTGCAATGCTGGAAAGCAAGTCCGCAATAGTTCGTCAACAATGCAGACTATTTATTTTGCACTTTTCTTTTCATTTTTGGGATTTTTAAGTAGTTTTTTTTGGCTTTTGGTACAGTTTCAAGTAGCCATTCATAAATAAGACGATACCGCAAGTAGCTGGACAATTTGAAACAGTATATATTGCCGATGACTCGAAAATTGATATTGCCGAGGATGGAATTCGTTGACTAACGTTTTTGCCGGTTTGGGGTCTGTCTTCTAATCATTTTCAAATTTTTTATTCAATAGAAAATAATTAATTAATAGAAAAATATAAGAAATATGATTTAATTATTATTATCCTCTTCCAGGGCATCCAATCCCATTGCAGAATAGATAAACTCCGCCAAGATCGCTGCCCAAGTACGAATTTCCGTACGAATTTCCAGTTTGATGTCCGAAATACAACGGATACGGATCCAAACCGCCGTTATAAGTATAGTAATATTGGCATGTTGCCAAATTCACCAGAAATAGAAGAATAGGAAGAAGGTTGTCGAAGGAATTCATGGTCGATAGCGTCATCTTGAAAATTCCTTAAAAGGAATTGAAAAAAACCTGATTTTAAGGGGAATGAATGAACTAACAGAAAAAAAACAACTTTTATTCGTTTTTTATGTGTTTTTTTTTTTTCAGAATTGCACTTTTGAAATTTTCTCAAGTTAGGATGGCTTCAATGCGTCGAATCCCCAACCACTTGGACTGTCTCGCTTCTGCAAATATCGGCATTAAAATCTAAAAATGATTTTTCTTGAAGCGACCGGCGAAATTGTCGCTTCACGGACGAACGAGCGCGTTGCGTAGCCGTTGAAATGCTTCTGCGGCCAGCTCATCACGTATTTGAAGCGGTAACGATTTTCGCCGATTTTCTCGGCATTTGAGTAAATGCGCATCTGAAATTGTTTTGAATTATTTTGGTAGGTTTTCTATTACTCAATGTACACACAATAGGCTAAATTCGAGAATCTCCATGAATGTCTCCGTCGTCTCTCACTTCTACACACTACTTCGTTGTCATACAGCAATATTAAAGGAGCATTTCGTTTCATTTTCCTTGGATTTGCTAACGAACAAAAAAAAAAGCAAAATTTCTTTTGTCTGCATCTCTAATTAGAGCACAAGTCATCTTTCTTTCACCCTCTCCAACCCTCACACTATTTCGCATTAAAGGATCATTCCTTAGGCCAATTCAAAATGAAACAACGAAAAAGCTTTCCTCGAAATAACTTGGAAATGCTGGCTCCTCTCTAGCAAATCTTAAAAAGTCTGCCATCGAACCTGAAATTATTGAATTACCAAAAAACAATTGTTTTTTTTCTGGGAAAAGCTTACTATCCGGTGGAAATGCTGAGAAAAGTGCTGAATGATTGTTGAAAAATTTGTAGATCATATCGCCGAGACCCCTTCTGATATTCAACTCGAACGTTCCCAAATGTTTTCGCGAGATTCTGGAACGTGTCTCGTTGATTCGGACAAGATTAAAACACCCTACTCATTGGCCTCGGGATTGTACCTTGGAGACGCGTTGGCAAGCTGAAAATTAATTTCAGCTTGGGGGAATTCGAAAAAAAAAGAAAAATGCTTACATATGCGACGGCAAGGAGGAATACAATAGATGGTATACGCATTGCGTCGGCCGATTTTTCTTTTCCCAATTTGTTTTCTCGATTTTTATGTGGAAATTTATAATCGAATCAAAAAATTTGGTGTGATAATTTGATTACGAAAAAAAATTGTTTTTTTTTTAATACAATATGCATTTTCGATGCCTCATTGAAAATATGGTAGTTGCGCCTTTAAATCGGGTCACGTCACGATATAAAACTTGCTATGCTTAAAGGCGCATGATGACGATAGAAAAATAAGCTGCATGTTAAAATTCCAGCTTTAGAATTTTTTTTGCGCCTCTGAAAATAATTTAATTAAAAGGTCATTTCTGCTGTAGGCTATTCAATTAATTCTGATTCATTTTTACGCGCTTTTTATTTAATAAAAAAAAGAGAAAAAGGAGAGATTGAAGAGAAATCGCATTCTTTTTTTGCCTCGCCTCGCCAAGTCAATTATTATTTTTTTTTTTCGATGGACCTGCTTCTCTTTATGAATATTATTATCGAGAAAAATATCCGCTTTTTTTGTCTCTCATTTTTTTTCGCCACAAAAAATCACTTGCATTCATATATGTAATTATTATGTCCGGTTTCACATTTTGATTTGTTTGCCGGACCTGAACATTTCGCGAAATTTCCATTCTCATTGAAAAAAATGAAAATGAAATGAATTGGAGTTTAATGGCCTTTCTCGTAAATTGTCCGCAGATGATTTTATTTATGGGTTCTTCGCGCAAATTCCTCCCCGTTTTTCGCTAAAATTGTCCGCAGATGAGAATTTATAAAACTGGCGAATTTTATTGTTTGAAAAATTTTGAAAATCGCCGTTGGTCATATATTTGGTCTCGTAAAGAAAAATTTAATAATTGAACCCATAATTAAAAAATTATGATTTTCAAATTATGTAAAAATTTTCACAGTAAAAATTATGATTTTCAAATTATTATGATTAATTTAAGTTTCGCGCGCAACAGTTTTTTTTCGATACGAGACCCACCGCGGCAATTCAAATAATACAGTAATCGCACCACCCAATTTCGCCCGTCTTTGGCTAATTTTGTGTTTGTTGAGTTCAACTTTAAATCTCTTTGCTGAAATTTTCGAAAATCGTTTCGAGACCATTTTAAAGGCACATGCCAAATTGTCAACAAAACCACGTCTGACGAAGACTTTGAGCGAATTTTTTTGCTACGTTATTAAATATTGCTGCGGACATCTTCAGGTCCCCCAATGGAGTCTCATCATACCTACAGTAATCGAAAGCTACAGTAATCAGGGCATTTTTGTTGTCGTGGTTTTTTTTCGCGTTTTTCGCTGAATTATTCATCAATTTTGCCACAAGAGAGATTATTCATATTGGGTTTTTTTTAGAATCAAACGCATACAAGTGTTTCAGACATTATAATTATCCTCTCCCCCCAAAAGCTTGCCGCAATTATGCCCATAAATGTTTATTTTTGTCTTGTGTGGGTTTCGGGCTGCACCTTTAAACACAATAATTGACTTTTGGAGTGTGCTGCGCCTTTAAACGTTGGGTCTCATCACAATATTATTTCGAGTATGCGCCTTTAAAGTGGCCCTCGACGCGCTTCAATATTATTGGGAAATTGAGTGTTTTGGTTAGGTCAAATTTTGAGCTCTCAAAAAAAAAAACAAAATTGTCCGCAGATGAAATTTTTTATCAGAAAAAAAGTCAGTGTTGCAAATTGTGCGACCCACACCCCATGCGTCTTTAAAATTCCTTTTCGATTTGCGAGACCCAACATCAAAAATTGTCCGCAGATGTGACTTCACGTAACTCGACATGAGCCGTGTCGAGATCATTTTCCGTCTCCACCACCGTACGATGTGCAGATTTTCAGACCTTCAGAATCACACATGCGATTGCCGTCGATTGTTGTGTCGGAATCAATTGACGATGAAAACGGTATAAATTATTCATTAAATTTATTATTCAAATTAGTTTCCCACGCGAAATTCCATTTATAAATCGAGTCTCGATGTTTCTTTCTTTTCTTGAGCATTCGCTTCCGGTTTCACTTTTCGCCTATCGCGTCGAGACCCACGATCAAAATAACGTGTCGGGACCCTCTAAAGCACATTTCACTTTGGCTGATCGATTAAACCTTATTGATTTTCGCCACGAGACCCAATCGCTAGAAGAATAGTCCAGGGTTTTCGCTTCGAGATCCGATTGCTCTGAGCAAAGTACTTGACTATAATTGCAGCCTTTAAGGCATTTTGGACATTCATGCAGACTATAAGCTTAAATGAACAGGGTCTGAAATAATTCCGGTATTACCATAAACAATGAAGCTCGTATCAAATGGGGAAAAAGCGGTCTCGACGCGAATTCGAGTAGATCATTGAAGTGCGCCATAATCGACGACAATTTGCAGACACGCCTCCGGATTTCCGCACCCGCCGCGTTCATCCATCATCGTCGGCGTTCGTCGTGAATCCGCTGATGCCTTTGATGGCCACTCAATTGGCGTGGTCCCATCGAAAGTTGGTCCAAGTGATTTTCTATTTTTTTCTTTTTGCTGGCGAGATTTCCGTCGACAGAGACGAACAAAGAAGTGACTAATATGGCCATCCAAATTTTATTTAAAGCGGCCCAATTTTTTTTTTCGAATTTAGCTTGATCGACAGAATATTTGCCAATATGTGCCATTTTAAGCAGCGCGATAATTTGGACCGCAATTTGTCCGCAGATGATTGTTTATATGTAGAATGCCGCTGCTTGAAATATCCTCCAAAAGAATTTTCAAAAAAACATAAAAGAGCCGGACATGATCACTATAGGTTGAAACGAGTTTAATGGTCCCTAGAATAGAGTGCCGTGCGAGATTAGATTGATTTTGTGTCCAAATCCTCTGATATACTGTAAAGGCTCCTGGTTTTCCATTCAAGACCCAACCAAAACGAATTTTTGTGCAAATGTGAACAGAAAAAAATTGCGAGTTTGACCAATACTGGTAAACACAGAGGGGAAGGACACCAGAGCTGTCATGGTTTGCTTCATTCGGTATCAATGTAAATAATGGTCGACACTCAACCTCAATCGCCCTCTTTACTCGCCATATACACATATTGAGAGGAGTTGGGCGATCAGCAACGCTGAAAATCGATTTGTGCACTTTTTCAGAGTCATTCCTAGTTTGCTATTTTTTTTCCAATTTTCTGAAAATATTGACCCACTTTTATTGTTATTATCTCTTGCGTGTTTGCACAGCGTGCGCCATATCATACGAGCACAAAAAAAACAGAGAAGACTCATCGGGTGCAAATTGTCGGCAGATCGAAAATTGAAATCTTATATGGTAAACGGCGTTTTTTTTTTTGAATTGCGAATCTCTAAATCTCTTGGTTTTTCGACGGCAACGACCTCGAAAGCCGAAAAATAAATTTGAAAATCGGGCGCGCGAACCTTGAAATGGAGGTCGGACTCGGAACGTCGAATCTCGCACCGAAGGAGTTTTTTTTGTGCGATTTTTTGTGTGCGACGATTCGCCACCCAAACCGCGCTCCCCTCACGTGTCCTTTTTGTTTTCTCGTTGTTGTTTTTTTTTTTCGCGACCGTCTGCTCGCCTCGCACCCTCCGCCGCTCAGTGTGCTCTCTCTCTCTCTCTCGCCTCCCGCCATTCGCTCCGCCAGCCCACCGGCAGGCGCCATTTCTCACTTATGGTATATAATGAAGAGAGAGGTTGTTCCAAATTTGGAAAGACAAAAAAAAACACACTCATTTTTGATAACAGCCATCTCTCGATTTCTCTTCCATCTCTCGCGATATCTTCCAAGCACATGATCTTTGGAAAACAAAATTTTTGCACCAAACACTAAACAATTTTTTATTTGTTTGCATTTTTTTTTGTTTGAGCGTTTTTGTCACGTTTGAGAGCTTCATCTACACCAGAATTCTGAAATCTTGGGGTCAACTTTTTACTCAAAAACTATTTGTGTTAAAAAATTTTAATCCTCATATAAAGGATTGACTGAAATATCCAGCTTCCTGGATTGTCTGAAGATCTTAAATCGCCCCCATGTTTATTTTTAATCGATTTTGGTGTAGTAAGAATAATATTTCTGAAGAGTGTCGTCTTTTGTGGGTGTACACCTTCGGACAAGTTGTTGGCCGTCGGATTTTGCTTTTTTCAAACTATCGTGCGATTCCTGAAAAATAAAAATTTGGAGAATTTCAGTTGAAAAAAAAAGAAGAAGAAAATCTGAAAAAATTGAGCTCGAATTGTGCAAGAAACTATTCGCAAAAAGTTTAGTCCGCAATCACACCGCACGCAAATTTGCACACATTTTTTTTTTCGCCGAGGAGGATTGATTACACCTCGAATTTCGCACACGATATCCAAGGTTAATTGTTTCCCTTTTCGCTAGGCAGAAAAATTCGAAAATTTTGTCAAAAATTTTCAATTTCTCTCCAGAAAACCGGAAAAAAGCGAGCGTCGAAAATTCATACTAATTGCATTTTGGAGGGGGGATCTCTGATGGCTCAATGTCACATGCACGTGTTGACAACAAACTCTTCTATTAGTTCTTTTTCCGTTCTCACATACTCAACCACCCCCCATTCCTTCCATTGAGCTTGTTCCGATTCGGATCCATTGCGATATGTTAATATTGTTTCGGAATCATCTCGAAGCGCGGCGACGACAGAGTGTTGCCTTGTGAGAGACGCCGACGCATTTCTTCAGTCCAACTCCCTTTTTTGAATGACATCGCGAATATCTCCATATTTGGTCGGTTTTGCGCACCATATTTGGAAAATTTTGTGCATTTTCTTCCCATTTTTGGAAAATTTTGAAAGATTTCCCAATATTGTAAATAAATACTTGAAAATGCCTGTTTTGAACATTGATTTTTTTTCAAAATTTTGAGGCAATTGAATATTTTTTTCAAATTGATTATTGGCTACTTGGTTGAGAAAAAGACACCAAGGAATTTCCGGGAAAAAATGATTTCTCATCAGTTTTATTATTTGCTGAAATCGGCCCACATGTTTTTATTATTTTCCAACAAAACTGTCCACCATATGTTTTCGAAATCGGAGCGGAATTTTTCGCTGAAAAAAAAACAAGGCAATTAGGTGAGAAAAATATTGGCCAAGGGCAAATTGATGTGGGAAATCGTCGAGGTGATAAGAGATTGAAGTCGGTCAGTCCGTTTTTTAGAGGGATTTTTCTAAAATCATATCAGATTTTCATCAATTCGGTCATTTTTAAGCATTTGATGTGTACGGAATTCCTAATATTGTTGAAAAAAAGTTCCTCACAAGATTGTCAGAGATTATTTCCCTTTTGAATATCCGCTCTACACGATTTGTGAACTGTCTGTCGCCTGCCGTCTCTCACTATCTCACACTATTTCCCAGCCTGTATCATAATATCGGGGAACCGTCTCGCCCAGATCGAAGATTCTAGAATGAGAACCGGAATCAGGAAGAACGTTTGAATGCTTTATAGGTCTCCAGGGTTCCACAACAATTCGCTCATCTTGATTGCAAAAAGGCTCCTCTGCCCGATTTTTCATTTCACTCTGAAAATACATGTATTGTTTTTTTTTTCGTGAGAAATATTGTTTCTCTTTTATTTGACTTTGAAATTGCCGCAAAATTCTCGATTTTTCCGATATTTCTAAACAAAAAGTTGTTTTTTGCTAAAAATGTTTCTTTTGGAATGCCCGCAACAGTAATTAAAATTGTTTGATCGTGTATCGCCAAATTCCACAAAAATTCTTCAAAAAATTCAATTTTTTGATGTAAATTGGGGGCTTTATTATCACAATTCACTATATTTTCATTTAACGTGAGTCGTTTCGCGACCGTTGAACACTTTTGTGTCTTTAGTAACCAGCTGGTCACAATTACAAGCTTTGTGAAAAAACCATCTGCCGACGTTTTAGCGAAAATTGCTGCGGCTATGATTGAAATCTTGTGCTGCAAAAGATATATTAATTTGAACATTTTCTTCCAAATGGCATGTTTCGTTGGACCCGCCACACACACACACACACCCTCATAATGTGAGTGTGATCGTGCAGCCCCGGCCCTGCCGGACCCGTCGTTCAGTGTTTTTTGTGCGTTTTGCGCGCTGTCCCGTCCTATTTTATTCATCCATTCGTCGGTGGCGGTCATTTCGGCACCCGTCAGGGGCAGCAGATGGCTTCGCGCGCTCTCTTCTCCGTTTTTTTCGCGGTCATTTTTCCATCATTTTTAATGTTGTTGTTGTTGGTGTTGTTGTTGTTTTCGTGTTTGCTTGCTTGCTTGCTTATTCTTTTCCCTCCCGTATTCAATTTCACCATTTTTTTTTCTGGACGGCAAATAAAATGTGAAGATTATGGCTGAATCGAAAATAGCGCGCACTTTTGCGTCGATAGCCGTTGCGCGGTGTGCATTATTGCGTCGCGGTGTTCACATCCACAATTTCAAATTCGCCCATTTTTTTTTACGCCGCCTTATTTTTTCTGCGGAACTCCTTTTTTTTGCAAACGTCTCGAATTCTAGGTGGAGAACCATGTCATCATTGCGCCAACATCAAAATCCGGCACCGGATCTGGAAAGCGGTGAAGGACACCATGCCAATAAGCGGCCATACACGCCGGGAGCGAGCCCGAGAGGTTTGATTTTCAATTTTTGAAACGATAAAAAATTCAATTATCTTCAGAGATTCTCCTGTCGCAATCGCATCGCGGTCATATCTCGTCATCGCAGTATTCGCCGCACGGTTCACGATTCATGGAAGGCTATCGGAGAAGAATTCGACAAGCAAGTCTCAATTTGCCATCCGACACGAAACTCGACGAAGGTGAGCTTTCTTATTTATTATTTCGAATGGTCCGCAATTTGTTAAATTCTGAATATTACTAATTTTTTTGTTTAGATTGTAAAATTAGGAAGAAAATTGTTTAATTCAAGAAAATTTTTAATTGATTGTTTTACAAACTATAAGAATAATTTTAAAGGTTCAAATAAAAAATTTTCTTCAAATTAATTTGTAATGATCCATTTTTTCCAATAAAATCCAGAATTAAAGACAAATTTAATCATTTTGAAATTTTTTATAAACATTTTTATCATTTACCAAATTTTGAAATTCCATAAAGTTAACAATCTTAATATTTTTTACGTTAATGTTGTTAAACAGAGACCTTCACCATCTCTAAATTTTTATTTTAAAAAATTCAATAAAATTGAGTAAAAATCCGATCGTGATGATCAATTTTTCGAAATTTACTTCCTCAATCCAAATGTTTGCTCTAAAAATAGATTTTTTAATTTAAACGAATTTGATTTAGATCTTGGATTTCCGCCGGTCTGCTCACCGCCACCGGAAGTGTTCAGCGGAACCGTGGGCGATAATCGCGGAGCCATAAGAATGCGTGATCGATCGCTATCGGATGCGGTTCCATCGATGCTAGGCATCAGGTGAGTCATCAGTCATTCAATAAAATCGTTTCGATGAACTTCAGAAGAGCTTCGAATAGTAATGGAGGTGGAGCATCCGGCGGGCTTCTCGTCTTCTTCCCAACATCTCCATCATCGTCAGGGAATATACATGTAGCGAATTCGTATGGTTAGAGTTTTATCATATTCGTTCTTTGCACCCAATATGCTATATTAATAGTGTAGTCATGCGTTTGGTCTTTTTTTGTTGTAAATTAATATTGCACATATGTTGACACAGTAACCATACGTAAACACCGATTACCAATATTGCGGAATACAAAGTACTTTTATATTGAAAGGTGATTGATGTATTATTGGAAGAAAAGTGCAAAAAATGTGCAAAGCGCAGGGAATATGAATTTTTTAGTAAGGGGGGTTACGGTGTGCATTGTTGGAAAGCAAGTCCGCAATATTTCGTAAACAATGCGGATTTTTCATTTACGGTGGAACTTTGCACTTTTCTTTTCATTTTTCGGAATTTAAGTAGTTCTTTGGTTTTTAGGTATCAGTTCAAGCCGCCGCGAATCTTCCACAGATGAGACGATACCACAGCGCAGTAACTGGACCACTGGTAACAGTATGGATGACGATGAGTCGAAAATTGATATTGCCGAGGACGCAATTGTCGCTGAGGATATTTTGTAAGAATTATTTCGAGAAATTTTATACAATTTAATTATTTTTAGGATGAAAGAGGCCGAATCGTCTGGATTAATCGGACGAGACTCGCGTAGATCTTCAGATATTGGAGGTATTTTTGTTTTGCTGATCATTAAAAAAAAATGCAATGAAATACACGCTGGTCTTTGCCTCTCTGCTAGAACGAAGAACATAAAATACTGGGAATCCTTATTCGGACGTCATCACGAGTTTTCGGCCTTTGCGTGTTTTTATCTCACTTGTTGCTTGATGCACTCTGGAGACTCAGCTCAACTTTTTTTTCGCTTCGTCTACTGCAATGTTTGGAGAGCACCAAGAAAATTCATTTGAGCACAATTAAATGGCCGATGTGCACCGAATCGCATCGCGTGTTCTTTTCCGGAAGTTTTTCCCCATTTTTTGTGCTAAATTGATCAAAAGAATTGCGTTTTTTGGGTGTATTGTAAATTTTGTATTAATCATGAAGAACAATCGGACGAAATAGTACAAACAAAAATCCTTTAAAATGTTCGATTTCAAGTTTTTCAATTAAAATTTCACATTAAAAAATGAAAGCAATCTAAATCTAATGTATATTTTCGAAAATAGAGAAAAATCTGAAATTGATTAAAAAACTCAAATTCATTTTTGGGTCTTTTGAATTTCCAGGAAACACCAAAATTTTGTCGATATAAAGCTAAAAAAAAATTCGAGATAAAATTAGTCATTCGATATTCAATCATGAATAAATTCATCTCTCGAGAATTTTTTGGCAATAACAAATGGTTTTCGTGGAATTCGTATTCACAATTAGCTGCAAAATTGAACACCCACCCCCAATGGGGGTCTTGCTGTGTTTTCGCGAAAAATAGACAAAAAAATTCATTTCCGGAAGCACTATTCCGTTTTTTTCTTCTTTTTCGTTATTCGCTTCGGATGTTTATCGAACTAGATTTAATTGCCTGCTTATAATCGCATCATTTGCCGCTTGTTTGTTTCTGTTTCTGGCCGGCAAACGCCATATTTGGAAATTTCGATAATGGAAATGCGTCCAGGAATGAGATTTGATTTGACTTTTCGTGAAATCAATCATTCAGCTATACTATCACTATTTTCACATTGTGAGCAACCACATTTCAAATATTAATATGTATATTCTAGAGCCCCTGGAAGACAAACTTCTTCGCTGTTTGAGCTATTCGTGTTCTTGTGGGCCCATTTTTTTTTATTGGGACCAGTTAGGCTTTTGATGTGTTTTCAAAACTGCGAACAGCTGGCTTGTGCTGTGAATCACGTGGCTTCATCATCATCAACTCATTCTGCCGAATTATCTAGTTTGATTTGTGTGTGTGTGTGTGTGTGTGTGTGCCAAAATGCGTTTTTGATCTCTTGGCAATTATCTATTTTGCATCATTTTTCTCGTTATCAGTTAGTCTTTGGTCGGTTGGCGAAATGCGACCAGGTTTTGCCGATTTGGATTGGTGGGAAATGGGATATTTCTGGGTAGAATTGCCATTCAACAAATCGATTGAATGATTTATTCGAATAAACACAGTTACGGCAAGCCCCCCTGATTAGGAAAACAATGTAGTGTAAACGTTTCTCAGAAACTGTTCAATTTTCAGCTGAAATTGACAAAAAAATGAAGCCTAAAATCGATTTCTTAAATCGTATCGGTTATCGGTTCCTTGATGTGCATATCTCCTTAAATAGGAATCAGGCTTTTAGTAAGCACAGTTCTTAAAATTGATTATAAACGATAATTCATTCAAAAAAAATTAGTCCTAACATTTTTTTTTTGAATAATCAACAGCTTTAATGCTTATTATATCTATCTACAGTACTCCACTAGGCTCGTTAATTTCCCGCGTTATCAATAAAATGTGCTTATTTACCCCCCATTGAAAATGTGCTGGTCAGCATGGTCAGCCATGAGATGTAAAGAAGAATGACGATAACAGCTTTTCCCCCGTCTTGATTAACTTCAAATTGTGCTATTTTGTTCGAACCTGATGCTCAAACAGAATGAGTTTTCCTCCGTTTCGGAACGTGCCCGTTTTTGATCGTTCTTTAAAACTGTGTTAGTTGCATTCAGTGACGAACAATCACAAAAAATTTGCATTATCCATGATATTTTGAACTGTTATGGTCGTATTCTGATATTTGCGGGGTTTGAATTTCTCGTTGTTGGCGCCTAATTTGCCGGCCGCATTGTTTGGTTTTTCAAAAGATTTTCAATTTCGAATTTATACTATTTTATGTATTTCTGTTGACAAAGTGCAAGAATCCAGAGACGAGATTTAAGGGCAAAAAATTTGCATATTGAACTTGCCGCATGCGTTTTTTCTCCCGGCAACCGCTGAAAACATTGCCAGTTTCACTTGATTTTTGGCAATTCGTGCCTTTCTAGGTTTATCCAAGCTCTTTGATGTTCTTGTGACCTCGTGGTGATGGTGGTCAAGAAGAGTGGGTGCTGCGGCTCTTGGAGCAGCAACCGAGAATGATTTATGAGGAATGGAATGCTCTTCGAGAGTGTGTGCTCATGTGTGTGTGTGTGTGTGTTTTTTTTTGTTGTTGTGGAAATTGGAATCAGCACGCAAACTCTCATCTTCTTCGTCGCTGCCGCCTCCTATCATCCTCGATTTTGTTTTGTTTTCGCTTTATTTGGTTGAAGAATCGCAATATTTGGGCAAACATGCGTTATCGTTCGGCCCTCGGCCATTTTTTTTATCGCACTCTACTCTTGAAGTTGGCGCGGTCTCGACGAGACATGTCGGTCTTTCGAATTTTAATAGGGACGTGTAGATCAATAGGTTACTCTTTTCAACTAGCTGTTGAAGCTATTAGAGATTACTACCACGAGATCGATGTTTGAAGACGCACCCCCCCCCCCTCAAAAGGAGTTTGTTCACCTGAGCTTCACCATTCTTTGGGGTACTGCACGAAGAAAATTGTGCCGCCATACAGGATTTCAGATAGATTTTCTAGGAATACCCGAAAATGTCGGAAATTTGTACGTTTTTGAACAGTTGCTCGTGAAATTTCTGCAAAAACAAGAAATCTAGAAAAAAACATGTAAAAATAGTTGAAAGAATCAATCTTCAGGTTTTAAAATTATATTTTTATCGCGACTGGATATTTCAAAGAACTTCCATACCATCATTTGAAGATCAACTGAGCGAAGTTGAAAATTTTTAATTGAAGCTTTTAATGAGTTCATGAAATTAAAAAGAACCATGTTCTCTTGAATCCAAAATGAGCATATGCTTTATGGTAGATCAACGTTTTTTGTTTTCTGGCCAACAGTGTTGGTTTCTGATACGTTATTCGATTGGTTAAGTTGTTTGCAAGAAACAATGTGTCCGCAAAATGTTAAGTACTTTATTATTATTATTTTTATTATTGATAACGGTCATGTGAACCCAGTCCAGTTGGCCATCAATCATGGTAGCCAACTGCGATAGGGTCTTTTTTGATTTTCGTCGTCTATAATACGTTGTTTGCAATGATAATTTGGCCTCTGACCATTCGCGAATTTGAACATTTGGGATCAACGCTTTTATGGAATGAACCAGTTTTTCGAAAACATTTCTAGGCGGACCGTTTCTTTTTCGCGACGCATCAATCACTTGTCTCTCTCTCTCTCTCTCTCTGTCCTTCTCTCGTTGACATATTTGGAAGAAGAGAACCACATAATAGGGTTTTTGTTTGTTGCGGAAGAGATTTTTGATCAGAAATTGCGGATTGAGTGGATAATTTTTTCTTCCAAATACTTTAAAACTCAACTCGCCGTTTTTTTTTTTGGCCATTTTTTTATTCGAGTTTTATGAAACCAGCAATCTGAAAATTGTGAGATTTGGAAACATTTTCTTCTTTTGACGGCAAAAGCTCAAGAGAATTTGAGTAGCTTCAAAAAGCTTAAAATTGATCAATGGTTCCATAAACATTTCATAAAAGTTCTTGGGTTTTTGGAAAAAAAAACTTTTGACGAGAGCTGTCCAAAAAGAGGAATCGTATTTTTTGTGGCACAAAAGTGCAATGCACCATTTGCCAATTAAAAACTAATTGGTGAAATTTGAGAACTCCGATTTACGTTTATTTTTTGCCTTCGTGAGTGGACGGCACGTTTCCTTCGAAATCCTCGAAGCTTGTCCGTAGCTGTGACTCGACTTTTCTCATATATGGGAAAGTGTTTTTTGTTGTTGTTGGGCTCAAGAAGATTGAGTTTTTCTTTCTCGTTCAACTCCAATAAAAGAGGGATTTTTTGTGCGGATTTGACGCGCTTCAACACCCATACATGAATATTTTTTGGACGAATTGCCGCCTTTTTTTTTCTCAATTGCCACTTGTCGTCGTTTTGTTTTGTTTGTCATTCTTGACGCTTGAAATGTGCATTTTCATTTTCAAGGAATTGGTGGCCATGGCTGCGCTTTATAGTTCGAGCAGCTCACCGACGGAAGCCGAGCTTATGAGTCCGCCGATTCCGCCGTACCCGATGCCGGCATCGTCGGCGCCCGCCGCGCTTATCATTTTGCTCGCCGCCTCGCCGGATCAACAAGAATCGCCGCGACGAGTGATGTCGTCGAGAAGCGAGCCGACTCCCGGCCGACGACTCGATAAGTCTGTGAGCCTTGACGGCGGTGTGCCGATGAGCAGCTACTCGCTGAGCATTGATAGCGATGAGCGCGGTCTCAGCCCGCGGCGGTATGAGACGTATGATATCATCGAAGGCGAGGAGACGACGAGCACGGGCGATCAACCGTCGCCGTTGCCCGCGAAAGGAATTATGCGGAAATTCCGGAAACGGATAATGAGCATCGAGAAGGGCATGTCGACGCAAAGTAATCAGCGTGTATTTTATTGATTTCAAAAAATAATTGGAAAACCGATAATTTTTGGCAATTATCTTTTTTTCAGGCAATACACCGTCATCAACACCGAGCGCGCGAAGTATTACGGGATCGGGATCTGGTAAAATTTTGTTTTTTTTTTTTTCCGATATCCTATTATAGTAGCAGAAATTCTCCTATTGCGTTTTAAAACCCTATTGCTTGTTTTTTATTTGGTTTTAAATTAAAAAAAAAATCTGAAATCTTCAATGTTGAAAATTTTATATATTGATACCCTATCTAAATTAGAAAATATTATTTTCTGTTTTCATCTCCAAACAAATGTTTTTTTTTTGGGACAACTTAGAAAAGCTGGTTATTCTGAAAAAAATGATGAAAATAGTTTTTTTTCTCCCAATTAAACTTTTTTTTTGAGATTCTGAAAATTTATGGGTTTGTTTATAATAAAAATATCCAGACAAGTAAGCGGCTTAATTTTATTTTATGGCTTGCTGGTTTTAAGATTATTTCCATATGAGACCCTAGGCGATTAGTTTAGATACTAAGCTGCTGAAGCACACGGAAATAATTGTTAGCGTATAGCGATCAAAGTTAATGGAAAAATATGCGAATTTCCAGATTCTGAATGCAGCTTTTTACAAAAAAGGAAATTTTTCTAAGGTGCGGTTGACGCAACATTTTTTTCCATCAAAAAATGCCGACAAACAAATAAACAGACGTTTATGGGGGAAATAAACACGAAATTTAATGTGCGAATTGTTTTTTGAGGGTCTTGTGGTATTTTATGGTTTTATTCCTTGTATAAAATCAGTCGCGATGAAAGAATAATATTTCTTGATTCCATTTTGTTGTCCTAGTGGTGTCACGCTCTACTGTAAAGGTGGGATTGCTCGTCGCGAGACCTTCCGCCAATTCGTCGCAAAATTTTACCATAAGGTTTCTTATTTGAAGCGCACACCGATGTTATGTGTCTTGCACTCATCTTGTACGGCTAAAAATAAATTGATGAGTCAGATTGCTCGGAAATGAATAGAATACATGACAATTTGTAAATATTTTTGTTTCGGAGAGATACGAAAACGGTTGATAACAATCTGCCCCGATGATTTTATAATAACTCAGAAAATAGACGTCGAAAAGTGTTGTTGGGATTTTTTTTCTCATTTTTGACCACCCACTTGTTTATTTGTTTTTTTTTCTCTCCTTGTTTTTGATTTATTTATTATTGCAGGTGTCACATTTTCACCGAGATCTCGCCCGTTGTTCGTTGACACCCAAATGGCGAACACTGAATCGTTGAAGCGCAAGAGTCCCGTCACCCAAATGGTGGACTTTGTGCGTGGACGCAATCGCACTTATTCGGTTGGTTTAGAGCTCATCGCATTGCAGACGTATTTGACGTTAAATGTTTCTAGTTGCAGCTCGCTGGCAGCCCGATGACGTCGCCACAATCGGTGTCGGCGAGAGCGAGCGCTTCGTGCGACGCCCAACAAGGAATGGGTTCGCCGGCGCGGCGGCAAACGATCAGCGGACGCCTTCATCGCGCGTCGTTCACCGGCGGGCCGATTGGCAATTTTAGTGTTGGGCCGAAGAGCTTCGATTCGGGTCTGGATCTGAGCTCACCGACAATTAATCATACAGCGCTGCTCATCAAGGAGGTGAGTTGGTTTTTTTTTTGGAAAATCAAAAAAATGCCGAAATGTGTTGCCACGTGTATAAAAAAGAAGCCGACGTAAAATGTATAAAATATTCCACGGAATGCGACGAGGAATATTCGATGACGATGAAGAAGAGGAAGGAAAAAGGTTAATGCAATAACCGGATTATTGAATCTCTTAGTTTGCCTACCTGAAGAACTAACGGAAAAGTTTAGTGTTTGATGTATTTTTTTGCTTTTTGATATTTGAAATTTTTCCATACGCGCTTTTAACGATTCCTGACCGGAAGAAATGCTACCATTCACTGAATCGTGTCTCATTTTGCAATCCCGTTTTGTACACGCGCTTCGTTCCCACGGATTAGCGTATTTGATCGTTTCGTCATGTGATCTTTGCTATTCGGATTGATCGGTTGGTTTTTTTTGTGTTGTCCCTACAGTCGCCTCGTTCATTCTCCTCGTCGCTGTTCGTCGGAATGCATTGAATATGCAAACTGGAGTGACTTGACGAGGAGGCTGTGTTCCATCTCGCCGACTCGACGCAATGCTTCCTCGGTGTTTGCGCGTCTGCGCGTCTTCTTCGTCTCCGATTCGACCACCCCTTGTGACCAGTGGGCAGAGGAAAAGCTCGGACAATACATCATGTGCACTTTTAGCCTTTCGTTTTCCCTTTTTTTTAAGAAAAATTTTTTTGGATTTTGAAATTTGATATTCCGAGGCTGCGGGTATCGGGTAACCCATCAATGATGTTTCCATTCATTTTTTTTCTTCATTTTTCAATTTCTTCTTGTTTCTTCCTTTTTTGAACATATTATGCCCCCCATCTGATAAATATTTAGAACACGACGTCGTTTTTGCTCTGTTTCTCTGCAGGGCTTCACACGTGCCGGCTCGCGCGCTCTCACACACGCTCACACACACATTGCATTGCAGAATTTAGTTTTTCATTCCTTTTTTAGTCAATTCGGTCTTTACTGCTAGCCGCCTTTTGTTTTGTTTTTTCTTTTGTCAAACGCAATTTTGATTGATTTTTCTTTTTCTCGTGTTGAAGAAAGTGGAGAAGCCGGTCGCCGTGTGCCCTCAAAATGTACCCGGAAAATGCAATTTTGTGCTCACGCGAGGTTTTTGAACGAATAGGGCGATATTTGCAAACTAATATTCAGTTTTGTTTTCTTCTTCTGGAAGTTTTAGCCGAAATTTTGTAAATTTTCAAACATTTTTTCCGGATTTTTTTAAAAATTATAGTATCAATTTCCTCAATTAAAACTTTAGTTTGATTTTTTTCTATTTCTGAATTGGTCTAACGAAATAAAAAACCGACTATTTTTGAGTGGTTGAAAATTGAAAATTTCAAAAAATCTTGAATATTTTTTTCTAAATTTTGAAAAGTTTTTTTTTCTATTGCGTAGCTAAAAATGTTGAATTTCCGCTTCATGAATGTAATTTTGTTTGATTGACATATTTTTTATTCGAGAAGAGAAGAATTTCGCAGTAAGTGCGAGAATTGGATCCATCGTGTTTTATGAAATTCTTTATTGCCAATAATAATCATGGAAATTGACTAGAAATCAACACCACGCCCACTTTCGAGGAATATGAGCGACGCGTCCACAAACGTGATAAATTGTTGAGCGCCACACAGCTCGGTTTCTTTTTTTTTGCCCGCTTCCTAAACAGCTGCTGCAATATGTCTCAGTGTACACGTGATGGCTTCCGTAAACATCCTCGAATCCTTGGTGTTCGATTAGAAACGAATTTGTCGTCGAAAGACGACGTCACTATTTTTTTTCCGATGCTTCTCCAACTGCATAGGCTGCTTCGTTCGTTCGTTTCATCCCTTGTTTGGGGGGGGGGGGTTCTTGCCGCCCGCTTTTGTTATTATTCGATTGGTGTCGCCCAAGCTCGTCGCGCCCTTCTCCATCTCCTTCTCGTCCTGAGTCGTTGTTGTGGCTGCTTGGCGGTCAGGCTCGGCGCCTTCAGAGTGCAGCCGCCAGCAGAAGCACCCCCCTCCTCACCCCATCTATTCTTTTTCTCTTTTTTCTCGTTATATTTTGTTCGTTGTGGTCCGTTTCGCTATCTCATTGTCTCACTCTATTTTAATTGTTTTTGCTGGCACAACCAAACTACATACGTGGCCTTATTTGCCTTTTCGGTTACGGTAGGGCCACCATTCGAATAGGAACCTTTGAATAGATTAAGTGATAAAATGGGGAAGAATTTTTTTTCGAAAATCTCACAGCGAAATTCCCATGAGTTGTTTTCTCCCACCCGAAACTTGACTATTTCAGGATTACGGCAGCAAAAAGCAATCTTCGAGATTTATCTCATACGCTGATCCCTTTGGATTATAGCGTAATCTCATTTCAATTCTTAAAATATTTTTCTTCCTTCGTTCTTTAATTCCGATTTTTGATCGCGTTCCATATTTGGCATTGTATATTTGCTTAAGCATTTAACGTACTTTTGTAGTTGGTCTTGGAGGGGTCCCGTCTATTCATTCTCTCGACTCGTCTCTCCTCCCTTCATTTCGCGTTCCGTCGGCTCGCTTCTTTCCACCATCCTGTCCTTATATGTGTGTTTAATATTGTATGTAGTACGAAAAGTTAGTTCAAACCAAATGTGTCGACAAATAAAGGCGGTCCAAACGCACAGCGAACAACGTGTGATTTTTTTTTTATCGTGAGCAATGCACGCAAAAGCTCAATTTTGGCGGAGTTTGCAATTTTTGAGGACCCAACTTTTTTTTGGGTGTTTATGAGATGTTAACGAATAGTTTTGTGGTTTTATGGGACCCTTGAGAGATTTGGCAAATTGCCCGCAGCAGGGTTTTGAGATACTCTTGCAAATTTTCCATATACAGTACACGCCAATATTTTGATTTATTTACGCCACGAATATCGCTAGTTGCGGGACCCAGCTTCACCTACTCCATGCGCCTTTGATTTTGGTATTTTGAAATCATTTTTAGCACATCTTCAAATTATTTTCATTTTATCCTGAAGCGGACTATTTGGTTTCTAGAATATGTCATTGTTTAAAGACGCAGGTCCGAATTTGAGTTTTAAGCAAAAAAAAGAAGTTTTCTATTTTTGATGCATAGAGACCCTCATTGCTAGTAGTTTTCATCGGGTCAGTGCAAAAATTTGCGTTTCTTTTCAAATATGTCTTTTTTTCCCTTTTCAAAGAAGGACTTTGATATTCTATTTGCACCCCTTTATTTCCGTTATTGTTTGGTAGATGGATTGGCCGTGCGTGTTTGTCGGGCCCGACCCCGGTTCAGACCCATTTTTCGCACCCTAACCCAAATATTTTTTTTTGTCCTTCTCGTTGGTGTGTTGAAAATGGTCGGTCAGAGCTCTGGTTGGCTCGTCGCCTGGCGTCGTTGTTTGTTTAGCTCGTTTGAATCGATTCTCGCGCGCCCCGCGTTTCGCGCTCTACCGAAACTTTTGGTTTCTTTTGTGTAACTCCATATTTGGAAGGCATTATTATTACTGGTTTGACATTTGGGGTTTGGTTTTGGGTTTTTGGTTTCGTTCGAGACTCTTATATTCGAGCGAGCACTCATGGCGTACCAGTTCTCGATCGTTTGAATTATCTTGACGAATCATGGATTGCAAAAATCTTAGTGCTTCGAGCAGGAGGTGAACCAGCGATATTATAACACGATTTTACATGGACGGAACCATTAGTTGTTCGTAGATCAAATACCTTTTATTCGAATATTCTGCGAATCAAAGGCACACACTTTTATGAATTACAGTAACGGTGTTCATCATTTTTTGTTATTATAAAAAATGTAAATTAAAATTTTAGTCATTTTCTTTTTGCTAATGCCTTTTGAGCGTACTCGATCCAATCAGCTGGTTGTTTAGATTTTGGGTCCTCCGACACTTCGAATCCACGCGATCCGATCCCATTCGATACTTGTAAATACTTGTGCTTCAAATAGTGTCAACAAGCGAAATCTCAACGATTTGCCATAAAATTGTGTTTTTGTTCGCGAAAAATCGATTATCTTGTGTCCACGCCCATTTTTGGTTTGCCAACCTTTGGCAATTATCAGTGTATGTCGGCCGATTCGTTTCAAGTTTTGTTTTTGATGATCGCGTCGTCGATTCATTCGTTTTTTGTTGGTGGGCCGGTAGAAAACGAAAAAGAAGAACACAATATTGTTCGTCGTCATTTCTATCCGTTGATGGTCGTTCTGTGTCCTTTCAAGGAATTTCATCGACTATCAATCGCATTTTTGCTCCGGTTTTTTTCTGCCTCGTTCCTGTAAGGCGATTATTCAAATTTTTGTTAAGCGCTCACACTCGCGAGTGTTTTCCTCCCCACATTTGATTTGCACGTTTTCGCCATTTTTTTTTGGGGAGCTCTTTCTTGTTATAAAAAAAGGTTGATTAACAACACTCCACTATTAACGGTAGTTTTCGGTTTACCGTATAATGCAACTACATAGTTTTGTTTTTTATTTTACAACCCAACTTTTTCGTTTTCTTTTTCTTAGGAAAGTTGAGCAGTTTGACGCTTGAGATCAGGAATCATGACATATGTCATCCCACCCTCAATTTCTTGTCAGTCTTTGGCAGAATGGCGATTCGAATCAATAAGTCATCATTGTCGGCGTCTCTTGTCTATGAATGATCTCTCATCAGCGAGTTTCGAAAAGCTTATAGATTCTTTCGTTCTCCCTTCTCGCCGTCGGCGGCGGCCCGCTTGTTTTGTTTTATTTGCGTTTGCGGTTTTTTTTTCGTGGTTCCAATCATCCATATTTCTTATTTTGTTTTTAAGAAATTGGAAAAATGTTTACGTCACGCACGCATCGTGCCAGGTTGCTGGCGCGCTTTTTTCGTGTTGATAAAATAGACACAAATTTTGGCGAATCGAATTTGATAAATTGATGAATCGTTGGCTGATCATATCATCAAAACGCTCACTGAATCTCACTGTATGTTGTTGTTGTTGTTTGTTTTCGTCAACTTACTGGTTTTTTGCTCTCGTTTTTTTTTTCAAGGATTAAAGGCGCATTAGGCAGTTTTTGAAAGGTTTTTGTTTTTCTCAAATTTTGTCATTGACCGGAAATGGCTAGATAACCCGTTTTTCGAATTGCCATTATATCAGTAATTGGATATCGGTTGGTATGTATAATCGGAGCGAGGACACGACGACCCCGAACATGTGACTTAATGATAACGATGACGTTTCACTGAGAGTATACTCATTATCATAATGGTCTATAATGCAGTGACCTTTTTTTCCATTCCTCGCTAGGTTTTTGAATTTTTTGATCTACATGTTTTTTATTGATCTTTCTCTCTCTCTCTCTCCAATTTGTCCTTATCAATTTTGTACTCTATCATGTGATTTTTGGTTCTTTCGTCATCTTCTCTCTTTTTTGTAGCCTTTGAACTATTTTTTCCATTTTTTTAGACCAATCTCCTCGATTCATTAGGGGGCTATTTTGTGTTGTCGTTTGAACACACTGAATGTCGCATAGTATATTCGTTGAATCGCAAGCAACCACGTGAAACCGACGCCAAAATTGAGAAGCATCGCGGCAGAATGGTGGCCAAAGGCAGCCGGAGTACACCGCCGGCGGTGACTCCGCCGCCGATTGGCGATCTCGCGATAAGCGTTGATGAGGAGCCGGTGGCGTCGAATAAATTGGCGGTGCCGGTGGCGAAGAAGGGGGGATGGATGAAGCAGGCGAAGACGAAAGCGTCGGGCACGCTGAGACGAACACTGTTTGGTAGAAGTACGAAGCGGAAGACGAAAGATGCCGAGTATGAGATCAAGGAAGAGGAGGAGGAGGAGGAGTACACTGATAATTATGATACTGTCAAATCGCTGCCGGCAACTGGACACTATGGAAAATCGAGGGTTGGCAACACGTCGCACACGAAACTTCAGGATCTCGCCGAAGATTTGAAGGCGAGAACGAATCGCGCCAGCGATTTGCCGCCGAAACCGCCGGTGATCATCTTCCGAGTGCCGCGACGACACGTCAACTCGATGTCGTCGCTTCGATTGTCGCCTGGAGCGAATGGTGTCGTCAAAGCGCCGCTGTCGGACCCGGTTTTCGATTTTTACACGTGGCACACATCGGCCGATGGTAATTGATTTTTATTGGGGTTTTTTGTTAATTGCAGACATCGTTGTTCTCGTCGTTTGATTCGATGTCGATCGGCACCGCGGTTCCCGATATTAACGCGATATTTTTTGGTAGGAAGAGAAGAAGAACAAATGAATTGTCATTTATTTCGGCTGCAAAGTGGACGATTTTAGCGAAAACTTTTTTTTTCCCGCCACAAATTTCAGATCATTGATGATTTTGTGTGTTTTTAGACAACCATGACGCGGTATACTCGCTTTTCATGAAGGCTCACAAGTGCTATGATTTGATTCCAACGTCGACGAAATTGGTGGTGTTCGACACCCATTTGCCGGTTCGTAAAGCGTTCTATGCGCTTGTCTATAATGGGGTGAGAGCTGCGCCGTTGTGGGATTCCGATAAGCAACAGTTCACTGGAATGCTCACCATCACGGATTTCATAAAGATCCTTTGCAAGTAAGAAACGTTTTTTGAGATTCGATTATCGAAATTTGTCATTTTCTAGGCATTATGATCAGGGAGATAATGCTGAACGAATGCGGGCCCTTGAGGATCAGCAGATCAGTCATTGGCGTGATCAATTCGAGAAGGACGGATCGCTTCGTCCATTTGTCTCGATCGATCCCAGTGAGAGTCTGCATCGAGCGGTTGAGATTCTTTGCGAGTCGAAAGTCCATCGTTTGCCGGTGCTTGACCGCAAAACTGGAAATATAATGTACATTTTGACACATAAACGCATTATGAAGTTCCTTTCGCTTTATGTGAGTTGTTTCGAGGGAGTCGATTTGAGTTTGACCGTTTTTTTAGATGCGCGACTTGCCACGACCGCAATTCATGAATTGCACACCGCGAGAGCTCGGAATTGGAGCGTGGGGCGAGATATTGTGTTGCCACATTGATACGCCGATTCATGATGCTCTTGAGTTGTTCTTGAAGAATCGCGTCTCGGCGTTGCCGCTTGTCGATAAGGATGGACGGGTAGGCTCATTTAATCATTTTAAACCAGAAAGACGAAATTTAGGTTGTTGATATTTATGCGAAATTCGACGTGATCAGCCTGGCTGCTGAGAATTCGTATGATAAATTGGATTGCACTGTCCAGGAGGCGCTCCAGCATCGCTCGGAGGTTTTGAAAATTAAAGCTAAACTAGCGTTTTTCTTGAAATGCTGATTTTCAGTGGTTCGAAGGTGTTCAAACGTGTCTAGAAACCGATTCACTGTTCCAAGTGTTAGAAGCAATTGTGAAAGCTGAAGTGCATCGTTTCATTATTACGGATAGCGAAAAGAAGGTGAGTGAGCATTTTTTTGTGGATTCAACATCATCATCATTAAAATTTGACGAACGAATTTTAGGTTGTTGGAGTTGTTTCGCTTTCCGACATTTTGAAGTACTTGGTGCTGGATCCGTGCCAAGAGCCGCCATCGATCACGGCGCCCGCCGGCGCTCCGAGCCGCACGGCGAGCGGAACATCGACGGGCGGGTCGAGCGACAGCCCGCCGTGCAGTATTCCGGAGGGCGTTGAAGTCGAGGATGATGAGGACGAGGCGCCGGGACCATCGACGCATCGCCATTGAAACTTATACATAATATTGTGCTTGAGGTGTTCTTCTGGTGCTCACAAACATTCGTCGTCCCAAAGAAACCAGCCACTTACATGTAAAATATTCTGAAAACTATTCCCAATTATATATTGAGAAACAAAAAGGGGTGAACCCGAAAAACGAATAAGTGAATAGAAAATTGTACATATGTTTTTGTGTTCCTTCCTCTCCCCCCTCACCCCATATACATATTTGATCGATTATATATATCTATATATATATATATTTATATATATATATATTTATAAATATAATATATTTATGTATACCATTTGTCCTTTTTTGCTCTACCCCCCAATCTCTCTGTCTACTCTCTCCCCTCCTACTATCCTTCTTATTTCATACATTCTGTGTTGGTTTTTTTTATTTCAATTTTTTGTTTTCTTCTTTTTTTTTGCTGAACGGATATGATTTTTTCTGCGACGGGGAATGTGCGGAATATGTTTTACATATTTTTGTTTTCTTCGATTGTTTCTCTTTTTTGGCTCCTGTCTCTTCATTTTTTTTGAGTGTACCATTTTCTTCATTACTTCCTAAGGTGACACCACCACATTTTATTTAGAGGTTTCATTATTTGTTTTTTTTTTTTGTTCTAGCTGAACTGAGATAATTGAGTATTTATTTTGTATAGTAAACGCCACACATTGTCTCGTAGAAGTTAAGCGAACACATTCACTAAAGTTTTTTTTGTTGTTTCCACTAATCACACGTAGATTGTTTCCTTTTTTGTTATTTGGTATAAAATACTATAACATGGCGTTTCAATTTTAGTGTTTTTTGGTTGAAAATTGCAGAAGTGGGGATTATTTTCTACGGTTTGGGTACTGTAGTTGTTTATGTGTGTGGAACACCGAGACACAAAGATACAGATTTCTAATGAGCGGCTCATTGCGACCTTTGCTTCCGTTTTGGTTTTTAGAAATTTTGCGAATTATTTTTAGTTTTTTTTTAATTTAGAAGGTTTAAGTCTAATTTTTGATAATATATTCGAAATATCACCAGGATTTTTCTATGTTTTAATTTTTTCAACCTGTTTGGCTCATAAATCAATCCAGTTGTTCAGAATGTCAGGCCCGACACGTAATATGCTTCACCAATACGGCCGCCGCGCCATTTTTGTCTCGCTGTTTACTGCTATCGGTTCCACCGTCGCGTTCAACCTCTTCTACACCTGGCCCCGCCATTATCGCTATGAGGAGTTCTTTGCGTAAGTAGCGCGAGATTAAAAGCTCATATCATAATTGTTGATCGATTTAGGAACTATGACCCATACAAGCGAATGAAGGAGATCTGCGAAACCAACAAAGGATACTTGCACACCTGCCCTCAAGAGCTTGCCAAGTTGTACGAGTCGAAAGGAAAACCGATTGCGGACAAGCGTTAAGAATCCATTCATTGAGAAACATCGAATTTAGAATGAAACATGCGCATGATACATCATTTATCTTAAATAAATAAAATGTTATATCATGGTGCTGGTTGCGGTGGTGGTGTTGCCGGAGAGGGTGTTGAAGGAGAGCTTTGTGCCGGAGGTATTGAGGAGGGAGATGTTGGCGGCAGGATGGTTTTGCTCTCCTTGAGAAGGAAAAGAGCCATGTGGTGGGCAGCCATCGTACCTCGTTTTTCGGGATTTTTGTTCCAACAAATTTCGACGACCTCGATGACTTCTTTAGGGGTTCCCTAGAAGCTCCATTATTTTTAAACAGCTTATTTCCAAATTTGGCTTACTTCAGGCATTTTCATCCGATAATCTTGAACAACGATCTTTGCGCGGGTCTGAACCGGTGTTAATCCTGGATAAGGCTCCTCGCCATCCGAATAAATCTCCCAAAGCATAACACCAAACGCCCAGATGTCAGATTTCAAGGAATAGATCTTCTCCTGCATTGTCTCCGGCGCCAGCCATTTGATAGGCATTTTGTCAAGAGTGGTGTCAACGACAAGGATCTTCTCATCAGCCATTCCAAAGTCCGAAATTTTGATTTCCTTGAAGCCATTGGTTTTCAAAACGTTTTAATCGTCATCATACATTTTTCGCTGACAAAAGGCAGTTCCTAGCGGCGACGTCTCTGTGAATGCAACCAAGCTTCTCCAAATATGAGAGGCCGTCGGCAGCTTCCAATGAGAATTTGAGCTTTTCATAGGGATGGACGTTTCCCTTATTTTTGCGGAGATAAGAAACCAAGTCGCCGTCTATTATCAAACATTTCTAATAGTGAGAAATATAGTTGAATGCAAACTTGGACAAAGTTCCATTATAATTAAAAGTGGCTGATAGTGCACAGCAATGCCAAAGATCATGACGACATGCTTATGCTGATAGGATTTGCGCATCATTCTCGCCTCCTTCATAAACCGCAGTCGAGCTTCTGTGCTGGCTTCTTGCCTCATCGACTTGACGGCGCAGTCAAGCATCGACGGCGACGTGGGATCCTCCATTTGGGCCAGGAACACCTCGCCGAACGCGCCGGCTCCCAGCTTTTTCACGAGAGCAAGACATTCGTGTTTGACGAGCCACACTGGACGGACAACTCGCTTCGTGATCACGGCCTTCGAGACTTTGGTAATTGGCGTTTCAGAGTTTCTGGAATTTTCGAGTAATTGGCGTTTCAGAGTTTCTGAAATTTTCGAGTCGATTACATATTTTTGTTGGTTTCGTCAATTTTTTTTGAATTTTTGGTGAAAAACTCTATTCATTTGTGATAATTCGCGAGATTTCGTCATTTTTCCTCTGAAATTAATTTTTTATACGAAAAATTTCATTTTTAGAAGTTCAAAATTGGTTTAAATAAGAAGCTTGAAAAAAAAAACAAAAAATAATTTTGATATCGACTTTTTTATTAAAATAAGGGGCAATGGAGAAAATATATTTTCTCACTTCTTTAATTTAAAAATTTTTTCTGCATTGCATCTTAAAAAAAAACAATTTACTTGTGAAACGCGACAAGCTCCGTAATGGTGGCTTCTTTGAAATTCGGCTCAAAATAAAATTTTCCATCTTTCTCTTGACTTATCGGAAAATGTAGGAAACCATCATTCATGCGAACCGAGAGAACAAGATAAATCCCGTTCGGCGCGTCGGCCTTCCTTAAAAGGAATTCGCCGTTGACGCGTAGTGAGAGTTCGGCTTCGACTCGCGGTATCCGACCGTGGTAATATTCGCAATCGCGTACATCTTGTGGTAAATCAATTAATGCCAATTCGCTCGCTGGTTTCTTCAAGTTTCAAACATTCCTTTTCTCGACCTCCTCTGTATTAAAAGCTTACTGAAGACATTACACAGATTAAAATTTGGTTGTCACACAACAACACAATAGGAATGAGAAATGAGCAATTTATTGGTCAACCCGTAAAATGACTTGTAAATATTTAATTATTGTCCTAAATCCTGTCTTGTTTGATTTTCCTTGAATCGAAGATAGTCTTCCATTTCCTGATGCTGCAATCGTGGCGTGGCGTTACTCCATCGCTTTAAACATTTTTATTTTTCGATGAAATCTGTTATACAATTTACCTTTATCACCATAGCTCCTTTATATGTGAAATATGCTGCGGTTACGGTTACAACGAAAAGCCCTGAAGCGTATAAATGTGCTCGGAGCTTTGGAGATATCATTCTGTAAGAAAGTAGACTGATTTTCCAGAAAAATCGCACAAATAATTGAGAAATATATTAAATGCGTCAAGTGTGGTGTTTGCACCGAGGAGGTGTGTGTATGCGCGTTTCCGACTGCTTACCGTAATCTGCCAAAAAATATTATTTTTTTTCCACTCACGTGGCGAAAATTTGTCATTTTCCACTGTTTTCTGATTCGTATGCGTTTTTAAATAGAACGAAATTTTACAGACATCGAATACGGGGATTAATCTTCGTATTTCAAAAAAATGAGTGGATGGCTTCGAAATCTTCAAGGACAAATCACCGATTTAGCCAACGAAGTGCTCAATGAAGCTTCGGAAGTTATAAATGAAGCAAGGGAAGAAGTTTCAGATCCAGATACAGAGCTTCAGGTGTGATTGAAATTTTTTAAAAATTAATTCAGTTGAATTTTGGCAGGTCGCCAAGAAAAACTGCGCAGAAGCGGAGAAAAAGTTGGCAATTGAAAATGCAAAAGTGAAATCTCTGGAAGATGAGAATAAAACTCTGCAACAACAATTATATGATGCCCACGTCGAAATTGATGCGGTTAGCGCAAAATTCACAAATATGGTCAAACAACGAGACGATGAAATCAAAAAGCTGAAAGTAAACTGAAATTTCGCTAGTTGTCCATACAGATTCCTAATTTGAAGGTTCAAATTGAGCAGATAAATGATTCTGGATGGAATCAGGGCGGAGATGAGGCTACTTCACAGGTTATCGAAGATCTTAAAAAGGAATTGGCTCATTGGAAGAGTTTAGTTGAAGAAGCGCACAAGGTGAATGACTAGAATATTTGAACTCTTAATTTAGCTGGTTTTTATTTTATGAAGTTTGGAAATATTGCATTTTTTAAAGGAAAACTACGTCCCACAATCTCAAGTAGAACGGCAGATCGAAGAATTGTGCGCGAAAAAGGAGCATGAGGTTCAATGTCTTGTTGAAGCTCACAATGAAGCATTAACGGAGCTGAGAGAGATGTATGAGGAGAAGCTTCAAGCTCTTCAGGCACGTTCACAATTTCAAAATCGCGTCTCATATTTTGATTTTAGCTTTGTAATGCTTCTTCGTCAACGTCGAACGCCGATACCCTTGACGCTGTGATGTTGGAGAAGGATGAGTTCACAAGGAGCAAGGCGAGCACGAATGGAAGCGAGAATGGAGAACGGCCAGTTGTCGTCGATCTTGGTGCACATGACGAGCTTGCTGACGAACGAGTGAAGCAGATTGAAGCGGAGCTTGACCGGATGAGAGAAGAGCGCGAGCAGCTGATCGCTGAACGCGATGAAGTTCTAGAAAGCTTGAAGTTTGCTGAAATTTGGAGAATTTTTTCTGAATTTTGTTGGTTTTTAGACTCCAAAACGCTGAACTTGCCAATGCTTATAATGATCTGAACACCGAATTTGAGACGTATAAGAAGGAGAATGCGACGGTTCAGACTAGGAACGAGGATTTGAATAGTAGAATCGGTAGGTTCTTTGAAAATGTTGATCAAAAATGGCTTCAACAAGCGTTTTTTTTTTTTGAATTTTCAGATAGTCTTAAAGCGAGTTTAATTGAATACGAGGAGAGATATGAGATGTGCAAACGAGAAAATATGGAGACTGTTGCGCAATTGGCGAAACTGTCCGAGGATTTCGATCGTCTTCGAAACGGCATCGCATCGGTTAGTCAACGACGCGAAAATTGCGACCATATGGTTAATGTGAGTCTTCTTCGAATGATATCGAATTCGAATATATTTTTTAATGCTCAGGAAGAGATTGAAAAGCTTCGCGAAGCTTTAAATGAGTCGAGAGCCGAGCGTGAACGCCTTCGCGAAGATGTGCACCGGTTCCAGGAAGCCGTTGAAGATATCAACAGCGAGCTGGAGAAGCTTCGCGATAGCAATCATCGTCTTCTTGCCGAGAATCAGGCTCTTACAGCGAATTTGGCCAAGTAGGAGTTGATTTTGTCCAATAGTATTTAAAATATCATTTTTGTTTTAGCTATGACGTCACGATGCGCGATATCATTTCAGCCAGTGAGAAGGATATTGTCGATTTCAAAGAGCAATTTAAGAATATTAGAGAGGTTTTTAAGAGAATACATATATCAATGAGATTTAACCCCAATTTTAGACTCATTCGACCGAGCGTGAAGCGGTGCTCGGCGAAAATTCGGCGTTAAGAAGTGAAGTTGAAAGTTTGAGGAAACAAAATGAGTGAGTTTTCGAAATCTCGTCGTATTGTTTTTTTATAGTGGAGGTTTCGCAAAAAAATCGATAAAATATATTAAAATACTCTGAAAACCCTATGCAAATTGCTTAAAAAACAAGTTTTTTTGGATTATTTCGAAATTTCATCTGAAAAACGGAATTTGAGAAACTTGAATTTAGCGAGCTTCATTTAAACGGTGTCGAAAAACATTTTAAAAGATTTTATCTCAAAAATGGGTGATGATTAATTTCAGATATCTTCATGAAGAGTCGAAGCTTCTTCGCGAAGTCAATGAAAAGCTGAAGGCGAAGAGTGGAAATGATGATACGAGAGCGGAATTGCTGGAAACTAAAATCAAGTGAAAAATCTGGAAGCGTTCATTTTTGTTGAATCTGAAAATTTTTTCCAGCCTTTTGGAGCAAATGAGGACCGAGTTGTCCGAGGAAAACGAGAATTTGAAGCGCGATGTGCAGTCTGCGAAGCATGAAACTGCTGAGAAGCAGACGGAATTGGAGACGGTTCGGAAAGAGCTCACTGATGCTCAGACGGATCCCGATTTAATCGAGGTGTCATCATTGTTTTTTTTTTTGCACGAATTTCAGCAATTTCAGTTTTTCTTTCCAGAAAATGAATAAGTTGAATCTGGCTCTTGACGAGAATCCAGCGATTGATCATGACGGTTTGGTTGCGAAGCTGAAGAGCATGATTGCGAATCAGCAGGCGCAAATCACCGAACTACTCGAGGCGAACACGGAGAAGTCGGAAGAGTGCGAAGAAGTTCGAAACGAGGTTCGAAATCTCGAGAAGGAGGTCGAGATTCGTCAGACTTGCGTTGATGAGATGATCTCGCAGACGAATACGCTTCAGTATCAGCAGCAGACGATGACGACGGAGATCAGCGAGCTGACGGCGAAACTTGTCGCCAAAGAACAGGAGTTGTTGAAAATGCAGCAGGATTTGGCGCATGAGAGGGATAAGATGGAGGAGATTGCCGAAATGGACGTTATTTTAGATTCAATTATTAAAGGTTGGTATTTCTTCGGAAAATTTTGAGTTTTGAAGAATCTCGTGTAAATGAAAATCAATCAGATTTGAAGGAGAATGATTAACTGAAATTAACCATTAAAAAAAAGTATTTAAATGCGATTTTAAAACATACAAAAAATTTGGAAATCGATTGATTTATTTCACATTTTCAATTTTAAAATCCAATATTATTGAAATTAGCGCCTGCTTTTCTATATTGGCGAGATATTATTTTTTTTCTTGATTCGGGCTTTTCTGAAGTTGAAAATTAGTATCAAATATTTTAATTTTTGAAAAATTACAAAATTTCAGTATTTCACCGTAAAATCATTTTTTTAATATGAAAAATAACTAAATTTTGAGTTTTTTTGAAAAATTTCAATCTTTTTTTTGTGTCAAAAATTGTACCAAATTTAAAAATCGTTGCAAAATGTTATTATTTTTTAGCAAAATGGCGAAAAAAATTGTAGAATTTCTAAAAATGTAAATAGGCCAAAAAAATTAAAAATGGACAAAAATTTATATATTTTTTATTTCTTTTTCTGCATTCGATTATAATTGAAAAAAAAAATGAATTTTCAGTAAGAATCCCTCACAATTGTGTCTTTTTCAAGATTTTCCTAGAATAATTTGAGGATTTTTGAAATATATATTTTTTGGCAAATCTCTGAAATTTCTTATTTCAGAAGCTGGTGATGATGTTCTTCCATATTCAACGACAAACCTGCCGTCGATTAGTTCTCAACAGAATAACCCTGTAAGATTCTTTTGAAAAAAAATCCCGAATGCATTTATTTAATGTTTTGTCCTTTTTTGTATTTCAGATTCTCCTCTTGAAATCGCGAGTGGAAATTGCTAGAGACATTATGGCGTCGCAACTTCGGGAATTAGAAGCGTTGAAAAAAAATGTAAGTTGTTATCGTATGTACATTTTTGTCTCGTTTAAAGGAGCATGCAAAGTCCGCAGAATTCAAAAAAGAAAACACAAATATTTTTTTTTCTTTATTTTCTTGTTATTGTTGTTTTTGTTTATTTATTGTTTTTTTTTTGTCATTTTTTGTTTAGGAATTTTTGTGGAAATTTTAGGCTGTTTTCAGCGTCGACACGTCGTTGAATGACTGATTAGCGAATAAGGTGAAACTGCGTTTAAAACAATATTAGGCAATTTGGAAGAATTGCCTAATTAAATAATTTTTGGGCGTTATGTGGAATCTGAAGAGAAATTTGAGGAGATTGAATATTTTTGGGATTCTACGTGACAAAACATTTTTGGTTTTGCATTCAAATGATGAATGTGTTTTTTTTTATTATTTTTTTTCTGCTGAATTGAATCTAGACCAACTTTTGGTGCACATGCGCCTTTAAACTACCAGAAGAAAATTGAATATTTTCACTGAAACTCTGGTAACTCGAAACGAATCGAATCCGACAAAATTAGACACAAGAATAAACCTTATTCGAGTTGATCCGAATTCTAATGATCAGATTGGATTTTTTCATTATTTATTGTTCGAATTCGATTTGAATTGAAAAAAAAATGAAAACAATTCGAATCAGACAAATTACCAATTGGATCCAACAATTTCACAATCGTATTCGCAGAATTTCCAATCGAATCGGATTGATTCCGGAGCTGAATTTTGCCGAATCCGATTGGTTTTGAGTTGCCAGTCAAAAATAAATATTTGTTGAAATTCGGCGAAATTTCCATTTGAAAACCATCACTTTCATTTTCAACATCATTTTTTGCTTGCCATACAGCCTTGGTCCCTCTCTTTCGAATTTTGGTATGACCTCAAACGCAAGGGTTTATGTTAATTACATACAGTGGCGAGAAGACAAAGACCCTCATTAATCCGTTCAAACCGGCGGAATTATCCATTGTTTAATCCCTAATGCCACGTGGAAGCTTCGATTTTGCGAAAATTTCAACATTGGCGATTTTTGAAGGAGAAAACGAGAGAGATTTGAAGCAAATATATTCATCTATTAGAAGAATTTTGCGACGTTGATAATTTAAGCTGCGGACAATATTGAGGGAATAAATAGTTTTTTTTATTTGTTTTCTTTTTTTTGAATTGCGCGGACTTTAAAAAAATGAATTCGTGGAGTGTTGAGGAATCAAGAGTTTTTTCGAGAAAATGAAGGTTTTCAAAATTCGCAATTAAAACCAAATTTTCGATTTTTTTTACTCAATTTTTGCAGGAAAAGGAAGAAGCTCACATTTTTCAACCTCAACAAAGCGAGGATGTCGTTTCGTGGCGGGAATTTGAAGAATTGGCGGCGGTACGTCTTCTTTATCATTTTCGTTTCAAAAAAAACCAATTGATAAGAGAATGGTCCCTTATTTATCGTCTGATATGTGTTTCCCCGACAAATTGGATCGATTAGACGTTTACAGAAAAAGGAAGCTGCTGATAGCGAATTGCAAAGGGCAATCGAAGAAGCGAGCGCGAATATTGAGAATTTGAAAAAGGTTGGAAATTTTTGAGATTTTTGAACAGTTTTGCTTTAATTTTTTTTAAAATATTCGAATTGATATGAGTCACATTGGCGGACCATCAATGTCAGGAAATTGCCAACAAAAATTAAGATTTATACGAAAATGTTGTCCTAAACTTGATTTTTATAGGAAAAAGAGGAGTCAGAGCACGAATTGAGCAATTTGCGAGAGGTATTCCATTTCCATTCATTTTTTTTCATCAATTTTTTTTTGTTAAAGGAAAATGAGAGGAATCGGCAAGAATTTAGGATGGAAAATGAGCGGTTGAACGCGGAAATTGAGCAATTGAAACAAGTAATTTCAATTTTTTTTTGAATTTTGAATTTTTGACGTGGAAAATTGAGTTTTTCAGAGCTTAAATGATGCGGCTGCTTCTGCGGAAAATGTGAGAATTGAGCATCCAATTTAGCTTTTGGCAATTCCCATTTTAGGCTTCATCATCGCAGGAAGATGCTCAAGCGCGTCAGCAACTCAGTTTGGAAAATGAAGAGCTGAAGAAGGCGCTCGTCGCTAAACATGAGGAGAGTGTCGAGTATTACAATCAGCTACAAGCTTGTGTCACCCGAAATCAGCAGATTGAAGCGCAATTTTTGGAATTGAGCAAGAAATGCGACGAATTGAATGCACAATTGCACGCGTAACTAATGGGTTTTGCTTTTGCCGCAAAATTTTGATTCGAGGTTTTCCAGAAGTGTCGAGATATCGGAGAAGCGAGCCAAAGAGTTGGAGCGGCTCAAAGAGCATCTGATGCTTGTCGAGGAGACGTCGACGAGAGAAGCGGTGGAAGCCGAACAGAGGGAGACAGAATTGAGGGCGAGAATAAAGGTAGGGAATGGGATTTTTAAAATATGGAAGTTTTTTCCGGATTTTAGATTAATACCAAGTTGAAAATTGATGAAAATAGATTTTTGATGTAATGTTGACAAAATCTGTTTCAAGCTATTCATTTTCTTGCATAATTCTAATTTGGTTAAAGGTCTGACCGGCGAAATTTTAAATTTTGCATCTGAAATAGAAAACCAGATATTTTTTTGGCCTTAATGGTTTGAAGAAATGCCCCCACACGAAAAAGTGTATTTTTTGTGCGGACAATCCGCGCCGAGTTTATTTGCCGAAAAAAATCATTAACAAAGGCCATAGAAAATTTTATAGGCACTTAAATGAAATGCGTTTTTATGCGTTTGGATCATCTAGAAAATTTTTCGATTTTAGGCGCTCGAAGCTCGCGGACATGCTGCCGAAACCGGCGCTTCGGAATCCACCCAACAATATCAGATTCAAATCGCCGCGTTGACGTCGAAACTTGAAGCGGTTGAGAGGACGTCGTCGGAATGGCAGACGAAGTATGATAGCGAGATGAAGGCGAGAGAGCAAACGCAGGAGGCGTTGACCAGTCTACAGGTGGGCTTCGGCACACGGCTACTGGCGTTTTCATCATCGTGAAATGTGTTCAGAATGTTGTTCGTGAGTTGTCGATTGATCATGAGCGCGATTCGGCAGCGGCGAGCCATCGCAATTTGGAGCTTCAATCGGTTATCAATGTTGGTCCCCCCCCCTATCGCGTTCGATTTTTTCGACTTCTAGCTTATTGGTGTTTTAGGGTCTCAATAATGAGCTCGGCGAGCTGCGAGAACAATTCGAGCGGCAACAAATTGGCCGGCAGAGCGCCGAAGAATATGGCGAGCGGCTGAAATTGCAGCTGGAATCGAAGCAGAAAATAATTGGTGAGTCGAAGCGAATTTTATGCGCAAAACGAAAAAAAAAAAGAAGAAAATTTTGTTTTGCTCGACGACGGAAATTCAAATCTTGTCGTTTTATTTATTTTTTGGCCACCTCCTGAACTCGTCAAATTTTGTCTCGTGAAGTGTTCTTGAAGAACCCCCTTCCCCTTTTTTTTCCATCATGATGAAAAATTACATGGAATTTTTGGTGAGGTGCGACGACCCCGCGGTGAGATTCGAATCGCGATAGATCGCCCGCCATCGATGTTGTCGCTTCTCGGCGTCTCCGCCGATTCGCCGACTCTCTCGTCGCCGTCCGTCTGCCGTTTTTCCGATTTGAAAGGCCATTTTGAACGCCGGGGTCGGCCTCGGGGGCCCATCGCCTCTATTCTGTTGTGTCGGCCGATTCGACGGAGGCATAGTGCAGAAAAAGACGAAAAAAAACCACAACGAAACAAGGAAGGACACCTTTGTTCGTTTCAATGGGACGTGATGAATTGGGATTGGTTGGAATAGAGAGAGAGAGAGACCTCCAGCGAATTTATGGGAATTTTTTGGAAATTAGAGGCTTCCGAATAGGCGGATTTTAATGATCTGATGGGAAGGTGGCTACGGTGGAATTTTGTCAAATTTCGGACCACTTTTTTTACGTAACAAATTTGAATCTGATGAATCCGGTGTTTGCCCCCCCCCCCTCCAACTGCCTTGAGGCGACTTATCTGACAATGCCGAAATTGGCCGTTTTTGCAGAAGACCTTGAAATTCAAATCGAGGAGCTTCGCGCGCCGACGTCGTCAAAATCGCAACAGCAGCAAGATTCGTATCGAATCGACGACGCCACACTCCGACAGCTTTTTCTCAATTATTTCATGGCCGAACCGTCGAAACGCGCCGACATTGCGATGTTGTTGGCGAGCATTTTGGAATATCCGCCGGCGGATATGGAAAAGGTTCTCCTTAATGTTTCGAATTGAAATCGTGTCGAACGAAATTGAAAAAAAAAACAAAATAGAAATTCCATGAGCCAAACAATGGTCAGTGTGGCGTGAATTGTTAAGCTTTTCGTGGTTTGGTTTTCTCGGAAAAGGAGTTTTTGCGAGCACGCGACATTTCGAAATTTCGTTGTTTTTTTTGTAGATTTACGAAGGAGTAAACGTAAAAACTGATTGATGAAGATTTTGAAAACCGAACTTCTTTTTTTGGCCCATAAAAATAGTATGATGTAAAAGAACTCTGGAAAATTTCACTTTTAAAATCTCTAAAGTCGAAACGAGACCAATTTTCAAGGCACACTAGCAATGTTAACTAGACCAATACTGTTTTAAATTGTTTTTGAATAACTTCATTTTTATATATTCTGAAAATTGAACATTTCACTTTAATCGTTTAAAGTATAAAATAGAAAACAAATGAAATAAATGATTAATTTTTTAAAAAGATTCTTATATTTGAAATTGGTTTCCAGGTTCGAAACGCTGTCAGACAATCGTTCGGCCAGGCTTCATCATTCTTCGGTGCTCGTTCGAGCCCTCAACCGGCTTCCTCGTCGCTCACTGAGCAATTCATCAGGTAACTAACACGAATTGTTGTTTGTTTTGCTATTCGCTGTTAATGAATGAAGCGTGTTATTTACACCGACGCACGCATGCTAATGACTGATTCCGTCATCACCTGTGTTTGATTTTGCAGATTCCTTGAAGCCGAATCGGAATCATCGAAAACCGCGCCCAATTTGCCGACACGATCTTCTGTCGAGCCTCCACAAATCTCGCTCAGGTTGCCCATTCTAGTCAGCGATTTCCGTTTCAACTCATTGTTTAAGGGCTTCTCTGTCGCCGACCCCTTCTTCAAATCAACCAGCTTCATCATCGTCGTCGGCCGCCGCCCTCGACTCGCTTCTTCGATGATGACTACTAATCATTTTTACCGAACTGAATGTATATGGGTGCCCAAAACCAATTTTTTTAGTCATTAAAATTTTTTTCATATCTAGTGCCTATTATGTGTTTTATCACATCTCTCCCCCCTCCCATCGATGGAATACATGCAAAAGCATTTTTTAAAAATAAATTATTATATTCATTTGTTCCTGCAATTGTCCAAAACCCGACCATTTATTTTTTCAATTTTTATTCATAATTTTTTGCAGTTTTGCGTTTTTTTTTTTAAATAATTATAATCACAGGTACACACAAGAAAAGAAAAACAAAAAATAGGAAAATGATGAAGGATGGGATGAATGAGAAGAAACAAATATATATATATATATATATATATAGTAGAATTTGGAATACACGTTTTCAAAGCTCTTCTTTTCTCGTCGTTTTTTCTCTCCACACTGGCGGAGACGGTTTTATCCATGTAAAACTCGAAAAACACAAACAAAATGTTAAAACACAATGCCGACTTGAAAATAATTACAATTACAATAAAAAATTACAAAAATCACTAGTCTAAAACGAGAAATTACGGGCTGGCACGCGACGAGATATCAATTTCAAATTACAACAATACAAGAAAAAACCCTCTTGAATCCGCCAGCAACAGAGAAAATAAACGACCGAAAGAAGATAGATTTTAGTTTTACACAAAAAAGAGGAGATAAAGAAAATGGAGAAGAAAAAACTTTGAGAATCACCTCGTATCAGTTAATGAGGAAATTTTAAATATTAAGATCATTTTAAAGGAGACTGAGTGGAAGAAGATAAAATAAGATATATACTGCGTGTGTATGTTTGTATTGTGGTGGAGACGCACGTTGATTAGCGAGAAAAGAAAAGAAAAAATAATTAAAAATGAAGAAAGAAAAACAACAAGTATTGTCCAGTAAAAGAATTACTCAAGAGAAAGCCAGATGTATGTTTTTAATCAATCAATATTGCAACCGTTGGCCTGCGAATTTCGAGAAAAAATAAACAAAATGTTTTTGATAATTCATCAAGAGGAACAAGGTTATAACATCGAGAAATCAAACGATATTTTTTCTTTTTGTAAAAACAACTGGGGAAAAGGTGAAGTAGATGTACATGGAAAAGCGGACAGAGTGGTGGTGTTTCGTGGTGCAACTGCATCGCATCAGAATATCGATTAAGCTTGACTCATTCTACATTCCGATCGAGGATGGTAAGATGAACTTGTTGCTCCGCTCCAGAATTGTTACCGTTGACATCGCACTGAAACAAAAGATCGATAAATCAAAGAGAATTGTTGATCACAAAGCAGCGTCTTTCTAATATTTTAAAACTCTTAGAAAATTTTTTTAATTCCTACATAAAGCAAAATAAATTCAAAACTAACGAACTCTTTGATGGAAGCCGGCTTCGCAGCGGCCGGATGATCACCGGGCCTCGCCGGCGACGGAACTTCGTCGTCGACGCCCATCATTTTTGGCTGATAGCCGACCGACACGCGATCTGTCGCAAACCCATTCCACTCAGTCGACGAGTTTGATTCCGACGGCGAACCGCTCGGCTCTCTCCAATCATCCGAATCCGATACCGTTCCGCACATCTTTAAAAATCTTACATGTTAGACGGCGAATAAAATTTTGCAAGAATTACCTTTGCCGGCACCGGAGTCGGTCCCACCCTGCCCGCTGTTCCGTTTCCCGACCGCGAGTTTTGCGGCAATGGCACTGCTTTGCCACCGGTCGCATGCCTCAATCGGTCAACAACCTCATCCACGTCCATGTCCTCGTCCTCATTTTTATCTCGATGGTGATGATGATTCTCATTCCCGTTGCCGTTCCCGTTTACTATCCGTGTTTTCGAATCATTTATTTGAGCATCATCCTCGTTCCCGTCTACGTGCATTTTCTCCACCTCACTATCATCATTCTCCCTCGAACTCGTATGCACATCTTCATGATCTGAATCAAAATTCAATGTTGAGATAATGACGATCTTTAATAAGAACTCACTATTCGCGTTGTTATCATCTCGCTGATGACTCCATGATCCCTGATATTTTGATACCCATTCCCGTTCCAAATGCTCATCATTAAAGCGAGTACGATTGCTGCGAGCAAAGAACTTCGCCGTCGGCGTCTCTTCCTCATCTTCTGCCAGATCAGCGAACGGATGCAATCGCGCTCGGAACACCCTGAAAAACAACATTAATTAGCGTTATCTGCAGTATAATGAAATATACCTTGAAGTATCAATTAGGTTGGCCTCGTCGAACGGATCGATTTGTTCACCAGGATTCGGAGGTCTAATATCGCGCGGTAAACGCTCGAAAAGCACTCGTCCACCACGACCAATACGTCGACGAGCGTAGCCAATAGATCGATACGATCCATTTGATGATGGGAGAATTGTTTCGTAAAAACGAAGGTGAGGAGGAATCTTGAATACAAAAATTTGAATATATTCCGGTTATAAACTCCAATTAATACCTGTGGCGCGGTCTGAACAGTCGGTTGTTGTGGCGTTGGCAATACTGGAAGAGCTGCACGATAAACGCAACCCCGTCGTCGCTTGAACGTATATCTGCCATCGACGTAAGCGGTTTGTTTCGGCTTTTCTGGATTTGGTGCTGATGTAACCGAGGTTCCATTGAATAGTGTCGGCGGTCGATTCCAGCTTTCCACGTTTTTCTTGAGCCACGCCTTCGAGACAATGTCGCGGTCGACGGAGATTTTGGTGCGTTTCGCCTTCTTCTTCTTTTTCGCCTCGTCGACAGATGCTCCATTGAGTTGCGAGAGCGGTTTCGTTGGTGAGCTGCCACTGGCGCCCGAGCCTGTCCGCAGCCGCTCCATAAAATCGTTATAGATGGACGGCACGCCGAAATCTGTCAACTGCATCCTCTTGCTGAGAATCTCTGCTTCATGATCAATCATTGCCAACTTCAGCTTCTCTCGCCGAGTCGTCATGTTGAACAATTGCTGAGCTTTCGAAAAATCGTGAACAAGCTTGAGTATCTGAAAAGAAACCAGAAGGGGTAATTGAGCAAAATCATCTAGCGCTCACCTTTTCATAGTTGTCTTCATCGTTTTTCCGATTTTTCCTTGTCTGCATTTTTTCAGCGCGCCGCCGAAACGCGACATACGGATTAACCGAGCCTTGCGCATCCTTCAAATCTCAATAATATTTCAGAGTTGCGACATAGCAAATACACACCTTTCGGCACTCTGTCCGAACTCGCGGTATTAAACCGCCGACTCCGAGGCATCCCGACGTTGTCGCATACGATGTTCGTTTCGAAAGCCAGTACTCGTAAACCTCATACACAATCGACGGGTCTAATGCTAAAATTAGACGAAATGAAAGATTCCGCAGAAACTGGATGTCCCCCTCAGAAGAGGGAAAAGAGTTAATTCAAACCTTTATGAATGTTCAGAACCGAGTCTTCGCTCGCAATCTGTGTTTCTGACGAGTTCGCCTCAACGGTATCGAATATTTTCTCAAGTATCTTGGGCTCGATGTGGGGATGATCTGAGAGCCATTCCTCGTCCTCAGTGTCATAGTCATATTCAGGTTCATCACGTTCAAGCGCTTGCCACGCTAAAAAAGAAGCAAAATCAAGATTAGGCATTTTCATCGTATTACAGTGTTCCCCGAAAACAGGTGGATTTGCACCTGGCGTGTTCCGAAAAAGAATTAAGTGAATGTGTGTGTGGGGGGGGCAACACAACAAAAGTACTAGTAAGCAAATACACACAAAAGACCACCACTCCATAATTGTGTCGGCAATAAAAATCGAGAGGTGCGCGAGAAAAAAGAAAAGAATTAAAATCCAGCGCAAAAATAAGTGTTTTTCTTGCTTCAATCAATTATTTGCGTATTTTCCCAGCCAAACAAATATGGAAAACAATGCACGCCTAATAATTTAACGGCTGAATACACAGAAAAATTAATCGATCAATAGTTTTGCAAATGAAAAAAAAAATGATCGGGACAGTTAGTAAATGAGAATAAAAGAAAAAAGAAAACTCACCATGAACTTTGATGTACTTGCTTCTGACGTGCTTGTTCCGCGATGGATACGTTGCTTCGTACCTATCGCTGGGAACTGGCCACACTTTCGGAGTCGGAATAACATGATTGACTTGGATACCGGATGTACTGGCTTGCTGTGCGAGGATTGCGTCTTGAAGATGGGATTCCTATAAAATTGGATAATCTAAATCTCCGTATTATGAGCATCGGTCTCATGGGAACAATTGCTTATACTGCACAAATCTCAAGTGCAACACAAATCGGTGGAAATAAATTCGCCTCACGTATTGACACCGTTACGAAAGATTATCCGGATTTGGTCAGCGTATTATGAAAACGTATATATATATAAACTTCGATAATACGCCGTTTTACTGATATTACCACCGAAAAACTAATCTTATCATAGGTGACAAACAATATTTATGTTTGATTAGTACATTAAGACAGTTTAATGAAAATGCAGCTTATCAATTTCGATAAGAACAATTTTTGATAGCAGTAACATGAAAAAACAATGAAAATTTTAAATAATTATAAGTTACGCGCTAGATCTATAATTAGAGAACCCTGTCATTATTATTATTTTCCGCGTGAATCAACATTGCATGAATCAGCAATGGTAAAGCAGGTGAATTTCTCGAGAAGAAAATCGATTTTCGCATAGATAAACACGTTCCCACGATAAAACCAAAGAAACAACAAACGGTGAATTTTGTGAATCATTCGGCATTATTTTTTTCGAAAAAGATCGAAAATTCAACGCGATTTTTTCGGGTTCTATTCGAACTGCTGAAAAATAACGACGCGGGAGGGAAACAAACAATGAGGACAACGTCAAAGGTCATTAACCTACAATACGAGTCATAAAAACTACTGAGAATTATATTTTAGGAGTTTAAATTTGAAACCCCGCTTTTGAATTTGTGTGGCAGACGAGTTTTTATGAATACAAGCATGTCTTATGTTTATTTAGTGTCCGTAAATAGTGAATTTCTATAAATAGGTGTAGGCTACAACGGTATAAGGATTCATTTAACGACTAATATATACCGTAAATGGACGGCGAAATGCATTCGAAGCTCTATTCACTCATAGGTCTTATTGACAAGTTGAACTACTCTGAGAGTAAAAAGTTACAACTACGTGTGTGTCAGTGACGTCATAGGGGGTCAAAACGAAGCCTGGGAGATGTGAAATTTAACAGGGACCGCGCTACAGACCTAACAATACTCTTAAAAACGTTTACGATTGAGAAAAGCAAAGAAATGAGCCAAAAATCGAGCAAAAAACGCGAAAAACATACCATTTCCTCTTCTTTCTCCATTCCAGAAGGCATCAGAGTGACGGCACGGTTTCCAGCAGTGCATTCTGACAGGTCCGGTAGTTCGTGGCCCCAAAAAACCGCCATCGACTTGTTGGCGTCGAAGGCCCGGGCGCGGAATGCTTTGGACGCAGTGGCCATCCTGCTGTACTCCCACGTTGTAACTACGGTAAAGAGGAGCGGCGGAAACGCCGCACGAATTAAAATGGCACAGACGTATGGAAGAAATCATCCGCCGAATACGGCGATCATAGAATACAAAAATAATGGAGCAGCGCTGGTGCAGTTCCCTAGAGTTGAAGCGTAGCAACGAATACAACAGGGCGCTTGGCCAACTATTGACTGATGGGGCGTCCCCCTCTCTTCTATCCAACGTCTCACACGCCGCGTTGCGTCCCGTCTGCGCTCTCTTGCCGATGAATGATGCCTCGGCTCGCACTCACGATCAACGCTCACGCCCTCCTCGCTCACAGCGTGCGCGCACCACTAAACGCCACGTCGCACACTTTAAAAAGTGGGAGAAAGAACGCGCCGCGACACGCTGCGCGCGCTCAACGAATGTCGTCGAAGGCGACGCGTGCGCGTCTCGCGGCCACCTTGTGAATTTTTTGGAGAATTAAAATCACTCGGCTGTCATTTAGTTCGGCACTTAATTTTTGCCGATTTTCTTCGTTTTTCTTCCATTTTTTTGCAAATCACGTATTTATTGAGGTTTATTCTACCCAATTCGCAGCGAAACTCCGAAGAATTACCATACATTTTGAAGATTTTGACGAAAATGATTTGGGAATTTTATAAATGAAAATTGGTCTATTTTCCACGTCTTTACCTTATTTAATGCGATTTCACGCGGTTCTAGGTCACGTTTTATTGAATGGACAGAAAACGAGCATTGAATTTTGCGAGAACCAACAATAAAATATAAACTTGAAAATTTGGATTGAATTATTGATTGAAAATTGTTATTTTTTAAAGCAGAAAATGGATTATTTAGAGTACGCGTCCCGTAGCTATCTAAAATAAAATTTCACGCGACCCTAATATTCTTGGCATAATTGGTGATAACGATTTCGACATAGTTTAAAAAAAATAAATTTTATTGACAGCCGTTTGTTACATTTTATTTATTTTTAGAGGGTTTTTTCTTATTTGAAACTGCTTTGTTTTTAATTGAATAAATTTTCATTAATCCGGAAACAAGAAATAATTCTGAGAACGATGGAATGGAAGCACTATTTTAGTAAAATGAATAATTCCAATAACTAAATTGTGCCCAACTTCGTGAAGTGTATGAGGTTACTGTAAACCCTAATTTATATCTTTAATTTTAGCATTTTTGGTAATCTTCTAAGTTCCGCACCCCTCCAACTGAAACGCACTAATCCGTAAACAAATTTTTCGATTTTTTCTAAAGTTTTGTATAATTGCCGGCAGAATTAAATTCAGTTTTATTGTATTTTTCTAGGTATTAACCATGGAGGAAGAATCCCACCGAATGACCGATGATGAAGTTGCGGAGGTGAATGTTGTGAAACTAGTTCCAATTCTCAATTTAGTCATATTTAGATAATTGAAATAGACGACCAGGATATGAACTACGCTAGTGACGATGAAGACCAACAGAGCACCTCCAAGTAAAAAAGAAAATTTGGGTTTTTTTTGAAATCTCGATTTCAGCGCGGAAGCAATGGACCAAATTGTGGATGATTCGTTGATGTCGCTTCAAGCCCATTCACAAGATTGCTTTTCAATCGCGCTTGCTTCAAATAGATGGCTGGCGACCGGCGGAGAGGACGACGTCGCTTTCCTGTTCGACCAAAACGTTTCGGGTTGGGTTGTTCATTTCGTTGGGAAACCGTTGATTTGTCTAGATTCCAGAAACCGAACCGATTTTGAAGATTGAGCACAAGGATTCGGTGACGGCTGTGATGTTCAATAATTCGGAGACGTTGTTGGCCACTGGCGATTTGAGCGGCAAAATTGTCATCTCCGATATTGCCGCAAAAACGATTCGCGCCGAGGTTTGTGTTTCTTGCAATGACCATCAACATGAATTGTTTAGATTGATGAATGCAGCGATTTGGAATGGATTAAATGGCATCACACCGCCGATATTTTATTCGCCGGTGATAAAGACGGCATTCTCTGGATGTGGCTTATCAGCGCGAAAGGGGTCGCACAATCGAAGGTAAGCGTAACACGATAAGTCTGTCGCGTATTATAATGATGATTGTTGTTATTATTATATAGATTAGTTGACTGGTCAAAATGATGCATTTGAATGAGTGGCGGCGAAAAAGTGAGGGGCCGCTTATTAAATAGCCCGTAGAGAAAAAGGGGGCCGCGAGCCGTGTTGTCTGGACTGTTGATTGTATGTAGCGTTCCGACCCCATCGCCTCTTCTACTGCTGCTGCTGTGCGCCGTCGGGCTTCCTCAAACGCTCTTCTTTTTCAATTCGTCGCGTTTCCTTGCGCCTCTTTGCATTTCGAATTGCGTTGCGCTTCCTCGACCTCCACTATCTCGCTTCATCTGCTTCTCGGCACCGATTGTGTGTTTGTACACGATGACGGCGTCTAAACGCACGCTATTTTCGCACGGGCCCGGCCCGCCCGCCTGCCTGTCCTTCGTCTCCCACATTCGACCTGACGTGTCCGCTGCTGCTGCTGTGGAGGCGATGGCGCTCCAGTAGCAGTATCGGGGGACCAGCAGCTCCTAAGTATATATATATATATATATATATATATATATATATATATATATATATATATATATATATATATATATATATATATATATATATATATATATATATATATATATATATATATATATATATATATATATTTGCGATTCGGTTCATGGACTTTTGCAATAGAATTTTAAAGTTTGTTGGTATTGCGAAATTCTGGTCTTTTCAATTTTCTTCTTGTGGTTTTATCAAGAATTTGGCTTCTACATTCTTTTGCGAAAATATACAATGTCTCGAGTTTCCGGTGTATTTTCCGTTGAACAAAAATGGCGAATGTAGAAATACAGGCAATTATATTTAGCTGTCAATCAAGCATCGTTTGAGCCCCTCCTAAACTACTCATTCATTTTCGAAAGTTGTAATGATGGGCTCGGTTGAGTAGCACATGTCGTTGCGTTTTTCGCCGCTTCAAAAACTGGTAAACGAAGATTAGTTGCGACTGAGTTGACATGACGCCCGGAAATTAGATAGGGGAAGACGACGGTTCGGATTTCAATCGCAACGTGCTGCCGACTTCTATCCGGGCCGCGGACGATTGAGTTTTTTTTCGACGCTGTTGTCCACGAAGTTTGAGCAAGTAACTTCGTATCGTTTTTTTGCTTCTCTCCGCGGCTGTCCATTCTTCTTCGGTCGAGTTTTTTTTCCCGAAGGCGACAAAGTTAGTTCTTTGGCGAAAATAGTGAAGGCGGATTGGAGAGGGTGACGAGCGCTCGCTCGCACAAAATTGTGAACAAAGAGCAAATTGTTATTTTCGCAGCGGGATATGAATAAAACATTAGGGAGGGTATTGACGTTGTAGTCGATGTGTGTGTGTGTGTGTGTAATAGGAAAAAAAGAAACATCGAGCGAATATTTACATTTTTATGCGCAGAAATGGTATTCTGGAGCCGGCGGCGACAATTGTTTGGCGAGTTTTCTCTTCTCTGCCTTCTCTTCTTCCCACACCCCGCTATGACTGGATGATATATACTTTTTTTTGTTGATAATTGCCTTGGACACGGCGACAAACATCAACAATGACCGGTTAGTTGTATGTTGGAGCGGATTCTGATTCCTCTCATCGGCGCCTACTATTCGGACCCTGGTCTGGTCTGTCCTGCGTCCTCTTCTCGTTGCGGTTGAATAAACTGAAAATTGTAAAGTTGAAGGAACTGGACGACCGCGCCACCTTCTTCTCTTCATTGGGATGATTTTTTTTTCGATTCGCGACGGATGAGGTCATTGGTGATTAGGCAATTCCGAGAATCAACTTGGAATTTCGAGGGAGAGGGGTTTGATCATGTGGAACGACCTTTATACGGAGAATGACAGAAGAAAAGCGCCATGTTTAATGAATTCCGGCATTTTCAATTACCACCATCTGCTCTCCGTGAGCACTTGTATCATAATGATGATGATTAATCCATGGCGGGGGTTTCTTATGCGGAGCAGGTGCTGTAAATCGCAGTTAATTAAATACCCACGGTGACAGACACGATGGCAAAACGAGATTTGAAAGTTTTCGGTGTCGGCAAATTAACGATGGCCATAAAATCGGACCTTGTGCGTTTTCCCATGATGATCGAAAACGGTGACCCGACGACGACCTTGCGCGATAAGGAGAACAACAGAACCCCAGCGAATCGCCGCGTTTTTTTAATGGCTTCCGGTTTTTTTCTTATTTGAATTATTTGGCAAGTGCAGTTTGGGTACCGTCTCTCGCGCGCTCCGAATATTTTTTTGACAGATTTTGTTTCCCGACGAGAATATTTATTTTTGTTGGATTTTTTTTCGCGTCCGTCCGACCGCCGTGTTTGTTCAAGAAATTGTTGCGGGTTTGTTCACGAGCAGTATAGCAGCAAAAAAATGTACAATTTCGGCGGCAAAGTTTGAACTTTTTGGAATGGATGCCAAATTCAGGCGGCTATGGGATTACGCAATCTCGCCGTCGTCATCTTCGTCGTTTTTGTTTGCTTAGCGTTGAATATGGATGTTTGCTCGGGAAATGGATGAATCACTTGTTTTCGTTGGTCCGATGATGTGTGTATGGGAAATGTATGGAAAAGGTTAAATTTATAGGCGAAAGTTGAAAAAATTGGAAATATTTTTGATTTGTGTGAGCAGTTTCTGAACGCGTTTCACAAAACTGAAAAATTGCATCTCCAAGAGACGTTGAAAAAAAGAAGAAACTACATAAAATAATAAAAAATTTTCTACGAGATATTTGAAATCTCCGACTAATAAAATAATAATAGTTAATAATAAAAGGTTGTTGACATCAATTTCAAGGTTTTTTTTCGCACAAAATTCCTTGAAAAAAACTAGTTTTTCTTTGTTGAAGGCGACCTTTAATGAATGCGTGAGTCCGCTTATTTACACACATGCGAATCAGTAATGGGTGTTCGATTCGGTTCCCGGAGGTCCAATTACACTTGTATTGAATTGGTTGTCGTTGGGTGGAGGAGGGGGGGGATCCGTCTTGTCTGACGCCTCTTCAGATCTTCTGATGTTTCGCGAAGCCTTTGATAATCCGCGAAAAACGGCAGATGGTGCGCAATTTTTTTTTTCGCGCGGGGTCTGTTGTCCTTTACGACGACGTCATTATCCGCGCAATTTTTTATTGGGGGTCCTAACAACAGCATGCGATTTCGGCCTTCTGCTCCTCCTCCTATAATTAGTGTCACAAGGGAGCATCATTTTGGTATTCTCAGCTGTAGATGAATGATGATTGAAAAGGAGTGGTTGAGGGCCGCTGTTTCGACCTTGAAACATGGCGAATTTCGATTTTTCGCGTGAAGGTCAATGATTTTGGCGTGTTTTTTTTGCCACAGTCGAGTTCTCGAAGTTTCGCGGCCACCGCGCCAATATAATGGAAGGCTCTGTTTTTTTTTTCTTTGAGTGAGGGAATCGAAAAGACTTGGAATCATGCCAGCCGTAAAAAATGGGCGGTTTCCGGAGTTGAAGTTTTTTTTCTTGGATTAAGACCTTGAAATTGTTATTGTTGTTGTTGTTGTTGTTGTTGTTGTTGTTGTTGTTGTTGTTGTTGTTGTTGGTGTTATTGTTGGGGGATCCCCACTTGAATTTCAAGGTTTTTCGCCAGAAACGCACTTCACCTTTTGCTGGGAATGATTTAGGAGAGGTAATAGGGAGATTCGATGAATTTGGATTTACATTTGTAATACAATGGAATAATGGGAAAATATTTGACAGACTTATTGAACGTGATTCCTGAATAAATTTTAAGTTTTGGCGTGAAATAGTTCTCTAATTCATTATCGAAATGAGCATGATTTTTGAAAAATTTGAATTTGGCGCCTACATTTTTTTTTTGAAATTGTTATCTCTTTATCGCAAAATGTTGGTAACCTTTAGATAATTGACCACCTTGCATTATCTTGCATTAGAATCGTATCTAGGTTGATCGAATTAATGTTGGCTGGCTGACGAAATGATTGATGGATTATTGCAGGTTTACGCTGGATCGGGCTCGCCGTGCACTGCTGGATGCCTTCTGCCGGACGGTCGACGCATTCTAACCGGATACGCTGACGGTGTAGTCAGTGAGTTTCCGATTGTTTTTCATTTGATAAGACAACATCCTCTCGTGGAACCAGACATGTGGTGTTACATTGATAAGCGAGACTAAAATTGAGACCGTGAGATGTTTTTTTTATTTCTATCTCTCGCGTGTTTTGCGAAATGATTGATAAACGGGAATTCGATGAACTTTTGGACAAGTTTTGAGCGACCGGCTGACGTCCGAATGGCTTTTAAGCTGCACGTGCAACCCTGATGATAAACAGCAAAGGTTGCGAAGGGAACCTTTTGTGTTTTTTTTTTGTTTTGTTTTTCAATTCTCACGTTTTTACTAAAGGCATCAGAAATCATACGTACCACAGGTTTTTTGACCATGTGACCTTTTTCAAGCTTTTATCTCAAACGCTGTTTGACAGCTTTAATTCGTTATAGAATTATAGAATTACGAGAAAAGTTGAATGATAAATAAGTTTTAAAAAGCCGACCGAGCGGAAATTTGGTGAATTTGAAAGTTTCTTTTTTTTTTTCAGGATTGTGGCTTCTTCGCGAGGAAACGAGCTCGGTGCTTTATTTCCATTCGCCGATTACCGTCATTGATCATCATGTCTCACAAACGGTAGCGGTTGTTGGAACGCAGAGCGGCACTGTGAACGTGATTAGCACTGCGTCGCCGGACAATGTACTCAAGAAGGTGTCACTTTTGCCGCCACCCGGTGTCAACGCGACGACGATTACCGCTGCCGGAACCGCGAAACCAGAAACCGACGATGATGAGGACGACGTGGCGAATTGTGTGGAATCGCTTGCGATGGCGCCGTCGCATCCGTGGTTCGCCGCGGGACGCAATGATGGATCGTTGTGCATCTATGAGATGGACTCGACGTCGCCGAGAAGCATGTTCCAGTCGAATCAGATGCAGGTAACTATTGTAGAGAGTGTCACACCGTTTTTTTTGTATACCGACCATTGTTCGCGCAATGAATCAGATATACACGGTAATTGTGAAGGTTTCCTTTTTTGTTTGCGACCGCGCGCGCGTGTTTGAATACGATGACTGAAAATGTTTGAATGGGGACTTTCAAGATGTTTGTTATGTTGTTTTTTTTCCTTTTCAGGCGATTTCCAAGGTGATTTGGTCGATGGAGGGCAATGCGCCGTATTTGACGGTTGGCTCGATTGATGGAACTGTTCGAGTTTTTGATGCGAGAGATGGATCTTTGGTCAAGGTGAGCATTTCCGAACCAGAAAAATATCAAAGAAAACAGCAATGTGAAAATTCACCTGGGTCATATGACATTCTTGGAAAATTAATCAGGAATTTTTTGGAATTCGACGTGATATTTTGCTTTTCGAATATGTCTGGAAGTATTTTCGCAGAAACATGACTAGTTGCACTTTTCGATTATGGTTATTTAAAAGGGAATGAGGGATTTGAATGAAATCTGCACTTTTCCGTAGAAAATTTGACGATTTGAATTAAATATGATTAACTACGCTTCGAAAGGGGCTTTTAAGCTTTGACGAAAATGATTCTATTGGTGGCTTTGATCCAAAAAATTCTAGAAATTGTTTCAAACTGTAGATTTTTATCTATTATTATTATTTGATTAATCGAAATTTGCATACGCGTGACTATTTGATTTACGAGTCAATCACTCTTTAGATTTAATCGAATTTTGCAGGAGCTTGGCAATGGCGGCGACGAAGTGCTCGATATGCTAGTGATTGGCTCGAATCCGCATCGAATTATGACGGCCGGAAGCGGCGGACTTGTTCGTGTTTTCGACTTAAATTAGGGTTTCATTCACTTGTTTTTGTTTCCCCCAAATAAGGTTTCGTTATCTTCATCCGGTTTTTTTTCTTGTTAATTTTGTTGTTTTTCGTTGTTGATTAATGAATTAGTTGTAATTTGAACGATCTTTTGAAAGTTTTTGTTTGAATCCGACTATACGGTCTTGTTACTTTCCTTTCTTCTTGCTTTTTTGGTTACGCAGATTTTGCAGAGATGGAGAGGCCGAACTACCAATTGTACAGAAACACCACACTTGGTCAGGCTCTTCAGAAGACGCTGGATGAGTTCGTCGGCGAACGTGAGAATTTGAGAAGCATTCGTGAATGCTTTAATTGCGGGTGTGTGTTTTTGTAGAAATGATCACCGAGGGTTTGTCGAAGCGCGTGATGGAATCGTTCGACAAGTCGTTTAATCGGATTCTGTCGCAAAAGGCGAAGAATAAGGTTGTCAAGGGGAAGTCGCGAATTTGGTTGTTGATTCGATTCGTTTTTAGGTGACATTCAAAGGAGAACGATTGCGCGCTTATCGCTATTGTGATAACGTTTGGACGTTTATCATGGACAATGTTGATTGTCGCGAGGTCACCGACAAGGGAAAGGTTCGTTATGGAAATTGTCCGCAGATGACTTTGCATAACTAAGCGAGGAGGTGAAGCTTGAAAACGAAAAATCGTCCCAGCGTTAGACATTGTAGTAGTGCTGAAATTGATTCGCCGATCATCGTTTGGAGCTGAAACTCGCGAGTTGTCGGCAGCAAGCCATCTAGTTCATACGATCGCCAAAAATTGAGCACTGAAGAATTGTGGACAATCGTATTTTTAAGTGGCGGTAATTCAAAATTCGAATTATTCGATGGGAATTCGGAGAACTGCGAATCAAGCTCGTGGTAAATCGACACTGGGTACCCAATAGTTAACAAATTAGAGCCAAACTTGAGTTCTTATACGAATCAAATTTGCCATAATTACCCAATGAATTGTTTAGAATATATTTTTAGCTTCTGATTTGACATAATTGCCCAAATATCAAAAAAGGGAAATCTTTGTGACTTTAAAAATAAGTTTCCCTATAAATTTTGCATTTTTGGCGAGTGTATGCAAAATCGAAGCCCGCATTGATGTCCGCTGATGAAGTTTTATGTTTTAGGTAGATCGTCTCAAAATTGTCGCATGCGACGGATCGCAGAAGAATGTCCTTCCAGCAGCTTCATAAATGTATATACATACATATTTAACAATTAATTATTTCCAATTTTGGTATGTATATAATCGTTATTCATTTTTTTCTGATTTTTTTGTATTGTAATGTTTGGTAGCTTTTAAAGCCTCTGTGATACTAACTAACGACCCACACGTACACATTACTGTGATTACGAAAAAAAAACGAAATATTTATAATTGTGATGTCTTTTTTGAAACAATCTAGTAACTATAATAATGAATTGTGATAATTTGTACTAATATGGAAAATAAAATTTAAAATAAGATATTTATAAAAAAAATTTTGAAATAAATTTGGAAACTGAGAAATTAGGATAATCCGATTTTTTTTCTCCATCGTTGATTTCACCCTGAACCTAATTTTTTAATTACTTTCTTTCTTTTTCACTTTCACCTGTCGTATCACTCGCGGCTTCTCCCTCTCTCCACATCCAAGCACTTGGAAATCTCCTTCTCGGGCAATGATCCAGAGCGGACCTTCCTTCTGATGCTCTGTGAGCATCTTCTTCACATTAATTAGTAATACATACGCAGCGAGTTTGATTCGCAGGTTATCCAAAGTACGGTATCCGAATTCCCATAGTTTAAATTCGAATTTGAATTACCGCCTCGAAAAAAAGTGCGAAAATATTCAAGATTATTGAGTGACAATAAATTTCGAGTTTTCCATATTTTCATAATTATTATACACATTGTCTGCGTCTCCATCCACATCACGCTCTCTCAATTGTAAACACTGTCTCATTTCCTAGAAATGGTACGAGTTTTCTAGAAGCAACACATTTATTTCTTCATTTTGCTGTAATGCACATCAGACATTTTTCGAAGCTTCTCCGCGGCGTCTTCCGGCAGTATATCCCTTTGTTTCTCCGCAAAAACCTCATAGCCAGCAATGAATTTCGGAATGTGCGCCGATCTGAATAATTCCTTTTTCGTCGTAAGACCCAAACGTCGAAAAAGAAACCTCAAAAGTGGCGGGTAGATGCAAAGATGAAGTTGCCAAAACTCGCAGTTCTCCTCGAGGTACCTGCCAGTAGGAGCTCCGAACCAACCCATCATGTATGGGAATGAGCACTACAACGACGATGGGTCTTGCAGCGAAACGATAATTCAAAAAACCTCAAAAATATTGTCATATTTGATCAAAATCGTTTGCAGCATCTCGGCAATCCCATTTTTCTTGTCGTCGCTCAATTCGACGAATCGCTGAATTCGTCGCTTCGGCAAAATCATCGTCTCATACGGCCACACCGCCCAATATGGGACCAATGCGATCCACGTGGCGTTCTCGGCGACAATTCGCGATTTTCTCGCCAACTCCTTATTTTGATAATCGATGAGAAGCGGTGTTCCGTGCTTTTCAAAGTATTTCTGGCAGCAACAAAAATTACTTCGATATTTTAATATTCAAAAAATTGATTTTATAAAATAATTCTCCAGAAAAAAATGAACTGCAAAAATTTCTGAGATTTCAGCCAAAAGTTCCTCAAAAACTCAGATGTTTTTTTAATTTTCTGATGAGAGACAATTTGTTGTCGTAGGTTAATGCGTTTTGTACGCAATGCGATGAGCCAGTTACCGTAATCCTCGCAGCGGTTTACGGGAGACATTTTTAAATTTCCTATTTTCAATTTTCGTATTTTCTTTCGAAAATGTTTATTGAAAATTTGAAGAACCCGAATTTAATAATTTATTTTGCAGAATATGCACTTTTAAACGATAAAATCTTTTTTCAATGTTTCTTGTTTCAATTTTTGTGACATTTTTTTTAATCAGCAAAAAATGTTCAGTTCACCTTTTGTGTATCAAACTTCTTCTGCGGTATCGTCGGCAGATAATTGGATGCCCATAATTGACCGTGCGGATGCATATTGGAACATCCGACAACCTCGCCGCGATTCTCAAATATTTGAATCCATTCGTATTTGGCCGCGAGCTCGCTAAACTGTCGATTCCACACATCGACAACGGTGCGGACCTGCAAAAAAAAAAAAAACAAACGAAACCATCCAATTATTTGAACGGCCAATTTGGTGGGGAAAAATATTGGACCATCAAGGCGCTCTATTGCGTATCGAAAAAGTCTTACATCCTCAATTTTCATCGTCGCCAATGTCAAATCGCTGTCCGGATGATAGCAAATCACCCGGCACACTCCGCGAATCTCCATTTGCTTGAATAAATCATCTGAAGTCGAAAATCGCGAAACGATTCAGAATCCGTCGCTAACCGTTCTCGGTTTCCGGCGATTCGTCCAACTCGGTGAACGACGGAAAACCGTTGTCGAAGACGTATGTCGATGTGTAGTTGTCATTAACCTATAATATGTGTATATTTTTCCATCTGCGGACAGTCAACGAGGAGGCGGGGCGAAAACGGAAATTTCCCCGAATCTCCTCAAAACTCATCATTTTCTAAAAAAATCGGATCTTTTAAAATATCCAGTCGAGAGCCCTTCTCTTATATTCATACGGGTACGGTAATGCGCTTTTAAAAAATAACAACAAAATTCGGAGATACTTTAAAGGCGCATTGCTCGGAATACTAGCGTACATTGAACGAGTAAAATTTCGAAATTCTCAGAGTAAAAATTGACGCGATATATCGTAATTCTCCGCTATTTATTTTTAAAGACGCATGCGAAAAGTTGCGCGGGTCACGTCGCGAAGTCGGTACTGTAATTTTTAATGGCTGTTTTTTTTCGATTTTTTTATTTTTTGAGCGTTTAAAACGTTTTTTTTTGAATTCTGTAAAAGTATTTGGTTTAATCGACGCCAAAGGTTAAAGAAGAAGCATCATCGAGCGAAGTCTGCATCAAATTAACACAAATATCACAATTTTTCATAATAATTAGTATCTAAATAACGAAAAATGGACTTAGATTGTCGAATTAGGAGTAATTATACGAATAATTGTTTGTTTTTTCTTCGTTCTTAAATCCGTTACACATTATCTCTTCAAAGTTTTCGAAAAATAGCACACAGAATGAAAAATAAAAAATACAGTACCGACTTCGCGACGTGACCCGAGCAACTTTTCGCGTGCGCCTTTAAAAATAAATAGAGAAGAATTACGATATATCGCGTCAATTTTTTGTAATTTTCGACGTGCGTGCACGGACGCAAAATTCAGGTTTAGATTTTCGAAATCGGCTAAATGTTCGAAAAGGTCCCGACGCGCGTTGTGTACTCCACACGGACAACGCTACACATGGTGAAACTTTAGGTGAAAATAGGTGAAAATATTGAGCACAGGACTACAAATAAAACAACAAGAACAATGATTGTGCATACAGATTTAAAGGATAGATTCATAATGTGGTCAAAAACAGTTTTCGGAATGTATTCCCTAAACTGCTCGATTTCATCAATAGAATGTTTCTTCTCTCTCTGGATTTCGTCAAAATCGTCTTCTCCAAAATCGGCGTGTTCCTGAATTAAGTTAATTAGGAAATTTTAAAAATGTTCTAAAATTTACCCTGGCTGGTTCCATTGCTACAATTTGTATTGCGCCGTGTCGTCCATCTATTTGAACGTCGCCGAACCTTGCGAAACAATCGTATGGCAAAGTAACAAACAGTTGCCCACTTTCAGGAATGGGTTCCCACGACAACTTTTCATTGCACTTTACCATATACTTCTGAAAAAATCGAACATACATGATAGTTATCAAGTTTCAAAAATTACTTTCAAACCACTAGTAGCAACATAACTGCTATGTGAAAAATCTTCGTAATACACACCGCCCTCAATTACTTTTGACATCAGCTTACATTTTGACGGATTTTGAACAGAACATGATTCGAGTTTGGCTTTCGAACACAAAAAGAAATCATCCTTCTGAAAAAATGCGTATTTCAAAAATGTCTGAGACATGTTGTTACTACTTACGATTTCGTTGCAATTTGTTGCGGAGTGTTGACCCGACATTCTCGTGTGAAGCTCATATTTCGGTAAATCATAATACCGAAATATTTGTCCATTGTTCGTGAAATCCCCAAGTGGATGAATCTAAAACGCAAAAATATTAAACAATTGTGGATATCATTACTTACTGCATAAATTTCACCGCATTTTAAATTTTCAAAGGCATCTCCACAGACGCCGAAGACTAAAAAGTTTTCTTCGCACCGCGCGGTTACTTTCAATTGTGACGCCAACTCGTAAAAATATTCATCAACAAAATTGAACTCTATTCCAATTTCCTTAAAATATTTAAGTGTTCACATTAAAATGTGATCAAAATTTAAATTTTACCTTTATCGTCACATTGACAACATCGACAATATCTTCTATTGTTGGATTTACCAACACTTTTTTAATCGATTCCACAAATTGCATTTCTTTTTCCTTCCTTTCCAGTTTTTTCAACATCCTTAAAAAATTCCATAAGTTTACAAATATTACGTTTAACTTTACATTGCGTTTCGCTCTATGCCAGCCGACAGATTGCTTTCGATTCTAACCGTATCCTTCCTGAATTGTTCTTCTTCTTCGTCTCCGAATAGCAGTGTCTTCAAGGCTTTTGAGACAGCGCCTCTTTTCACTCGACGGACAGGATTGCAATGAAGTTCTTTCAGTTGTTGAAAAGCTTCTGTGGACAGCGAATGGTTGAGCGGTGATTCAAAATTGATACACCGAAATGGTTTTGGGCGCTTTTCGAAAACGCTGCAAAGAAACTAGTCAAACTTTTAATATTTTAACTTAAAAATTACCATCCTGCGCCTTCTTTGATGGCAACATATGCGGCTGTCACCGCAAAAATCAGAGCAAGGCAAAAAACGACTTTCATTTCTGAATTAATAAATTTTAAAAACAAAAAAAAACCATAATGTTAACGTGTTATGACAAATGTGAAAAGTGTTGACAAGAAAGTGTAAAAAATTGGACAAAAAAGTGGACATCTGGTTCCCTTATATCTATGTCAACAAAACAGTTTCTGCGTCTCGCTATGCATTACACACACATATTTTTGTGCACGTCACTGAAAAAAGTATAACGGTGTGAAATCTTCACCAGACAAATGTTTTACAAATGAATAAGGATTTGAGGGAAAAATCTTTAAGATTTTTAAAAAGATATAAAAAGGTTTTTTAAAAGATATAAAAAGATTAAGATTTTTTAAAAGATATAAAAAGATTCATGCTTACTCATTCCTTCTTCACACACAAAACAAAAGGGCATCAACGCGAATAGGTCATCGATGAAGGCATTCAAACGAAACTTTTCTTGAATAAACATTTTTGGGGGGAACCGTTATAACAAAACCGGCGTTTCAGCAATGAAAGTATTTTCAACATTTTCAGCATATTCAATTGAATTTCCGACTAATTGGGTTACGGTATTTACAGTAATCGGGTTACGGTAATGAAAATATTCTTAAAAGATTCAGCATATTCGATTTAGTCGATGGACCAAGTTTCAGATCGATCGGATCAATATTCATGATATTGGGTTACTGTACCTGCAGAATTCCTGGACTTGGAATTTTTCACCAAACTTGGTCAATATGCGTTTCCTGATAACCCCTCATGAAATGTACATCATCTGACGCAAAATTGAATGCTGATCACGAATATTGTAGTCATTTTACATATAAATCAAAATTCAGTCAAAAATTCGTGAAAAACCGCATATTTTCATGTTTTTTCCATTTTTGGACATGAAGCTTTTGAAAATCTTAAATTTCAGCATCATTTCTGAATTCAGCATATTTGATTTAATATGTATGCAAGTTTTCAGATCGATTGGGACGATATTCATAATTTTGGGTTACGGTAGCTCTAAAACTACAGTAACCCAAAATGGTATATTTTTAATCGTAACGCCTCAGGGGTTTTTCGGACCCCCCATAAAGTATATATGTATAGATGCGGAATTTTATGCTGAATCCGAATATCACCATGCCAGTTCATGAAATTCACGTTGAACGGAGCTATGACGTCATTTATACGATTTTTGCGATTAATGGTCCGATTGAAAAAATTTTCAAAGTGAACCTAGACAGTAACTGTATAGGAACACTGTAAAAATTTCATAACGATTCATTTGATTTTGACCATGTAGGAGCAAAAGTTCGGCGAAAAAAAAGTTTTCGTGAATAACTGCTACAGTAATCGAGATACGGTAACGAAAATGACAGATTCGTAATCAGCGCATCAAACTTAGTCTATGTGCCAAGTTTCATTTCAATCGAAGCATTATTCGTGATTTTCAAATTTTAACCTTTTCTGGACTTTGTGAAAATTTGCCAAAAAAATGTAAAAATTTTGCCGCGCGTAAATCGACACAAAATTTGGAACAATTAATCGTTCTCAAATTTCTTCATTCAAACCTTTCCGCTGCTTCTGACACCGCCGGGCGCCAACGAGTTGCCGACGCCTTCGTTTCGCTGCCCGATCTTCTCCGCTCTACCATCAGCACCGCTCCACGGCCGTCGAATTCGATTCGCCGCCACAATGATCCACTCATCAAGTAGCGGATTATACCGCCGATAATTATTCATTGCTGGTTTTTGATTTCATTATTAATAATTCGATGCTATTGTGTAAAAAAAATCAAAGGTATTCAACAATCATGGATAATCTCGCCTCGTCCAATATATTACCATATATGGTTGAATATGTATATTTCAAGATGAAAACAATTCAAATGAAAGAACGAGAGAGCAAGAGAGATGGGGAAAAAAAGAAAATAAAAGTGGAAGAAGCAATATATTAACACTTATTAGGTATGTTTCTAGTAAAAATGCCACAAAAGCAATCTGGGTCTCGACACAAAAGATTACTGTAGCTTCACTTTCACAGAAAACTGACTATAAATTATTATATCTTTTTGAGCGTTGATCTAAAAACTGCGGATATGGAAAAAGATCGAAAGAAAACAACAACAACAAAACGGGAAATTTCCTATTCAAGTGAACATGATTAAGCAGTTTCTTTCTTTTTTTTTAAGGAGACGGCAAGATTCGCAATGTTTTCCCAATTTACTTCACTTTGAGTTGCTTCATTTTCGGCTGTTTCGCCTTCGCTTCACGCTTCAATTCTTTCGCCTGAAATTTTTTCATGCAAAATTTGGATTTTTTCAAAAATCAGGCAACTTTTGGCTAATTAGTACGGTTCTTAAAAATCTATATCGAATTTCTGTTAATTTTCATCGTTTTCAGAAGGAAACCTAAAGTTTTCTTTAAATATGGTTTTTATTCACCTAAAATCAATATTATTTTTTTTAAATCAGCTCAAAAACTCGGAGAAAATTGAATTTATGAATTTATAAACAGAATCGCCATTTTAAATAACTTTTTTTTTGAATTCATATCAAATAAACTTGTGTGTTCAAAACAGTAATTTCTATTTTTCTTAAACGTTTAGGACGTTTTCATATTAAACACCCCAGATCTCAAATATCACCATTTTCTCGTAAAAATACTCTAAAAAGGCACAAATTATTCCAAAAAATCACCTCCAATCGTTTCTGCCTATCCGGATCGGTCTCCTCCATCAATCTCTGCTTCCTTTCTCTCGTTTTTTCCTCTCGTCTCGCCTGCGCGGCCTCCTGCCGGAATTGATGTGTATTCCTCATGAATTCCTCCTCGAAATCTTTGCGTCGCTTTTCAGCCTTGAATTTCGCCTCCTTGCTCAGTTTGAGTTTGCGAATCTTAAAAATATTGATATTGAGGCATTTTCCCAATTTTTGCCAAAAAATAAAAAAAAATGAAACTTTCAAACCAAATTTTCACCAATACGTTAAAAAAAAGCAATACCTTCTCAACAAGATAAAACACCAAGTTAAGGATCTCCTCAATCGTGTCCTGATCCTCAAAATAGTCCAAATTGATCACAACAGTCATCATTCGTTGTCCTTCCGGCAATCTAGTATAAGTTTCGCCCCTAAAAAATTACCAAAATTACAGAAAAAGTGTCTAAAAAGGCTACTCTGGTGGCTTGGGTCCAGTATATTGATCAGAAATGTGGATAAGTTCAATCGATTTTTCATGCTTCTTCAATAGTGAGACAACGCCGGGCTCCAGAATCGAATAGACCACTTCGCTTTGATCCGAGTAAAGCACATAGCTGAAAATTTTCTTTTTTTTTCCAACTTTCAATGCACTTTAAAAAGTGGTTCAAAATTTTTTTTAGAAAAAAAGCCCAAAATAATTTCGGTCAAAAATATTCGCTACGAGACCCACTTTGGCGGCAAATTGATGTGTTGGGCGGTCTGTTTTCGCTCATTGGCGAACGACACCAAATCGAACATCTCCTTGACATGCTTCGTCGTCTGCTTCTTCTCTCCAACAGCGATGATGACCGGATCAGCGTCGGCTCCTTCTAGCGAGATTTTAAGCGTGAGACGATCCGAAGAAGGATTGATGAGGTTGAGGACTCGACTCACAATATCCTGACGTTTCAGCATTTTCATCTGAAATTTGCTTTGAAAAATCTGGGTTAAACCAACAAAATCCCTCATTTTTTAAACGGGAAATTCAAATTTTATGTCTCCCAACCTGAAAATGAAGATAGTTGACATTCACACGTCCGGTGCACCACGCCGAAAAATTAAAGTCGGTATCTTTCTTCAATTGCGGAGTGATTTGATCAAGATCCGTGACACCATCATCGCCAACCTGAAGATTCGAGTTTTCGCCAAAAAAAGTAATAACTATTTGAGTTAAAAATAATTTTCTATTCGTGGGAAAAGAAAAACCTCAAGAATTCGTTGATAGACAAAATTGTTTCTATTCATATTCGTCAAAGATATTGAAATACAATTGTCATTATTGTTTCAATTAAAGTAAGTCTTACCAATGCAAATTGCTCGACAAGTATTGGCTTGCAATAATCGAAGACGCGATTAGCCATGCTACTATTCACACTTCGTCCATACGCATAATTAATCATATAGATAAGCATGATGACGAGCACAATCGCCTCGACTTGATACGAAGCCCAATTGGATCGAAAATGCGCGGGAACATCGGCAAATTTCAGCGGCTCCACTGGCACTGGCTCATCGGCCTCCTTCTCTTTGACCTCGTCGGCTTCTTCATCAACAACTCCAAAATCATCGTCGAAATCCTCGTCTTTCACAACTTTTGCCGTTTTCATTTTCGGCGTCTCGGCTGAATCCGCCGGTCGTGGTGGCGCCTCGGTCACAGTTTCCGTGAAATCATCCTAAATTCACAAAATTGAAGCTCAATAATTCAATTTGAAAGCGAGAAAAAAACCTCAAACTCTGCGAATTCGTTGTCATCGTGAGCACTTCGAATGCCGCACGGTAGAAAAACGGCGAAAATAAATAATAAATATAATAGCCTCATTGTTGGGTGGCTATTTTTCAGTAAATTACCTGCAAAATTTTACGTTAGATTGGTGGAAAAACGCGACAAATATGGTTAGGCGAGCTCAGAACTGCAAAAACCAAAAGGCCACGCCCCGGTTGTGCAAACCAGGGCAGGGTTGATTGCACGCCGCTGACGCGCTTCCATCGATTTTCATATTTTCTCGGTGTTTTTGCACTTTTTATCTCTTGAAAAATCATTATTGTTTTATTATTATTAAAAAAATGAAGCATTGTTATTTTTATTTTAAAAAATTAAAAAAAAATAGCCAAAAGAAAAAATTCAAATAAAAATAATTTACAAACTACTCAAGGCGCATTTAGAATTTGGAATCAGGTTTCGCAAAGAATATTACTGTACATATTTTATTTTTCACGGAAATCGCCAATTTTCCGTTTCACGAATTCCAAAAAATAATGAGAAAAAATGTTATTGACTCCGTTCAGGTGAAATAAATTATTACTAAATCAACAAGGCAGTCTAGGAAAAGAAATTTTTTGGGGCGTGGGCATCAATAACTCTTCAGAACCCAGTTGTGCCCAACAAACTCTCCGCGATTCGTGCACTCTCTCCAATATGCCATTAAATACACAAGGGAGGACACAATGTGCGTGAGGGTTCCTTTGCTGGGTGCATATATGTATGCATCGTCAATGATTCTCGCCAATTGACCCGTCTGTTGTACACATTTCGGCCAGCCCTCACACCCAGCGGATTTCGGCCATCTGCAAAATGTTATCGTCATTTTAATGCCATATTTAATTCAAAATGCCCAATTTCCCTTCAAATTATCGATTGATAAAAGTCTGATTTTCTTGAAATTCTTGTATGCCTTTGTTTTTAAAAGTTTCAATTCATAAAACTTCCCGTTCAACTAGTAGATTTTCCTTAAATTTCAAAACTTTAAACGTCAAAAAGCCACTGATTTTTCTTGAAAAAAGTCAAAAATAAATTATTTTCTTTATTTTCCCGCTTCTAAACGAAATAATTTCAGCCCAAAATTCTCCACTTTCGCAATCTAGAAAAAAATGGCCTGTCTTGTCTCAAATTCGATAACCTCAACAAAATTGAAATATCAATGCTCGAAACATTTGAAGATAGTTTCTAATTTTTTCATGCGCTGATTAAATCAGCCTGTCTGCCCATAAATGGGTTTCGCCAGCCTTCGAATTAATCATTGAAGGTCACCTCCCTCCTCCTCTTCCTCCCCAGATGTGTATGTTTTTTTTTTCGCTGTCTTATCATTGCAACTGACTCATCGTTTGATAATTATTAATAATAATAATAATATTACAACCAACCGACCTATCTAACCGTCAATTTTATGGATTCGAAACTGGTTCATGAGATTTATAGGCGTTTTTCGTCGCGATTACACCGCTGTAAATCTCTTCAACTTTTTTTTTTCAAAATTGTTGGTTTCAATTAAGAAAAATCCGGTTTTTTGAAAGAAGATATTCTGGCATTTTTGGTCCGCATTTCATAATATAAAGAATTTTCGCCATGAGCTTTTTCGAATACTCGGAATAAAACAACAATTTGTATGTTTAGAACTTCCATTTTGGGTCCCAACACGATTGTTATTGCATTAACAAAAAAACATTACATTTCCTTTCAATTAAATCGATTTTTTCGAGTTTGCAGTTTTTAAATCAAAATTTTTTTTGCACCTGAAATTTAATGTCGTGCCTGGACCCAAAATAATTTTTTTTTCAGAATACTTTAATTAAAATTTCGTGATGATCAAATTTCAAGGCGCAAGGCGGCCAAAAATGTCCGGAATCAGGAATTTTAATATTACAAGGCCAATTACGATCATTTGAAGCTTTAAAAATTATATTAGCCAAATTTCAAGGCGCATACCTTTTCAAGACCAAATGTCTCATTGCATTTTCAACATAGTTTCGATTGTACCTCCCATTGAACCCTTTTCCTCCCCCTTCCCCCCTCTTCCCTTCCCACCTTGCCATATCTCCTCAAAGCTGGCCAAGTGTTGCTCGGAGCCCGCTCAATCGTCGAGTTACAACGGGAAGAAGCGCGTCTGCGATTCTCATGTGGTCGCCTGCTCTGTGCCGACGCCGGAATATATACACATTGCGAAACAGACGCCCACGACGACGGGACGACGACGACGAGGATCGACCAACCAACATCTTTTTTGATTGGACTGCCTGCTAGCGAGAGCACGCCGATCGATGAGCACAATATCACACTAGTACATCCGATATGATGGTCCCTATGCAGATTTCGCATTCCTTTTTTTTTTTTGATCTCGCAATTGTCGATTCTTGCTCAATTTTATTGATCGATTTTCAAATTTTGGGGTTTTTTTTCGTGAAATGTCGCATTTTTATAGATTTATTATGCATTTTTTTGCATTCTAAAAAAATTTGTGCAATTTTTAATTTTTTTATTTCTTAAGAGGGACCATTAAAAAATATTCGATTTTTCAAAAACAAAACTCAATACAAAAATTAGCTGGTTTGAAAAGTTTCCAGTATTTTTTTTTAGCATCACTTTTATTTTCGAATTTTTCTTGTGAAAAATTTCTTTAATTTATGCCGTTTATTCCGATTTTGCCTCATTTCAACGTCATGCTCCTTTAAATTTGCAGGGAAACCAAACACGGCCGCATCAACAGCGCCGAATGCCGCCATCATCACTAATTCTAATATGCCTGGCGGCGACCGTGTTCGCCGCCGATGTCAGCGATTGGCGTCAAGCGGGCACCGGTAATTAATTACCCCTAATTAGCCATCTTCAATCAAATTTCAGCCAGTGGCGAGGTGCTCCGAAAGTCATCGTTCCCGTGCCACTCATTATCCCGCGATAATTACACGTGCTCGGCGTGTATTCAATTGCATGAGTCATGCGCATGGTGCGGAATGCCGGTAGCGATCGCAACTAGCCAATTGAATTAGTCGATCAACCTAATTATAGGAATTCGACAAAGATAAACCGTATGCAAGATGCGATGATCGCGAGAAGCTTCTTGATCATGGATGCCCGGAAAGTTATATCGAGGATCCGCAGACGAAGCTCGACATCATCGAGGATGATCAGCTATCCGATCAGGGAACCGTTGAGACGGAAGATGAAGCCGTGCAAATCAAACCGCAGGAGATGTACATCGAAATTCGGCCAAGTTCGCATTTGTGTTTTATCAATTATGGCCGAGAATTTGCCGGCCGCTGAAATCTAGTCCCCAATTTCAAATTTTTTTAATAAGCAAATTGTAACGCGAAATATGGCGGTGAAAAGAGAATTTCGGCTCAATTTACTGTGTCTGATATATGTATATATTTTTTTAGAAATTTAATATTTTCCTTTCCAGAATCCCGCGTTCGTTTCAATGTCACTTATCGTCAGGCCGTTGATTATCCCGTCGACTTGTATTATTTAATGGATCTCTCATATTCCATGAAGGATGATAAGCAGAAACTCTCGGAGCTTGGAGATCTTTTAGGTAAAGCAACTTTTTTTTTTAATTCGAATTTTTAATTGTTTCGTTTTTCAGCCGAACGAATGCGAACCGTCACAAAGAACTTCCGATTGGGCTTCGGCAGTTTCATCGACAAAAAACTGATGCCATTCATCGATCCGAGAATCGAGAAGCAGCTTTCGCCGTGTCCAACGCCATGCGCCGAGCCGTACGGATTCAAGCATCAAATGTCGCTGACAACGAACACTGCCAAATTCAAGGCAGAAGTCGATAAGGCTGAAATCTCGGGAAATTTGGACGCGCCCGAAGGCGGATTCGACGCTGTCGTTCAGGCACTAGCCTGCAATGTAAGATTTAGCATCATCGACTTCAAGAAATGCCATTTTTTTAGAGAACAATTGGCTGGCGTGAGCGTGCCCGAAAGATGATCGTCTTCTCCACCGATGCCGGATTCCACTTCGCCGGCGATGGCCGCCTCGCTGGCGTCGTCGAGCCCAACGACGGAACATGTCATTTGGACCGCGAGGGTTATTACACAGAAACGCTTAATCAGGACTATCCATCGATCGCTCTCCTTCATCAAATGATTAAGGATAGAAAAGCGAACATCATTTTCGCGGTGACCAGAAACAATCAAGATCTTTACACTCAGGTACAAATTTTTGAATTTTTTTTTTGGAAAATTTTTTTCCAGCTTTCCAACGCCCTGCCCGACGTTTCCTCATCGGTCGGTGTTCTTGCCAATGATTCTCGAAATATTGTGGACCTTATTGAGAAAGAGTACCTCAAAATCAGTGAGAAAATCATCATGGTCGACAACGCCAACGCGTCCGACGGGCTTAAAGTCACCTACCGATCAATGTGCCTTGAGTAAGTTGCAATTTTAATGGTCCCTTGATATGTGAGCGCTCTTTCAGTGGTACTACTCTCAAGGACACCAACGTTTGCGAAGGAATCCGTGTAGGCGACGAGGTCTCCTTCGAGGTCACCTTGGAAAACACGCATTGCGTCGACAAGCGCGACTTTGTGCTCCGAATCGGACCTTCTGGACTCGACGAGGCCCTGATGCTGAATGTCAAGGTGCTTTGCGATTGCGATTGTGAGCGTCAGGATCGAATTGTGGCCAATTATGAGGAGTGTCATGGCGGTGACATGATCTGCGGAGTGTGTCGATGCAAAGGAGGCAATGTCGGCAAATATTGCGAATGCAATCGGCCCGGCATGAGCACGGCAGCGTTGAATGAGAAATGCAAACGGTATGTGGAAATCGTGCGGCACTCAATTGGCAAGCTAATCTTTGTTTTTTTTTTCAGAACCAACGAGTCGGCGATCTGCGAAGGACGCGGAATCTGCAATTGCGGACGTTGTCAGTGTAATCCGAGATCGGTAGGGATTTCTCAACATCGTCATGAAATTTGCCTCTCTCTCTCTGATTTTGCAGAATCCCGAAGAGCAAATCTCCGGCGAGTTTTGCGAGTGCGACAACTTCAATTGCCCGCGACACGATCGTAAAATTTGCGCCGAGCACGGCGAATGCAATTGCGGAAAATGCGTGTGTCGATCCGGATGGACCGGTAAGTCGCCTCGAGACCCAAATCGCCAACATCTGCCAATTGCAGGCCGCGCTTGCGAGTGCCCAATTTCGACCGACTCATGCCTATCGGCCAACGGCAAAATCTGCAACGGCAAAGGCGAATGCATCTGCGGTCGTTGTCGCTGCTTTGAAGGACAGGATGGCAATCGCTATTCCGGCGCCAAATGCGAAATTTGTCCGGTATTTTGGAAAAATTTCGGTTTCTCATGATGTTTTTTCGCATCTCCAGACGTGCCCCACTAAATGTATTGAGTATAAGCCATGCGTAATGTGTCAGCAATGGCAAACTGGACCTTATAATGAGTCGAGATGCGAACAATGTCCATTCAAGGTGATTCCCGTCGATGAATTGCCAAGTAAGTTGAATTGATCAAACCGAGCAAGTGCACTCTACCAGTGCATCTTTTGAGCAATCGCGCTCTATTAATTATTTTTTTAATTTCAAATTTCAGCCTTGAATGAGACCACCCCTTGTCAATTCGTCGATCCCGCTGATGATTGCACCTTCTACTATCTCTATTACTATGATGAAGCTACGGACAACGCTACGGTTTGGGTGCGACGGCATAAAGGTATTTTTTATAATTTTTAGACTGCCTACCACCAGTTTTACAATTTTTTACAATTTTCAGACTGCCCACCACCAGTTCCAGTGCTTGCCATCGTTCTCGGTGTGATTGCGGGAATCGTCATCCTTGGAATCATTCTTCTCCTTCTTTGGAAATTGATTGCGGTGCTCCACGATCGCGCCGAGTACGCGAAATTCAATAATGAGAGGCTCATGGCTAAATGGGATACGGTAGAATTTTGTGTTGTAGAGCATTTTTGAAAAAATTATGGTTTCAGAATGAGAATCCGATTTACAAGCAGGCGACGACGACATTCAAGAATCCGGTGTATGCCGGCGGAAAGAAGGGATTATAAGCTGGCGACGAAACTTTGATTTTTGCTCAGAAAAAAAAAAACGCGTGATTGGTTTTTTCCGTTTCGTTATATATTATTTTCCCTCTCAATTTCTGCTTAGATTTTCCATGTATTTAGACCGAAATTTTATATTTGTTACGGATCTTCTAATTATTTTTTCTCATTATTACATGTTTGCTTTATTTCAAGTTTTTGAAACAATTTTTTATTGGTGCTTTGATTTTCTACATTTACTTGTGTTTTTTTTCGAATGCATTTTATGTAATAATTAATAAAAAAAACCGATTTTCAAATATTTGCCACTTTTTCAATAGAAGTAAAAATTCTTTCTTTTTGCGAGACAGACGATCCGCAACGCGACCGCGACGAAAGATCTGCCAGACCAAATAAAATTGTTTATCTGCGGACAATGATGCGGGTCTAGCAAATCAATTTTATTGAGAATAACATAAAAAATACTTTAACTTTATGAAGAAGAAGAAGCTCAACAATGAAATTATTGGGGTGGTCCCATTTGTTGCGGTCGAGCTCCTCCCAAATAGATATCTCCCATTTTGAAGTTCATATTTTTCAAGACGTCTATGCCGGCTCTCAAGATTTTGCTAAATAGTCCACCTGATCGTCCTCTTCCTCTCTTCCTTTCCACTAGTTCCTCATTGTTCTCCTTCAGCGCTGATCCGTAATACGGCTCGAACTCATCAACTACACTCGGTTTTCTTACGAACGGATTCTCGGGTCCGATTTCGGAATGGTACGATTTCCGATCGAGACCCAAAGACGCATGGTTGGGTCCTCCGATGTCGTTTAGTAGCAATTGGTCATAGTCCAAGTGTGTGGACATGCAGGCGATTGGCTGAAATTGATAATGGTAGAAATGAAGGTGAAGGTGAAGAAACTCACGAGGAGAACGAGGAGAGCGATGAGGAGACGCATATTCGTATTGTCGGGGCACCATATTCGAGGTCCTTTTATGGTGTCAGCGATAACTAATCGAATCATCCAATAATCAAATTATCAATTTCATCGATTTTCGCAAAAAAAAAATGAACAAAGATTTCTAAATATAGAATTTTGAGGCGCATTTTAAGCGAATGATCAAGCATATTGGAACTGTTGAAATTTTCAGCCGATTTTCAAAAAGTGGAATGAGATATTTTTTAGATCTGAAATTTTTCGAATAATTTGGTTAGGATTTCGACTGGTGAGAACACGTAGTTGAGCAATTAGAGTTAATTAGCAAATTTTATATTTCGCTTTAAAATTCGTAAACACACTCAATATATACAAATTCATTTAATTCTACTTAATTAATTCAACTAGTGCATCAAGTGTGGCCGTGGCCGAACCAATTTTGAGGCCATTTTTTCTCGGCCACATGTAGTTTTGTCGAGCCTTCCACAACAACGCCGCAATATTCCGACTGGTTTCCGATTATCGTCGTGTGCATTGGTTATTGAAATGACAGGATTTGATCACGAGAATCCGCAACGCCTATACTAGCACTATATTTTGATTTATTAAGATCCATTGAATTAAAAATGAAGACTAGCGTGACCTTTCCCTAGCTGTCGAAATATAAAAAAATAATTTAATACTAATAATTGGAACGATGGAAATTGTTGCTGATTATTATTATTTTTTCATTACATGATATTCATTACTACAAAAAATCGCAACTTCTTTGGGTAGGATTATAAATGCAAGAAGGTTCTAAACGAAAATTCCGGAACATTTTCAGACGTCGATCCAATTTCCGAAAAATTGAGTGAACAAATTTTATAAGCAATTTTGTGCATGAGATTGCCGCCGTTATGTATTCTCAATCTGTTTGAATAAATTATTGCCGATTTTGGATTTTCTTTTTGGTTTTGCAAAATTCGGAGTAATATCGCCGACTGAACACAGGTTTAAGACAAAAATTTGAAATCGCCGTTCCAAAATTGGTATATATGTCCACCATGGGCCTCACGCGCATTTTTCTAGTGGAGGGTCCGTTCGGCAATTCCATTTTTGTCGGAAATTTTCGATCGAAATCGCAATTCTTGGTATTTGGCTCGAGAATTCTAAATTTAGAATTTTTGCGAAAATCGATGAAATTGATAATTTGATGATTCGATGATTCGATGATTCAATTAGTAATCGCCAGCACAATAAAAGGACCCCCAATATGATGGTCCGATTGTCGACGACACAACATGCGTCTCCTCATCGCTCTCCTCGTTCTCCTCGTGAGTTTCTTCACCGTCACCTTCATCTCAACAATAAGCATTTTCAACCAATCGCCTGCATGTCCATCTATATTGATGAAGGAACTAGGAACGATCGAATGGTTCGATATTTCGAAAGAAAGTTCGCCGAAGGCGTTGCGAATCCCGATCGGAATCTCAAGCTTCCGACGCCGCCCAACGACGTTGACTATGACGACAATGACGAGGCGACGTCGACGGGAAAAAGCCGACTCGAACGCAAAAAGTTCGGTTTCAATGTCCTCGGAAGTATTCTGAAGAATGTCGGACGATTTGTCGGCGGACTTTTGGGCGGATCGCGGAATGCTCAGTAATTGGCGCGATAAATCGTGTCCGGTGTTTTGATTGATGTCGAAAATAAATAATTTATTACGCATTCGATGTTTTTAAAAATAGAAACAAATTCGCGACGGGGCTCCCGCTTTTTGAGTCTTAGTGAATGAAACAATTAATGCTCATATGAATTGTGATGAAGCTGCCGACAAGAATTCAAGAAACACGTCTCGAACTGTTCCACCATCTTTTATGAGTTGGGAGAATCGGCTCGAATTTTGAGTGTCCGAAGGCATCGCAATATCCATCAAATAAATTTGGGTGTTGGAAGATTAGACCTATCAACATTATTCAAAATTTGAAAAATGCTTCGTGACAACTTTTCCCCAGTCTCAAAATCTAGAATTTTCGGAAGATTCGAATTAAAATTGAAAAAATGTGTGGGAATTTTCATCTCCACAAAATTCCCGAGAACTTCCCTGTGTATTCGGCGCAGATTCCCTAAAATTTCCCCGGGAGCCTTCGGGAATTTTCAACATTTTCCGAGAGAAAAACTGCTCGGGAAAATTCCGCACCTTCATAGTTCCCGGGAACACACACTGATCTCAACTGAAAATTATTCAATCAATTATTTTTTCCGTGCTTTCTTGGCGAATTTATGGCTTTATTTGTTGAAAATTTGTAATAGTAATCATTTTTGTATATTATTCAAAGTTAATTGTTATATATGAAAAGAAACGATCAATAATTTATTAAATAATTTTCAGTTGGGATTACTGTAGGGGTAGGATCGGTGTATGCACACAATGCATTGGATATCGCTGCAGTTTTTCATATTCGTCATTTTTCCATTGCAAATTGAAAAAAATGCCCATTCAATGTAATATTTTGTAAAAATCTATTAATTAAAAAAAAACAGAGAATAAGTCTAGTGACTGATTAAAGCAGGAGACGAGGCCTACGTGGGGATTCTTTATAATTTTCCATGGCGGCCTAGAAATTAAAAATTTTTGATAGATTCCTAGGCCATCAACCGTCAAATGGAAAATCACATTGCGATTAAAATCAATAATTTGCGGTAGAATTCGATAAAAAATTTTTTTTTCGATGATTCGATTAGTGATCGCCGACGTCATAAAAGGAACCCCAATATGAAGCTCTGACGACACAAATATGCGTCTCCTCATCGCTCTCCTCGTCATTCTCGTGAGTTTTTTTTCACTTTCGCCTTCATCTCTACGATTATCAATTTCAGTCATTCGTCTGCATCGCAGCCCACACACTACACGACGCGTGGAATCCGAGAATGTCGCTAATCGTGAGCCGCAAATCCGCCGGCAATCGCTATTACCGCGGAGCGAAGAAGCGTGTACAACCCTGATTCGTATTGATTTCGAAGGCAATAAATCGGTTTTACGCAAGAATTTATAGTCAGTCTAAAAAAGATCGAAAAAGGATAGAGAGAGAGAGAGAGAGGTGGTTCCCTGAGTAGAACTCGATTGTCATTAGAGCGCAATTGCAACCCTTCCATTTCATTATTTGACCAATGTAATCTCATAATGAATCCGCCAAAAATGCTTATATCTCTTGCCGGATAAGAAACAAGCAAAATGAAATATTTATAATTTTTCAATTTTTTTACGTTAAAATTTCGCGATCTTGATAAGGCAGCACAAAAAGAAATACTAATTTTGCCAAAACTCATCCATTCAAATAATCGCGATCCGAATTGCCCTTCATCGTATAATTATGCAAATCCCTAATTAGCACATTGTGCATCGTTTGAAGAATTGTGCCGCAAAATCTAGAAATTGGCCGACAATTTTGATCTACATCGCCACCTCACTTTTTGCGATTCGCATTCGGCTCGGCGAATTTGCTCAGTTTGATCGGATGAATTGCAACGACCGACGAATTGTACACTTCGGCCCATTCGCGCCGATTTGACCACATATAGTTGTTGGTAAGCTCGCGCGATCTGAAATTTTCGTTGTGAGCCGTTTCCGGTTTTTTTTCTCAACTTTGCCGAAAAATAACAAAAACGTGGTCTTATGTATTTTAATTTGCTAAATGCTAATTTTTGAACTCGAGCCAATGAAGTGAAGTACTCGGAAAAATCGCGAAACCCGAAGTAGTGTAAAAATCGGCTGAAAGTGGTACGTCGCGAGTTGGGGATTATCGACGTCGTGTTGAAAGTATTGCAGCCACACAGAGTAAATTTCATCATAAGCATCTGCGGACATTTGCCGTGTTGAATCGTTAAATTATATTCTCAACCCCCCCCCCCCTAGCCGGCCGGGTCCTTTCCGGAATCCTACGTGAGCAGTATTGTTCACCGTGTAGCTATTGGAATACAACAAATTTAGCGAGAAAACCCCCATCCTACAAATTTGAAGTCCAAAAAAATTTAAAAAAAATCGTGCTCCCTAAAACCTACTATCCATTACATTATTAGCCAAGCTTTTTGAACCTCTGTAAATAAGTTCGAAACCGGAATAATAGACTCCGAGGTGGTCGAGGTGGTCCACCCGACGAGAGCCAAAACGTAATAATTTCAATTCAAATTGTTTTTGCTTCGCAATTTTTTTTTGAAAACAAATTTTGTCAATATTCAAAAAAAAAATCGAAAGCGGAAACCAAAATATATATATACATATATATATATATGTGTGTAGTATCATCCTGAAACCACAGAGCGAAAAGTTTAGACCAATATTGTCATAGTCAACAAATGTGCTCTATTGAAATGTCTCGTCGTATGGCACCCTCTCACTCTCCCTTTATCTATGCATGGTTCTCACCATTTTTTCTTTTTCTCTGGGACTCTCATCAGGTCGCAGTCTTTTTCTCTCTTGTACTTCCCTATTGTTTGTAGTTTGATCTCGGGGGCACTCTATAAGCTCCCCCCAACCTTGATACATTAAAGTGCTAAATTTGATGTAGCAATCAATCCCGTAAATCTACCCAATGAATAGTTGGCACGAAAATTCAAAATTCGCCACCGAAGAATGTTCAAGACCCAAAGCGGCAATTCAATTGCAGTCGTGTCGTTAGATGATAGGCACGATTCCATTTGGGACCTACAGTCACGTCAAGACCAACCGAGAGAAAACAAGGCAAAATTGAAAGGCGCATACGTTTGATGTCGAATCGAGCGCAAAAATCGATTGACGGCGAGCTCGAGAAAAAGTTGGTGGCGGTAGAAAATTCGCATAAGCCTCGCGAAATAATCAATGTGATCCGATGGAACATAATATCTGAAAATTGGAATGCGAAGAGGATCAACAATAATTCCACACGAACACGTCGGAAATGCTTCGGGATTTTCCTTGAAGTAGATCATCAAACGCGCTCATTGAACCATTGATATAGCCGAATTTGCGAAGCTGAATTTGTTTTTTCTTAAACACTTGATTTGACGACAATTTGCACAATAATTATAATTGAAACGAAAAAAAGAAAACACCCAACTCCAGTCTCATATTGTTTCCAGACGTTCCGAATCTCATCGTCGTCGGTGCCATTGACGTCGTTGACAATTCGCAAGGCGGCGTCTAAACCGAACTCCTCCTCATTCCACCAAAGATCGTCATCGATGTAGGCGACGCCGGTGAGATGGAACACGCGCGAGAAGTCGATTCGCTGCCACACATTGAGCACCGCGTCGTCGGCCACAACCAGATAGCCGCCGACGTTGGCCAACATCAGCTCTTTCGTCAATGTCAGACAGTGGTAGCCGAAATAGCCGTTGTGCATTTCGGCGGGATTCATGTGCACGTAGATGAATGGTCGCAACGGTTTCGGGAATCCGCGATCTTCGATGATGCGCCTTTAATGTCGCACAACGAGAAGCACCTACCAGTTGATCGATATGCGTCCGGGTAGTAGCTGCCGCAGAAGATGACCGCGCCGAAGTACGGAGAATACATTCGCTGAATCAAACCGATCGCCCATTTCCAAGCATAATTGCTCACCACAACGAGCACCTATAATTGGTACCTTTAAATTACATTCAATTAAAGGCGCATATCGCCTTTAAATTGGTTTTGAAGGGAAATTTTACATTGTTCGAATGAGCCGTCAATATCGGATTCTTCGAATGTTGCTCGGCGAGCTGCTTCGGCGATGGCAATGAATTGCGAAATCCTGAAAATGGAGAAGCTCAATTTGTCTCAAGCGCATGAGCACCAGTGTAATTCGCCAATCGACACCATTCATCAATGTCGCTCCAGTAGGCGATCTTCTGAGATGCTCGTCGCGAATCATCCAGCCAGAGCTGAAGGCCAATTCGGCGACAATTCACCAATCTCGACGACTCATTTCGACTGATCTCGTAGGCGGATCGATCGATTGAATTGATTGCAGGAAATGTGTGCCTGAATTTCGCCATCAATGTTGTGGTACCACCACCTCCCGACTCACCCGATCGTTTCAAGATCCTTGATCCATTGTCGAATCAATTGCGCATCGGTCGGCTCCCAGGGTTTGAGCTCGACGAATCGATCGGCCAGATCGATCATGCATCGCGGCACATCGCCTGAATCGCATTTCCATTTGTGGATCTCGTTCACGATTCTGCCAGCGTCCTGGTAAACCTGCAGCTCGTCGTGAAAATCCTTCAGATAGTCGTTCGCGTTTCGATACTGAATCGCGTTCACCGGCGTGAAGCCGACAGTTAGTCCGGAAAGATGCAAAATGCGCTGTGCATAGTACGACCTCCAAACGTCGGTGGTCCTTAATCGATTGTTTTCGGCTGGGCGCGATTTGGATTGGATCAATACCTGAATGGTACGCTGGTCGGCAGAAACATGGTGTGGAATGCGGACTTGTGGAACAATGTGTTCTGCGAGTTCCATGGTGCATAGGTGCCAACCGAGAGGGTGATGGGCGGCGCGAATTTGTTGAATCGCTCGTTGAGACCCGATTTGGGATCGGCGCGGAGAAGCCTGAAATGAAGACGTGTGGCCTCCCAACGATAGGAAAGGCGAGACCAATTCAAAGGCGCACACTTGCGCCTCCGAAAATGGTCTCGACACGATTCCAACCTGTAAATCGCATCGACATCCGGATCATGATGGGCTAATCCTTGCTGTACCGCCGGCGTGGGGACCATCGAACACAATCCCATCGTCTCATCGCCGTTCGTGTGCTCTTTGAGGTACTCCAATGGAAAACCTCGCGGCCACATTTCGCGCGAGCCATAGAATTGATACGGATTGAATAGGCGATGCCTATAATTGGATGGGAAGTGACGCGAATCAATTGAAACCCACCAACTTGAAATCGGTCGAATTTTTCGGATAATAGACGACGCTTGAAACGACGTCGGCGAATTGAAATTGATTCAATCCGAGTCCTGAACGCCGCCCTCATCATCCGTATCCGATGCATCAGACCTACCGAATGGTTTGTAGTCGTCGTCGGTATCATAGATCCATTGCGCTCCGTTCGATATTGCGTACAAGTAGCCAACATTTTTTCGAGTGTATGAATTATACGGAAGATTTGCAGGCAAACCGAGGCCTAGAATTGGCGATTTTGTGGAATTGCCGCGACGCGACCGCAACGCATTTCAACAATTTAATATTTTTGAATTGAGTTTTCAATTTTTTGGACAACTGTGTTTTTTGGACAAGGACTTCGAAAATTAAAAAAAAAAACACACATCGCAAAAAACGAGTGTGACTCACTGCTAAAAATTTGAAAAAATAAAACTTGTGCATTTTGTCGTCAAATAAAATGCATTATGAATTTTTGATTTTTTTCGTTAAGGTTTTAAAATGAGGACCCACCGAACGATTTTTGCAAATCGATCGACAGAAAATGAACGCCGTCCAAATGCCAATCAGCGGGCGTTTTTGAATCGCCGACTACCACCAGATTCCAATCGTTGAACGATGCCAACCTCTAAGAAGATTTGCGCATCGAAACTCGAAGCCGCATACATATGAGATTATAGGCGCATTCCATTTTATTCAATAAAAATTTAAATTCTTTTAATTTTTGTCAAATTCCCCAAAAAAGATATTCAAAAAAAAATGTCGAATCTGATTTGTATTGGATAAAAATTCTCATGCTCCTTTAAACTGGATTGTTTGGTCAAATACCTTAATATTGTCAGTTGGTGTTGAAATACTAGTCACCACAATCCATTTTCCGCCAATTTTGACCTCCGACACGTTTTCAAGCATTGACACGCGTTCGATCAACGATTCACTACCATATTTGGTGACACGTGGCAAACTCCAAAAAAAGAATAACCATAGAATCAACAAGAATACGACGAGATGCCCTCGTCTCGACATTTCGTATTTCTGGAGGTGACCAAAAAAAAAAATTGAGAATGTTTGAAAATGATTCACAAAAAGTGACAAAACAATTTTGTTTGAATTGCATTATGGATCTTTATAGTGTGCGGGAACTGAGGGGTCCGGACCTCGGCCGTGTGTTCCCGGCTCTATTTCTTTTTCATGGATTTGTCTTAAAACCAATAATAAACAACTAAAAGTTTATTAAAAAACAAAAGAATGAGCACCATAATTTAGTGGGGGGTCATAGAATGTTTCCCGGCTTCCTACCACCTCGTTCACCTCACGAGCATCGCTTAAATAGGGGGTGAGCGTGTGGCATTGATAACGGTCATGTATAATTGTGGCCGGTCGGAGATTTCATTAAATAAATATATATTTATATTGTCGGCTTCAAATGACTGAAGCTAGGCGGGGGCCTTCAAATTCGCGAAATCAGTGTAGATTTAAATTAATCGTTGACTGAATATTAATGCGCGTACACTATAATGCAATTTACGCAATTTTGCGTACTTCTCGCTGCCTCGAGACGCATTGGCACATAGCCAATAATTTTTAAAATTTCATCCACTCGTTTGATTTCGACAATATTTACATATGTGTAGATATAAATCCTTCCGGTCACTGTTTCACCTGATGTTGCCTTCTGACTCACTTACATTATGAAGAAAAATCTCAACAATTGATCCACCAGGTAGATCACCCATAGCCTTACCATAGAACAGATAACTTCTGAATCAGAATCACTACATCTTCACCAATAAAGCGGCAAAATTGGTGTAAGTGGAATTTCGCCCAGCGCTGATTTTTACAGGGTCCCCAGTTTTTTTTGCGATTAGTTGTACATAATTATTGAATAATATTGAAGAAGAAATTTTCAAGTCTTCACTTTGACTATTTTTGAAAAAAAATCATGAAAACACGATTCATTAAATTCCAACCATTTATTTATAAAATACTTACATTTGTTTTGCTAGAACTTGCGAAAAAAAAATACAATGGCACTACTAATTTTACAAGATAAACCGGTCGTTGCTCAAGGGTTACTTCAAATCCTTTTTATTAGTTCGTTGCGGCTTTGCCGGACGAATTCGGCAATTTGGCTTCGAGTTTCTCAAGAATCTGATTGGCGCACACTGGGAGTCGGGTGCCTGGTCCGAACACAAGTGCGACACCGCTATCGAAGAGTTCCTGATAATCTTGCGGTGGGATGACGCCTCCAGCGATCACAAGGATATCCCTGGGAGAATTAGAAAGTGTGAAGAATTGGCATTTTAATGTTACTCACGGTCTTCCGAGCTTCTTGAGCTCATCGATGAGCTGCGGAATCAAAGTCAAATGTCCGGCGGCTAAGCTTGATGCTCCGATGACGTGCACATCAGCGTCCACAGCCTGCTGGGCGGCTTCGGCGGGCGTCTGGAACAACGGCCCAACATCGACATCGAATCCGAGATCGGCGAATCCAGTGGCGACGACTTTCGCGCCGCGATCATGTCCGTCTTGTCCCATCTTGGCCACCATAATTCTCGGCTGACGTCCGTCCTTCTCAGCGAACTCCTTGACACGATCCATGACTTGTTGAATTTCCGACGTCTCGCCAAACTCGGACTTGTAGGCGCCGGAGACGAGACGATTGACGGCCGCGTGCCGCTGGAACACCTTCTCCATCGCATCCGAAATCTCGCCGACGGTGCAACGCGCGTTCGCCGCTTCAACGGCAAGCTCGAGAAGATTTCCTTTTCCTGCAGAGGCTGCCGTGATCGCGTCAAGTGCCTTCTGCGCTCTTTCCTTGTCTCTAGTCGCTCGGATGTGTTTAAGCTTCGCGATCTGACTTTCGCGAACCTTGGCGTTATCGATCTTCAAGACATCAACCATAGTCTCCTGAAATCATAAATTCCTTTATCAAGGCGAATTCTCGATTATAGGTGCCTCGTCAAGTCGATACTTGTTTACTCCGACGATGACATCCTTTCCGGCATCAATTCGAGCTTGCTTCTTCGCTGCAGCTTCCTCGATTCTCAGCTTCGTCATTCCTGATGCGACAGCCTTCGCCATTCCTCCGAGCTCATCGATCTCCTTGATCACCTCCAGCGCTTTATCGTAGATTTCGTCGGTAAGCGACTCCATCATATAAGAGCCACCCCATGGATCAGCGACCTAAAGCATTTAATCATTTGCTTCTCTATCTCTCTCTCTCCCTCTCTTAGTTGCCATGGCGAAAATCTGGTTACCTTGCAAATTCCGCTCTCCTCCTGAATGATGATTTGTGTGTTTCTCGCGATTCTCGCCGAAAACTTCGTCGGCAATCCAAGTGCTTCATCGAACGAGTTGGTATGAAGCGATTGGGTTCCACCGAACACCGAAGCCATCGCTTCAACGGTAGTTCTAATAATATTGTTGTACGGGTCCTGCTCAGTTAGGGACCATCCAGATGTTTGCGAGTGTGTTCGCAGCATGCAACTCTTCATATTTTTTGGATTGAATTTCTCCTTGATCAAATGGGCCCAAAGGCGGCGAGCAGCGCGCATTTTTGCGATTTCCTCAAAATTTTTATTTTTTGTTTTGTTTTTCAATTTTAATTGGCAATTTACCATGTAAAAATTCATTGAGATTCCCCAGAAGAACGACAATCTCGGCGCAAATTGATCGATGTGAAGTCCGGCGTCCAATCCCGTCTGACAATACTGAATGCCGTCGGCGATTGTGAAGGCCATCTCGAGGACCGCGTCAGCTCCAGCCTCTTGCATGTGATATCCCGAAATGGAAATCGAGTTGAACTTGGGCATTTCCTTCGACGTGTACGCAAAAATGTCTCCAATAATTCTCATGGACGGCTCCGGCGGATAGATATACGTATTACGGACCATGAACTCTTTGAGGATGTCGTTTTGAATGGTGCCCGCGAGCAGCTTTCTCGGCACCCCCGACTCTTCAGCAGCGGCGATGTACATCGCAAGCACCGGAATCACAGCGCCGTTCATCGTCATCGACACCGACATCTTCTCCAAATTGATTCCATCGAAAAGCTGCTTCATGTCTTCGATTGAGTCGACAGCGACACCGGCCATTCCGACGTCACCGAACACTCTTGGATTGTCGGAATCATATCCTCGATGGGTGGCAAGATCGAAAGCCACTGATAATCCCTGTTGTCCGGCCTTGATGTTCTCCTTGTAGAACTTGTTGGATTCCTCGACGGTTGAGAATCCAGCGTACTGGCGAATTGTCCACGGTCGCTGCGTGTACATGGTTGGGTATGGGCCGCGGGTGAACGGGAATTGTCCGGGAAGCTCCGGCTCACGCTCAGCATCACAATCGCGATCTTTTCGGAGATAAAGCGGCTTGATCGGAATTCCTTCAGGCGTTTGCGAAATAAGCGTATCCGCCTCTTTTCCCTAAATTTGTCACATTTTTTTATAAAATAATTGCTTTACAATGTACTTTCATCGCTTTTTTCGCCATTGCTGCCCATTTTTCATCGATTGGAAGCCGTTTATAAGCTCCGGGGCCGGTTGTGTGACGAGTAGAAGTCTAAAGTAAAAATGAAAATAAAAGCTGACCGTGAGTACTGTAATTTTGAAAATGGTGCAATTTTACGTGACGGTGTGTTGCGCAGACTCACGTAATTTTTTTTTTGCTTTTTTTTTAATTTTTAACTGTTTTCGATTTTTCTGCTTTTTGGAGTTTGATGTGGTAAATTTTTGAGAAAATTAGTTTAAATTAGTATTTCGTTGTTTTAAAGAGAAAAAAAACTGAAAGAAATCAATTTTGTTCATTGCTTTTCTTGTCGCAATCAATTAGTTCGAAACAGGCTATAGCCGCTATCTGACGAGTGCGTTTTTAGTAGACTAGACTCTATTTGAGTTTCAAAACAAAATCCTTCTATCTCTTCAATTTTGACCAAATCACACTTGTTTCTTTTGAAAATAAAGTTGTCTGGAAAAAATTTCAAATTTCACCAAATTTTCATTTAGAAATTCAACTAATTGTAAAATGTTTTCAAAATCCCAATTCTCCAATTCCACTTACCTTTAGAATCGAGGGTTTGATCAAATGAAGCCGCATTGTGCCTGAAAATGGAGAATATCACACAAAAAATATTGAAAATTGTTTAATCAAACAAGACTGTATTCAGTATGTTGTCACAAAAAGCGGCGATAGGAGAGAGAAGAGGGAGTAGAGATAGGAAAAGATGCCAAATACTCGTTTTGTGAACCTTTTGGTCGAAAAGTGAATAAAATGATTCGATGGGCGGAGATTCAGACTGACCACAAAAATTTTAAAATTTTGAAAATGCCAACTTAAAATAGAGAAAGTGGGACGTTTTGTTGTTTCGCATAGAAGATAGAAGATTCATAGAATTATTGCAACACTTCAACGGACCAACTGACTTAGATGTGTGCGTGCCAAATCGAAGGGGTTGTGCGACGGACGTCTCTCGGCCAACTTTCTTCTCGTCGTTTTTCGCCTCCTTGTCGCACAATACACACGGTGAAAAACGCGCTCCTGTCATAAGATATTGGGCCAAAACATGTTTGCAAAAAAAAATGAAAGTGCCCATTGGAACGGCCCACCGAATTTCTAAACAAGTTGAAGGGAATTATGATTGGATTGTAATTTGAAGCCAATTCTGTAGGTCAAACAGAATTAAACGTGCTTAAAATATTCGACATTTCACATAAGTCCACTAATTTTTAAGAAAAAAAACACATTTGTTTCGTATTTTTTGACTTTTATTATAATTTTCTTCCATCATTATAATCCCATTTTTCAATATAAATGTCTATTACTTCCTAACCTAATTAAGCGTAATTATCCAATTCATCCGTTGCTCGCGTTTTATGCAAGCCGGCGTATCCATTGGCGCATTTTCGGTGTTGGCGCGTATCGCGAGCACGCTCAATCTTTAAATTTCCAATTTCGTCGCCGTCTCTTTCTCTCCACTTTTCACTATTTCATCTACATTCTTCCGTTTCTCGATTATTTTCAGCTTGAAAGTGGTTTTACTGAAAAGTTTAATCGAAATTTTCGTCAAGCTTTTCGGAAAAATTTCACCTTATTAGGGGAATCGCTGAGTTTTTGCGTTTTATCGATTCGGACTAAAAAAAAAAGATTAATTTGAATTGCAGATAAGCCTTGAAATAATGTCTCGATCGGGTCAATCCAGTGAGTTTTCAAATAAAAAATAACGTTTTTTGACGATTTTCATTTCAGGCGAGGCTTATGCTCAAGAGCTGAACCGGAAACGGGCGACGATGCGGGGTAATGATGAGGAGCCGAATGACGAGAACGTCGGCAATGGCAACAAGGTGGCGTTTGGCGCCGCCGGCACATTTGATCAGGATGTATACGGAACGGAGGAACGCGGCGGCGATAAGTATGTCGAATCGATCGGCACCGGCGAAGAGGACGATGTTGATGAGGATTCGATGCCATCGGCGCCGAAGAAGGCGATCAACTACGCGCAGCCGCACAAATTCATTGAAGAAGTCGCGAAGGCAGCGGATGACACGGATCCGTTCGCTGATACCCGAGTCAAAACCATTGCTGAGAGGAGGTCCAAATATCAGGAGCGAGCGCAGCGGCGGCAGATTTCGCCGGAGCGGATTGACGCGTTCGGTAAGGGTTTGATGGCTTCAAGATAATTAAAACTGTTGGCTGCTTTCTTTGGGTACTAAATTCATAATTTTCAGTTGATCAAACGCCTGATCAGCGGAATCGCGGCTATGCTGAAGTCATGCGCGATCAGCTATTTCTTGAGGAGAAGGGACGCGTTGAGCGAGAGCTTGCGGATCGCGCCAAATCTGGCGAATTGCATATCTCATCGGCCAGCCAGCCGCCTGAACGCAAGAAGGGAAGATGGGACGAGACGCCGTCGGACGTAAAGGGCGAGACGCTTGGCGCTGGCTCGGCAACGCCGGCTCAAGGAAGCGCGCCGAGAAAACGTTTGGGATTCTCGTCGATTAGTGCAGAAGCTGCGACGCCGCACGTCGCCAGATGGGATGAGACGCCTGCACATCCCACTGGGGCTGCCGATGCGACACCATCGGTTGACAAGTGAGTTTCTTATAAAAATAAGTGGCGAAATTTATGAAAATTCTCATTAAATTTGATAAAATCATATTGTTTGCGTCGCCAATTGGCTAAATTGTTAAATTTTAGGAAAACGTATAGACCAGAAATAATACGTGTAGATTTACGCGCTGAGCAATGGTTAGGTTAAATGTATTTGTATTTTTCCGCAATAGAATTCAACAATATGCTTTAAAAAAAAAGTTCCCAGTAAATTTTGCCGTAATAATTGCAACGAAAATTTCGAAATTTCCCGTTTCGATGTAAATTAAAAAAAAATCGAAATCATTTTTAGATGGTCGTCCACGCCGGCTGCTCAGACTCCGCGCCGTAATCGTTGGGATGAGACGCCGAAGGAGAGTGTTCGCGATGGTGGAATGACGCCCGGTTGGGGAGCCGAGACACCGGCAAGAGGATCGATGGATGACATAAAGGTTGAAGACACACCATCGGCGTCGAAACGACGATCGAGATGGGATCTGACGCCTTCGCAGACACCTGCACCGGGATCGGCGACGCCGCTTGTCGCTGGAGGCGCGACACCTTCGTTCACACCATCGCATCCATCACAGACCCCGGTAAGTGAATTCAAAGTTAAAACACGCTGTGGTGTCAAAATTAAGCAAGAAAATTGCAAAACGTATTTCAATTTTTTATGAGCTTTTTCTAGATTGGTGCTATGACTCCTGGTGGAGCTACTCCGATTGGAAGTGCCGCGATGGGAATGAAGACGCCAGCGCCGCACATGATACCAATGACGCCGGAACAGATGCAGATTTATCGTTGGGAGAAGGAGATTGATGATCGCAATCGTCCGCTGTCCGATGAAGAACTTGACTCGCTATTCCCGCCTGGTTATAAGGTCCTTGTGCCGCCAATAAACTATATTCCGGCGAGAACGCCGTCGCGAAAATTGTTGGCGACGCCGACGCCGATGGGCGGTTCGGCGGCTGGCGGATTCTTCATGGCGAGCACACCGGAACGCGATGGGATTGGCGAGAAGGGAGTTGGTGGCATTCTCGACACGCAGCCGAAAAATGCCGAATTGCCGCCGCTGAAGCCGGATGATATGCAGTATTTCGATAAATTGCTCATGGACGTTGATGAAAGTGAGATTTAAACTGGATTACGGTAGCCTTTTTAAAGTGAAAATCAAAATTTTACCAAAAACGACCTAACATTGCTCATCTATACAGTGCGTTGCAGAATTATAAGGCCACCCCCAAATTTGAACGCCGCGCAATGATTTCGATATTTTGAGACCAACCAGTGTGAAAATCGTGTTCAGCATGAAAAATAACCTAATTCTACCAATTTTTATGTTAGTATCTTCAAAAGTAACCGCGCAGTGGTCCAAAACCGTTTTTTCGAGCGGTGCAGAATTATAAAGCCACCCCCCATAAAACAAGTTATAAACTCAAAAATAACGACAGTTTAATGTTTAGTGGCACCTCTATTCGAGGTAATTATGTCAGAAACGTGGTCTGGCATAGATTTGAGAAGGTTTTAAACAGATTGGGTCGATTTAGATTTGAATTTCTGCTCTAACGTCTTCCATTCGACTACGATTTCGGTTTTGAGCTCGCCAACTCCCCAAATTTGCTTCCTTGGCCATAGAGATGCCGTACTAACTCTCCCCAGACGTTCTACATGGGACTCCAAAAAGAAGAACATGATGGCCAATCGAGAACGTCCACACTGTGAGACTGAAGCCAGTCCAAAGTAGACCGACTCACACAAATGACAGCATTGTCCTGCTGAAAAAGGACAATAATGACGTCGGAATGGAAGAAGATGGCTCTCAAGAACATTCTGATAATCCGAAGAGTCCACCCTGCCAATTCCAGAAATCCGGAAAACGAAAACGCGTCCCCCATAATATCACGCTTCTTTCTCTAAAATTGAGTTTTGAAAGCAGGAGGCGATTCTTTCATAACTCGGACCAGAAACTGTTATAGCCGTTTGGACCATCCAAATTAAATTTTTTTTCATCGGAAAAAAAACCATTCGAAGTTTGAGTGGTTATTATTCACAATATTCTCGAATATAAACACCTTGTTCCATATTCATGTTTTTGAATGCGAACTCAAGGCGTCGAATTTTATGGTCCTCTGTTAGTCGCGGGGCCGGCTTCATTTTTTCTCTAGCGACGTTGGGGTTATTCTTGATGGTTCCCCAAACTGTCAACTTGCTTTTGTCGAAGTTTAGCTTCTTCTTGATGTCATTTGTAGACTTCATACTGCTCAAAGCTGCTCGAATGCTTGCTCGATTAGCGAGATAGTCCAGTTTTCCTTTGCCGCCTGACTTTTGCGACATGTTGACACGAGTTGGATCCTTCACAAAGATGTCTACGAATGTTTTCGGACCATTTAAATTCTTCGCAACCCGACGGTTCGACCATCGTGCCGTTTTGAATGCGATAATCTGAGATTGCTCAGAAGCACTAAGACAGCGACCACGTGGCATTTCAAAATGATTCAAAAAGTGAAAAATAAGGACCACTGTAGGTTCTCAAAGCCACACAACAATTTTTATGGACATTGGTCCCGCCAAAGTTTCACAAAAATGCGAAAAATTTCGTTTCATGGGGGTGGCTTTATAATTCTGCACCGCTTGAAAAAACGGTTTTGGACCACTGCGCGGTTACTTTTGAAGATACTAACATAAAAATTGGTACATATAGGTTATTTTTCATGCTGAACACGATTTCCACACTGGTTGGTCTCAAAATATCGAAATCATTGCGCGGCGTTCAAATTTGGGGGTGGCCTTATAATTCTGCAACGCACTGTATTCAAAAATTGGTTTTCAGCAAAAAAAATGATTTCAGTTTGTAACGGAAATACTGAATAAAAACACTGAAAAATCAAATTTTTAGGCACACTGACTCGCGAAGAGCGTAATGAGCGTGAAATTATGGAGCATCTTCTCAAAATTAAAAATGGAACGCCGCCGATGCGAAAGAGTGGATTGAGAAAGGTACTGAATCTTTGATTTGAATTTTATTGTCGAATTTTCAACTGATTTTCTAGATTACGGAAAATGCCCGCAAGTATGGCGCTGGACCGCTCTTTAATCAAATCTTGCCACTTCTGATGTCGCCGTCGCTCGAGGATCAAGAGAGGCATTTGATGGTGAAGGTTATTGATCGAATTCTGTACAAGCTTGATGATCTTGTCAGACCTTATGTGCACAAAATTCTCGTCGTTATTGAGCCGCTTCTCATCGATGAAGATTATTATGCGAGAGTTGAAGGTCCAATATTGAATTATCGAAATTGTTTCTAATCCATCTTTGTTCAGGTCGCGAGATTATCTCAAATTTGGCGAAAGCCGCCGGATTGGCGACAATGATCTCCACAATGCGTCCCGACATTGACAATGTCGATGAGTATGTGAGAAATACGACGGCGCGCGCGTTCGCCGTCGTCGCTTCGGCGCTCGGCATTCCGGCGCTTTTGCCGTTCTTGAAAGCGGTGTGCAAGAGCAAGAAGAGTTGGCAGGCGCGGCATACCGGCATCAAAATTGTGCAGCAAATGGCAATATTGATGGGTTGCGCGGTGTTGCCGCACTTAAAAGCGCTTGTCGAGATTGTTGAAGGCGGATTGGATGATGAGCAGCAGAAGGTGAGAATGCTCCGATAATAAGAAATGACTAGAAACTCTAACCTATATAGTTAGAGGGTTTGCTTTAATTATGATGTCGAAGAGCTTCAACAAGTAAATTTGCGACCTTGAACTATTAATATTTAATTTTGTCTAATCTTAAAAAAAAGGCACTTTAATGATCACTAGAAATTTTTCGAGCTTTAACAAATTTTTAGCTTGTTACAGTAGTTTTTGTAAAATCTACAGTAATCTTTATGTCATCTATTCAATCAATTTCCAGGTGCGTACCATCACAGCGCTTTGTTTGGCCGCTTTGGCTGAAGCTGCCACCCCATATGGTATTGAAGCGTTCGATTCGGTGCTAAAGCCTCTTTGGAAGGTACGAGATATTTCAATCGATGTTAACCTTCATTTCATGCATTTAGGGTATCCGCATGCATCGTGGTAAAGGATTAGCGGCGTTTTTGAAGGCGATTGGCTACTTGATTCCACTTATGGATGCTGAATATGCCTCTTATTATACCAGAGAAGTCATGTTGATTTTGATCCGTGAGTTTGCATCGCCGGATGAGGAAATGAAAAAGATTGTATTGAAGGTTGGTCGATTTTATCGGAAAAAGAATTATTAGATTTTGTTTCGCTTTAGGTTGTTAAACAATGTTGCGCCACAGATGGTGTTGAAGCGAATTATATTCGGGATGAGGTACTTCCGAGCTTTTTCAAAGCGTTCTGGAATCAAAGAATGGCCATGGATCGAAGAAATTATAGGTGATACTCGATTTCTGTTTGAATATCATATTGTACCATATTTAGACAATTGGTTGACACGACTGTCGAAATTGCGCAAAAAGTTGGAACTGTTGAGATGATTGCGAGAATTGTTGATGATCTTAAAGATGAGAATGAGCAATATAGGTTGGGTGTTTAGCTGAAACTCGCGATTACATTTGTGAGAAATTGCAGAAAAATGGTTATGGAGACGATTGAGAATATTGTGGCGCTTCAAGGAGCCACTGATATTGATGCCAGATTAGAGGAGCAGCTTATTGATGGTTGGCCTTGTTTTGAAAATGCCAATTTTTAGCAACAATTGACTCAAATTACTAATTTTTTGGTTTAATTTTTAACGCCTATTGATATTTTGAAAGGAAAAAAAAGATTTCAAAAATATTCTTAAACACTATCGTTCTGCTGATAACTGTTGCGAATTTCCAGGCCTTCTTTACGCGTTCCAAGAGCAGACGCAGGAGGATTCGGTGATGCTTGATGGATTCGGTACGATTTGTTCGGCACTTGGACGCCGCGCAAAAGCTTACATTCCGCAGATTTGTGGTACGATTTTGTGGAGATTGAACAATAAATCAGCGAAAGTTCGACAACAGGCTGCCGATTTGGTTAGTTTCGTTTTGTATTGGAAATTTTTCAATTCGGCGAATCATGCGCCTTTAAACGCTATAAAATGTGATTGATTTTTTTCCGCTGAAGCAAGACAGTTCAATTTTTTTAACACGATTATTAACATTTCTCATGAATTGAAAAAATTGAAATTTCAAACGAACAAATGTGTTTTATTTCAAGAATTGAATGAAATCGTAAAGTTGTGCTTTAAAATGATCAAAGTGATCTCAAAAGTATAAAAATTCAATTAGAAAACGTCTGAGCTTCAAATTTTTCGAAATTTTCATTGAAAAATTTTCCAACTTTTTTGAGCCTAGTTTTATTTACTCATTTTCTGGAAATTTTCAGATTGCTCGAATAGCGCCGGTAATGCACATGTGCGAAGAAGAGAAGATGATGGGTCACATGGGAATTGTGTTGTATGAATATTTGGGAGAAGAGTATCCAGAAGTGCTCGGATCAATCCTATCGGCTCTGAAAGCGATTTGCAATGTGATCGGAATGACGAAAATGACGCCGCCAATTAAAGATTTATTGCCGAGGTTTGCCGATTCGTTTGGTTTTCGATGTGCTCATTTGAATTTTGTATTTCAGATTGACGCCGATTCTCAAGAATCGACACGAGAAAGTTCAAGAGAATTGCATTGATTTGGTCGGAGCGATTGCGGATCGCGGTTCGGAGTTTGTGTCGGCGCGAGAATGGATGAGAATCTGTTTTGAGCTTCTTGAGCTTCTCAAAGCGCATAAGAAGAGTATTCGAAGAGCAGCGATCAACACGTTTGGCTATATCGCCAAGGTGAGCTCATTTTGATGAATTTCTATGTCTAAAAATACTAAAAATGACAATTTTTGAAATTTTAAAAAGCAAAAGTTTTTTTTTTCAAAGTGAATTTTTGGAGCAGTAGTTTTTTTTTCGAAACCGTCGATTTTTTTTTTAATTTTCTGACAAAAAAACTTAAAACGGTTTTTTATCAATCGTTTTTTTTTTAATGTAATTCAGTCTGAAGATTCTTGTAGGCAATTGGACCGCATGATGTGCTCGCCACGCTTCTCAACAATCTCAAAGTGCAGGAACGTCAACTGCGTGTCTGCACGACGGTGGCGATTGCGATTGTCGCCGAAACGTGCGCGCCGTTCACAGTTCTTCCGGCGATCATGAACGAATACCGAGTTCCTGAGATTAATGTGCAGAATGGTGTGCTCAAAGCACTTTCGTTTATGTTTGAGGTGAGTGTAGATCAACAGTTTAATTCGAAAAATTTTATCCGAAATTATTTTTCTTTAAACCTACAATTTTCAAAGCTACAAAAATTTTCCAAAAAGGTATTCCTCACGTAATTGACTTTCAATTTTTCTTCTTCAAAATTTAAACCTATGAAAAATTTGCGAAAAACAAAATTTTTTTCCGAAGAATCCATTAAAAATTATAATGATTGTTTCATTTTTTCAGTATATTGGTGAAATGGCCAAGGATTATATCTATGCTGTGGTGCCGCTTCTCGTCGATGCTCTCATGGAGCGCGACCAAGTGCATCGACAGATTGCCGTCGATGCCGTCGCACATTTGGCACTCGGCGTCTATGGTTTCGGATGCGAGGACGCGCTCATCCATTTGCTCAATTTTGTGTGGCCGAATATGCTTGAGAACTCGCCGCATTTGATTCAGCGTTGGGTGTTTGCATGCGAGGGAATGCGCGTCTCATTGGGACCAATTAAGGCGAGTAATTAAACGATTGATTTAATAATTATGGTATATGCAGGTTATGCAATATTGCCTTCAAGCTCTTTGGCATCCGGCGAGAAAAGTTCGAGAGCCGGTTTGGAAGGTGAGTAGATCAAGGATTTCAGGGGGGGGGGGCAAATTAGTGGGAATTAGTGCTACAGTAACTCTTTAGGTTGTTAAGCCGTATGCAAAGGTTTTGGCGCGCTGAGATCTAATAATTTTTATTTTTGCTTTAATGACCTGAATTCAGGTATACAACAATCTGATCCTTGGATCAGCCGATGCGATCGTTGCCGGATATCCGAGAATCGAAAATACCGAACGAAATGAATATGTTCGATATGAGCTTGATTATTCACTGTAATCGGACCACGCCCCCGTAATTTTGTTGTATTTTTTAAAAGGAAGTTTTTTTAATCGATCTCTTCTCTGTCCAAAAAAAGAATGAATAATCAAGTAGAATTGACTCGAGTTTTATCATTAATTGGTTCCCATCGTTGTTGATTGATTTCGTTCTTTTCCTTTCTTCTCTCGTCTCTCTCTCCTCTCTCCCACTAATTTGTTGTTTTTTTTTCTCTTTATTTATGAGTTTACTGAATTGTTTTCTTTTTAATTCGTCGTCGTAATCTTTTTTATTTGAAACACAAAAGGATGTTGAAATAAATGGTTTTTTGGGACTTAAATTAGTGTATTGGTTGGTGTGTTTTGATTTGCCAGAAATGCGAAATATGGGTATTTTATTCAATTTTATACCTTTAAATTGAAACGTTTTGATAAATATATGCAAGTGCGCTCTAATGGAATAATTTCCACCCGCGCGTTTAAAATGATTTTTTTAAAAGAATTTTTGGGATTTGCGTAAATAGGGGAGATTCGAAAGTTGTAAAAAATGTAGCATCTAAAATCTGAAAAATTTTTCTGAAGTTTTGAACAGTGAATAAAGAAGAAATCTCAATTTTGAGTAAAAATTGTGTTTTAATATAACGTCTCGTACATATTAATTGAAATTTAAGAAAATTTTGTTTTTTTTTTGGAATTGATATCAAATTGAGTATTAATGCACGCAGAAATTTGAATTGAAAATAGATAAGCAATATGTTTTCTTTTCAAATTGACCGCAACGTGAGCCGCGACGCTTCGTCGATGGGGCGGAGCTCGTGCCTTTGAATTGAAAACAAAACAATCGATTAAAATTTTCAAGTCATTTCAATTGGAAAAATCCAGAAATATTTTCGACGTGATGAACTTTACGATGACTCATAAATTGATTGTCTTTTGGTTTTGCCAACCCGCGAATTGTCGACAGAACGGAACACATTTGATTTTGTTGCAGGCACGCTTCTCGTGGGTTCAAAATCGCCATCATTCAAAAATCGGCCGGTCTTGTTCGTCGGATGCGTGTGGTATGATTGGGCCGGACGAATTTGAAGAGCTGACGCGAAGCGATGAACCCGAACCGGAACCGCCGAAGCCGAAGCCGATAGTCGTGCGAGGTAGTGGCAGCAGCGGCGGAGGCGGCGGCAGTGATTCCGACAAAACCGAATCGCCGAAGACCGACGAGACGACGACGATCGAGCCGTCGACGGAAACCACTGATGGCGAGAAGACAACGGAATCTGATGATGAGAAGAGCGAGGTAGAAGCAAAATCAAAACAAGAGAAATCGGAACAATCTGATGAATCGGAGGAGATTGACGATGAGGAATATTCGAGCAGCACCAGCAGCAGCAGCAGTAGCGAGGATGACGGACGGCCGAAGAAGCCGAAAGTGGCGACACTCAAGTTCCACTCGTTCGAGGCGTGTCCGGTGTGTAGGCAGGTAGTCGTTGAATTGAATCAACCGAAATTTGAATCAAATATTTCCCTTTTCAGAAAAATACGAGAGACAAAAAATGCCAAAATGAGGAATTGCACGGCGTTTTATTTGTGAGTAGTTTTTTTTTGCCGGCCAGTTTCACTTTTTCTAGTTGAAATTGCGCAACCCGCCTTAAGTTTTGATAATGAAAAGCCGAAAAATTGTCAAAACGAGAGTTGAACTCTAGAAATGCGAGATTTTGTGAAAAATCGAAATTTTCGAATTGCTTGAGCTCTGAAAATGAGAAGAATCTTACTTTATAAGCCCTTTGAGGTACCATTCGGATATCCGAGCAGTAGCTATAGATGGCGATAGATTTCGAATTTTTTTAAATTAGCATTTTGTTTAATAAATAAAAGCCACGTGGCATCCACGCGGATATTTATGTGATCGAAAACAAAAACAAAAAATAAAAAAGCGTTATTGTGTGTCACACCGAAAATTCCGAAATTCCACGAGAAATGGTTATTGTGGGCCACGTGACCTGCTTTCATAAGGGTCCTTTTGACCTAATTTGAGCCTATTTTGGTCATTTATGATGGTTGGCGAATTGAAATCCGGTGATCGCGGTGATCAGGTAACAAGAAGTTGCCTTCCAAGAATAACAAATGCGTTTTATTTTTCTTGCTGAAATTTGAAGATGTGTTGATTTCAGTCAGACCACTTTGACATTGTCGAAGAGCAATTCGTTACTATTCGAAAGGAGAACGCCGAGTTTCCGCTGGTTTTCAAATTTACAGATGCTCGAATTCCGAGAGAATCAGTTTTTAAGGTAAAAGTTCAAGCAAAAATCGAACGTATTCTGAAATTTTACAGTTTTTTTTTTCAATTTTGAAGAATCAGTGCAGTAAATTAAAAGTTGAAAAAAAAAACTAAAATCGGGTTTCAAAGTTTTCAAATCGGAAATAATGGACCATTTCAATAATTATGAGAAATTTTCATTTTGTATTCTTTTTTTTTGCAATTTTTTCCGTTTTCGAAATATTTAAAAATACATTAACTAGAAAAATTGACCGCGAAAACCCGAGCCAAACCACTTTTTGTTTAATTAAAAAAATAGTTCGAAAAAAATGTTAATAATTAAAGTCGCTCGCTCCAAACCGAACGTGCAATATCTCGATTGCTCAAGGATTTTGCGGCGAATCGTCGGCGATGCGAAACGCTTACAAATCTGGCGATGTTGTGAAAGTGTCGTATGAGGCCGAGGAGAATATATCGCTTGACAATTTGTCGCTGACATTCCGTGAGCTTTATATGAGTCGAGCCGACATGTGGAAGTATCGAAATCGTCTGATTGGACAGTGCGCTTATAAAGACAAACAGATACGATATTACAATGTGAACACGACCATTTCGGACATGTGGATGAAAGGGGAGATTGTTCGCAGCGGATTCGTGGCGTCGAAGACGAGAGTCGTTTTTCGGTCGAGCTCAAGCACCGTGAGTTTTAATGCTAACAACAAGGCGATTTTTGTCTTTTTATCTTGAGAAACATTTTTTTGGAGAGTTTTTTTTTCTAAAAACCACCTAAAATGGTAATGTTTTATCAATGAGCTCATAAAAAATTTAAAAAGTATTAATTTTACAAGAATAGCACAAGCACATTTCTTTATAAAATGAAGAAATTTTGAATTTATTTGAAAACCTTGAAAAAACGTAGTTGACTTCATTTTTTTTGGCAAATTTTCAAACAAAATTTCAGGTGCTTATATATATTCAAATGTGCTCCGAAATGTATTCGCTCGATCCGCAAGGTGATGTCTACGTCGAGAAATGCATGAAAGGCTTCATGCCGGAATTGTTCGAACGCTGGAAGAACAACAAATGCTCGCACTATGTGTCAATCATTCTGTGCTCAAGATTCTATGTGGTAAAATTCATTTAAAAAAATTGTTTGGGTTGGTAAAAATGAAGAAACAAATTTGGCAGACCAATGATATTGATGATAGTACGAAGTATGCGATGAAAGGATCTTGCGATCACCGAGGAAGATATTACCAGGATTTCTATCGTCTTTTGGTCCAGAACGAGCATTATGATGATTGGACACATGTGTTGAGAATCGTAAGAATAGAATGGAGAAGCTTAAACTGGAATTATTATTTTTTGTTGTTTAGATTAAAATTGGAATCAATTATTATATTGACACGATTTTGAGATTTCTTCGTGATCGATTCCCAAAGGCTCGGTGAGACTTGTCAAGCAGCGTGGGAACTTATTGATAGCTTTTTAAGGTTTGATCTGTCGACGGCGGCTGATGGCAACTTTTTGCAAGTGATCAATTTGAGTATGAACTCGTTTAGTTTGTACCATACCGATCGGCGATTTGAAACTACTGGGCAACAGGTATTATGCCTTTCATTCTAGGGATTTTTTACGCTTAAAAATTGACGATTTTCGCAATTGTTTTAAACTCAAAACTATATTCAAACATTCTGAATCTAATTTTTTCTAATGACCGATTTTTTGAATTTTCAAATTTGATCATTACGTATTGGGACTTGATGAGAAATCCTAAGTCGATTATTTCGCTTGCAAAAAAGATTTAAAGGCGCATGACACGTCGGGACTGTGAAAAATCGGTTTTCTGGCACAAAGAAATCAATATGCCATATGTTTTTTTTTTAATTATTGGCAATTTTAAATATTTTTTGTGAAATATTGGAAAAATTCCGTGCGAAGGCTTTGAAAAATGTGAGAAGGACCCTACGAGGGCCCCTGCTATGTTTTTTTTTTGACAATTCTGGAAAATTGGATGAAAAAAACTAAAAAAAATAATTCAGATAATCTTTGTGACGCCTGGAAACGGTGTGGTTCACGTCGATCGCGATCTTGTCGGTTTGACGAAGCAACGCGTCATCGATATGGGAATCTCACTGGATATGGTATGGTGATTCGGTCCGAATCCATTGACTAACTTGTTGATTCCAAGGTTTGTCTCGGTGAGCAGCCGCTTCACGCGGTCCCGTTATTCGTGTTCCATCCGATTGTTGGACATTACGGCAAAACGTGCGAGTACTTCATTCCGCACTGGATGAACTATTCGTACTACAAAATGCAGAAGCGGAGCGCGATTTCGGTCAAATTCGAGCCCAGAATCCAACTGCCCAAGGAGTTATTGGTATGATTTATTTCGATCCTCTTCCCCATGCCCCCCCCCCAAAAAAAATAGAGAAGGAATTGATTAATGATAGCCCTCGTCGTTCCAGTAGTCGATTTTCGGTATTGCATCCTCCAACACGGGAATCACGAGATTCTCGATGTGCTCCATTGATGGGGTCTTGTAGTTGAGAAGTGACAATTCGAATTTATCCATGACGGTGAGAGGATGAGCACGAGGGAGGATGAAGCCGACATGGTTCGACTGGGAGACCTGCATTTCAATGGGTTTAGATAATCTTGACGGATTTTACGTGTTTGTTAACTGGACGAGAGATAGATTGATGTTTGAATCGAAGAGCTGAAGGGGAACCAGACTGAAACAGGCTTTTGTTTTCTATTATTATGATTTCTACGTAGTCCTACCGTTTCATTGTCGCTTCGTGGTTGGTAAATGGAATGCTGCGCGAGATTTGATGTGCCATTGTATCCACCAAATTGAAATACTCGAGTTGGAGCTTGAGCCAGGCCAGGTGTTGTCTGAAATTGGCATTTCAATTGTAATAATCTTTCATGGTCTTACTGTTGACGCTCGTTGATAGATGGGATGCTGGCCGAAATGCAATGGGTTAGGTGCGGTCGTGTATTGAGAGGAGCAAGAAGCTGGCTGGACATTGAATACGCCGATTCGAGTTTGGTATTCTGAAGCGTAGAAATCGTGCGATGAAGCTGGAGCATTTTGTCGTTCCAATTGTATGGCGATGTCGAGCCATGATGGAGGTGGAGATGATGGAATCAGTGGCACCTTCTTCTGGGTTGCTAGCCAGTAATCAATGCGATGATTGTTGATGATCTTCGTTGGCGCTTCTGGCGAGACTTGCAAGCGATCTAGTGAGAGTTGATTCCTATCTGACGTCATGGCTGTGTAGGAGGAGCCTAGAAATTTGTTGGCGAAAATCGGCTGATGCGAAAGATTGGCTGGTCTTGATAAGTCGTTCATTAATTGCTGCGCTGGCGGCTCTGGGAACATGCTGACGCGTGGAACTGTGAATTGAGGTTCAGGCGACGGTAGTGGCGTTGCTGGGAATTCGTCAGATAGTGATCCCGACGATTCGTTTGAGCCGATTTCGGAAGACATCTCTTCGGTGCTCCTTTCGGATTCGGACGATGAGATGTAGAACAACGGATTATGTTTTGATTCCATTGATGATGGTGGCGCTTTTGGATTAGATTCTGGAACTAGCTCTCCAATTGGAGATAGATGACGTGATTCTTGAATTGGTCGTGACGTTGTTTTTGAAGATTCTAGAGCAGGCTCTGAGACGGTTTCACGAACGTCTTCGAATGAAGCTTTGTCGAATCTTGACGACGCGATTGACGAATCGCTTGTGGAGTATCCTGGCAAGTCTTCTAATTGAGTGGTGTTCAATTCTGATGGTGAGAATGAGCGAAGCGAGTTTGAGTGTTCTGATTCGATTGATGGGAAGGATTGTGGTTGGTAATCTGTTTCATTTTCGGAGAATGTCGGAGCCGCGATTCGTGGTTCTTCTTCGTTTGAATGCTGGTCTGTGAAATTGAAGATCGAATTTTCGGGAGAAGTTCCTGTGGAACAATCGGTGTCAAAGTCTGCTTCTGATCTTTGCGTAGGTCTTGGAGAAGTGTTTTTAAATCCTAGTGGTTCTATCATAGTCGGGGATTCGTTAACTGTTCTTGAGATGTTTGTGATCACAAATCGTCGAGCTTGCTTTGGTGACTGGTTTGGAGAAGAACCAACAAGTATTTGATGTGGTGTTGTGAGTGTGGCTTCCGGTGCTGTTATAGGAATTGTTAGTATTGAGAGTTTTGGTGCAATTCCTTGGCTCTGCCCTGGTACTGTTTCGACTGGCATTGGCTGCGATTCGGTCATCGGTGATTTTTTAGATGGTCCGCATGAAGGCGAGGTCAAGAATCTCGCGGTTGGTGTTGGGGATAATTCTGGCGTTGAACCTACGAGAAATTTGTGCGATGCTAACACCCGTGGTTCTGTGGCTTGTGCGGTATTCGTAATGAACGATAGTTGTGTTAAAGTTCCGATTGGTGGCTGGCGTGGTCTCATGACGGGAGCTTCTTTGGTTACATCATTTGAAGAATTCAAGCCTGCCAATTTCGGCATTTTGTGGCTTAAATGTTAGCAAAATGAAATTACAGGGTGTCATTTAAGTTCCCGCACAAAAGTTTGACGCCATGAAGAGCTTGGCTGTCGCACTTTTCGTGCACCAATACAATTTATTTTTGTTAAATAAGGTACATTTTACTTACTTTCCAAGTTTCGCCTCATTCGGATGTGTTTCCGAGAAATGGCGAAGGCTAATATCCATCGTGCTTCCATTATCGAATTTCATAAGCAAAATGTGAGCCCGAGAGACATCATTGGAGCATGAGAACGATGGCGTCAGACATGGGAATGAGCATCTTCGCTATGGAAAAAATCGTCAAAACGAAGCTTCGACTGACCCCATATCGTGTCCAAAAGGCGGCAATTCTATCGGCCGTCAGAAAGCAGAGACGCTTCGAAAAAGCAAAACGACTTCTTGCTCGCACGCGGTCTGGACAACACCTCGTCACTGTCTTCTCCGATGAGAAGCTGTTCACTGTGGAGGCGGCATTCAACTCACAAAACCATTGAGTATTTGCCCAGACATCCCAGCAAGCTTCTGAGAAAAGAAGAACATATCATCCAGCCTCACATCCTGCCAGTGTGATGGTTTTCGGTGCCATCTGCTCAACCGGGAAGTGCCCCCTGGTTTTCGTGAATCAGGGGGTGAAAATGAACAGAGAAGTCTACGTTCGGGACATTTTGGAGAATCATGTGATGCCCTGTACCCAAACGCATTTCGGTGGGCAGAAATGGGTCTTTCAACAGGACGGAGCACCCGCCCACACTGCCAAAACTACTCAGGAGTGGTGCCAGACCCATTTTCCCGACTTCATCAAGTCATCCGAATGGCCTGATTGCTCCACAGATCTGAAACCGCTTGACTTTTCCGTGATAGGGTCTTGCAGGAGAAGGTCAACGCAAAACCCCACTCAAGTATAGAGGCTCTGAAGAAGACATTACTGGCGGAATGGGACAATCTTTCCATCGAACACCTGCGTACCACAGTCACATCCTACCCGAAGCGTCTCCGTGAAGTCATAGCTGCGAAAGAAGACCGAATCGAAAAGAGTTAAAAGATAATTATTTGTTATACTATAGAAAAAAAATATTTCGAGTCTCGTTTGATTTGGACTTTTAGTTTCAGAAATATACGTCTTCAAAGTTGTGCGGGAACTTAAATGACACCCTGTACCTGCTGATTTCGCGAGGAGTGCTGGTGGAATTGGCCAGAATTGCGGTGAGACGTAGGCATCTTGTTTGAGCTCGTCTGGAATCGATAGTTCGCGCTCACCGTCTTCAGCAATGAGATCATCGGGAAGTGTGAGGCCTGGCGGCGGAGTCACAACGCGAGGCTGAAATTGTTGATGGCTATAAGATGATGAAACGTATAATGGGTGAAACCTCTGCGTTGAGAACACGCTGATATTGGCCTGATTTGAAGAGAAGAAGGAGTTGCTTGAATTCGACGACAGAGGCCTCGTTGGACATTGCCTGTAAAAAAATGACCAATGATGACTCATTGGCGGCCCACGCGATTCGGGGGGTTGCGAGCATGTAATGAGATAGAAATGACGGATGCCTGTGCAACCGAAGAATGATGAATCAACATAAGCAAATAACGAAATCAATCAACTTTATTAACTATATGGTATAAGTAGGTTCTGGATCATTGGTTCGAATCGGCCGCAGTGTTGCTGGCCTCGACTTCGTGTTTTGGCTCATCGGCATTGCCGACGAGCTTCAACTCGGTCTCGGCAGAATTTCCACTGACCTCGATTTCGACTTCCGTCTTGTCGCCGTCCATCGTTGTTCCGACCTGCGCGGTTTGTGCACCAAACGGATCCCACAAGTGTGCCCACGGTTTGGGAATCATCATTGTGTTGATGGTAACGATGCGCTGCACCACGTGAGGTTGTCCCATGAGATGCGCCAATGGGACATTGTGCGGCATCGTCGAAGATGAAGAGGAAGAAGTTTGAGGCCAGAAGCACTGTGGTGTCGGAATGTAGAGCTCTGGCGGAAAAATGTGAAGCTCTTGATGGATTTGGTTAAGATTCGGGCCAGTCGCTGGGCTCGCGGATTCAGCGGAAGGTGGTTGCGATTGCTGAAATCAAGAGAAATATAATGGGCAAATGTGCGGAAAAACTGATATGTTACCATATTCGTGTCACAAGTTTGTCGGACGGTGTTGAGCGTCACCTAAAATATTGATGTGAATTATGTGTAATTCGATTATGGCGAACGAAAGGAAAAATAATATTGTGGAGAAGGCCTCCCTCTCCCCACCACGCTTATTTATACTGTGCAGGAGGTCGTTAAAACTAATGGGGGTGGTCGATGATGGAGAAAATGTTGTAGCGGGAATGGTACTTCGAATGGGCGGGCTCCTAGAAGTTGTCAAATTGCGAAATTGGCTTGTGACTCACAGAATCCTCCCCTTCCGCCCACTCCCATCGATTTCTTGTTGACGTGTAGTATACATTGAACGGTTTGAACATTTATTGATGGAATTGAAACGAATCGAATGAATTAGAATAATCACTTCTAGTTCTTCTTGTTGTTCATCGCGGCCTTCTTGCGGTCTGGTGGCGGTGGCGGTGGAACCCAGGTGCTGGTGGATGGCGGCCAGCCGAGTGCAAAGGGCTTCTTCTCATCGTTTGTTTTGAGCTCGACGCTTCCTTGGCGCAACTCGTCGATGTTGCCGAGCTTCTCCGGTGTTGGCGCTGGCGGCTCGCCGAAAGCCTTGGGTGGCGCTGGCTGCGGCGGCGGCGGTGGCACCCACACCATATCCTCTTTGGGGAAGATGTCCGGATGCGGGGTGAAGAGCTTGATGCGCTTCTCGACGGGACAGTAGAAATGAAATGACTTTTTGTTGTTCGATGACATTCTGAAAGAACAATTTCGAAGAAAATGCAATGGTGTCAAAGGTATATGAAAAGATGGCGACTTTTCGGAATAGAATGAACATCATTCGGGATTCAACACTTTATTCAATCAATATTGTTGTTATTATCGTCAACTTCGTCGAAGTCCATCATGTCGGGCTCCTCTTCTTCTTCTTCGTCTTCTTCGTCATCCTCATCTTCCTCGTCCTCGTCTTCCTCATCATCTCCGTAGATTGATGGAAGATCGTCATCATCGTCGTCGGCGTCGATCACGATGCCCTCGTCGATCGGCGGCCGCTGCCCAAGAAGAGGCATTTGAATGCGGTTGAGGAACTCGACAACTTCGCCGGCTGGCAACAGTCTTATCATCGGAAACATGGGAAGGAATTGGTTGATTGAGAGGTGCGGTTGACGCTCCACGGCTCGCATCACGGCGCGTATCAGAATGCGGTGATTCTCTTCGAGTTGCTGAATCGCCGCGTGATCCATATTGATCAGAAAAAAAAACGAGCGGGGGGGAGGGGGGTGCCTGTAAGACGAAAAACTGACAACAAATGTGCGAAAAATGACGAGACAAATGCGTGCGGTCGGCTGGCGGGGGAAAGGAAATACCAATTATGGATGGTTTTTATGAGGCTCGAAAATTTCATAATGTGTTGCGGTCAACGACAACAAAAAAAATACATACATTGTTCGTTGAAACAAAAATGTGTGGACGTCTCGAAGCCGAATAGATTGTACCACAAATGGGCGGAGCATGGCGCGCCAATGTGTGGTGTCCCTGCGCCTCTCGAATTCTCTCTCTCTCTCTTGCACCCGGCATCCCCCTTCTTCTATTTTTCAACAGAACATACCAGTAGCCTTTATTCTAAAAAAAAACTCAAGACGAAATTAATGGCTTCGGATGGCTTTGTTTGTCGAGAATGTCGAGGTACTCCTCCTCCCAGTGATACTCCTCGTCTTCTTCGCTATCCTCAGCTTTGTCATGAACTAATTGTGGTGGCTGTTGGGCTAGGGTTCGCGTTGGGCGCCAGATGGTGGTTGGTGGAACAAGGTGGACGTTGGGATTGTAGAGTTTGTAGATTTTGTCGCGAGTACAGAAATAGAGAATTGGAGTATCGATGATGGATTGCATTATTGAATAAAATGAAACCGAAAAGGTTTTTTTATAGAAATTGATTTTTTTGGAAAATATGATGTCAGGAGGGGTGTTTGTTTTGTAAGGTGGCCAATTAGATGCAAAGCAACGTTATTTGAAGAATTTTTCTGAAGAATTGGAAATTTTTCGAAGATGCTGACGTCATTTTATGGTTTTCTGGAATTGACAATCGTCAGATTTGTTGGAGATTCTGAATTACCGTGTTTCGGAATCGGCAATAAGGGAACCAAGTTTAGGTTTGCGAATATCAAAATAAGTGATTCAAAAAAAATATGGTGTTCTGTTTCTTAGCATTTTGAACCTATCCAATCCCTTTTCTACGGAATTCAGAACTTCATATCTTCAAGAAGCTAGTGATGGCCGATTGTGAATTATAGTGTTTGAAGGTTTACCAGAATAGTAGTCGAATCTTGAAATTGCCTGAAGACGTTTTGTTTCTCGATTCTTGAAACTGTCGAAATCACTCCAAACCGTTTATGCTTTGCCAAAGTGTTGCAGGCCAGGATTCGAGGATTGAACAAGTATTGTCGAAAACGAACGAATTGGACAAATTTGAGTCATTTTAGCCATCTAAGCGCAAAATCAAGAAATTTTCGCATGCGCCTTTGATATCTTCTGTAATTTTCTCAATGCATGTAAGACTATGGCTCCGAAATTTGAATTATAAGCAAAACTCCCCTGAATTCGTCCGTCTTCGACAATATGTCACAGAGATTTGGATTGAGCTTTATTAGAGAGTTCAGAAGCTTTCAGAATTTGAATTGCATTCGAAGTCGTTGGAAATTTCTGATCAGTTGCTTTTTTTGATCACTTCTCGACTGTTAAGATATTACTTTATTCGGGCATTCATTAAAAGTTATTGATTCTGAATATAAATCAATCAATAGTAATATTAATTCGAGTGCAGGCAGGAGGATATAAAACGAAATAGTTAGTTGATTGCGAGTATCATTATTTATTCGTTGCTAGTTTCTTGTTAGCCGGTGATGGCACCCAAGTGAGAGGCGATGACGGCGTTGGTGGTGTTTGTTGCTGGAAGCTGCTGAAATCGTCTTGATCGCGAAACTCGTCGAGATTGCCGAGCTTGTCTGTGATGGATGGTAGTGGTTGTTGGAAAGCCGGCGATGAGATCGGCGGCGGCGGCGACCAGACCATGTCCTTGTCGGGAAACACGCTAGCCACCGGCACATACACTTTGTGCTTCTTCTCCCATCGGCAGTAGTAGACGAATGGATTTTTCAACGACATTCTGCAAATTGAGAAATTGACAAACACATGATAGAGAAATGATGACAATAGATGGTAAAAAATTTAGTTGAATCGATTTTTGGCTATTTTTTGGTAGATCAAAAATGGTAATGTTGACCATTTGTGGTTTTGCAGCTGGCTGCAAAGAAGATGAACATGTCGGGAGACACATTGTACAAGGTCATCGATGAGGATGGCAATGAATGCTATAATAAGCATGATCGCGAGAAGCTCGATAAGGTGTTGAACGTGAACGAGTCGAACTTTGGTGTGCTTCAATCGCAGGCGGTCCGCATCGATTATATTCGAAGCGAGCTTGGATTGCCACCGAAGCCGAACGCGGGATCGTTTCTGCCTTCGGGTTACGCGCAGCCGACGACGACGCCGACCGAGACGATACCGGAGGATGAGGAGAAGGTTGGGCGATTCATGCCAAAAGCGCGAGTTGTTGTGAAACCCTTGTAGTCGTTTAAGGCAAAGGAAAAACCGGAGAAGAAGTGTGCCGGGTCGTTTGAGGAGCTGCCGACGATTCCGAACGCGATTCGAAAGCAGATTGTCCAGAAGGCTGCCAATTCATTGGAGATCGCTGTTCCACGTATGAGCCATTTTTTAATGTCATATAATTTAGAACAAAAAATATATAATTTTTTGTATTTACAGTTGAATTTTAATAATTTCTTGCAATTTTTTTTTTAATTTTGACTAATTTCGGGGTTTTATAGCTTTAAAAAAGTTTGTGATAACTTTTTTAAAATTTTTCAGATTCTCTAAATATACAGCAAAAACAGTACACGTCGATGAGGCGAGGAACCATTAATGGATTGATGATCGGAAGCGCGGATCGGTGCTTCTCGAGCTATAGGTATTGGGATTGATGTCGTCGTCAAAAAATTATTTAAGAAAAAAACCATTGATTCCATTAATGGTCCAAAAAGAATCAATCATTTTTGCCGGATTTTCTACAAATCAAAATTTTGTTGTAGAAGTTTCCGCGAGTTCCTGGTGAATCAGAAGGCGCCGAAGAGCTTGATCAATCCGTTTCGACCCGAAGAGTTTGCGGTGCAGGTGACGGCGAATCGCCGCCGTTGGATTCACGTGTTTCCGGTTGACGGCGAGGGTCGATCGAAGTTGGCGCATCATTATGTTGCTGGCCAGAGTATTGTGCATATTGTCGGCGGGAATGATGTGCTGAGCTATAAGTCGAACATTTCGCTGGATTCGCCGACGCAATCGGTTCGACCCGACTCGCCGCTGAGCAAATGTCTGAGTCCGGAGGAGCGAAGCGCCGGTTCTTCGAATCAATTGTCGTCGCTCAGTTTGGACGAGCTTAACAAGAAATACGTGTGGGCATGGGGGTCGACGGGCGAGGAGAAATGGAACATGGATCTTGAAGTGAACACGGATTGGAAGTCGCTGGTGCGTTCGGCGCTTCTTCCGATCACGACGGACTTCTTTCCCGATTGTCAGAGTCTTGAGAAGGAGTATCTCGTCCAGCAGCATCAGGTCTACTTGGGACATTTGGATTTTGCGACGATTCGCAATATTTACGATCAGCTCATTTGTCAGCGACTTCAGAGGGGCTATCAGATTGTGCTGCTCGCCAAGAAGCTCATTGATGATGCGATAAAAGCGACGGCGTCGTTGAGCAAAGGAGCGCAAGATGAGTGTGTGTTGTCGTTCAACAAGGTGAGCGCGCTTTCTTTTTGCCAACCCCTGCGGCAGATGGCGTTCAACGGATTGCGCCACCTGTTTGCCGAAAGGTGGGAAAAAATAGTTGCGCAATGGCGGTGAGGATCGAATTGAAATGAATGAGGGGATTTTCAGTATTACCATAAATTGTCGCTGATTGGCGATTCGATTCACATCACCATCTTTCGGCCCAAATCGGAACCGCTTGAGGAGGTCCCTGGCCATCCGGTAACCTTCAAGGTGGACTTATCGCGAATTAATTGGCTGATCGTTTAGGGATGGTATCCGAGACCATCGCAAAAGGACAATCCGTCGTTGTTCGACAAGTTCGGCTCCGACGCGCTGGACGATGTGCTGAACTCGAAGTATTTCAACACAGTCTACACCTACTTTTTCCAGGTCCAATTGTTCCATTACATCATTGCGAATGTCGATTTTCTAGGTGCCCGATGCGTTGAGCTATGAGAAATCGACGACGAAATTGCGGCATCACGATCTGGACAAGTTGAATTGGAGCCTGTTCGATTGTCTCTTCAAGGATAAATTTGACGCACAATTATTTGAGGACGAGATGAAGTGTTTTTCAGCAAGGTACGGTATTGGGAACTTTATTTTTTTTTAAGTGTGTGCACCAAAAAATTACCATTTGATTACTTTCAACTGATTTAATTTGAAACCAACAATTTTTACACTGACAGTATACAGGGTGCGGCAAAATTACGGGTGCATCGATAAAACGAAATAACTTTTTTAAACATCAACAAAACTCTTTCAAATTAATACCAAAATTTATTCAACACATAACAATCACAAATTAATTATCGTTGTTCGATTCTTCCACCACGATTCTTGATAAATTCCTTCAGACGCTTCGGATAGGCGTCGACGGTGGCACGCAGGTATTTGGCGTCCAATTTGTCCCATTCCTTCAGAAGGGCAGCTTTCAATGAGTTCGTATTTGGGTGTGGGAAAGCTGACACCTTCTCTTGCAAGACCCCCCAGACAGAATAGTCCATGATGTTCAGGTCGGGCGACGAAGCGGGCCAATCCGTTGACTTGATAAATGATGGAAAATGGCTGCCGCACCCGTCTTGAACGATATTGGCTCGTTGTGCAGGCGCTAAGTCTTGTTGAAAAGTCCAAGATCTATTTCCGAAGTGAGATTGGGACCAGGAAAGGACATTCTTCTTCAGAATCTCATTAAGATAGCCATTTTGATCAATCTTCACTCCGGGATCAACGAAATCTTAGGGGTCTTGCCGTCAGCACAGATCCCACCGAATACCATGATCTGCTGAGGATGGAAAACACGATGAATGGTTCTGCTTTTGTTCATAGCTTCCTCAGACCTTCTGGCGATCACTCAGTGGTTTTGGAGATTGAAAGCAGCTTCTACCGTAAACAGCTTCTCATCCATGACGAAAGTCGTTAGGTGCTTTCCTTGCCGCGTGCCTGCTAGGAGCGATTTGCACTTTTTCATTCGACCTTCATTATTTTTTTCGGTTAGAATGGCGGCCTTTCTAACACGATAAGGTATCAGGTTCAGCTCATCTTTGACTATTCTTCCCACCATCTCGGACTCACATGGACTTCTGACGCCATCTTTCTGATGCTACTATCTGGATTTCGACGAACTCGTTCCCTGGTGACCCTGACTCGCTCAGGTGTTATTGAAGAATGTTTTCTTCCTCTTCTAGGACAGCTAGAGAGTCCTCCCATCTCATGGAAGCGTTTCCAAGTTGTTTGTACGGTGTTGTGGTGAACTCCAAGGATTTTAGAAATCATCTTGAACGATGTTCCCTTTTTTTCAAGTCGATGATGGCCGCACGATGAATAGAATCAGCTGTCATTTTTGTAATACGAAACGGATTTTCATGAAACTTTCAGAAAATGATTAAAACGTCATAGAAAATAAAAAAAAACATAAAACTGCACAAAAAATGCGACAGTGCACTATGAGCTTGCGCCAAAGTTATGCACCCGTAATTTTGCCGCACCCTGTACATACATATATGTATTATTGAGCTTGACATTTATATAAAAATTAGGCCACCCATAAACAACCAAAATTGATTATCTCTTTCATCTTTCTTCTTCAAACGAAAGTTTTAGCTATATTATTGTACTTTACCCTCGCGATATTGACAAGACCCCGAAGATGGCGAGAGATAAAGTGCGTGGAGCTGAATTCCGCGAATCTTGCGAGTTTCAGCAGCACGATGAGAATTCGTATGCGAAATTCACACAGGTAGACACGTTGACACGCGGTTTTTGAAGATTTGCTATTTCTTTATTTTTGCAGGTGCTTCTTTGTATGAATCGGCTCACGTATACTGCGTACCGCTCGTTCCAGACGCCGAAGTCGCCGAGAAGCTCGGCGAAAGCCGCGGAGAAGGAGGAGGCGACGATTATCAAAATTCCCAAGGACGACGCCAACTTTGTATCAATATCATAATTGATCAATTGCTTAATTACCCGCATTAAGGTGCTTGAGGAATTTAAGAAGACGAATCCGTATGTGAAAGCGAGCAGCACTGGGTTTGGCGATCGGAAAGTGGCGATTCATCATCCCGACAATATGTTCCTCACTTATGATTTTGCGATTTATCTTAAAAGTTGGCGTTGATTTTCAGAAATTTCCGATCATTTTGAGATTTTCAGAGCATGTTGAAGGCATTCAGACGGTTGCTGAAGCTATGGACTACATCAAGGAATATGAGACGAGGGAGATTATTCGAATTGTTCGGGCTTGTCAGGAATGCGAGCGTGGATGAAGCTTGAGAATTATGATTTCAGACGATCCTGATCAACCAGTCACACCTCCACCTCCGCCCACAATTCCGAATCAAGAGCAGCAGCCGGTTCTTCAGCAGCAGATGCCGACGTTTGAGGAGCTGCACTTGATCTACGGATTCCAGCTGTGCTATATCGTTGGCGATCAGTCGCCCAATTTGAAGACGAGCCATTTCTTGACGGTGGAATACGCGATTCGACGATGTGTTCAGCCCGATGAGGAATGCGGACATCAGGCGCGTCGATTCATGGATATTGAATTGGCGGTGCCGACGAATGAAAGCATTGGCGAATGGTCGAGGATCTATTATAATACGGGATTCTATCCGGATAACGCGTTCAGCTTTACGATGAAATGGTTCTTGGCGATGGGACAAACGGTATCGGATCTTTTGGCACTTTGGGGGAATCGAGCCGGCCGATTTGGGTACTCGTTGTACCCGGTGCCGGATGATCCGTTTGCGTTGGCGCAGGATACGCACTCGAATCCTTTGCGATGCCCGATTCGTATTGATGTCAAGGATATTATGGAAAAGGATGAGGTTTGGGAAGAAGCTGACCGGAAGGCGAAACTTGACATTTTTAAGGAGCGCGACTTTATGATTCATTTTATCTTCCGATTCGGATTCGTTGATATGAAGTGCAACACGAAGCACGATTTTGCGGCGACGAAACAGAGTTCGGTGTCGGATCGGCGATCGTATGCGGCGCACTCGCCGTCGCCAAGCGGTGAGCGTTTGTCGTTCCATTGACATTCACCATTAATACCGAGCTTGACGTTGGTTTGAAATTTAGAGAAATACATGGTTTCTGTAGGTCAGTACCCGGTCAAATCGTTGGATTATGTCCATCAGGCTGGGGGAATGTTCCTATCTTTGGTTTTGTCCGATATTCAGCCGCCGTTCTTCTATTGGGCTTGGAACCATATGCTGAGTAATCGGTATCGAGGGTAAGTGGTCGTTATTTTTTTTTTGTTGGCTGAATTGAATGGAGCATTTTTGAAAGTAAAAAAAATGAGGTTTTTATTTTCAACACACTTATTCAGATTTTTTTCCCAAAAATAACGAAAATGAATTTTTGATTTTGAAAATTAAAAAAAATATATATATTGCTCCTGAAAATCGATTTATTGTTATATATTGACTTTTGAAATTGAACACTATTTCTAAAGTTTGAAATTTTCTTCAATTTTTTTTGTCCAGAAAATATTGTTCTAGACAGTTTCATTTTTTCAAAACTTTTCTGAAAATTTTGTTATTTGCCCAAGTTTTTGATATTGATTCTGTTTTCAACCAAACATGGTCAGTGAAAGCCAAAATGGATTAAAAATCGACTTTTGGGAATTGTTGTTTTGCAGAAAATGCACAGAAACATTCCAAGACTATATGTTATCGGAGTTTCGCCGCTACTGTGCGAATGAGAATAATTTGTTGACGAATCTGCTGGCGGAATTCCGAGAAAAACGAAAAAACTTCAAATCGCCGTTCTCGCCGGATGAGGAACTTGTAACCGACGTCTAGTCACCATTTTTAGTTTTCAATTTGCATTATCCACTTTTTCTTTTTTTTTTTTTGAAATTAAATTAATTATTAATACATTTATCACTTCATGTTTTCTTCAATTTCGATGGGAAAATCGGCCACATTAAAGTTCTACTAACATCATTCCGGAGAAAATGCATTTTGTTGGTTTTCGTTTCATTTTGATGGTTTGTTTGCCCTCGAAATGTCTTAAATTCCTAACAATTTATGTACGTATTTAGTATTTTGATCTGCCTTCGATGCTTTTCGCTTTGTTTTCTTGTGAAATGCCGTAAATTTGCCAATAAAACTGGAAATAAATGGGATTTGAATAGTGAAGATGGATGTGTTGCAACTGCGCTCCATTGAACGTGTTTCTGCATTTTTTTCGGAAATTTTGTTTTTTTTTTTTTTAAATTTTTTGCAGAATCGTGCTTATTTTTGCACTTTCAGATAATGAAGTATGCTCAGCTTGTTATGGGTCCGGCGGGAAGCGGAAAGGTTGGTTTTTTGTATAAAAATTTTCGAAAAAAATGGATGGTGAACATTTTTTTTTTGAAAATGAAATTTAAAATTTTAATGTTCTAAAACAGGCCTATTTTGACAAAAAAAACGGCGCTCTTCATTTTTGGGAATATACAAAAAATTAGAATGGTTTGATTTTGTTGGCCAGGTGCCGAATATGGATAATTCGAGCAATATTAAAAAAAAAAACTTCGATTGGTGGGTAATTCGTTCGGAAATATAGGGTTGCCAAAATGGGAGGCTCAGTCCTGATCTTAGCATTTGATTTTAAAAATATGCGAAAATTCTTCGTGTTTGTACCTACGGTATCCCTGGTCCAGGCCCTACAATTTTCTTCTGGACCGACTGCGCTTTTTTTGAGAGCGCTGAGCAAATGTAATTAAATATTAATACTGAAGTCGATTTTTCAAGCAAGTAATGAACTTATTTTACATCATCAATTGGATTAAGCTATAGTCGGCATCCGGCGACTGCTGTACTCGGGTAGATTTACTGGGGATGCGTATTTCTATTGGTCTCGCGCGGGCTAGCTGGTTATTTTGCATTTTATGCGTTGGTTCGATGATTTTTTTTTAATCGATTGATGTTGGAAATTCAAGGAAATGCCAAACTCATCAAGAAAAAATTCACTGTTCACATAAAATAAGTGTTGGCGAGACCATTTCGAAAAACGCATGCCCGTAAATCTACACGCGTACATCAGTCTCTGGACGCCGACTATATAACAAAAAAACTGATGATGTTAGGAAAATTTGGTTTCGAATTTAATGAGCTTAATCTCGACGCCCCTATCCAAAAAAATGCCAGATATTTGCGTTGACGACGTCACAAAAATGCATTCAATAAAAACGTCATCTTTTGACACAAGCAGATGCGTAAAATACGGAGAGAGAGAATATGGGCATTCTTCTTTTCAGTCGACCTATTGTTCGGTGATTCACAATCACTGCCAGAATATCGGTCGATCGTTGAGAATGGTGAATCTCGATCCGGCGTGCGAGGCATTCAATTATCCGGCGGTTGTTGGTAAGACGACGAATTGTAAGCAACGCGACATATCGACACATTTCCAGACATTCGCGATTTGATCAGCGTCGGCGATGTGCAAGAGGACGACGAGCTCATTCTCGGACCAAATGGAGCATTAGTGTTCTGCATGGAGTGAGTTTTTATTAATCTTTTTTTGTTATTTTTTTTTCTAAATTATTCCCGGCCACACAAATGAGAAGCAAAAGCGAGTTTGATGTGTGTTTGCGTTAGTTCTTATAAGGTCTGTACACGAAATTCCTGTCGAAGTAGCCGTCGATATAATCGGGATGGAATTCGATGGGTCGGCACACGTGGGCGATTTTTGGCGGCATTGGCGATGGCGCGAGCGGAGGTGGCGTTCGGATGAATGGCGGCGGAATGGTGTATAATGGTGGCGGTGGAATGTGGAACGTCACCGGTCGCCACACGATCACACAAATTGGCGGACCATAAAGTCGTTTGCACTGCTTCTCGAGATTGTGATAGGCCGTCATCTGCAGAGAAAAAAAAACATTGCGGGGTTTTTTTGAGGGGGGGGGGTTGATGAGGTTCACGCTACGTCATTTCGCCAATTGATTTCATCCCAAAATGAATCGCTTACTTTGTTAGTAATTTTGGTGATTGAATCCTGCATACTTAATTGCAAAAATTTAAAAATTCCATCTGCGGACATCATTGGGGGCCGCAAAAAACTTAAAATAAAATGAAAAGGCTCGTTCGTTTTTTTCAAGATTCTGCGCATCAAAATCCTTAATTGCCAATCTAATCAATTAGTTGATTTCTCTTTAGGTCGATTGGAATACGGTAGAGTTAGTGTCACTTCCTCTCGAGACCCGCTCTCATTCATTCATATATCACGCAAAAACGAATTGGTAGCCTTATATGGTCATGGAAATGAGAAACGAGATGTCAGTTTGAATGACGTGACCTAATTTTCGGAGCACCTACAGTAGTACCCCAAAACGCATTAATGAGGGGGGAATGTTTAGAAATCTGAAAAAAAGAAATACCGGCGAAGTGACTTGAATGAAGATTGAATCGGTGCGACGAGCTCGCTTCTTCATTTCAGAAGAAAGCGAGAAATTTGGAATTTTTGAAGAACACACACAGAAAAAATGTGTCGAAACCACGCCCACTTTTTCTAGTCCTCTTAAAAGAAAAATTAGTGAGAAAATGAATAAATAAACATTATTGTAATGATAGCGTGCGAAACGGCGACACAAAATTTGTATGCTAATTTTGAGGGCCACCCGAAAATCGAATTTTGAGATCGCGTGGCAAAAACGACGGAACCGAGGTGTACCATTGAAAACACATTATTCGAATGTTTTTTTTTCCGCGCCCCATAAAAGGTGCGAATGACATCACAATATCAAATTGGGGGGTTCTGTTGAGCTTCTACAACAATTTTAGATGGAAAAACCTGAAAATGTTGTATGAAGGAATCGGGGTTTGATATGCTCGTGGTAAATTATAGGTGTCCATCTTGTAAGGGCCATCCATAGGATTCGGCAAGAAAAAAAATTTTGACACGAAAATTTGCGAAATTCTCGATATCTCAATAGAATTGAAAAAGTTTGCCGGGTATGCGCCTTTAAAAAAAAACGGGTCTCACGTGGAAGCGTGGCTCATCGACGATGCTTCATTTGGGTTCCTCTCGATTTGGATTCGAAACGCAATTCGTTTTTGATCCCCCACAAATCGTTTTCTTTTCCCTTCTCGACATAATCAATCATAGGAATATGTAGGGTGGAAGAATGAGAAAAAAAAACCAATTACCCGCGAAATCTCGATTAATACGAATATACGGATTAGGCGCCTTAGATTTACCTCGATTTCCATCATATGCCGATTTTCAATTAAAATTGAATCGGCATCATTTCGCGAGCGCGGAAATAATCAACGAAGTTGTGCGAGAGCTTCTCACTCAATTTTGTTTCATCTCGCGTGTTTTGCGAACCGAACGACATGCGCCTTTAATCGTGGTCTCATCACGTTTTGGCCTATGATTGTTTTGAACGGTGTGCGCCTTTAACCATATTTGTTATGTTATTATTTTTTTTTGCAATTTTCGTGTTGAAATTTACACTAAACGCGCATTTTTTGAAATTTGCTGGTATTGAACATTTTGCCGCCCTTAAAGGCGCATTAGGTAACAGTCGAGTGATTTGAAAATTCCCTTTAGCTCTCATTTTTAAGTTGTGTCCATTTATAGAAACGTCGTGCGCCTTTAAAGATAGTAGACAATAATCCCAAAATGTTTTTTTTTAGATATCTCATCAAGAATCTTGAATGGCTCCACGACGAGCTCGACGAGGGCGAAGACGATTATTTCGTGTTCGACTGTCCCGGACAAATCGAGCTCTACAGTCATTTGCCGGTGATGCGTCAGATTGTCGACGCGCTTCGCTCGTGGGACTTCAACGTGTGCTCGGTGTTCCTCATCGACACCAATTTTGTGCTCGAAGCTGAAAAGTGAGACCAACATCGTCCTAATCGTTTATTTTTTTTTTAATTTCGCCCAACTAAACGCGATTGCATTCAGATTCATCTCGGGAGCTCTAACCGCGTTGTCGGCGATGATCTCCATCGAGACGCCGACTGTCAATGTGCTCACCAAATTGGATTTGTTGTCGGAGAGAAATAAGCAATTGGTAAGTGCGTTTTGTTTTTTTTTTTGACGTGTTCACGGAATGCACCTTTAATCATGCTTCCTGGTTTAAAGGCGCATAGGCGACTATGAATAATGGTGTTGTTGTTTAAAGGTGCTGGGCATTTCTGCTAAAATTCGAATTTGACGGTATGCTCTTTTGAGTAACGTGTCTTATCGTGTTTTCCTCATATTACTACGCTTTCAAAAATAGCGATTACTGCATTTTAAAGGTGCATTTCGCATTTTCACGATGGGCGGTCTATTATTTTTTTTAATTAGTATATCTTGCACGCATAAAGGTGCATACCTTGAATGGTCTCGAAAATAATTGAGGAGAATGAAATAAGGAAAATTCAAAAGTTCGGATTTTATTCAATTTTTTTCCGATTTTTCAAATCAAATTAACAATTTCGTTATATTTTATTATGAACTTGGAAAACGGTGAATAAAATTTTCAATGAATGTAATTTTTCTAATTTTGAATATAAATTTTGCATGTTGAAGATAAAAAACCCGAATTTAGTCGAATTTCGATTTTTCGTTTTCACATCGCCGATGTGTAATATAATTGCGCGATGAGATTTTTCTTGATAAGACCCACACAATGATCGTCACCGCAAAAATATTTGTGTTGAACGTCGCGATGAATGTCGAACTATTCGATTGGAGGCCGTTTGCCTCAATATTTCATCGAAATTTCGCCCAATTTGGGTGTCATTGAGAAGCACGACGCTTGTGTTTCGTAATTGTGGTATTTTGTTTTTTTTTTTTAAATCTCCCGCTTCGAGACCCAGCTCCATCCTTTAATTGAGGTTCAATTATATTTGTTAGAATTAAAAAAAAACTCGATTTTTGATTTTCTTTATGAAGATATATCTATTTCTGTGATGAATCGACTCGGTCGCTGCAAGACCTATGACGCCTTTCAGTTACTTGCTTTCCCTGTTTTTTGTTTTTAATTTTTCGCTTTTGTTAGAATTTTTCCAGCCTATATATCATAAGAATTATAATTTATATTGTAAATTCGCTTTAAAAAAATATAAATTACTAGGTTGCCTCTTTATAAAAGTGAAAATTTAATTTTTTAATTATTTTCTAATTTTGGAACCAAGAAATTTTTGAATATGTCGAAATGCGCGTTTTTTTTTTTAACGAATCCCCCTAACAAACTAAAACATTGATATTATTGCTTTTGCTATTTCAGGTCGATGAATTCCTCGAGACGGACACGCGAAGCATCGTCGACATGGATCAGAACGTGTGGAACGCGCGTCATCGAAATTTGACGCGCGCGATCGCGCAAGTCCTCGAGGACTACTCGATCGTCAAATTTGTGCCGCTCAACAGCGAGGACGAGGAGAGCATCGAGCAACTATTGCTCACAATCGACACTTGTATTCAGTATGGCGAAGACCTCGAGGTAAACGATAATCGATGAAGCTTCACGCCGTGGTTGTTGTTGTTTGATAGTGGCTGGCACCTGCTGGCAGCTCGCGCCCCGCCTTCTGGCCACCAGCGGCCCGTTTTTGGGCCACTCTCTCTCTCTCTCTCTCTCTCTCTCTCTTCTCGCTGTGCCTCCCCCTCGCGCTGCACGCTCATCCCGCGAATCACGACAAAGTTCAATTCCTCGCCATCTCTGCCGAGTAGATGATGATGAAGACGAAGAAGAAGTGCTTGTGTGTGTGTGTTTTTTTGGTGTACCGCCGCCTCCCTTTTCCGCCTCATCGTCGTGTTTATATGTGTTCGCCGCTCTCCTCATTTTCTTTCTTTTCTTCAGTTTTTTTTTTCATCAACAGCATTGGCATCATTATTTTCTGTGTGTGTGTGTGTTTTTTTTGCGGTCGCCCGGTCATTTGGTTTTTGTATTGATTGCCATTCGGACTTCGAAAGACGTGGGGGGCATGGGTCTTATCGTCGGTGCTTTTCGCCGAATGACCCATTATCAATGTGTTCAATTATTTATTTTTTTGATTATGCAACTTGAGTGACCTCCGATTTTTACTTTCTTTTTTTTTAACACAGCTTGCATTTTTTTTCGGTTTTAGTGGGATTGATGGGGTGTTCGAACTACCGTGATGAGTCTTAATTGGGCAGTCGGTGGAGACCAAATATTGACCTAATTCGAAATAAAGTCCGTCTGCCCCAACTGTAATCTGAGGGCAATGTGCAAGCGGAGTGTCGTACTGGTAGATAGGTAGTTGAGGAGCACGCGGGTTGATCTTTAACATTATCTTTTCTTCTTATCAAAAACAACCTTGGGTGGTCCCTAGCGAATTTTAGAGTTGCATTTTTTTAAAAATCAAACACATATTTGCAATTTTCGCTTAAATTTTGATACAATTTTTCTGGGCGAGGAGAATTTTCTGCAAATGTGTTGGACGTCCTTAAAACAATGCTTTAAAATTTCTATTGGGCAGGGTTTGATTTGCTGTAGTGATATTGTCGCGCAAAACACTTCTCCACGGGATATCGCTTAGATGTGGCCTCATGCGCCTTTAAATTCGTTTTAATTTTGTTTCGATCGCGACCCAGAAATGTTTTTTTTGACGAACCGTTTTTTTGGAGCCTGAAAGTTTTGAATTTGATAGCCTAACAAATGTGGCGACTGGCATTTTTCTATTAAAGTTTATCGAAATAATAGGTTATGTGGTTTTATAATTGCTGTCTGTCTAAAAACGCGAAATGAGGCAAATGAATGGGTTTTGAGAGCTTTGAAAAAAATAATTTTTAATCCTGAAAATAAAAATTCGATTGGATGAGCTCTCATTTTCTAACTGATAATAGTTGAATTTATAGTTGGCGTCCGGCGACTGCTGTACGCTTGTAGATTTACGGGAATGCGTCTTTCGAAATGGTCCCGCAAGGACTAACTGGTTATTTCAAATTTTATGGGTCGGTTAATTTTTTAATCGAACGACATTAGAAATTCCAAGAAATGCCTAATTCATCAAGAAAAATGAAGCAGTTCACCTGAAAACAACAAAATAAGCATTCACGCGTGGCGGGACCTTTCCAAGGCGCATGCGCGTAAATCTACCCACCTACAGCAGTCGCCGGACGCCGATTATTTGAGCAATTATTTAATTAGAGCAACCTTTAATTGACGTGTTCGAAATCGTGCTATTGATATAAAAAGGGACGCGCAGAAATTCAGGAATTGTGACGAGAAGATAAAAAATATAATATTAAGGTCTTGCAACGAATAAGAAAACCAAAGAAGCTTCAAAAATATCGTTTAAAATGTCCAAACTTTCGCACTTTCTCTCTCTCTCTCGCTCTCTCTCTCTCCAACATGCTAATCGTGTTAAATTAAATTGGACCATTTCCTGTTGGTGTGTCGTATTTCGCTTCTCTAGCGACATGTCCCTTTAAACATACACAAACTGCGTTTATTTCAGGTCAAGGATAATTATCCTGAAGAGCGCGATGAGGAGGATGAATGAATTTTGACGTCTAATCAGTTTTGTACAATTTTGTTGAAATTTGTTGATTAAAAAATTTGTTCGTCTTTTTTTTCCTCGTTTTCTCTCCTCTTTCTACAGTATCCCGACTGTATTTATACCGTAATCTTGCTCTCTTCAATTTTTGTACAATTTTTTTAAGATGGCCGATGCAGGGGTTTGGGAAGATTGGATGGCGATGAGTGACACGATCTCAACGGTAATCGGACTCGATGGCGAATCAATGATGTGACGATTGCAGGGTGATGATCAAGATCGGGCGGGAACATCGAGCAGCGCCAGCGAGGATGATGGAGAGGATGAGGGGGACGAGGATCGCATGAGGTGCTTGTACCGACTTGGCGAACCAGAGGTTAGTCACAGATTGATTGGGTAGAATTTGCGATCCCAAAAATCGGTGGAACTGGTAGATCATTGACTTATACGGATTTTGATGTCTCGCACGAGACCCATTCACGTTGTTTTTAAAGGAGCATTGTGTAGCTTATTTCAGCAATGCAATCAGCGTCGCCTTTTTGGGCACAGCTACTGCAGCTCGCACATTATCCAGGATAGACGGGCCCTTTATGGAAAATGCCTATACCAAAGGCGATCGACTCGCCAATGTCAGCGCGCGGTTAGGCAGGGGAAGGAGTATTGCGCGTCGCATCAGAATGCGTTCAAGGTAGATCAAAAAGACGGAACGTTGAGGAATATTCAATGATTCAGAACGGACGAATACAGCCGGAGGTTTCTACTGCGAGCGATGCGGATGATGAGCTAGAATTTAGTGAGTTGGAAATTGATGGCGAGGAGCAGCCGCGAGTGCGACGGCGGGTTCTACCGGCGCCGATTCCTTCATTGGAAGAGTACCGCCGTGAGGATGCCAGAATTCTCGATTCTTTGAATTGGGGCCCGGTTGCCTACTATGCAAATGGAATCGGATATGACGCGAATGATCGGATCGCGTGGTCGACGGTTAAGTATCCGTACCGCTTCAAGCCGTATCGTGACGGTAACGTCTCCGCGGAAGACGATGAGGTGTCGGATTTGATGGAAGTTGAAGAACCGTCTCTGAGCGAGGATGAGCTACGACAGGAAATGGAGGATATACAGCTCGATGATAATAAGGCGCAAGCATTGAAGGTTGAAGAACATGCTTGGCAGGAGTTCGTTTCGCTGCACCATCCGAATGAGATGCTCACGATGCCGATTCGCGTCGTCGGAGCCGAGAATCTCGATCCGGAATTTCCCGTCGAGTTTCTGGAAGCTATGGAAGGTGTCGACGATGCGGATGATGACGATTCGCCGGCGGTTCTGCGTCCAATTCTGTCACCGATTCCGCCGAATCGCGATCAGCGCACTCTGGCGGACAAGCTGAACAATGAGGCGGAGAGCTTCGACATCGGGGAGGTGTTGTACTTCTCGCAAGTCGAGCTTCACGATGTTCGGATTCTCGAGATGAATGGATTCGATCAATTGCTGTTGCTGGCTGAAGAGGAGATGGCAAGGAAGGCAGATCGCAATAAGCCGCTTTGCGAGATTCAGTCGACAATGGAAGATGGAGGCGGTCTGGCACGCGCTGCATATGAGTTTCGTGTTCGGCAACAGCACGATCCGGTTCATGTGCCGCCGGCGGATCGTCGACGGACTAGAGAGATCGTTGAGATCTTGAATCAAGGCTATGCGGATTGGGCGAAACAGCCCGACTATGTTGTGCTGAAGCCGAGAAAACGCATCGAACAATATGTGAATGCGGCGCCGATTATGGATAGCGACAAGGATCAGGTGGAGCTAGGATTACATAGATTGCTCAACAAGAAGCTAAGCTATGTTGTTGGGAAACTGTGGTCGCAGGCGGTTGGTGCCATGATCGTTGATGCTAATGAATTCTGAGTTGATTTCAGATCTACTTGACGATTGAGACAATTCATTTCTGGCGTGGATGCATGCTTCGAGCGCTGTGTCGTGTCGCCAACGATGAATACGAATTCGAGCTACCATTCAAGAAGATCTACACGCCGGAGGAAGTTAAAGAGCAGCTTCGACCGCATCCGATTCATATGGTCTTGCTTCTATACATGGCTGAGTTGGACGATGATTACCCGATCGAGTATGTCTACAGTCCGAAGTTGATGGTCAAGGAGGATCTTGATGCTGGAAGGGTGGGAAAAATGAAATTCGACCCAATTCAAGGAACGATTTTTTGTGGTTTTCAGAAGGCTCGCGAAGATGAGCGTCGAAAGGAGATGATGGAAAGATTGCGGAATCAAAATCCAGATCGGGTTTATGGTAATAAGCTGATTTTTTTTGTTGAGAAATCCCCTTATTCTGGTTTTTTTGTAGATAGTGATGAAGAGACGGATGTGTCGGATGACGAAGGCGTCATGGAGAATCGGGAGGAGCAAGCCGAAAAGTGTGGCCGACTCGAGTATTACAAGAATCTTCGCGAAGACGGGCCGACGGAAGTTGTCGATGAGGCCGGCAATATGAAGTACAAGTATATTGTGAGGCGATGCGTCAAGAATTATATGAATGAGGAGGGCGTCGTAGTCAGGTTTGTAGCGCGTTTGCAACACGGTAGATCAAATCTTCGACAATTGCAGATGTGAGAATACGGCGCTGACGCACGCCGAGTTTTGCCCGACACATATAATGGATAATCGCGATCAGAAATTTTTCGCGTATTGTCTTTTTAATGATTGTGGGAATCCGGTGAACATGATCGATGATATTGTTTGGAAGGGCAAATGCAAACTGCATCGCGAGATCGTTATGGAGATCAGTGGTAACGCTGAAGCTTTCGAATCTCACCTTTCCCATTTGTCCCATTTTAGATAGTGACGTGGAGACGTCTTCTGATGAATCGGACATTGAGGTGTTCGAAGACCCGGATGACATGGAGTTATCCTATGATGAGAGCGAGGAGCTCACGCTTCATGAGAGGAACAGTGAGCCCGATTTGGAATATAGCATCGTTCGGCCACCGATTGTGCCGAACCCGCAGGTGTTCACCCATTTGCCGCCGCTGGAGGTCCCGCGACCGACGAACATCACCGAGCCGCCGATCATGAATCAGATGATCAGCGATATACTTGATCGCGGCGAGTTCACCATCATAGTCAATGAGGACGATTTGCGGCGGAACCATGAGATCCCGCTGTCGTTCGTCAACATCCTTGTCGATGTCGCTGATTATAGACCGCCAGCTCCACTAGCGAGGCAAACAATCAGATCGACACCTGAAGACGTGGAGCCGGACGTCGAGGAGAACGCGTTGACGGAGTATGAAGACACCGATGGAGAGATTTCTGACGATGAACTGTTCGCGCAGCTCATCAGACAATTGGAGCGAGAAGAAGCAGGCGATGAGGTTTTCGATGAATCGTTCTTCGATCAGCCGGGACCATCAGAATAGTTTAATATTAATCAAACATTTTTTTTGTAGTCCTTAGAAGTCGTGGTTATCATCATATGTAGAGAAAATTGACCATTCCAAAAACCCTATGTACCATTTTTCAGGCTTTTTGCCCAAATTTCCACGCCCCATATCTACCCTATATCTCAAAAATATTGCCATTTTGAATCATCTTCGATATCAACCTAATCGACTAATTACCCTGTGGAATAATTATTAAGAAGCTTCTTGTCGAATTTTTTCTTCCCGGTTTTTCAGTGGGAATTGAGCAATTGGTTGCCGCGGCTCGCCCGACAATCTCACGTTTGCTCTTGTCCCACTGAAAACTCCATTTTTTGCTCATATCACTCAATCAACAATGTTTATTTTTTTGTTCTAATTTTCTTGCCGAGACCTAGATGTTGTGCGCCTTTGAAATCAACGAACTTCAGTTGTTGGATGTTTAAAGGCGCACGACTCTTTCAGTGGCCAATTCAGAATTCTTGTTGTTTTGGAAAATAATAAATATTTTGGAATGTGATGGAATGATCCTTTAAATGATCTCCGGATCGAAATAACCTCAATTTTTCAGTTATCGTGGCAATGCACCTTTAAGTTGTCTGTGAATTTTTAAAATTACAAAAAATTTAATCATTCAATTCCAGAAATTATTTTTTTTGACGTGACATTTCTAAATGTGTCGGCAATTAGTTTCGAAATTTTATCATGGATCCACCAGTGAGCCGAATTGGCTGGAATGACCAGAAAATTATGCAAACGAGACATGAGCTTAATCAGGTTTTTGTTCTCTCGATCATCCTCATGATTGGTTTTCGATTAGGCGAAAAATATCATGAAGGCGAATGTGCAAAAGATCATGGAGAGGCAGAGCAAACTCGACGATCTTGTCGAACGCGCGCAGAAGCTCGAGATCGCCGCGAACGAGTACGAGAAGTGCGCGGTGCAGGTGCACCGACAGATGCAGTGGAAGATTGTCGCGATTCGATATGGCGTCGTGGCCGCTTCGATGGTGTTCGCGATCACCGGATTATGTGAGTCGCTTTGGAGAGAAGTTGGAGCCTCTGTTGAAAGGCGGCCGCCGAAAATTTTGAGGCCTCCTTTAAATTTGGCACTTTTGACGTTTTCAACGCACGTTTTGATATTTTTAAAGGGGCATGCACTATTAAAAGAAAAATGCGATCATGTGCCTTTAAAGTGCATTGTTTAAAGGCGCGTACATATGAGACTCATCAAAAATTTCAGTGTACTCGCTGGGCTAAGAAGAATGAAGATGATGGTGCGAATAAACGATTTATACCCAAAAAATTAATAAATTATGCGTAATTATATGATTATAATTATATATGTTTAATTAGTGGAATGTTGATTGCTCATGTGTACGTTGTTGATGCTGGAAGTTCTGTAAAACCAAAAAAAACAATTTGGCTTCTCAAAATTGATTGTCAAATACGCTGTATTGCGAGTTCGACAAGGCGGCTATTAAAGGCGCGTACCGTATGCCTCAACACCATAAAGGGCGGCGTTGGTCTGACGCGGAAGTGTTGATTTATCCTCGAGTTGAATCGATTGAGGATGAGTCGACGCGGTGTGATAATTTTGGACTTGGGTGATCCAGTGTTTCTGGAATCGAAAAAAAAGTGAATCTCGAATTATACACATTTTAAGCTACAGTAATCGCTTTCAAAATGTTTTTTATCTTTGAAATTAAAAAAAAAATTTGAACTAAGCCGCTTTTATTAACGCGTCTTAGCAATTCTTGCGATCGCTTCGAGACCATTATACAAAAAGTGCGGTGGTCCTTTAAGATTCGGCGCTACCTTTAAAGTGTCGGCTGCTGCGTTTCCGGCCTTCTCATCATCGGCGGCACGACTCAAATGGCTGGCGAGAAGCGCCAAAAACGCGAAAATCAAAACGGAAGTGGCCATGACCAAATCGCGCGATTTGTAGGTCAAAAGTGGCAGCGAAACGTATAAGCCGATTTCGAACATGATCGTGACGATCTGAAATGGAAACATTTGTAGGTTCCGTTATTTTCCTTTTTTTGGGATGGCAAAATTCAATAAGGGGGTCTCGACACTCTTCAAGCCCCCCACCATTTCCCAGTAAATCGACACCAACCGATATCAGCAGATTCTGAATACTCTGCGGATGTCGAAGAGCCGAAATCGAGAAGACGAACGTGAGTATCGACATGATTCCGACGAGGCCGCACGACGTCAGAATGCTATTCTCCGCCTACAACACGATTAAAAATGTTCTGTTACAGTATGCCGGATTACGGTATTTCCCGGTGCGCATCGCCACATGGTGCCGTGAATCGACGACACGAATTCGGTGTAGGGGGCCGGCGAGAGAAGAAGCCACTCGAACGAGATTACTGTAGATGATTTTGGGTAGATTCAAAGTTCCATGGAATAATTCCTACCGGTCTGGATTGCGACAATCGACGACATGATGAAGAGGGCGCTGCTTGTGCGCACGTCGGCGTCCTTGAATCGCCATAGAAGAAGCGCCTTTAAGGATTACGGTAAATTGTTTGGGAATACATAGTTGATTGATGATGTACCTTGACGAAGACGGACGCGCTCGCGGTGCACATGGCGATCGGGAACAGCGTTCGGCGGAGAATGCATGACACCTCGTTGGGCGGGATGATGAACGCGGGAGCCGACAACGAGAGGAACGCGAGACCTACACGAGTACGGTATAGGGTACGGTAGCGACACGAAGAGAAAAAGAGAGGAAGTACCCAAAAAGCCGACGGCCGTGCAATTGCGATAATCGGACGTTGAGATGACTTTGAGATACATGCACATCAAGCATGTCAGACACGACAGCACTGCAAGGCAAATTGCAATTTTCATTATTTCTATATCACCCCAAGTCGATAATTATGTAGGTACCGTAGTCCTACAGTAATCTTCGTATCGTATTTCTATGGGTCTCGGATTTTGTTAAGTGGCGCATTGTCCGTGTGGAGTACACAACGCGTATAAGACAATTACAGTAACCTAGTTACTTTAATGGGTTTCGCCACGAAAATTTGATGAGGCCGCCCCCCCCCCCTCACCTGAGAAAATTGTGAACAGCAGAATCTCGATGTCGGTGAGCGCTTTGAATATCGACGGCACCTCGCGTCGAATCGCGCTCTTCGCCATCTCCTGGGCGCATTTCGACCGCGAGCACGTCGACGACATCAGCAGATAGCTGCCGCGCGACGTCGCGTTTCGACCGTCGCCGCTGTCCGCGTAGCCCATCGTTGGATGCCAGACGCCGATCTGGAACAAGAAGAATTGAAACGCGATCGCGTTTGGCTCGTCACCTCGCTCAACTCTAAGCGATCATCGTCGAACTGAACGCGATTGATGACGAGCTGCGCGTCGCGGTATCCCGAGCTCACGTTGAATGTGATGGCTGCAACAACAACATTGGTTAAGTGAGTTGGCGGCTCAGAAGCGCGCCTACGATAATCGGAGAGATGATGCACGAAATCCTGATCGAGAATCGAATGGTAGAAGCCGTCGGACGGATCGTTGACGCAATCCGATATCGAGATCACCAGCGCGCCGGGGCAGACGCGATCGACGAATGAGCGGAACGCGACGCCGATCGTATGCGCTGCAAGCCGAACAATGGAATTGCAGACAGTGCTTCTCAAATTCAGCGCCGTTGGTTGTTCACACCAATGCGCCTTTAAACTACCGTACCCGCTATCGATATCGATGCCACGTCGACGTTGGGCGTCACCTGGGAGATGTTGAATTTTTGGGAACTCGCGCACTGTCTGGAGAATTTGTGATGTTTGTCGTCGTCGTCGTCGCCGACGTCGTCATCGCCGACGTGACATTTGAACGCCGACGCCCAAAACTGTTTGAGCCACACCGTCGGCAATTTCATTCGCGGAATCGTGTCGGCCAATTTTCGAAGCTCGTCGTCGTGATTGATCGACACTTTCGGCGCCAACGCGATGAGATTCTGCTCGAACGTCGGCCACGTCTCGACGAACTTTTGCGCCGTCGACCAGCGCGCGTCTTGAAGCGCGACGAACACGAAACGGCCGGCGATGACCATTTCGGTGCGAAGCGATTTGCCGACGCTCAGCCACGTCGATTCGCCGAGAAGCGCGACGACGATTCGCGCCTCGCTGAGCAACAATCTGAAACGATGCGATTTCGCTTCGAGACCATCCATCCGGCGCCCCTCAATTTTAAAGGAGCACACCGTACGTTCGTATCGTCTCCTCGGCGACGTGACTCGAAGCGTTCTTCATGAAGATCTGCGTTTCGACGCATATCGAGTGCTTCATCGCCAACTCGTGAAACTCGCCGATCGTCCTGCAACAACGCGTTCGCCTCGAGACCCATCAACTATCGACAACCGTACCGTTCGAACTTCTCATCGAATATGAGATTCACGCAGCTCGTGTGATAATTCCGCAACGCTTCAAATATGGCGTCGAACGCCATCGACGCGTGCGGAAGTGTTCCACTGGTTTTCGCCTGGAATACGGTAATCGATTACTGTAGAGCCGATGACGTGGCAAGACCTGATGGCCGACGGTGATGAACGTGTTGAGAACGGGAAGATTGAGCTGCTCGAAGACGTGCTCAGCGTTCGGCATATGCGTTCCGTCGTCGCGCACGACAGCAATAATATCATTTCTAGACATTGTCGGTGTTGCTGGTTACGGTAGAGACGCTGTACCTTTGAATATTGGTGCCTGAGAGCAACTCGTACAAATCGGCGACTGTCCGCAGATCGGTTGAACACGAGTCCACCACAATTGCGCCAATCTCGGCGCCAATCTCCTTGAGCAAATTCGCCTCGTTCATCTGTAATCGAAACGTAATGACTGAACACTGGACGGACGACGCCTCCCAACCGATTTGAGCGAATCGAGAAACGCGGCGAGACGAACGACGGCGTTGAGATCGATTTCGCCGCACTCGAAATTCTGCGAAGAAGAAGCGATGTGTTTGCGGTGCACACGCCGCGTACGCCTACCTGCTGACTCGACGCCTGATGAATCGGAATGATCGCAAGAATGTAGAGGCGTCGAGACGATGGAACAATGAGCACATCATTGAGCAGTCGATGGCTCAATACTGAGAGTTGCGCCGAGTCGAACGAGTTCGCCGAAATTGCGCTTCTGAAATTTTCGCGCTAGGACCATTCCAAAAGGTATAACAACTTTTTCGGGTTCTTCGACAATTTGAGCGGGCTTTTCGATGTGGTCCATAAAGTGGGAGTAGTTGTGGGTCTTGTCCTAGTGGTCCCTCGAGTCGTCGGCGACGTCTAAATCCTTCCCATGAGCCAAAAAATTACAACGGACCATCGAACCTGTGCTACAGTAGTAGTAGTAGTAGTAGTGGTGGTTGTCGGCCTCGCGATTCCGGTGGTGAGAGTGGCCCTCGGAAAATTGGGTGTGTCGAAAATGTTGAGGTACGGATTGACGGTGTTCGGCTGACTATTCACATAGTTATTGGGTATATCAAGCGGCAGTTGACGATAATGATTCGAGCGAAAATCGATAGATTCGACGAGATTTGCGAATATTAGAAATAGAAGGAGCATGGTTTTGAAGCTCGAACTCTTCTCCGGCCTTCAGCGTTGTCGTGTTTTTTGTCTCTGTGTGTGTGTTGTGTGTTGTGTTCTTGGAGCCAGATTAGGCTGGCGACTCGCGACGACTTAGCGATGCTTACACAATGCTGTATTGTTTTACATTGACCCGTCCGACATGTCGGCGAGCTTGTGTGTGTGTGTTTGATGATTGAGCGAAGGCGCAAACGTGCCGCCATTCATCAGCGGATTATTGCTGGGGGCTGTTTCGGGGTGTTGCATGATTTTCGACTTGCCGTCGCGATTTGAATGGAATTCTTAAAGGCGCATTGAAGATGACTTGCTGTGGGTCTTGAAGCGGCAATGCGCGCCTAATTATTTATACAGTATTCTAGAATGCTCAATGGAATTCTTAGAGGTGCTTCATAGGCGACGTGCTATGGATCGTGAGGCAGCAATGCGTTTTTACAGTATTCTAGAAATTCTTAAAGGCGCATTGATAGAATGATCTAAAGGGCTTCGCCAAGATTTTATTGAAGATTCGCCAGTTTATAGGCTCATCAAGACAACTCTTAAAGGCGCAAATGAATTTTGCTTTTTGAGTTTGTCCAGTAATTTTATTTCTAGGGTCTTGACGAGAGTTTTTAAAGGCGCAACAATAAAATTTGAAATTTTGAATTTTGATTTAAAGGGATTTTGGTGTCGATTTACGATCGCCTCGCTATGCAATTTTTAAGTTCTTCTTTCCAGCTTTGATGTGGTCCTGAAGAGACTATTAAAGGCGCGTTGAATTTCAGCAATAAAGGGTTTCCACAAAAAGTTGCTTGGCATTGATTTTCGGGTCTTGAAGGGATCCCTTAAAGGCGCATTGGGGGAATCAATTATTGTGTTGCGCCAACGATTTCCACAAACAAGCAAAATTTGGCATTACTGAACGCACCGTAAAACTTCAAGTTGGCAACTGTTCGCGTCGGGACCAAATTTTAAAGGCGCGTAATTGTCGCAATTTCTAAATTCGTCGATTTGCCCATTGTTTTTTTTCTTGTCTCTTGCTCAATTCGCCGCTCGAGCAAACACAACTCGTCCCCCCCACCTGCGAAAATTAAGTTACCATGTTTGGTTTTGGTTGAACGATGGGTGGAATACAAATGATGGTACTGTAAAGGACCCCCCCATTGAACATCAGAAATTCGATTCGGCAAACTGTAATGTGTTGTGTGTGTGTTCACCGAGACGCAAAATTGCACAATTTTCGCGCCGCATCATTAATGATATTTAATTTTTTATTGGCAAATATTCCGGTTATTTGTTTTGCACAAAAAAATTTTTTGAGTGGGTTTTCGAGTGAACTGTCTTTGCTCGCCACCTACTCACATTCTCGCTATGCATCTTCCTTACCGGCCGAGATATACGGAAGACAAAGAGAGAGAGAGAGAGAGAGAGAGAGGTAGTGATGGGGGGCAAATTTTGCCGAAACGACACAACTCATTTTGCTGATGGCAATTTGTCGCCGCGAGACCATACTCCTTGAATTTCAGTTCCAAAGCCCCCTAGGCAGGATTTCAAGCCTTCTAGAAGTCTCGATGCTCCTTTAAATAATAATCTTCGTCACGAGACCATCCGAGGACTTTTGCGAAACCTTCAAATTTTTTTTGAAGACCGAATTTTGGGTCTTGTTGAGAAAATACTGTAATGAGACTCAGCAGTTTTTTGGTGAAATTTTCGAAATTATCGTAATTGATTTAAAGGAGCATCGCATTTTTTTTGGCAAATCTTGTCGTTCACTTTTTGCATGATCCTTTAAAAAAGTCGAAAAAGTTATTTAGGCGTGAGATTGTTTTGAATTTCGCGCCAATTTTCATTATGTTGAATTGTCAGAGAATTCATTAAAAATAATCAATTGTGTGCAATTTTGCGTGCGCGTGTATGCACACATTTCCCCCGTCGAGAAAATGAACCGTCTTTTTTTTTTAAATTTTTCTGTAACGAATAGAAATCCATTTCAAAGGCACATGAAGCTTTAAAGGCGCATTCCATAATTTCTTCGTTTCTTGAGGATTACCTAAGTCGACTAAATAACAGCTGACCATTAATTAACCTGGCGTTGGTGGTGTGTTGGTGTCTGGTGGCGTTGGTGCACACCGACACCAATCGCTCGCCTCGCTTTTTATTAGATTTGCCGTCGTATTCATGTTTTTCAATGTCTGCCAAGCCTCCGTTTCGCCCAACCCCCAATTCGGCATTTGGGACCCTGTCGTTTCCAATTTGGGCCCGCGAAATTGTCCGCAGATTGACATTAATAATAGAGACGAATTGCGGTGACATGGGGGCCAATTCCAAAAATTGAAAAAAAATGTCTCTCATTGAAACGCTTATAATTTTGCGAAATTTTGATGGTAAAAATGGGATTCGAATCAAAAATTTTTGAATTTTTTGTTTTGAATCGCTCCCCAGAATCCGAAGTCCAGGTGATGCTCGCTCCATGGTCAGCATTGCCCCGCTGCGTCTCTAGCCAACGTCTGTTTCTCATCAGCCAACTTCTATTCATTCAGCTTCTCCTCTATCGATTCGCCGTGGGCCGCAACCAGCGGCGAGGCAGTGTGTCGATGGCGAGAGACGCAGACACATCCGACGTCGTGCTCGGACTCGTCCACATTTTCGCCTAGTTTTTTCCATTGTTTTTCCTTGCCTCGTTTAGTTCGCCTGTTTTTGGACCCCCCCCCCCTCAACCCATAAAACCGATTATGAGCGTCGGCCCCACAATATATGATCATCTCCTTACATGTCATTAATCGTTGAATTGGATTGCCTGGAATAATTGCCCCGTGAATTGTCCGCATATGAATTTGGTTGAATATCGCAAAATGGATCGCAAATTTCAGATCATGATGATTGTTTTTATTTTTTTTTTTTGAATTTCAGAAGGCTACAAAATTCGGTGGCATCATGAGAAGACACTACTAGAAGGACGAAACGATTGAGTCATGGGCTTCTATCATCACTTATCATTATTATTATTATTAGTTGTGAGCTTCATCTCGCTTATTAATGGCTTCAATAAAACGAGCATCGAGGAATGCTCGCGGCTGCTCAGCGAGCACTTCAAAGAGACGTATCGCAAGATTTCGCACGAGGAGATTCTGCGAAAGGTAGGCGATGTGAGAAAATTGAATATCGAATTTCGGAATGCCGACAATTATGTGATGAAAATATTTAAAAATCGAACGTATAATATTGATTTTGTCAAAAAACAATTTTTTAATCTTGAAAGAATGAGAAAGTTACGGATTTCTTGGCGAGACACCGAACAATAATTTTCATGTGCCTTGAAATTGGGGTACTGTAGAAAATATATTTTTCGAAAAATTTCCCATTGTCTTCGATTTTTTCAGTGTTCTTTTAATATTTTTAAGCAATTGTTTTCAGCTGATGAAATTTTGTTTTCTACCTAATGAAATAAATTTTAGAACTATGAAAAGCTCGTCGTTGAGGAGGAATTCGACCCGCGCGTCGAATTAAAACGAAGTCAGCATCGAATTGAAGATTATCTCAAAGTTAGGTCACAGTTCGCATATGTAAGAGCTTAATCTATTGAAAATGTTAAAAGAATTATTTTTAGAAGGCAAAAATCTCACTAGAAGCGCGATCAGTGCGAAACGACACGGGTGTCAATGATCCGCAATCAAAATCGTTTATCAGATTCATGTCTGCGAAGCAGGGTAACGCCCGCAGATGGAAATAGTAATCGTAATGAATTTCTAGGTAACGATGGCACAACAATATACGAAAGTAATCATTTCGGAAAGAAGATCAAAGTCAACGAGACGCGATCATTCAATTTAACGCAAAACGCAAATTTCTACACACTTCCGACATCGTTGGCATCGTCGGCTGTGCACATTCCGACGCCATTATACGATAGAAGTAAGATTTTTGGCAAATTTGATTTCAAAAATGCCGATTTACTGATTTTGCGATTCTGGAAATTGCTGGTTTTGATTCTTTTATTTTTAGCTAAAATTGTTTTTGTTTTCAAAAATGCACAAAAAAGTGCAAAATCGAAAAAAAAGAAAAAATCTAGATTAGATTCATTGTTTTGTAAAATATTCCGAATAAAAATCTCAAATTTTAGACGAGGATTTGCTTCGAAAAATCGACTGGTCCGACATTGACGCCGTTTATCGTACGAATCGCGACGAGACCAAAGATCTCGCATTCCAATTGTTCTGCTCGGAAGCCGGCTTCATGCGCTACTACCCGGCGGCCTCATGGTTCTGGGACAACCAGGACGAATATTTGGATCTGTTTGATTGCCGCAATACCGAATGGTACATCAATTCGGCAACCAACTCGAAAAATGTGCTTTTAATGTTGGATATGTCAGGTGATTCATTTTTTGGCGTTGAGAAATTTGTGGTTTTTTTTTCAAAGCTATAATATCCGAATATATATTTTTGAATACAATTTTTGTCAGGTTCGATGCTCGGCCAGAGATATGAAGTGGCGAAGCAGACGACCGAAGCGATTCTCGAAACATTGTCGCACAATGATTATTTCAATATTATGATGGTGAGTGGCAGGAATTGGATGGAATTTGCTATTTTTCTGATTTTTTGAAGAAGTCTTTAAAAAATATCGCCATTTATTATCGATGTTTGCAGTTTTCCAAGAATATCCACCTTCTGGACTCGTGCAACGGCACCAACGGCCTTCTACAAGCAACAATGCGCAACAAGAAAGCGCTTCGTCGTCGAATGGACGGCTACTCAAGTGAAGGAAAAGCTGATTATGAGCCGGCGTTGACGCTCGCCTTCAAGCTTCTTCTCGGCGTGAGTTTCATATTTCGCCCCTCTCGCTAAACGAATCGATTCTCCCTCGAAAATCGCCACCCGATTTTCAAGAGAAAATTCATGTTTCGTCGTGTTTTTGTGTGCTGCTGCGCCTGATGGCTTAATTTTTGTTCTAGGTGCCGCTTCAAGCTTTACTAATTTGATTTGCGCTAATTTTTCTTTTCGCTGAAGAGAGACTCGAAAATTTTGTCAGCTTGATTTTGTGGCGAAATTTGGGGATGTTGAATTGAGCACTAACAAACATCTTTAAAAAATGTGAATATTTTCAAAAAAAAAAATCATTTTTAATTGAGAAACGCTTTTTGTGCCGTAATTTTGACAGAAAAAAAATTTAAAAATTTGCAGATTTTTGTGAAATTTTTTGAAAAATTTTTCACTGTGAAAATATTGCTGAAAATTGAGTTTGGCTAAAGTTGAAGAAGATTTGAAATCCCGTAATTTAGTGGAATTTTTTGAGAAAAAACGTTCCGAAAATTCATTTTCAGCCAATTTTTCGTCAAAAAAACTCCCAAACAACGGAATTGGGAATTTTCCGAAAAGTTTGGTTTTTGAACTTGAAAGACCCCCAACATTTATTTTTGCAAACACGAATTGTTGCTCTTTCCGACTGGAATTCTTACTCAATTTTCAGATTTGAATTTGAACGTACCAAAAATCGATGTTTGTGATTCGAAAAATAAATAATTTATATAATAAAAGGATATTTTCGCTAAATTTTCAGTTTTTGAGCTTAAATTCTCAAAAAATGGAAATCAAAAAATTAAAATTAAACCAAACGAGAGAAAAATAAAAAACCAAACCGCTCTCACCCATCGCTTCTGCTTTCAATTATAATTTGCATTTCAATGATGATGATGATGATTTCGGGGGGCAACGGGGGGCTTTATGTTTTTTGTTGGCTTCAGCTTAAAGGCTCCTATTCGCTTCACACCAAAGAGGAGATGTCGATGATGAGCGCCAACGAGACCGCCGAGCATCCGTTCCACGTGGTTCTGCCCGAGCACGTGCTGACCGCCTCGAAACAGTATATTGACTCGGTAAATGCTTCCAGCTTCGGTATGCCTGCCCCACCCATGTGTTGTTCAGCTTCGTCTTCCTCTTCTTCCTCTTCGGTTCTCACCCGCATGCTCGCACGCAACGCTTTTCTCTCCAAAATTGTCGTGTCCTTTTTTTTCGGTTTTGATCTACCCATGCATGAGATTTATATTTTGTGATGATTTCCCAAGATGTTTTCTTCCTTTTTTTATCCGCTCAATTTTTTTCCGTGAAAAACCCGCGCAAAAATTCAGATCAATAATGGAGGTGAGAATAATCGGGGAGCTTGCGAGCATGTCATCATGCTCATCACCGACGGTGCTCCTAGCGATTATGAGAAGATCTTCCAACTTCATAATGCCAATAAGAAGGTACGGTAGGCGTCACACGCGCACTCGGCAAAATTCCAAATTCAGGTTCGAGTTTTTACGTTTTTGGTTGGCGATGAGGCGATCGATTTCGACGAGGTCCGCAAAATGGCGTGCAACAATCGAGGATATATGGTCCATGTCGCGAATATGGCCGATGTTGATGAGAAGATTCAGGTGGGCGCACACAAAGAAGCGTTTTTTTAAAGAAGAAACTAAAACTAAATTGGTAGATCAAAAAAATTTTGAGAATCAGAGCAAGTTCGTGAGGTTTAAAAAATGGCTCATGACTCAATTCTCAAAAAGTTTTTAATGAAAATTTGTTTTTTTTTTTATTTGTAAATCATATTATCGAGTATAATCGGCGTCCGGCGACTGATGTACGCGGGTAGATTTACGGACATGCGCCTTTCAAGATGGTCTCGCCACACACAAGAAAGGCATGCCCGTAAATCAACCCGAGAACAACAATCGCTAGACGCAGACAATACTTGCACGGCAATTTTTTGGCGGGGGAGAATTGGTCTTGAGCCGAATTCAAGGATTACTGTATATTTACTATTGTGTCGCTCGTTCGAAATGTCACATAAACTTGCTCCAGTCAGCTGCGCTCTGATGGGAATTCGAGTAAATTGCCAGTTGTAGATTTACGAATTTTCGATTTTGACGCAAAACTTTGAAAAAAATGAGTCATGCGCCCAAATTTTTGGAAAAGTTTCCCGTTATTTTCCCACAATTTATGAGCTGATGGCGACGATTGGACCCGCAATACTGTCCGCAGCATGAGCATCGCATTTTCAGCATTACATTCGGCGAATGTCTCGCGTCGTCGGCCGACACTACAAAGAATCCGGACAGCTCTCGTGGTGGACTGGTGTGTACAGAGAGCGACTGGTAAGAATATGGGAATCGGGACGGTCTCAATAAGGATTCGTTACAGTACCTGCCAAGACCGGAAATTTTCGCCGAACCTGTGCCGATCACGAATCAATCGTTTGCCGTCATGAACAAGATGGCATCGAAGAGGGTAAGAGAATCTTTCTATTACCGTAACCCGCGGATTACTGTAGAGTGTTTTGTTTTTTTTTTAGAAAATCCGACTCCAAAAAACCGAGGCGAGAAGTCGAATGTTCGTTACGACAGTATCGTATCCGGTAATCGTTAACGAGACATTCATGGGAGTCGCCGCTGTGAATATTCCATTAACGGAAGTTGCCCAGAAATCGCATCCTTCCAACGTAAGCCACATTTTGTCGCGTTTCTCGTGAATCTGAAAGCTCGAAGATTTCAGATCGGGGCCAAAAGCTATTTTTTCATGCTCGATCAGAATGGATTTGTCATGGCGCACCCGCAATTGAGACCAATTGTAAATAATTGCGAGCAAATTTCGCCGCGTCAAATTCGCATTTTCAGGATCCCGTAACGAAATACCATAAGCAAAACTATAATAATATGGATTTGTTGGAATTGGAAGTCGCTCAGAGTCATTCGGTAAATTCTTCGATGTGTCGCTTGATTTTTTTTGTTTTTTTTCTCGCTTTGTAGATCAGATCAAGTCAGAAGACGAGTGAAGTGTCGAATTTGGCGTGTGAAAGTGGCATGGGTTATGCGGATTGTGTTGAGGAATTGAGAAAAACGGTAATTTCCTTTTTTTTAAACCATTTTTGGGAATATTACCAACTTGTCACATTTGTTTCTTAAAATTCGAATTTCGCCGGTTGTCAATTAGTGGGTCCCGTAGGTAGCATAAAATTCGTAATTTGAAAATTTTGTAAATTGCCAAAAAATTATGTTATTTTGTATTATGATGGTTAAATTAATACCATGGTATGAAAAAAAAAACGAGCACTTTGATGCTTGGGGTGCTCGCTTTTTTAAAAATTCTGATTGTATTAAATATAAATCGATTCTAAAAGTTTTTCGGGAAAATGAAATGGTAAGTCAATCGCAACCCGAACTATATAAAATATATCTGAAAATTGAATAAGTTTTGCCTTTTTTTCGGTTGCGTTGTGTTGGTTTTTTTGATTTAAAAAACAACAGAGTTTTTTTGTTTTTGAAATTGTGCCAAATTTAAAGGTTCGAAAAATGATGATTGAGTGCGATAATAGCGATGTTCAACAACTCGATATTTTATTCGCCACCGAAACATTGGATCGCGTCTATCCGCAAACGAACACTTATTATGCCGAATGCATCGGACACGCCAATTTTGTGTAAGTTTTGATCATTATGCGCCTTTAATGGGGGGTCTTGTGCTGTGTATCTACCCGCGACAGGTTTTCCCGGACTTCCGGGAAATTAAGCTTCAACGAGTCCCGGGTTCCGGGTAATATTTCTCGGGAAACCTGGTCCCCGGGAAGACCCGATTCACGGTGCCCAAATTCCCACTGTTTAAATTTCGATTTGAATTATCGCCTCGAAAATTGTGCAAGTGGCTCGTTTTTTTTTTGCGATGAAATTACATACATATAAAAGTGAGAAACAGTGGAAAAAAGCGACTAGAAAAATGCAAATCAATATCGAAATTTTGATTCGATTGTTGTAAGAGTTTTGAGACAAAATTCAAGCGCAGAGTAGACATTTGAATATTTGTGAAAAAAAAAAACAATGAAATTTCTTGAATTACATAGTTTCAAGAGAATTTCAGGCTTGGACTCGCAATTGCGAAAGGCGACGACACTCGAATTGTGAAAAAACAAAAGAAATACGATTTTGGACGAGTGAAACTAGATTGGATGGCTGATAAGCGATGGAAATTGCATCCGCATTGGTAAAAGCCATTTTTGGGAATATAGGGACGATGCTGATTTTCGACAAATTCTAGGCGGTACTGCTTTTTGAATGACACCGACACCAATATTTCGAAAGAGGAAGCGTTTGAGATCTATGCGACACAAATGACGCAGACTGGTTGGTGTGATTTCAGCGACGTCTGAAATCGCGTTTTTCATTCCAGGCAAATGCCCCCATTTATGCGAATATCGCCGAAATCTTGTGGAGAAGCTTCTTCTCGATCTTGAAGCGACTAGTAATCTTGGAGACAGCTGGGATACTCAATATCAATTTATGAAGAAGTGAGTAATTGAGAGATTACAGTAGACGAACGTACGACCTACTTACAGTAATCTAATTCATTTGGCGTTTATCGCGACACCGTCGGGAATGATTCGGTATTACAATTTGACGCTTGATGATTATGATTATGTCGATACGCGTTGGAGCATATTGGATCGGATTGGATTGTGGATATCGATTGAGCAGGCCCAGGAGTCTTATAATCATTTTATAACGGATTTGAATCGAAAATCGACGGATGATCGGTTTTATCGGCGAGCGGTTCGAATGAAGGACACGATTGTTTTCGATGTGTCCAATAATTGTGAGAATTTATTTTATTTTTTTTTTTGGGTGGGGCTCTTGATTTTGAGGATGTCAAATTAGAATATTTTCAATTTTAAAAAGGGAATTTTAATGTTACTTTTTCGGAAATTTGAATGCCTAAAAAAAGAAACGTTCTAAATCTGAGATTTTCAGCGAAAATTTGGTACAAATCGTCGGAAAAAGATACCGCCTATGGGCACAATGAGAATATGACGATGCTCGGACAGGCTTTTAAGACGATTAAGCTCAAAAATGCGGTTTTGGGTGAGATTCTTTTTTGTGGAATTTCATTTAAATGAAATTGTGCGCTTTTAGGAGTCGCCGGCTTCGAATTCGCCTATGATTATATTGTGGAAACGCTTGCTGAGCATGGTTGCGCGCCGTCGAACGATCGCAAATGGTGTCTGTTGCTCGATGAGCACGCCTATGTATTTTATAGCAATAATGAGGAGATCCGCTACGAGGATTATCTTGCGGTAAGCTTGAAAAATCACACATTGAGTTTTGCCTTTTTTCTTTCAAGGGTCAAGGCCTCCATATTGGTTTGTATTTTGGCGGTTTGAATCGGGTTGCTCAGCGAGCCATGGAGCTTCTCGTCGAGAACAAATTCTATACGAAGTTCACATATACCGATCATCAGGCGACATGTCGGTCGCCGAAGAAAGTTGTGATGTCGGCGACGAGATATCGGGTAGGAGCTTCGGGGGGTGTTAATGGAAATCTCGATGGTTTCGGGCAAATCCTCATTGAAACATCAAAAAAATGTATAAAATATGGTACGATAGCACGAATTACATTACTGTAGCAATATTTTGACGTTCACAGTCCAACGTAACCCAAACTAGTGTGTAATCTGGAGCGAATTTGGATTATTGTCATGCGCCTTTAAAATGCGGAATTAAATTTCGGCAAAATGTTCAAATGAAAAAAAAGTTGTGTACCGTAATCCATACTACTATAGAAATGATTATAATAAAATAGTGCTAGCCCGAATTACGGTAGCAGTTGTTCAACTGTGTATTAATTTCAGCCCTACCAGGCCGCCTTGCAGTACTTTATGCGAATTGCTCGATATTTGTGGAGATTCGCGTCGACAATATTTGGAGGATACCTCACTTGGGTCCCGCAACTACCATATCTTCATGGTTTTTTTTTTGCATTTTCTCTAAAATTTTTTTTAATCCTAAATTTTCAGCTTATACTGCTTCATTCCATGAGGGAAACGATGTCTACCAGTGCGCGAAAGCTTCAACGTTTTATTTTACGAATAAGGATGGGAAGAATCGGCCGACGGGCACCCATTTGGTTGGGAATCATCGATCCGAGAGGCCGTGCAAAATGAACTCGAAATGCTCGGTGTAAGCTCAAAATATTTTGTGATTTTTCTGATTTGAATTGCTCAAATTCAAGGAAAATGGAAGCCTCGTATGTGGAGGGAACGAATTTGCTGATGGTTTGGATCAATCAGGACAAGGACAGCGAGAATTGCTATGATGAAACGCAGTGCATGATGGATTCTGACACAAAAGTAGGAGATTCGCGACGATTTTTTGACGAAACTGACGATTTTTAGGTGCCGTTTGGCTTCAAAGAAGTCAAAGGCGATGAAGACACTTGTCAGGATACGGAAAAACGGAAGAGTAAAGCGAACGATGTTTGCTATTCGATTTTGGACGACGATTCTGAGGTAAGACCACCAATTTTTGTTATTTTTGAGTCTTGTGTGGAAAAAGATGAGAATTTGCGCCTTTAAAAATTTTCGGCTATGATTTTTCCCTTGAAAATGTCATGTGAAAATAAAAAGAAAATTTGTATTCAAAAAAATCGGTTTTTCAAAACTAATAATTTCCTAAAAATATTGAATATCCTGGATTATTTCTTCAGAATGAACGTCGACCTTGCTCGCCGAGCTCACTGCCATCAGCTATTTTGGCAATAATCATCACTATTTTTGCCTTATAATTCGTGAACGCCAATCTTTCAATCAATTAGGAACCCGATTTTTTTGTTCAATAGAAATATATCAAGTGCCCTTTCACATTTCAGCCAGTGATATTCTTCTGATTTCGCCAAATCAGCACCAACTCCCCACCAAAAAATTGTCTTCTTTTTCTCATCACTTAATTTCCGTTTTTAATCTATTTTTTGATTATTTTCTTCATTTTTTTTAAAGTTTTTTTTTTCATGAAAAACGGGTTTTTATTTCATATAAATATTGATTTTTTTCGATGAAAATTGCAAAATTCGGAAAATCCCAAAAAAGCTGATTCTTGAAAAGAGCTATAATAAATAATTGGCTGGAATTTCGAATCCCCATTTCGAACGATGTGCGATGTGTGGCCGCCGATTTCAAAGATCGAATCAAATATGACATTCTCGCGTCATTTTAATTTTCGCATCAAATTTCCGCGACATCTCAAGATTTAATCATGTCGAATTGACGTCATTTCGAAAAATTTTGGCGTTTTCGGAAACGGGAGTTCAATTATTCAATTTTTACCGCCAAAAAAAATGAAATTGTGAAAGGCGATCGTGCCAAGACCTTCTACAGTAATCATCCTTTTTTCTGTTTCGAAGTCGACTTTTCTTTCAAAGAACCATAATAGTATAAAACTGCTATAATATATATATAGTATAAAATTGGAATCAAACTGTAAAGACGAGATGTGCGGGAGATTTCTCGATTTTTCCTGGGGGTTCAAGCAAAGACTACTGTAGATTTTCAAGGTACATGTGGAATAATTGTGGACAATCGCACTTTTTCGAGGCGGCGGTAATTCAAATTCAAATTTAAACAATGGCAATTCGGATGACCTGCGAATCAAACTCGCCGTAAATATAAAAAATTATTTTAGAAAAAAATAATATTGTTGGAAAATGACAAATGTATCCAGGTGTCGTAGGATCTTGCGTTTTGTACGCAATGCTAAGAGACAGTTACCGTAATCCTTGCAGCGATTTACGGGGACTTTTTTTTAATTTCGCATATTCATTTTTTTTATTTTTCGTTCAATTTTTTTAAATTTTCTTTCGAAATTTTTTAATTTAAATTTTTAAATTTTGCAGAAACTGAGTTTAAGAATGTATTTAGCAGAATAATCACTTTTAAACGATATTTTTTTGGTAAAAACAACAGAGATTAAAAAGAAATCATTTTTGTCGTTAATAAAATTATTTAATCGTATTTTGCTTTTTGTATGCGTTTCTATTATCTTGTTTTTGTATTCTTCATTTTCAAAATAATTTTTAGAGCGACAAAATCTTTACAATAATTCCCAACTCAACTGGACAAATGGAAAGTGCATATTCTGAAAAAAACAATAATTAAACTCCGTTTCGACAGGTTTGAAATCAAAAATTTCAAAAGAAAATAAGAAAATACAGCAAAAAAATGAAAGAAAATATAAAAAAAACTCAAGATTACGGTAACTGGGATCATCGCATTGCGTACAAAACGCAGGATCCCACGACACCTGGGATACATTTGTCATTTCTGAACAATTTAAAAATCGAATTGATGGTTTTGAAGAAAATTTTTTCTGCGACTGAAAATCCAAAAAAAAAACCCCGTCCACTCAGGAAAATTGAAAAGCAATCATATTCCAATTCAGTGTAGAATTACTGTCAATTTATCGGCGTATGGTATAATGCAATGTACGCAGTCTCGCATGTACTTCCATTGCCGAAATCTAAACTCCAGAAATGGTCTTGAGATAAAAAAAAATTGAATTTGGCATTCGAGTTATTGGATGGAGGGCGTCGTGTACTTCACACGGAGATGTCCGCGCGCGTAAATCGACACCCACGTTGCGAGACCCTTTGATTTCAAATTTTGCGATTTTCCAACGAAAACTACCCATTGGCACATCGCCAATAATTTTTTAATTCAAAAAACCTGTCAATTTCGGGTACCCAGCCCTCAAGCAAAATTGGAAATGGATTTTCGTCGAATCACGTCGAAAATATTTGCGAATTTGAATTCATTTCATATATTTGGAGAGTAAAATGAGCGAATTGTTTGGAATTCTTCTGATAATTGCCCAAATTTGGAATGTGGCGTCGAGAAATTACGAGCTCGTCACGAGATTCTATGTGGAGGAGCACCGATTTCCCTACTGTTTCGCGCCGAGTCTCAAATTTGATGATATCGTACCATTCGACAAGGTTTATAGATGCGATGGTTGCTTTAATCTCAAGTGAGTTGATCCTGATCCGATCCGATCCGCTCATGGCGATTTAAGGATTAATATGAGCGATTGGAACGCTGATGAGATCGAAACGTTTGGAAAATTCATTCTCGGTTTCCGCGGCTGCACAATCTACTTGACAAACTCGAATGCTTCGGTTCTTCAATTCCCAAAATTGAAAACGGCAATCAACACGAAATTCTACATCACTGGAAACAACGAATTGGAGACGATTGTGTTCCCTGAAAGCGTTCACGTGGAAAATAATTGTGAGTTGTGCACATTGGCGTCGGGTGTTGCGCATTCGGTGCAAACACCTTGTCTGACTTTTCATTTTCGAATTAAAAATTTCTTTTCATTATTTATTACTTTCTCACTTTTTATCTCGAGTTTTTTTTTTAATTTTTCTGAAAAAAAGTGAAAGAATAATTAAATTGTATAATATAATAAATTAAATGCTTTGAACAAGAAAAACGCAACAAATTTCTGCTTCGAAATCACTAAATTAGATTAAACTTTTTTTTGGTATTTTCTTGAACTTTTAAGTTTGTCTATTTATATTTCTTGGTTGCGATTTGAAAAAAATTAAAATATTTGATTTAAATGAAAAAAATGCATTTTTTTTTTTGCTGAATTCTTCGATTACTTTACCACGTTTTGCATCGCTGAATATCGAAAAAAAAGCAAATTTCAGATCCTTGCATATTTGGACAATATTGACTCATTGCAGCTGTCATCGTCGTCAACAATCCAACGCTGAGCGATGACGAACTCGAAAAAATCAAAAAACTGTGCGCCGCCGGTGGCGAGTGCGACTTCGTGTTTCCCGAAACTCCGGCACCGCCGTCAGCGATTCCGAGCACCGTCTCGCCGAGCACCGCCGCGTCGACGAAGCCCGACGAAACCGTGAAACCGCAAATACCCGAGGCGTCGTTCTTGCCGATCACCGAACCCGCGAATCAGAAACTCTGCTCGAATGGCCACTGCGCAACAATGCCAACACCAGACGCTCAATGTAATCCGAAATTTTTGAATGTGAAAAAGAATAGTCGAAACTATCAAATCAATTTCAGATTCGACTGGAATTCGTGCCGCAACGAACCTACTCACCCCAATTTTCTTCATTTTCTCACGTCTCGTGTTCCCATAAAACAATTTGATCTTTGGAATCGTTCCAGTTATCGTCAATTCGAATCAAGCACAATGTAGTTTCGGAGAATCCAATATCTTGATGTTGTTCAACAAATTCACGAGGTCAACTACAATACATTCCGTTTTTTTTTCTTTTCGCTGAACTGATTGTTCCGCTCACCGTCTAGAGTGCATATCCGGGGAAAATGACCGAGAATTCGGGCGGGCGTTGTGTAATTCTCGCGTCGGATGCTTATCGCTTTGGCGAGTTTGAAAATTCAATGATGTTTTGTTTGTGCTGCTTCTTCGAGTGACGTGCATTTACCGTAATTCGTGTGCTCTTCAAATCGACTAATTGAACAGAAACGCGTAACGAGACCATATTCAATTTTCTAGTGAGCCCATTTTGAAAATAAACGTCCGGAATTAAGAAATATTATTAAAATTAAAGAAAATGTTTTTTTTCACCAATGCTTGAATAGGTTTTTTAAGAATTCGTCGATTCATCTACTCTGGTAACTCGAAACCAATCGGATCCGACAAAATACGGTCCCGGAATCAACCTTATCCGATTGGTAATTCTACGGATAAGATTGGAATATTGTCGGATCCCATTCAAATTGAAAGAAACGGATTCGAATAATTACCAATTGGATTCGAAGAAAATCTAATCGGATCCGACAAATTTCCAATCGGATCGGATTGATTCCGGTACCGAATTTTGTCGGATCCGATTGGTTTTGAGTAACCAGAGTACAGACTATCGCAATAATGAACCTATTCATGCAATGAAAAAAATTTTTCATCAATTTTTTCCATTTGCATTCCCCAATTGATACATCTTAATCCTCCGCTATTTATTTTCAAAGGTGCACGCGAAAAGTTGACGCGGATCTCGTCGCGAAGTCGATACTGTAATTTTTTTTGTGTACAGTTTTTCGAACATTTTGAAGAGGAAAATGAGTAACGGATTGAGGAAAGACAAAAATAAAAACAATTATTGGTATAGTTACTCCTAATTAGACAATATATGTCTATTTTCCGTTTTTAAAAACGCTCAAAAAATTCCAAAAAAAAAAACAGCCATTATAAAATACAGTTCACACAACTTTCAAATAAACCAATAGGATGTATTTTAGACCTTTAAATTGTTGGAAAGGTTCTTTAAAGGCGCACATCGTACTGCAAAAAGACATAAGAAGTCTAACAAAAAAACCGGATTTGAAATATTGGCTGGATATCGGTTATTCGTGTGTTCGGTTTCATCATATTGCACCGGCCATCAAAAAAAAAAAAAACAGATTTGTCATTCCCAGTCAATAGCAACAATTCACACACACAAAAAAAGTTGGCAAATAATCATTGTGATTCGGCTCTTCTTTTTCCCACTCTGGGCTTTTCCATCTGTGTGCCTTTAAGTACGGTCTTGACGCTCTTGTTGATATTTCTATATATGGGTTTCGAAGCGATGTCTTACTCAATGCCATTTTAAGAAGTGTCGCCAACCCGATAGTCTCATCAATATTGTTTGAAACTTTGAAAATCGCTCGCCGCCTCCTCACCAATGCGCCTTTAAATCGCGTCTCATCGCGATTTATTCTTTTCATCTTCATTTTTTGACGCTTTGCCAAAAAAAAAGAACCGAATTTGCTAGGCTTTCCGACAAGCATGATCTCCGCGAACTTCTGTCCAAATCTTGATTTCACGTTCAGAAGATCATTTCCTTGATCCCATAGGATTTGAACAGATTTCGCCAACAAAAAAAACCCCCTGAATCGCAAATCTTTTGAGAATCAATGTTCCTTTGAAAAATGTATATATCGCGGAGTTTTGTTCTAATTCTAGCAAGTGCGCTCAATTGCGATAATTCGCTTTTATTCAAAACTAAAATTTCAAAACGGTGGCTTGTGCGAATTGTCGTCGAATCGAGTGCATTGTCCGCAGTGAGTTCGAATTTGGTTTGGCAAAAAATCGCCGAATCAAACGCAAAACGATAGCCTTCTAGGCGATTGTTGAGAAATCCAGAATTCCGGAAACGCAAAATATCATCATCGCTTTCATTTCATTTATTTTCGCAAGTTGGCCTCACCACCTCCATCAATGTCCGCAGCTAGATTCGCACATACACTTCATCGAGAAATGAAACATCAGAATCGATCGCTCAGCAATCTTGATGATGTTTCAAAACAAAAACTACCGTAACCGTCCGCTTCCTTCCCAATTCTCGCTTATCGCATTGATTATTTCGTTCTTTTTTCGAGCCGCCTATCGCATTCACGGCGTTGGCCAGTTTTGATCGAAAAGCATCAACAATGCGATGCGCGGGTCGCACTTCTTCTCGCTTCCATTCAATCATTTTTGTGGTACCATCGATGTCTTACTGTAGCGATTTAAAGGATCATGCCGTTTTTCTCGACTTGCAATCCGTTTCACCGAATTATTGGTGTTGTTGTTTTTTTTCTAACGGTGACCGCACAATTTATTCGTCATTTTTTTTTCGGGGTCCTAAAGCGAACTGAATATTTCTAGATATTCAAAAATTCGATTTCAAAGGAACATCCTCATTTGGTCTTCACAAGACAGTTTCAAGGCGCATTTAGTTTTTTTTTTTTTTGAGCAGAGCTTCTTCTCTTTGCTAATTTAAAGGCGCATACGCGTACCGTATTTGGTCTCGTCGAGTTTTGACCTATCGTAACCTCACATTATCCATTTTCCGGTTTCGTTAAGTCCATCCATTCAATAATTCAAATGTCAAATCCATTTTTTATCTATGCGCCTTTAAAATTGTCCTGCTTCATTCTCACTTTCAGATCTTCAATGATGACATTTGTTGGGCGCCAAAAAAAAAATGACGAAAAGAAAATGATGCGCCTTTAAATTGGTCCACTGCCGAGATGTTGTGTGGAGATCGCGAACGTTTCGAGGTAAATCGTTTTTGAAAAAAAGAAAAACAGTTTCGAGCTGTCTATGCGCCTTTAAAAATTCCGAAAGTGCTCTCAAGAGTTTCTTCTCGAAGGAACCAATCCTTCGTCAAGACCACCGATTAAAGGCGCATAACAATTGTTTTGTTTTTTTTTTCTGATTGTTGAGCGACACTTCGAGAACGTTCCTCCTACCGTAGTCGGCCAAGGTTCTTCCGATCAAAGAGAAAAAAAACCGGGCGCTACGGTAGGCGCTGCCGGTCATTTCGATCTCGATCTCGCACCAAAACATTCGTTGCGACGGCGACGAATCGTTCGGAATGTTTCAAAACGCAAAAATATTTGTCCGCAGCATGAATTGCTCAAATACACAGATTCATTTCCCCCCCCCCCCGATGCACATTGCTCCAACGATATTAGCCACCAAATTTTTTTCTTGGCATCGAGACGCTCAGAACGGCTCTCGATTCTTTTTTTTTTAACTGATCCCCCTCATTTCATTTTTAAAGGCGCATGGCGTCAAAAAAAAAATTGATTTTTGATTTTTTGCCCTCCGAAATTCATATGAGCAGATTTTGTTGGCCAGCCTTCGACAACCTGCTCTTTTCATAATTTTCCAGATGTTTATTTCTTTTTTCTTTTTTTTTGGTTTGTCTGATTTGGGAGGGGGGTATGTTGTGGTTTGAACATTGTCGATTCCGCCAAACTCCGACGTTTATCTCAAAAATCAATCATTGATCTTTTAAGCTTCACGCAACCAGAAAATCTTGTGTGCGTTCAAAATGTGTCGATTGGATATCCGAGATCCGATATCCATGAAAAACGGAGGTCCCCCCCCCCTCTCTCGCTGTCAAAACCAACTTGGGCCTTGTTTTTATGGCGAAACAACAAGGCGAGAAAAAAACTGGTCATCGTAATGGCGATGATGACTCGTTGTGTTGGCAAACACACCGAAATGATTGCCAAGAAATAAAAACGAAGGTGTTGAACTTTCCCTTCTCTCTCTCTCTCTCTCTCTCTCTCTCTCTCTCTCTCTCTCTCTCTCTGTCATTCGGCTGATGATGACTCACCAACGGCTTTCACCTTTTTTTTCGTTTCGTTTCGCTTCGTCGATTCGGTGTGTAAATAAGAGGCTACACGGTAGAAACCACTTATATATATATATATATGGTTGGCGTCCGTCGACTTCTGTACGCGGGTAGATTTACGGGAACGCGTCTTTCGAAATGGTCCCGCAAGGACAAACTGGTTATTTCGCAATTTATGGGTCAGTTCGATAATTTTTTTAATCGAACGACATTTGAAATTCCAAGAAATGCCTAATTCATCAAGAAAAATGAAGCAGTTCACGTGAAAACAGAAAAATAAGCATTCACGCGTGGCGGGACCTTTTCAAGGCGCATGCGCGTAAATCTACCCGCCTACAGCAGTCGCTGGACGCCAACTATATATATATATATATATATATATATATATATATATATATATATATATATATATATATATATATATATATGGGAGACACGAGTGTAGACATCGGAGGCGAAATTGTCCGCAGATGAGAAATGTGAAATTTTCAAGCATTCGCGTGCCTCATTTTTTCTTGAACCGCTTTTTTTTTCTGCTCTGAGAAGCGTGAAAAACGAATTCGAAATTGTCCGCAGATGGGAAATGTGAAACTCTTGAAATTTTTTGTGGCAAATGTTCGCAGTGCGCCTTTAATCTATTCTTTCACTTGCACCCGTAAATCTACACTTTTGACTTGGAGCAAAAATGGCTCATGAAAGAATCTTTTTTTTGAAGTTTGAATTGCCGCCAAAATTGCAGCGTTTTCATTTTTTTGGTCTTTGATTTTTGTTAATAGTATTTAGAGGCTTCAAAATTCCGAATAGCGTTGGAAAAAATTTTAAAAACAAATTAAACGTGAAACTGTCCGTGTGGAGTACACAGCGCGCCTCTCAAGCTCGGCATAAAAAATCCGCCAGCGAAAATTGTCGGCAGATGCGATTTGCTAAACAACCCGAATATGTTGTCTCGAGATGAATGGTGCTCATCGAGAAATTGTCCGCAGATGATTCCACTCAATCCCAAAACACACGAATCGAGGGTTGATGTATGAATCTAGAAATAAAATATCTGATGGTCTTCTGAACACCTTCGTGCTGGCGAAAAACACCGCTCCTTGTGTGAAACGGTTCACATGTTTGTGTATTGTACGCGGTAGATCAAAGTACGCAAAAATTGCTGAATGTGTTGGACGCGCGACGATGGAATGAGGCGGAGTCGAGTCGATCCAAATACGGTCAGATTAACATCGATTCGATGACTATTCAACCCCTTCCACGAACCGCCCACCACTCCCCCAACGATTCTCTCGCTCTTCTTGGTTGACGTCGATCCTCATTCATATTCTCCGCAACAGCATCACGATCTGACGAGGTGAGCGCATTTGTTTTTCTTTGATTTGTTTTTCGAGTCTCCCAATTAAATTATCCCTAATTAGTCAATTAGTGCTCGTGATTGGAAGACGACCGAAGTTGCGACCTGAGTGGGTCATTTGGGGTCCATACCAAGAAGAACCTAATCTAAGCTATCGGAATTCAATAATACAATCCCACATGGGTCCTAATTGGAAGAATACAGTACCATAAGATTTTTTTTTGTTTCTTTGCACACCTGAACTTGAGCGGGTCCGTTGAAGTGGGTACACAAAAAATTTCAGCCTAAAATTGTCGGCCGGCGAGCAACGGAAACGAGTCGGGCCGGAATCACAATTTTTTGACTCCTTTGCTCTTTTGGAAGATTCTGAAAATCCGTTTTTTTTTTTGAAATTTTGTTTTTGGCCGAAATTTGGCGTTTTCACATGATGCGTTCCGCTCCAACTCGGAATATCGGAAGCTGCTCGTCCGAATGGCTCCCGACGGGAAAAATCATTCGCCCGCTGCGGTGCAGGCTGGAAATTTTGCGTACACACCTTCGAGTTTAGACCTTCTAGTTTGAGTTTGCAAACTTTGACAACAAAATTTGTAGGGACCTTTGAAAACGGGCAGCGAAATCCATTAAAAAAAAATTCGACATGAAAATTTTTTGGAATAGCACCCATCATTAGGCTCATGAAATGAGATATCTAGAAAACTGGATTACGATAATCGACTCATGATATTTTAGCATTTGAAAAAAAAACGATTGGCTAGACGACATCAGAATTGAGTCTAGAAGAACCCCCCCCCTCCCTCTTTTTGAAAAAATGGTCGAGCTTCCATTCTTCAAAAAAAATTTGTTGGTAGTGGGGTGCGCGTGGGGGGGTTTACTCATCGGAACATTCATTTATTTTTTTCGCCGCCACGAAATTCCTCCTCCTCCATTGTTTTATTTTTGCATTTTTTTTGGCACATTCTTCGCATATTTTCTGGCGTGAAAAAAAATTGTAGCTCTCAAAATTGGTCCCGCAGCGAGAAATCAATTTAAAATTGGATGACGATCGTTTTTTTTTGTTGTGTGTGTCAAAATTTCTCGACGAATTCCATTGTGGTTCAAATTTGAAAATTCGACGCCGAGTTCCAAGATGATTATCGGGATTGTCGAAAGTCGGTTTCGATCCGATTCTGGATTTTGTGAATCCGGCCTTCAGAATCCCACGCGATTCTAAAGAAAACGACGACTAGATCGGTTTTCTGGAACAAACACAAATTCGAAGGGGGCGGAGTTTTGCGAAAGAATCCTTGTTTAAAAAAAGAACAAATAAATCAAGAGATTACTGTAAATTAGACTCCGCCCCTTTTTGAAAAGAACCCCCCAAAAAAAATCTCAATTTTCGATTATTGAAACAATTTTATTGCCAATAAATATTAAATTAAATATGTTAGAAGAAAAAAAAACGAACCGACAGAATATATATATGGTATAAATTATAATAATTCAAAAAAAAAGAGGGATGATATTAGGAGGAGGAATTCAATAAATAAGGGAATAACGATAGAAGTGATCAATTAGAATCTGTGGACCCGGAGAATTTTCGAAAAAAAGAAGAGAACGGAGAAAAAAACAAAAATGTTGGGGGGGGGTCCGGTCCAGACGAAAAAACAAAACAAAACGCGGACATTCCTGAGTTCAAATGAAACAATAAATACACGTGGCAAAAGCTTAAATGATGAGAGAAAGAATCAAGGTGTTCTGATTGGTTTTTTTGTGTTGTCTTCAGCTCACAATCACATAATTCTGGGAGAAGGGGGGGGGGAGATCAAAACAATATTCAATACAAAAATTTCGTATTGGTCCATTTCGAAGTTGCTTCTCAATGCTTTTGTTTCTAGGCGAAATCACAGATTCTACACAAATTGCCCATTTCGAGCTGCGGGGCGGCACACAACAAACGGAGCAGCCGATTGCGGCTTGTCGGACGCTCATGAGGTTCGATCCGAGACGGTCGAATTCGACGGCTGAATTTTGCGACGCACCGAATTGCGATCCGTCATTGAATTGACAACTGGAAACATTGTTTTTTGCGGATCGTGCGATTCGTGATTCTTCGAGAGCCACTTACAACTTGGCGTCGGCGTCTCGATTCGGGCGCTCGTCTTCGCCGTCGTTGACGACGACGACGTCGCCGGACGAATTCCGTTCGTCGTCCAGGTTCGTTGGCTCTTCCTCACCATGTTATTGATATGAAACTGGAAAAGAAAACAAGGGATTGCAAAAATCGAATTCGAGGGGGACAACTCGCGCTTACTTCTTTCGACGTCGGCGTGTTGCGATTGAGTTCGCCCTCGATGAATCGCACCACCTTCGCCATACACGCGTCCTGATAATCGTGCACCCATTTCACACCATTGTATTTGGTGATGTTGCGAATGTCGGCCGGAATGGCGGCCTCCTTCGTGGGGAACTCGAAGGCGGTGTCGAAAATCGGAATGATGTTCTTCTGGTATTCGAAGGCGCACTTGAGCTCCTTGTGAACCCAATCCTCGCAGTTGTCATCGTTGAGGAGGCGATCCAACGAGTTGGGCGTCAGCACGAGAATGAAATGCTTCGCCGCTTGGATGTTCTTCAGAAGGCTGCTGTCGAACTTGCCCGCGTACAGCTTGTCGACGTCGATGAACACCTTGTAGCCGCGGAGTTGAAGGAGGACCTTGATCAGACTGGCGAGCTGGTTTCCAGTCGATCGGCGGTACGAGATGAACACGTCGATCTGTTTGCTGAGCATCGCCACCTCGACGTCATCCGGATGTTTGGCGTTCTCGAAAGCCTGCGTCAATTTGAGGCGATGGATCGGATTGGTGATGCCGCACGCGTTCTGCATCAGCTCATCGGTGAGCGACGTTAGCAGCGATCGATTCACACCATTCGTCAGCATCTGAATAATGACGATCAAGATGACAAATGTATTGAGAAGTGGGATTTCTCACCTGATAGGTGTACGCTGAGAGCTCTGGACTGAGGCTCATCAGGAATTTGTCGAGGTTCGACTCATCGACAGACGAGTAATCAGCGGCGATCTTGAGACTCTCAAGCTCGCGCATGAAACGCTTTCGATGCAATCCCGACGACATTCCAATGTCATTGAGAAGGTCGTGCTCGGTGAGATGAAGGAGCAGATCGCCATCGACCATATGCTTCGCAAACTTCTCGACGTACTCCTCAAATCCGATCTGCAAATAGTCGATATTGAATCGATTGCACTCCACGCCCGCTTCTTACCTTCCTCACCCAATACTGAACGTCGGTCGTCGTCCAATTGGGAACCTGTTGCGCCAATTTGTACGGCACCTCTTCGCCGATGACCGTCAACGCTTCGGAGGCGAATTTGGCGGCGACCTCGTCCGGCGATGAGGCCACTTCTTTCAACGCTTGAATCGCGCCGATTTCCTGCAATCATCAATTTTCCCACATCCAGAATGTGACTCATCAAACGGCGGGGCCCGACGGAGCAAAAACGGGAAGCACAAGAGAGAGGGAGAGAGGGAGACTACTATGCAAACAATGGCCATCGAGATTTTTTGGCGCGCGCGCGCTCGCTCGCACCGACGGAATTTGAATATCCCGATTGGCGTCGGGGGGGATTGCGTCACAGTTTTTTCCATTTTTTGATAAGGTCACAATGGCGCAATCTATACGCCATCGTCAACGCAATCCAAAGCCGTTTGGTCCGTATTTGGTTTTTTTCCACGCGTGAGTCGCAACGAGTTATCAAAACCATCATCATCGCCACCACACCCAAAAAAATTTTTGTGCAATAATCGTTGGCATCGATAAACGCTTAGACGCAGGTCAAAAATGCAATGCAAATACCTATATATATATATATATATATATGTGTGAATTGAAATTTTTGTAGCATCGAACCGAATCAAAACCGGTCGAATTGCCGCCACAAACCACACAATTTTTGAGGCATGCGGGCCATAACAGAGAAAAAAAATTGAACGAATTTACCTTGGCGTACGGATGGAAGAATCGTCGGGTTTTCGAGCGTCGGAAACGCGCCAACGCCACCGATTTGTGTTTGGCGAACAGTGTGGGCTTGATGACGAACGCCGATTTCGGCGGCAATCGTCGAAGCGACGTCTTCAGCGGCGTTCGCGATACCTCGACATCGTCGGTGAGCATCGGCAAATCGGCGAGACTGCTGGGACGCGGTGGTGGCGGTGGCGGACATTGGGCGGTTGGCGTCGCGTAGAACGGGCTCACCGCCATCAATGGCCGCGGGCTCGGCAGTGAGGCGTCCGACGATTTGGCGGCGGCGATGAGACGCGGCATGAGATTGCGGCGACAATCGGGCGCGATGTTCTCGCTACTAATCGCTTCCACAACCATTTATAGGAATAGGTAGGCTTCTTCTTCTTCTTCTTCTTCTTCTTGTTGTTGCAGCTAGCAGCGGCGGCAGCAACAAATAGTCAAAAATGATACAAGGGCGGAGATGGAGGAGGAGTGCTGCTGCTGCTGTTGCTGCAGCCGTCAGGCCACGCCCACCGACGGCCGACCGCCCGCCGCGGGAAAAAACTGTCTCGACGCTCTCCGCGCGCACACTATGCGGTAACCGCGCGTCGTCGAGAGCTCCGCCACCACGTGTGGTGTCAGCGATTTGGTGGCGTTTGGGTGTGACGTAGGCAACAGCCGATGATGGATTGCATCATTACCTACCTACCCCATTACGCGTGAGAGTCTATAGTGTTTCCCGCGCGCGCGTCGGGATGCTCACAAAGGTCATCAAAAAAAAAAGGAAAGAAAGAATCATGAATGTCACGCCTCGAACGTTCCCCCCCCCGAGCCTTCCTCTCCTCGACGGCGCGAGGGATCACACAGCGAACGGTTTTTGGGTTTTTTTTTGCCGATTGGGCAACATTTCGAAATCAAATGCGATTTCGTCTGCCGACAATTTCGGGGTTTTGGGTTATCAAATTGTAATGCCGGAATGAAGAAAAGCAACAGTTTTTTGATGACGAATGGCAACAATGATGATGATGATGATTCACGTTGGAATGCGCGAAATGATTGCATTCTCGCCAAATCAGCCACCCATAAAAATAAGGGTGGTTGGCGACGCGAGCGCCCGCGTGACTAATGCACCATTCGAAGACTGTCCGGAAAACGGCAATACAGAAAACAATGACGAGCAATGCAAACCAACAATTCACTATCTCTTTGATTTTTTTGTTGTTTTGCGTGGGTGCCATCTTTTGTTTCATTTTTTTCGGTGGAGGTTTACCTGACAACAATGCGACATTCTTGAGGTGCGCTCTGTGTGGGTGTGGGTGACAATTGGCGCCATCACCACCACCACCACCATTTTCGGATTAGCAACAATCTAATTGGTCCGCGATTTCAGCTAATGGAAGCGCGCCTGGATTGCTCGACAAATGAGCTCGACAACTGCCAGAGCTCCTATGAGCACAAATCAGATTTTGTGTGTGTTTTTTGTTCCGCCAGGGTCACACACTACCGCGAAAAAAAAACCAGTTCTGCAAGGCTTCTCTTCTCCATCTACATACACATTATATGCAGTTTTGAGTATTATTGTTATTGTCGGCCGGTCGATCGGCGGAGTGGGGGCCCCCCGGCAAACTCCAAAGACCAACAAACCAAAAAAACGAAACGAGAATTGCACAAAAAATCGGTGAGAGAGTGTGTTTTTTTTTTCGTTACTGTGCGAAAAAAAAATTGCAAATTGTTTGGACTATGTAATTTTTTTTTGCAGCGTTTCGGGACCCATCGATTTCTGGTTTGGATGGCAATTCGCGGTTGGAAAATTTTGGGCAATTATGAGGTGTGACGTAAGGTGGCCTAATTGGCACCAATTTCAGCGGGGGAAGAGGCAATCATGGGAAACCAGCGAGGTGTCCGCAGCTAGCACGATGGCTGGAGGCGAACGCCGATGATTTTGGGAGGACGACACTTCGAACCGGCGAGGTGTCCGCAGATTGAATAATGTTTCAACCGACGATGATGTACTACCGGTTCAACGCAGTATGTTTGTGTGTTGCTTTCCGACGAGGCTCCGCACATCCATTCGGCGATTTCGATCTCCTCGCGACGTCACCAAACGCGATCTTCAAACAGGGCAATCGGTCAAAAAACCACACGATCGAAGAGACTGAATTACTGTAGCGAACAACGTGACTCGATGAAATGAGAAGTAAGCGACCGCCCATCTCGACGAGACTCTGAAGATTTGGTTGGCAGTTCGATACCGGTAACCACTCGGCGAGCGGACGCTTCTCTCATTTCTTTCCTCTTGCTTTTTTTTCGTTTTCCTCATTCTTTAAATAATATTCATATCAACCGTTTTCGCCGTTTCCGATTTCGATCTTTCGCATCCGAGTTCGATTAAGGCCGATTGAGCTTTTGCGGCACCCGATAAGCCTACCGTAACCGTATCCATGAATTCTATCGGTATCGTTGAATCGTGAATACGGTAATCGAAACGGAAGCGATTTTTAAAAGCCTAGAACGAAGTTGTGTGTTTGAGTGTGGGGGGATTGGGTTAGAGTATTCCGTGTGCAGATTGCGTCATGGGTATCTGTCGACGACAAAAATTTGCCGATTGGGTCAACCCCAGCACATTCTGACGAACCTCAACAAATTTAAAAAAGAATTTTGAAACAAGATAGAAAGAGCGTTTGAAAACCTATCGATTAATATAGAAAACTTCATATTTGAATAAAGTTTTGTCGGAATAAATCAAGTTAAAAAAATGTAGAATTTGAGAACAATCGCAGTGATCGCTGTGTGTGTATTCGAGTTTTCCGCAAAAATTCCGAACGCCGAGAGAATGGAAAAAGACAATTTTGAACTTTTGGTTACATTGCTTGTGTCGCTGACAATTTTTCAAGAATCGTCTATCAACAAAATCGCATTCAGTTCAACAATGACAGCTGCCGACAAAAATTGGTCGCCGCAATTTGTCAGCAGCAGCAAGTTGGTGTTTGAGCTGCCCCGGCCACATGTCCGCAGATCGATGTTTTCAATCGATCGATCGCCCTCCCAAGATCAATACTACATTCGATGACCACCCGACGCAATCTTGAGTTATGATTTTGCAAAAAGAAAAAAATGACAATATGGGTTTTCGCAATGAAAATATGCACTAGAGAACTTCGAGTGCAAAGAGAGTGTTTGATGAGCGCGCTGAAATGATAAGGCCAATTGCGAGCGATTGCGAATAGACAGAAAAAATTTTCTACACATAATTAAATGGGTGTGGGTTTAATCGCGAAAATCGCGAAACGCACCTCAAACAGGTCGAGTTTGTTCTGGTCCTTTTTGATCGTCGCCTCCATGGTGAAATGAAACGCCGCGGAGCTTCGCGCCTCTTTTCTCATCGATTTCAGCATTGGCAAGAGTCTGGAAATCAATTCAATCCATCTGCCGACAATTCGACGCCTAATCTCCGCTGGCGAATCAAATAGAATGGAAGTGACCCGAAACAAATCAAATTTTGATCTTACCGGCCTACAGTCTTTTTAAAGGCGCGGGGCTTCGAAACAAATCGGGCAATTTAGTTTCCATCGTAATCAGATCGACTACTATGATCTACTCACTTGAATAGCCATTCTTTGGCGCGTCCCTGCGAATGATGGAAATGCTCGTGCGCGAACACGGTGGCCTGATGCGAGAGAAGGAACGGCTCGACGAGCGTCAACGTGCCCGACTTGGTCACCGCCGACTCGAGATCCCAGTGTTTGGTGCTGGCGAGAACGCATATCGCGAGGCACGCGTAGTAGCGCGTCAGATCGTCCTGTTGGCTGGCGAGCAGGAATAGCCAATCAGGCACCTGCAACGAGAATTTGAATCGGACCATGAAAGATGGGGGGTCTCACCTTCTTCTGAATGATCTTCTTCTTGCCCTCGTGACACGAGTAGAGCGCGAGATTCGCCAATCCCAACGAGGCGTGCCTCAGCGTCTCCGGGCATCCGTTGGCGCGTTTGCACGTCAGCAGAATGTGGTCGAGCACGCCGAACTCGATGAGACTGCAAAAATCGCGCGCTGAATGGTCTCGCCACGAATTTGACGGTTTTTTTTTTTCTTGGAGGGGTTTCATCTGCGGACAACCTTGCGGGATGGCGGCAATTCAAAGGAAACGTTCAATTTTTGAATTTTCAAGGCACATTCGCGTAGAAGAATTTTGAAACAAGAAAAAATGAAAATTTTAAAGGCGCGCGAACAGTGAGAAAAAAAAACCAACCATAGCGATGTGTAGGTGCTCTGATTGAACATGTGCTCCATCAGACTCATACTGATCCGCTGCTGATCGGGATTCTTCGTCAACTTCATCGCCTGCGTCATCAGCCGCTTCACATAATTCTGAAAAAAAAAAACACCATCAACGGTTTCGATCGTTTTTCTTTTTTTTTGTTGATGCTGAGCGCTCCGATCGTTCTCCTTCACGCGATTTTGCTTTTTCAATTTCACACTAGTCAACGTCAGTGTACAAAACACAGATCGAGTGAAATGCAAGTCACGGACACGATGATCTGCGATGAGATGGGAATCTAGCCAAATCGGTTCGAGAACAAAACTGATTTGCACGCGACCTTGTGACGTCAGAATTTGGCGCTCAATTAAATTGATCGCATTTTGTTGTTGTTGTTGTTCTAGTGTTTAAACGGGCGGGGAGCAAGCTCGTGTCGAGACCTTATTCAAAGGCGCATTATTGATATCAAACGTGTCAAACACCAGAGAGATCAAAATCCCCGTCCAAATTTTTATTTGATTCAAATGCGGCATATCTTATTGAACTATCGAATCAACAAATTCGACACTTGAGATTCGATGATTCGGTTGGACCCAATTCGGGGGGAAGGGGGATCAACTTAATTGTCGATTTACGAGGTTCATACAGGTATGGAAAAATAAAAATCTTGCAAAAAATCTCCCACAAGTTAAAAGGAAATTAACTGGCAACGGAGGTATTTTTGTCTTAAAATTTTCTTATTTCTTGCTTACAGATAGATTCTTTAGAAAATTTCCAATCGAATGAACTAGGGACCTACTAGCGCAAACTTTTAGTTATCGAGATATGGACCTACAAAGTTTTAGCTCCTGCTCCCCTGAATTTTGCATACAAATGTGCGGAAACTCGAAATGAATTAGTGGGCATGTCTTATATCGCGCTTATACCCCTCCGTGGCAAGCGGTCGTGGTTCAGTGGCGTTCTCGGTGCAAACGAAATGCTCCAGTTCGGACGTGGGACTGCTCCCGTTCGAATGTAAAACTGCTCTCGCTCGACGTCGGAGGGGGCGCAGTTTCACGTCCGAACGGGGACAATTCACGCCCGAATGGGAGCAGTCTCACGCCCGAACCGATGTGAGACTACTATCAAACTGCGACAAATTGGTTGCGAATTGGGCCCGATTCACGCCAGATTCTCGTTCGAACTGGCGCCAGATTACGCCCAACTGGCTCCAGTCAAATGTATTCTTTTTGTGCATTCACTACAAATTGGATGCATTCGATTTATTTAAATCAAGTAATTAAATAAAATAATAGATATCAAAAGAAAAAATATTAATTATCGAGGGAAGATGAAGAAAATGGGAGGGAGAGGGAACATTAAAAGCGGGTTCGAGGAATTACTGTCGCGGAAAAAAATAAACTAAATGCCAAAAAATGAGAAATGTCTTGGCCCACGGCATGAGCCTCAATACTTATATTTTGTCCGTATATCTACACATTTAGTTTTGCACCAAGACATCTCCTTCAATTTTTGACACTTTGTAATTTTCCGCAATTTTGCGACAATTAAATACAATTAATAAATGTCTTAAACCATCTTACAACAGGAAGGGGATACAAATTCTTCTTCCCCATGACTCTTGACATTTCATCGATTTGCGAAGTTTCCTAGGTCTTCGCATTATGAGCTGGGTCTAGGTTGAAGCAGTTAGCAGCTTGTAGTTTCATTCTGTAAAACAAGGGTTAATTGATTATATCATCCATATTTTATAACACTTACTCAATATATAGTTGCAAAAAAACCAGGTCCTCCAGTAAGCATATAGCAAACTCATCCTGTATCGCATCCAGAATCAGAAATCAGCATCGCAGCTTGCCATCTCATTTCTAAATTATAAGTGTTTAAAAGATAATAGAATTGCGAAAAACGACGATAAATTATGGGCAAATTTAAAATCAATTTCTATTCACTTATCGAACCTTTACCGTTATAACAAAACTTTAAAAGTTCTCCTAATTTAACATCATTTTTGCATTTAAAACCATCCAAAAACGTGTTTCCGGCTTTTAATGGCAAAAAGCAATACAAATGTGTCTGAAAACTACTTTTTTTCTTAGAAAAGACAATGAAAATGCCCAAAAGTTTCAGTTAAAAATTTAGGATAACAAAAAGACGCGAAAGTTTAATAAAAAACAGAAACGTTCCACTAAAATACGAGCGAATTGATAGATACACATTTTCTTAAGTTTTAGAAAAAAAAATTACGAAAAAAGCTCGAGAAATGATCGAAAAAAAGCAATAAAAGTGTTTAAAATAAAAGACGCCATTTCGAAAAAAAAAAACAACCGCGACGCGGCAATTCCGCGGCGCGCTATTTTGAATTGCTGCGGCACACCATTGACTGATCCCGTTCGGGCGCAAGTTTGGCTACCCGCTTCAGTTCGGACATGCGTCGACGCCAGATTGGACAATGTTGTCCAAACTGGAGTCGTTAGTTAACTGTAGTGAATGTCTGACTCCCGTTCGGATGCTCACGCCCGAACTGGAGTCAACCGCTAAAAACCCCTGCTCCCAATTGGATGCAAATTGGCTGCAGTTCGGAAGTTGAAATAATCCTCTCCAGTTCGGAAGTCCGCCTGCCACCGATTGAACGCTATCGCCCGAACTGTACCAGTGGGAACCTATCGGTCCCAGTTCGGGAGTGTGTCGGCGACCAATCGAGCGCTATCGTCCGAACTGGAGCATTTCGTTTGCACCGAGGCACTCTTGACAACATATCCGAAACCTCGGTGCAAACGATTGGTCGCCGACACACTCCCGAACTGGGACCGATAGGTTCCCACTGGTACAGTTCGGGCGATAGCGTTCAATCGGTGGCAGGCGGACTTCCGAACTGGAGAGGATTATTTCAACTTCCGAACTGCAGCCAATTTGCATCCAATTGGGAGCAGGGGTTTTTAGCGGTTGACTCCAGTTCGGGCGTGAGCATCCGAACGGGAGTCAGACATTCACTACAGTTAACTAACGACTCCAGTTTGGACAACATTGTCCAATCTGGCGTCGACGCATGTCCGAACTGAAGCGGGTAGCCAAACTTGCGCCCGAACGGGAGCAGTCAATGGTGTGCCGCAGAAATTCAAAATAGCGCGCCGCGGAATTGCCGCGTCGCGGTTGTTTTTTTTTCGAAATGGCGTCTTTTATTTTAAACACTTTTATTGCTTTTTTTCGATCATTTCTCGAGCTTTTTTCGTAATTTTTTTTTCTAAAACTTAAGAAAATGTGTATCTATCAATTCGCTCGTATTTTAGTGGAACGTTTCTGTTTTTTATTAAACTTTCGCGTCTTTTTGTTATCCTAAATTTTTAACTGAAACTTTTGGGCATTTTCATTGTCTTTTCTAAGAAAAAAGTAGTTTTCAGACACATTTGTATTGCTTTTTGCCATTAAAAGCCGGAAACACGTTTTTGGATGGTTTTAAATGCAAAAATGATGTTAAATTAGGAGAACTTTTAATGTTTTGTTATAACGGTAAAGGTTCGATAAGTGAATAGAAATTGATTTTAAATTTGCCCATAATTTATCGTCGTTTTTCGCAATTCTATTATCTTTTAAACACTTATAATTTAGAAATGAGATGGCAAGCTGCGATGCTGATTTCTGATTCTGGATGCGATACAGGATGAGTTTGCTATATGCTTACTGGAGGACCTGGTTTTTTTGCAACTATATATTGAGTAAGTGTTATAAAATATGGATGATATAATCAATTAACCCTTGTTTTACAGAATGAAACTACAAGCTGCTAACTGCTTCAACCTAGACCCAGCTCATAATGCGAAGACCTAGGAAACTTCGCAAATCGATGAAATGTCAAGAGTCATGGGGAAGAAGAATTTGTATCCCCTTCCTGTTGTAAGATGGTTTAAGACATTTATTAATTGTATTTAATTGTCGCAAAATTGCGGAAAATTACAAAGTGTCAAAAATTGAAGGAGATGTCTTGGTGCAAAACTAAATGTGTAGATATACGGACAAAATATAAGTATTGAGGCTCATGCCGTGGGCCAAGACATTTCTCATTTTTTGGCATTTAGTTTATTTTTTTCCGCGACAGTAATTCCTCGAACCCGCTTTTAATGTTCCCTCTCCCTCCCATTTTCTTCATCTTCCCTCGATAATTAATATTTTTTCTTTTGATATCTATTATTTTATTTAATTACTTGATTTAAATAAATCGAATGCATCCAATTTGTAGTGAATGCACAAAAAGAATACATTTGACTGGAGCCAGTTGGGCGTAATCTGGCGCCAGTTCGAACGAGAATCTGGCGTGAATCGGGCCCAATTCGCAACCAATTTGTCGCAGTTTGATAGTAGTCTCACATCGGTTCGGGCGTGAGACTGCTCCCATTCGGGCGTGAATTGTCCCCGTTCGGACGTGAAACTGCGCCCCCTCCGACGTCGAGCGAGAGCAGTTTTACATTCGAACGGGAGCAGTCCCACGTCCGAACTGGAGCATTTCGTTTGCACCGAGGTGGAGTTGCGGGTTCGGTCCCGCTCTCTGTGAACTCTTTTTTTATTTTTTTCTTATTCAGCGAGTGTTCGATACAATGCCGAAAATGAAAGCCGCTGGATAAGAGAAGCTTGAAAATTAGAAAAATCTGAGCAAAATCGAGAATTTTGTGATTTGTGCCCATCCATCAGAAGATAGCAATCTTCGATTTTCCGCCAATATTCCAGGTTTGCGGATCCTCTCTCACCTTGTTGACGACATAATCGCGATTCGCCGTCGACATGATCGATTCGAGCACGCGGCCGCACGCGAGCTTCACCTGATCGCACGTCGTCGTTTGACCGATGAAAATTTTGATAAGCTTCTCGAAGTACTCGCGATCGCGAATGTAGTCGCACAGCGCATCGGTGAGATCGACGCACACTTTCGGCGTCGACCACGCCTTCTTCATGAGTTTCGTGATGATGGTGCAGCCCTGAAATATTGGAAATGTCCGGAATGCCCAAAAAAAATGGTCGTCGTCACGAGACCAAACTACAATCGTCTAAAAATTTGTTGGCAATCGGCGCTAGTCGCTTCGAGACCCAAACGAATACCTCGATCATCTTATCCTCGGTGTTGTTATTGATCAACTCCATCGCGCGATCGACGAACAATTGGTACTTGGAGACTTTGGTCTTGAGCGTGTGCATCATGGCGACCTGTTCGGTGTTCGATTGCTTCGTCACCGCCGGATTCACGACGCTGTCCTGCTGCATGAGCGAGAAGCGCGCCGTGCTGCTCGCGCGCTGATCGATCGGCGACAACTCGTCCATTGTCGGCGCGTCGATGCCGTTCGGCAGCGTCGCGCCCGCCGACGAGCCTTCGGATTTGAAGCGACGGTACTCCGAGTCTTTGCGCGGCGGCGCGCCGTCTTCGGTGCCGTTGCACGGCGTTGACAGCGATTGTTGGAGGCGCGCCTCGTTTATCTGCAATTTTGCGTCAAATATGGCAAATTTTTGAATTTTGTGCAATTTTGCGTCAAATACGGCAAATTTTTGAATTTTGTGCAATTTCGCGTCGAATATGACAAGTTTTTGAATTTTGTGCAATTTTGCGTAAAATATGGCAAATTTTTGAATTTTGTGCAATTTCGCGTCGAATATGACAAGTTTTTGAATTTTGTGCAATTTCGCGTCAAATATGGCAAGTTTTTGAATTTTGTGCAATTTCGCGTCAAATATGGCAAGTTTTTGAATTTTGTGCAATTTCGCGTCGAATATGACAAGTTTTTGAATTTTGTGCAATTTCGCGTCAAATATGGCAAGTTTTTGAATTTTGTGCAATTTCGCGTCAAATATGGCAAGTTTTTGAATTTTGTGCAATTTCGCGTCGAATATGACAAGTTTTTGAATTTTATGCAATTGCGCGTGAAATATGGTAAGTTTTTGAATTTTGTGCAATTTCGCGTCAAATATAGCAAATTTTTGAATTTTGTGCAATTTCGCGTCAAATATGGCAAGTTTTTGAATTTTGTGCAATTTCGCGTCGAATATGACAAGTTTTTGAATTTTATGCAATTTCGCGTCAAATATGGCAAGTTTTTGAATTTTGTGCAATTTCGCGTCAAATATAGCAAATTTTTGAATTTTGTGCAATTTCGCGTCAAATATGGCAAGTTTTTGAATTTTGTGCAATTTCGCGTCGAATATGACAAGTTTTTGAATTTTGTGCAATTTCGCGTCAAATATGGCAAATTTTTGAATTTTGTGCAATTTCGCGTCAAATATAGCAAATTTTTAAATTTTCTGCAATTGCGCGTGAAATATGGTAAGTTTTTGAATTTTGTGCAATTTCGCGTCAAATACGACAAATTTTTGAATTTTGTGCAATTTTGCGTCGAATAAAGCAAATTTTTGAATTTTCTGTAATTTCGTGTCAAATTTGATGTTTGTTTTTTTGTTACGAAAACACCGCAATTCCGCTTCAAATCGAAGAAAGCTCAATGTTTCACAAAAATGTAAAACAATGGGCAGTCCGCAATTTCTCGTCAAATTTTCTGCATTCTGTCGTCAAATGTGGTAGGTCTCAAAAAGGTTCTCGATTTCATCGAAATTATTTAATTGGGCCTGAGTAGCCCACAATCGTCTTACCGCAACAGCCGAATGAGCCGGCGAGACTTTGGCGGTGCGCAGAAGCGAGTCCTTCGATTGAAGCGTCGGCGTGCCGGCACTGCTCGTCGGATACGACTCGTTGTGTATCGTCGGTGGCGGCTGAAACGCAACACGGACCATTGAATCGACAAGTGGTCCTCTTTGCCACCAACCTGTGTGGCGAATGGCGGCGCCGAGTTCGGCATCAGCTGAATGCACGGTGTGTTCATCGCCGACGGCGATGCCGGCGATTCGGGCAACGAATACTCGTCGTCATCGAGCTCGAAGAACGCGTCGTCGGTTCTGAGAGAGAGAAAAAATATCAGTATTAATAATTTTCAGCTGCCGACAATCATCCGGCGCTTCCGAAAATGGAAGCGCCGATTTTGGCGGTGTCTCTCTCAAGTGCACCACTCGAGACCACTTCAACGCTTTTCGCGTCGAGACCAACAAAACGCGATGCGCCTTTAAATCAAGGTGGAAATTTCGAGACTATAGTCAATTAAAGGAGCAGGCCAGCGTGTGCTCCTTTAAAAGTGTTGCGAGACCCACACACACACACACACACACACATACTTGATAATCAAATTATGAATATTTCGCATTTTGGTGCGTTGCGGTTGATTGGTGACGGATGGTGTTGGTGTTGGTGTTGGTGTCGCCGTCGTCGTCGTCGAATCGGCACCGCGACTCTCATAAAACACCTCGTCAAACGAGTCCAGAATTCTGCACAATCATATGATGGATGATGGATGATGGTAATTCGAGGAAACGAGAGGGGAAGAAGAGAGGAAGCCGAGAGATAGGAAAAAAAGAAATCCGATGGGAAACAAACAAGTAAATAAATGAAACACCCAGGCGGCGGCGGCGGCGGCGAGGAAGAAGAGGAATAGAAGGAGAAGCTGAAAGTCGGGCCCAAAAATGGAAATTCGGGTGGCCACAAGCATGAACTAGAGAAGAAGAGCCCGAGAGATGAGCCAATGAGACCCCCCTCATGTCTTTCTGCTCCTCTCATTAGGCATTCATTTCCACTAAAACAAGAGAGCTTTTCTTTTTTTTTGCTTCGAATTTCCACCACTCTGAAATTTGATTTTCTTTGCTGCTGACATCGTTGCGGGCCGTGCGATCTTTGTTCCAAAGTACAACGCGCGTTATTGGGCGAACTTGTCTACCGTCATCCGAAAATACCATAATTGGCCGGTGGTGCGCAAAAATGCTTTGGTTACGCAAAATTTGCGGACTTTTAGGAATTTTGGCAAAAAATTTTGGTGATTTGCGCTGAAATTCACGCAAAATTGCGGACTGATCAATTTGACGCGAAATTGCAGACTTTTAAAACGATTTTGCAAGAATAATGTGATTTGCGCTGAAATTCACGCAAAATTGCGGACTAATTAATTTGACGCGAATTTGCGGACTTTCAAAATGCTTTTGCAAGAATTATGTGATTTGCGCTGAAATTCACGCAAAATTGCGGACTAATTAATTTGACGCGAATTTGCGGACTTTTAGAAATTTTGGCAAGAAATTGGGGTGATTTGCGCTGAAATTCACGCGAAATTGCAGACTGATCAATTTGACGCAAAATTGCGGACTTTTAAAATGCTTTTGCAAGAATTATGTGATTTGCGCTGAAATTCACGCAAAATTGCGGACTAATTAATTTGACGCGAATTTGCGGACTTTTAGGAATTTTGGCAAGAAATTGGGGTGATTTGCGATGAAATTCACGCGAAATTGCAGACTAATTAATTTGACGCGAAATTGCGGACTAATTTCTTTAAATAATGAAAAAGCAACCAATAATACATCATAGCTTACGCAAATTTGCGGACTTTCCGCATCGCACTAATACAGTACCCACTACTGGTCCTCAAGTCCGCAATTTTGCGTAAAAGAAACACACTATATATAAAGGATATTGAAAGACGGATGTGGATGAAAAATGAAAAATGAAAAAAATAATACTAAGCCGAGCACTTCGTTCGTATTTCCCCTTCTAATCCGCTTCACCCAAATTGATGTTTTTTTTTAGCGATTGATTAACGTCAGAAAATTGTGATTAAGAAAACCAAACTTTGAGCTACAGTAATCCCAGAAGATTCCGTCAAAAGAAAAGTAATCAAAATGCTACTGTAGTTCAGAATGTCTGCAATTTCGCGTCAGGATGTTGGACGCAAAATGGCGGCGAAAAAATGAGCGAAATGAGACAGCAAAAAAGTTTGATGGTCCGTTAGAACCCGCGCGCTCAAATAAGCGTCAAATTTGGCCAATCATATCGAGGGCTCACCCAAATAAGGCCACTATATTGAGATTCTCGGATTACGGTAGGTCGAGTTGAGGCCACAAAAAGGGTACGGAGTACAACAACTGCGCGTCGCAAGACCCCACACAATTCACCCATTAAAGGCTCATACCGTAATCCGAAAATTGTCGAAACAATAACAAAGTTGTTATGGGCTTTGTTGGGTGGCGGCAAGGCGACAGACTATTTTTTCCAAAATTTTCTGATCGAAAAAAAAACAAACAAAATTTGAATTTTAAATGAGCCCCCTCGCCGGCAATGATTATCAATTCGCTCTCGCCAATTCATATTTTTCATTTTTTAAGAATCGTTTTTTTTTGTGCGGCACTAATTATAAGTCGCGAATCGTGACGCATAATTCGCGTTCGATTTTTGATGCCCCTCAACGATAAAACCAAACCCGTCCAATGAATATCACAATTCTCATCTGCGGACAATTTCAACAAGGCTCGATGCGCAAATGGGAACCCGCAACTTGTCGGCAGATGGTTTTTTTTTCAATTAAATTGTGACAGGAAATGAAAATGAGACGAGAGAAAATTGGTCGTCGGTTTGAGAGCACTCGCGCTCTCAAATCCCCCCCAACGGATTAATTTCTCTTTTCCTTATTTGGTGTTTCTCTTCTTCTTTTTTTTTCTTCTGATTCGCCCACACAGGTGAGCAACACACAAACGGTTGGAAATGGAAAATTAGACACCAAAAAAGAAAATGGCAAATTTTCGGGGGGCATCCGAGAGAGAACAAAAATTGATTCAAAGGGTCGGGGCACTTCGAATTTCAATCATTTTTTTTTCGCCTCAACACCTCATTCCGACGAAGACCAAACAATCATGCGAAAATCGAAACAAGGAAGAGAGTTGACGATAGTGATCTTTCTTCATGATGGTCGTTACTATCTTCAGATACACTCTATTTTTCGGGGGCAAATTGAGAGAGGGTTGTCAAAATCGGAATCTGGAGGTCTATAACATAGATTCGAGATTCTCGAAGTCTGATGAGGCTTGCTAAAAGCTTCCGAGAGAGAGTCAGACAGGTAGAGCACGTCATAGAGACGCAGAGTTGTACGATGGATGGAAAGGAAAGTTGAGACGAAGCAAATTGGTCAAATTTGAGCTCATCGCGATTAATTAGAGGAGGGAGAGCAGGGTCTCGAAGCGATCGCATCGAATTATAGGAAACTCACCTCTCCAGCGATTCGAGATAGCGGCTTTGCAAATCGCGAAAATCGAAATCGATCGATTGGTCGGGATCGATGAGCACGTCGCGTTGAATCGTCCGATTCTGATGCGACGGACTCGCCGCCTTCAACGAGCGCCGCAACGGGAATCGCTGCTCGACGCGACTACTCGAATTGGTGTTGTTGTTGTTGTTGTTGTTGTTGTTGGTCGGCTCTTTGCGAGTCATCGCCTATTTGGGAAACATTTAAACGAGTCGGCGAAAACGACAAATCGTCGAGAGTGAAGAAAAAATGATGAGAGAATACCCCCCCCCCTAATCGACTGATAAGAAGAAGAAAAAGTTTGTGGGGTTTTATCAGGGCGTTTTGGGTCCCGACGCGACCCGTCCCTTTAATCAACGAGTTTCTCGCGAAAATCTCACATTTTTAATTTGATAAGTGCCAAATCCATTCGGCTTCCGAATCATTCATCATCGGTTCGCTGCTTCCGAATTGCATTATGCGCCATTAATGGGAGGATTAGAATTCGAAAACAACCAAAAACGAATAGATTGAGATTTGAGGTGCACATCGAAATCTGGTGTTACAGTACCCATCTAGAGCGAGCTATTAAAACCGTGGGGGGGAGGGGAGGCTGTTGTCGATTTACGAGCAATCAACTCGATGAGCAAACATTCGTCCCACCCCGATAAGATTTTTGCCCAACACAAAAAAAAATGCATTCCGAGTATCTATTATCAACTGGGGAATTGCTAATAATCATTATGCTCTCATTATTTTTTTTCCAGGCACCATTATTCACCAAATTTTCGACGAAAAAAAAATTAGGGTTGCGAAAAATGTATTTTCTTTCTTCTTCTCGCCTTATATTGTGCTTTTCCATTTGATTTCTTTTTTTTTATGAGTCAGCTTCTCGTGCAAACACGACCGGCAGCAAGAAAATTGAAAAGGCATTGTTTTAGGCTTAGGTTCAATGACAAGAGAATTGCGGGGGCGGCGGGAGTTCGTCGCGAGACACCACGATGAATTCTTAAAGTTCAAATATGGACCATGATTTTTTTTTTGGAAGGCGCAAAAAATCGGTTAAAGGCGCATGCAAAAATTTTTGTAATTTTTTGAGGCACGAAAAAAAATGCGATGGTCCACAATTGTTGCATTTCAAAAAGGCACATGTTTCGGGACCATATCAATTTTTCGAGCAAGAAAAAAAATGCGATGGTCCACAATTGTTGCATTTCAAAAAGAGCACATATTTGGGGACCAAATCAATTTTTCGAGGCAAGAAAAAAATTGCGATGGTCCACAATTGTTGCATTTCAAAAAGGCACATGTTTCGGGACCATATCAATTTTTCGAGGCAAGAAAAAAAATGCGATGGTCCACAATTGCTGCATTTCAAAAAGAGCACATATTTGGGGACCAAATCAATTTTTCGAGGCAAGAAAAAAATTGCGATGGTCCACAATTGTTGCATTTCAAAAAGGCACATGTTTCGTGACCATATCAATTTTTCGAGGCAAGAAAAAAAATGCGATGGTCCACAATTGCTGCATTTCAAAAAGAGCACATATTTGGGGACCAAATCAATTTTTCGAGGCAAGAAAAAAATTGCGATGGTCCACAATTGCTGGGGCCTCAGGGGGTCTCAAAAAATGCCGTCAAACAATGACGAAGTGAATGATAGCGTGGTCTCTGAGTAATCGAAACCCATTAAAAACCATTTATAGTATATTTCGTTATCAAAAAAAAAGAAAAAAAGGAAACGATGGCATCGGAGACACTCGCGAATGCATACACACAAACCAAGAAAAAAAAATCTGATGCGCAAACTGTGGCCAGAGCCCCCCTCTCCGGTAAACGGGGGAGGGGGGCACCGATTTTGCAACTATCGGTTTCTCTCTCTCTCTCTCTCTCTCTCGCATCACAAACACACTCCGACGGCGTGTTTGTACATAAACCGACATCGGTGTGCATTATGTGTTTTGTTGAAAATGAGTAAGATCGCCAAAAAAGAAAACAATGGTCTCGACGCGAAAAATCATGTTTGCGCATGTCTCACCGTCCGAGCGGACTCCGCGGACTTCGGAAGCACGAGGCGTCTTGACGCGACAATTGATTGCGTTCCGTCAGAATCTCTTCGCCCATCATCGTGCGCGCCTTGCCATTCTGGAAATTCGAAATTTTGAAATCATTGGAGGTGTTGGCCCATTTTTTGCCAAGTTTTGATCGATTTGGGGGCGCGCAAAACATTTTGAGGAGCCTCTTTCAAAATTTTGTACTAGCCAATGATGGATTTGTAGCCGCAAATGCGCATTAGTCGAATTTGTGGCAATTCGATTCGCTCGTCCAAATAAGGAAGCAGCTATGGGGAGGGGAAAGACGGCCCGCGAATTGTCCGCAGCTCGTTGCTTCGCGAACATCGCAACCCGGGAGGTGTCCGCAGATGCTGCTTATTCTATTAATGGCCCAAAATGAGCGGCGCCCCGCCAAGCGAATTGTCCGCATCACGTTTCTTCACTAGCGTCGAAACCCGCGAATTGTCCGCAGCACGTTTCCTCATTATTGTCGAAACCCGGGAGGTGTCCGCAGATGCTGCTTATTTCGTTCATGCCTCGCGAATTGTCCGCAGCACATTTCTCCACTAGCGTCGAAACCCGCGAATTGTCCGCAGCACGTTTCTTCACTATTGTCGAAACCCGGGAGCACATGGTGTCCGCAGGTGCTGCTTATTCTATTAATGCCCCAAAATGAGCCGCGTCCCCCCCCCGCGAACTGTCCGCAGCACGCTTCTCCGCTAGCGTCGAAACCCGCAAATTGTCCGCAGACGGTCACCCTCAACAACCATCTGCGTCAATTCTTCTCATGAACTCTCTGCATAATTGCGTCAAATGCGATGTGAGAAATGAGAAAAAAAATTTTTCCCCATGCACTTTTTTTTTCAACTCGAAATAGGCGCCTACGTGATTTATCAACAACAAAAACCTATTGAGGGAAATTTTTGTTTCCCCCAAAAAAAAAAAGTCCGCAATTGTGCGTCACGCTAGTGTTTAAAGGGGGGGGGATTTCGAAACTCACACGTCTCGACGTGACCAACACCTCTTCACCATCGCCATCTAGTCCGTACATGTCGCGAAAAGGGAAATAATAAGAATAATAGGTGAACCCGAAATACACACACCAGGCTGTTATTGTTATTATTTTGTGGCCACATAACGGGTGGCGGGGGGGGGGGGGTAGCAGGCGGAGATTAGGGGGCGGAGTCAAATTCGCGCTCGCGCGCGCCAGAGCATGTCTCCAACTCGAGAGACTAATTAAAAATCTATCCTCATCCCTTCCCCTCCTCTCCCCCCCCCTTTTCCCTTCCCCTCCTCACTGCCTTCATCTCGGTGCGGGGGAATTGGTGCACTTTATTATTGCAGCCGTCTCAAAAAAAAAAGAAGAATACCGTATGGCTCGTAAAACCAAAAAGAGGCATATGGCGATGTCTTGCAAGTTTTATTGCGGCCGACATGATGAGTTCGTTGTGGGACCCAATTAAAGGCGCATCGAGGTCTTCGACAAGAAGCGACGCATCAATACCCATTTTTCGGATGAAAATCGATTATTGTGACTTCACGCAGCTTCCAAAAAACTATCGCGCTGCGAGACCCGTTTAAAGGGACATTTCGAATTGGTGGCAAGAATTTCGACGAAAAAAAATTGAGAATGAATAATTGATCGAAAATTGCACTCGAATTTGCGAAACTCGAAAATTTTAATTAATTATTGCGCCGAGTAATTTCGTCGGCGCAAAAATTATCGAGAATGGAATTTTATTGCCAAAAAACTGCACATTTTCGGCTATACATTAGAATTGACGACAAATAGCGGACTTTTTGGAATAGTTGGACGCTTCGCAATTATCGGCACGTTTTCAACGATTTCCTTCAACAATTTCGGATTTTACACGCGATTTGACGACAAAATGCAGAAATCGCACTGGATTCGACGCAATATTGCAGAAAAATTGAAAAATGACCATTTTTCGAATTTTTTTTCTTAATTTTCTCTTAATTCGAAACGATTAATTTTTTACATCACATTTCACGTAAAATTGCACATTAATTGTCAATTTGACCATTAATTGACGACAAAATGCGGACATTTTGAAAATTGTGATAATGATTGGAGAAAAAATTTATATACATCATAATTGACGGCAAAATGCAGACATTAAAAAAATTTGCATTTCTGGCACTGCATTTGACGTAAAATTACACTTTTTCAGGCAAAAATTGATATAAAAATAGTTTCACAAAAATTTTGAAAATTTTTGAAAAAAAAAACGCAACGTTTGACGACAAAATGCGAAAATTAAAAAAATTGCATTTGTGGCACCATATTTGGCGTAATATTACAGATTTTTTAAGCAAATACTATTATCTGAAAAGATTTGGCAAAATTTTGGAGAAACGCCAGATTTGACGAACAAATGCGGACATTAAAAGAAAATGCAAAAAAAGATTAAAATTAAAGATTTTCGGAGCAAAAATTAATAATTAAAACGATTTGGTAACATTTTTGAAGAAACACCACATTTGACGAAAAATTGCAGACATTGAAAAAAATCCATTTTTGGCACTATATTTGACGTAAAATGACACAATTTTGATAAAATATTATTATTTAAAGAAATTGGACAGTATTTCGAAAATTTGGCACAAAACACCATATTTGACGACAAAATGCACAAAAATTGAATTTTTGTGCTTTGAACAACGAAAACTCATTGAAACCAACCTTGAGACTCTGCCTTCGTGTGCCAACATCATTCGCGACGAGGCTATTCGCGTGTGATAGGCTATGATCGGATGGAATTTTCTGAAAAAAAAATGATTGGAAAAAAATCGAGGAGGGAGATTAAAAAAATGGGCGCCGCAAAAAAAATCATCGTCAAAAACTTGCCACAATTCAAACATATATAGTGACGACGACATCGAAATCGTAAAATCGCGGCGGATTAAAATGGCATGACCAACCGAAAAAAAAAGTAAAACTCGAATACGGTAGAGGAAGAACCTAGTAGGTGAATATAACGCTAGGCGAATGCAAAGATTCCTTATCACGCGTTATTATCACACCCAAACGGATTAAGCGTAATCAAAGGTGTCGAGGGAAAAGTGCAAAAATCGTTGGGGTGTGAGGAGGACTCGAACCCGCGAAGGATTACACAGATAAACGGCGGCAT